CGGTCTTCCCCGTCGTCAAGCTGCAGCTCGTTGAGGACGACCCGTTCCCAACACGCCCGGCTCGCAAGGAGCCGCCACCTGTCATGGGCCAAGGAGCTGGCGAGGAGTGGGAAGTCGAAGAGGTTCTGGATGCCAAGATGCGCTATCGGAGCATTTGGTACTTTGTGCGGTGGAAGGGCTACGATTCGTCGCATGACCAATGGGTTAAGCACTCTGATATCTTCGCAGAGGACGCTATAGCGGCATTCTACCGCAAGCACCCCAACAAGCCACGCATCATTGCCGCCGCCATCTTCGACTCCCTTCCGTTCCAGCACCCCTCTGCCACCATCCACACGTTGCGTCGAGGCGTCGCAATCCAAGGGGGGGTGATGTCAGGGGAACCCCCGTTTCGGACCGCTCTGCCTTCGATCAGGCATGTGATTGCGCTCGCGTGACCTGTCAGCTGTCACGTACCGCGGCCCGGACTGCCGCGCCGAGCGCTTCTCCTTGATGGGCACATGGCCAGGTGCCCCATTGTTCCTATTGTCCCCGCTCCCATTGTTCTGTCATGGCCGTTGTACTTATTGTCCCCATTGTTCTTTGTTTGTCGCTGCGTGCTCCATTGTTCTTGTATCATATAAATAGTGGCGCCTGGCAAGGAGAATCCCCAACACGGTTTCTCTTTGGATTCTCCCTTGCCAGGTATGCCGGTCTTGTACCTAGCTACCACTATTAATCACCTTTGGATTCTCCCTTGCCAGAACTCTGAGATCGGGTCTCGAGGTTGCCCTTACATTGGGCGCCAAATGCCATCTTGGTTTTGGCTCAAAACTGATCCTGTTGCCCCTTCCGAAGCATCGGCTTCTAGACAATATTGGCCGGCGTCATTTGGCAGTGCTAGGACCGCATCCTCTGCAATTCTCTTCTTAAATCCATCAAATGCCGCACGCTCATCCATACCCCATGACCATCCTGCCTTCCCTGTCAGCCATGTTAATGGTTTGGCCACCTCCACATATCCCCGAACAAAGCGTCGATAGAAGTTTGTGAATCCGAGGAAAGCTTGGACTTGTTTGACGCTCTTTGGTTCTGGCCATTCCATCATGCCCTTGATCTTGACAGGGTCCATCCGCATCAAGTTGTGTCCAATGATTACACCCAGATACTCGATCTCTGTGCGTTTGAACTCGCACTTTTCCGGCTTCAGGTACAGTTTGTGCTTTTGGAGCAACTCAAGTACCCGTTTGGTAATTCGTCGATGTTCATCCAGATTTTCTGTGAAGATCAGTATATTGTCCAGATAGACCACCACATGTCCCTCGTTGATTAGTTCCTGCAGGATATTGTTCATCATGTTCTGGAATGTTGCCAGCAAGTTTGTCAGTCCAAAGAACATCACCAATGGTTTGTATAGGCCACGATTTGTCCGAAATGCAGCCTTCCATTTGTCACCTTCTTTGATCCGGACGTTATTGTATCCCCATTGGATGTCCAATTTTGTGAAGAATTTTGCGCCGCACAGCTTGTGAACTAGTTTGAAGATCAGTGGCAATAGGTATCGGTTTCTGATGGTCATTTCATTCAGTTTTTGATAATCTTGGACAGGCCGTAAGGAGCCGTCTTTTTTCTTGACAAAGAAGAACGCCGAGGCCATGGGTGATTTGGATGGTCTGATACATCCACTGGCCAGATTCTCTCCAAGGAACTCGTCCAGCTTGACCTGTTCATTCTGTGACAATGGGTAGACCTTGCAGTCCACCGCCTTGGAACCAGGTTTGAGTTCAATTGTGTGGTCCCATGTGCATCTGTCTGGCAGCGATGAAATGCTGAGGGCGTGCTCACAAGTGAATCTACTATGAAAGTAAACCCAAATATAAACATGTTCACACTCCTCGTAATCAGCTTCTCAGTGTGTGAAAGATGCGAGGGCTTCGGGGTGGACGGAACACCAGTATCACAACTCTCAATAGACGTAGATCCAATAGTCGCGGAAGACAAAGTCAACGACAAGAATATGTATATATAGCAAACAGTGGTGTCTCAACCAATATCTTCTATACGAATCACAACCAACACTAATCCAATCACAACCAACAATATAACAAGTCAGAGCTTAATACGAAGTATTAAGATCCCTTGTAGCGACAGCGTCTAGATGGTGACGCAAAGCCCAAATGTCAAGTCGACGCACTGCCAACTGACACAACCAAAAGTACTGAGCCGACGCACTGCCAACTAGTAGACCAAAATGCCGCGTCGACGCACTGCCAACTAACAGCCAATATCCAATGTCCAAAACCCGAGCACAACTTGTCGACGCACTGCCAAGCAAGAAGTGTGGAACCAAAGTTCTCAAGTCGACGCACTGCCAACTGACCAAAACAACCCGAGCACAACTAGTCGACGCACTGCCAAGCTAGAGGTGTGGAACGATCTCAACAAAGCCCAAAGGCGACGACACTAAATGCCGCGACTAAACCAGATGCGGCGAATCCGACTTTCTGATGTCTCAACTCAAACTCAAATCACAGTAGCTACAAGTGCTCAGGGAGCAACTCGTTGCGACCGGGCAGGGGTGGCAGAACTTCTTAGGGTGGAATCACGCGGCACGCAAATTGTACAAAACAATCTGAAATGAGAGTGATTCACAGTCCGGGGGAAAGCTTTCTGATACAAAGAAACGACGTGCTACTTATACTGTCTACGACGATGCTTAGTAAAGTCCTGTACAACTGCATAGTAGCTACGCTATCTAAGATCGGTTGCCTTTTAGGGTAATTGAAAAGTTGAACGATCAGACAGGTCCTGAGTGATCAGGACCCCGCCCCATAGTCCATATGATACTTTTGATGTGGGTCAACCCACCGCGTCATACTTCTGGAATACGACGTGTTGGATTGGCCAACGGGTATGTCTTGGCATGTGAGACCAACGTGGGCGCCCCAAGAAGCCGTATGGCCCTAGGCACGCCAGTCGTCCCTCACATGGTTTGGTTCACGGATCTAGCCGTGTCGATTTTAGTGTGTTTGGGTATGGGCGTGACTCGCCGTGACACTTGGAAGTGTCACCGCGACGCGTCCACAATGTCCCATGATCGAATGGATCCTGACATGTGACAAGTCGTCGCCGTAGCACGATCTGAGGAAACGTCCAACTCAAAACCGGGAGTTGCCGCGACAAGATGGTTTAGATCTCGTAACGCCAAGTCCTGTCCAGTAGTAGTTGTATTATCGAGAACGTCGCACATTGCTCAGCCCTTCAGCCCAAGTTCCCATCTGCAGAGAATGACCCTTTTTGAGAAGTCGACGCAACGACAGATCCCTTTTTGGGGAATGGTCGCGGTCCAGGCGTCTGTCACTAATAGCCCTGAGCCTGGTGTAGACTCATAAGACCAATTCCACAGTAGTGATCTGACTGCCTTGCTATCGTCGACACTATCCACAGTTGTCGACTGGGCAGTAGACCCTTAAGTCCTACTGAGCGCAACACTGTCAACCGCGACACGATACACCGAGTGATTCAAGAGTAAACTCTGTAAAAAGCGCAAAAATACGCCCTTACAGAGCTGGTGCAGAGCGCGTCTGGTAGCCAGCCTATCAGCGAGTTGAACAATTCTTTTGCAAACACCTTGATGAATTCCCGGTATTGATCCGGAACCTTCCCTTTGGTCATTCTCTCCTTCTCCTTTTCTGCTTCTTCTGCAAACTTCTGCGCCGGCGTTTCCTTTAGCCGTAGATCAACCTCCTTCCCAAAGTCGACCAATAGGATTGATTCTCCTTCCTCCAACTCCGATGCACAAATGTCCAGGTCAACTGAGTCCATATCTATCATTGCCTGATGCTCCTTGTGACCCCTCATGTTGCACCGTTCCGGACATCGGCTGAATTTCATTGTCTGCTCCCGCCAGTCCACCTTGGGGTTATGCTCCATCAACCAATCAAGGCCAATGAAGATCCGCGCTTTTCCCAGGCATGTCAAGAGGAACGGGCATGTTTCCTCGTGAGGGTCAATTCTCATCCTCAAATCGACATAGTGTGTGATCCAACCACTGATGTTCTCAGTGTTGTCAGCGTTACGGGCCATGATGGGTTGGGGGAGTTCCTGGATATCCAATCTTTCTGCCCGTGCATAGTCAGTGTCAATGCAACAGGTACTGCAACCGCTGTTGAGCAGTGCCTTGACCCTGTGCGTCCTCCCTGAGTCCAGGCCTGTGATCTGGACATATACGTCCATTGAATGCCTCTTCCTCTCTGCCTAGTAGTTGCGCAACTCCTGCGCCAACCTACTGGGTTGAGGGCCCTTCTGTTTCTTGGCCGCTGATCTCCTCTGAACAGCATCTGGCACCCTTGTGTGCCTGGGTGCTTCTGGAACCGTGATTTCTGTCGATTCCTTAGGCGCTTCCTCCTTTTCCAAGGATTGAGCCTTCGGAGCAGTGCTCCCCTTTTCAGTCTTTGTTGACGTGGTTTCTTCTCCACGAGCCATAAATACATAAGGGTCCAATAATTTGTCTGCAGTCTTCTGATCCTTCTTATCTTGTATATACTTTTTATTTAAAGCTATTTTTATTTGTTGTTCTTTTTCCATATCAGCAATCAGAAAATCATGAATATTCGTACGTAGTGAGTTGGAGATCATGTATGTAGGTGAAATATTGTCCGTATCTTTAATAGAAACAAGTATCAAAAAACGTCCATAGTCCGGACGCTCCACCTCCTTGGCTAGAGGAGTGGAGCGCTCCAAAAACCCTTCTTGCGCAGCTTCTCAGCAATCCCCTTCAGGAACTTGTTGTCCTTGTCCCCGTTCTTGATCTCTTCTAGCATTGTGGCCCGATTGAAGAACGTGCGCTTCTTCTTTGGCTCTGGACAGTTCTGCGCAATGTGCCCGGGCTGCTGACAGTTGTAGCAGATGATGTTGCGGCCATGTGCGTTGGTGCAATCAATCTCCATTGGAACTGGTTCATTGGCCGCCGGTCGGGCCGGAGCAGGTGCAGGTGCCGCTGATGCAGCCTGAGGGCGGAATTAGGGGGGTGGTTGTGGCGTGGGATGCCCGTAAGATGCCTTGCGTGGCTGGTCGCGTAGAGCATTGGCTTCGATGTTGATACACCAGGCTTTGAAGGCCCCATAGGCCTTGGGCAGAGGGACACCAGTGTTGTAGAGATGGCTAGCAATCTCGCTACTGAGTCCGCGCTCCAGGAACTCGATGAGGATATTGTCTTGGTCCCCCTGCTTGTACTCGCCCTTTTTGTTGGTGGTATTGACCACATTGTATCCTGCGTCTACAGCCAACATCTTGAAGTCGGAGATGTAGTCCGCAAAGGATCGTTTGTTCTGGTGCAGGGCCATGAGTCGAGCAGCAGTGACTTGTTCCGCATTGGAGTCCCCAAAAGCCCTCTGAAGCTCCTCCAGGAAGTTCTTTGATGTGACCCCTGCCTTCAGCCCCTGGAAGCCATCGAAGTTGTGCTGCTTCCAGTTCATTGCCCATCTTGAGGCGGCGCAGCTCGTGCCGGTCTTGTTACGGAGGTAGGAGAGGACAAAGAGGATCTTGGTCTCATCCTGCAAGAACTCTGATCAGTAGGCACCAATGTAGGTGGTGCACAAGTCTACAAAGCCCAGATATTTGGACGGGTCCCCATCAAAGTAGGGGGGATTGGCGGCAAGGGTGATGCAGTGATGTCCTGACATGGTACAAGCAGGCGTGGTAGGTGGGGGTGAAGGTGGTTGTTTGGAGGGTAACTTGTCAAGGTTGGGGATCTCGTCTTCAGGCGGCGGGAGGGCGAGGTAGGGATTAGAGGTCCTGGGCTGGATTTGATGCGCCAGATCGGGTGACAATAGTAGGATGGAAGGAGGAGACGGACTCCCAGACGACAATGGGAATCGGAACGAAATGGTGGATTTGTGTGCTGTACAAGCACTTGAGGAAAGGTTCTTTTGCTAGCAAAAAGATCCCGGGCCTAGCTCTTCACATGCCCGATGATCCCAAGGTGCATTTTCCTGAAGGTCTCCGCAGCACTCCTTGTAGCTACCATAAGGCTTGGGTCGGGCTCAACATTACCCGTGGCCTGGTGCTGTTTGCTTGATATGAACCCTTCACTGTGATTGCAGAGAACGACTAGATGATTCGGTAAAAGGGTGAGTAAGATGATAAGGGTGTAGAGGATATAGCGGGCGTAGCGGCAAGGGATGCAAATGGTAAGAGGTAAGAGGTAGGAGGGTATGAGGGGAGTCTTGGAATTATGTGACAATCAACACAGAATATGATTGAAAAGACAAGTCAATTCCAAGACTGGAGAATACAACACAATGGCTACTGTATTTATACTAAGTTCAGTCTGAGTCTTATCTACATCAAACGAGTCATCTGACTATGTACCGTGTGGAGCTTTGGTCATGGGTTGTAGTATAGACTTCTGGAGCACATGCCGCACAACCTCTTGAACCCTAAACCCGGACCATGTGGTGCCGTGATCCGTGATAAGATAGTCCCATGTCAATGATAAGATAAGGTGATCGATGGAATGATTGTGAAAAATGATTGAATCATTGTCAGGGGAACCCCTGCTTTCGTCCGATCATCATGGGATGTTGCATGTGACTGCGCACGCGCCATCTGTCAGGCGTCACATGCTTTGGTCCGGACTTCCCTGCCAAGCACGTCCACATGACACTCCGGCCTGGACCCCCATTGTTCCAACGGTCCGGCTCCCATTATTCTCCCGATCTGGCCCCTCATTGTTTCCTGGCCCCATTGTCTGGCGCTTCCATTGTGCTTGGTCATCCCTTGTTCCGTAGGATATATATAGTGGGCCCTGACAAGGAGAGTCCCCAACTTGGTTTCTCTTTGGACTCTCCCTTGTCAGGTTTGCCAAGTCCCCTGTATTAGTCGATCCCTTTATCTGACGCTTTGGACTCTTCCTTGTCAGGACTCTGAGATCGGGCCTTGAGGTTGCCCTTACAATCATGACACATACCCTCCTACCTCTTACCTCTTACCCTGCATCTCTCATTGCTACGCCCACTATATCCTCTACATCTGTGACAATCAACAAGAGGGTCAAATTATCACAACATCCTTATGAACTCACTCACCTTTTGTCAGGGGAACCCCCGCTTCAGACCGATCAGCCTGGGATTTGGCATGCGATTGCGCTCGGGTGACCTGTCAGCTGTCACGCGCAGCGGCCCGGACCGCCGCGCCAAGCGCTTCTCTCTGATGGCAGGTGGTGCCATTGTTCCTATTGTCTCCGTTTCCTATTGTTCTGTCATGGCCATTGTACTTATTGTTCCCATTGTTCTTTGTTTGTCACTGCGTGGTCTATTGTTCTTGTACCATATAAATAGTGGTGCCTGGCAAGGAGAATCCCCAACATGGTTTCTCTTTGGATTCTCCCTTGCCAGGTATGCCGGTCTTGTACCTAGCTACCACTATTATTCACTTTGGATTCTCCCTTGCCAGGACTCTGAGATCGGGTCTCGAGGTTGCCCTTACACCTTTCTACCAAATCATTAGTTATTCTCTGTGATCACAGTGAAGGGTTCATATCAAGCAAACAGCACCAGGCCATGGGTAACGTTGAGCCCAACCCAAGCCTTACAGTAGCTACAAGGAGTGCTGCGGAGACCTTCAGGAAAATGCACCTTGGGATCATTGAGCACATGAAGAGCTAGGTCCAGGATCTTTTTACAAGCAAAAGAACTTTTCCTTGAGTGCTTGTACAGCACACAAATCCACCATTTTGTACCAATTCCCATTGTTTTCTGGGAGTCTGTCCTCTCTCCCCATCATACCATCGTCACCTGATCTGGCACATCAAAACTAACCCAGGTCCTCCAATCCCTACCTTGCCCTCCCACCTCCTGAAGACAAGATCCCCGACCTCGACAAATTGCCCTCCAAACAGCCCCCCACACCTCTCCCCACCACACCTGGTCATACCATGACAAGACATTGCATCACCCTTGCTGCCAACCCCCTGTACTTTGATGGCAACAAGTCCAAGTATTTGGGCTTTGTGGACTTGTGCACCACCTACATCGGTGCTGATTGCTTGGAATTCTTGCAGAATAATGTCAGGGGACGCCACGCTCCTTGGGCACGTGACCATGCACGTGACCCACTGTGCCCTCTCTGCTGACCCGTGCCCGCGTGCCTGTTGATTACCCAGCCTCCTCCTCCTCCCCCAATCCTCACCTCCATCCATGCCAACATCCGCCCTCTTCCTCCTTCTCCCGGCCATCTCCTTCGAGTCCCTGCAAGCAGTCTAGCCAAGCCCAATTCCTTGCACCAGGGAGTGCTACTGCCGTACGCACTCCTCCCCCTCTACTTTGGCCTTCTTCCCATGGATGTGGTCTACTGCCATACAGGCTCGTACCAGATGCCCTTGTGCTCATCCGCACCACCCCTCTTCCCAGTCGGGCATTGGTCCTCGCCTCCAATGTCTCCACTGGCCGGCCCGGCACTGGCCTGGCCACTGGGCTCCTCCAGTGTGGCCTTCCACTGTTGGTGTCTCAGGAGCTGGCCGTCACTGGCCCCTCTGAGCCACTCACTATCTTATCTGGGTTTGTCATCATCTACTTGTCATCTGCCATTGTTCCATGGCAGTGATATCCCATCATCATCAGTCACTTGTCACAGCTGACTATATAGTGTGACACCTGGGCACATGGATGCTTGAGCTGTTCTCTAAGAATTCCCCTCTGTGCTCAGGTGAGTGTGCAAATGCCAGAGCTCACTCCTGATTGTATACACCTTGGTCACAACAAGCTTCCAATTTGGGTTTGCCTTGGGGTTGTACTCATCAATGTCCTTGAATACAGCAATGTCAATCACCTGGTTAAGGATGTAAGTGCTGAGACACTGCTAAGTGCTCTAATGCACAGGTCATGGTTGCAAGCTTGGATGTTAGGAGGTAACATGTCAGCATGGTGATGTTATCAGGTATTGATCTGGTAGTGTTCCAATAGATAGTAGTTAGTAGTGTCATACCTCTTATGTCATCTACTTGTATATAGGTAGTTGTTAGAGAGCTCTAATCACTAGTCTTGTTATCAACTTGGCTCTGAGCTTCATTCCCCTTACATTGGAGGACTGTTTTGAAGAGATTGTGTATGTTGGTAGAGATCAAGGTAATTATTTTGTTATTGCTGAGTATACAGCCCTCTATGCCCATGTTGTACAGGCCATGAAAGAATGTAGCAAGTGCTTTGGGTTTTCTGTTATAGTTCAATCACTTTTTCACCATTCTATTAACTATTTTATTTTATCTTGATATGGGAATCAACTATTTTATCTTATTTTGACATAAGAACATCTTATCACAAATCATGGCATCACATGGTCCAGCTTAGAGACTCAAGGAGGTTATCTGTATTGATTTAAGGCTGTGCAACATATGCTCTAGAAGGTTCTACTACAACCTATAACCAGTGTTCTATGAGGTACATAGTCTCATGACTCATTAGTTGTAGATATGACTCAGACTGGATTTGGTATAAACACTGTAGCTATTGTGTTGTATTCTCTAGTCTTAAAATTGACTTCTCTTTTCGACTTTATTCTTTGTTGATTGTCACATTTTCCTCCCAATTGAATGATTTGCTGACATATCAGCCCTAGACATCATATTGGTGGATGCAACACTTTTGTTTCATAAGCACCACCATAAAGACAAACAGTTTGTTGGTGTTATCATGATGTGCTGCACATCTTGTACAAGCTGAACAAACACCTTCTCCTGCTCATTGGTAGTTGCTGGCTTGCATGTGCCTTTATCTATTGTATCAACAGAGAACTCAAGCTGGAAAGTGGACCCTGTTGTCTCCCAGTCCCAGGTGTTGATGATACCAGAGAGACTTATAGTGATGTCTAGACAGGTGTAGTAGTGGTCTGCATTAGAGAACATAAACTTGGCAGGGCAGAGTAGCAATCTGATGCCACAAGGTGATTAGCTTCAGGAATGTTGGTGACAAGCTGATTGAAATAATTGCACTAGAGAGAGGTAAACAACAACTTGCCCAGTAGGACCTGCACTTACAACTTACAAAGGGTTTAATCATTGGATTTTCCTTCCTAGAGCATCTAACGTTGTTTTTTGCAGCCTTGAAATCTTCTTTGGTCTCATTCGCTATCTCCTGGATGTCATTGACCATGTTATTGGTGTAGCTCATGAACTTTTAAAAGAATTTGTTAACAGAGAGCATTGTTTGAAAATGTTCATGGATGTGTGTCTTCCACTAGACCATGGAGACAGCAGCATTCTGTGTCTCCATGTCCTTTGTCAAGTATACATGTTTATTGTCAGAGGGTGGCAATATTTGGCTTGGGCTGCAGCTAATCTTAAGTTCATATAGAGCAGCACTGGCTGAGAGAGAAGTAGTAGCTATGAAGAGCATGTTGGTATGAGAGAAAGAAGAATTCCACTTTTGCTCTCCCTATTTCTGCTTAAGGATTGACTAAGTAGAGCTGCAGTGGATGTCAATCAAATAAAGTCAAGTGTAATGGCCATATTTTGATATCAAGAGATGATTCAACTTTGTTGACTATAAACAATTACTTGAAGAGCTCCAATACAAAAGGATACTACTACAATACATAAAATAGGTTGCATTATTTCTATCCAAACAAGAGGCTGAAGTCTGCATCAATGGAATCTGAGACAAGATGAAGTGCAACAAGAATGGGATCCTGCAAGGCTCCCTAGTATCACCTATCTTTGCAGTGCTCTACAGCAGCTTCCTACTGGAGATGTTCCTGCTGAACCAAGTACCAACCTCTCTACTAGACAAGTCAACCTGAGCCAATCTGCTCATATATATAAATGGCAGGAAGCTATTTGTCTTGTTAGATGCACTAGACACAAACACCTGTCTCCTCCTATTAGCGTACAAGAAGATAGTCAAAGGACTAAAGAAGGCTGGACTGTCTATTGACCTATCTAAAAGAAAACTGATACACTACTCATGCAGAAAGCAAGACAATATTGCACCTGCAATCCAACTCCTGAACAACAATGGCTCAACAATGACCATAACTGTGACACCAACAATCAAATGGCTAGAAGTCTATCTGGACTGGAAACTCACATTCAAACACCACATAAAGACACTAGTAGCCTGGGCAATGAAAAAGTTAATGTAGTGACAATGCTAGTAAATACAGTATGTGGGCTGTTCCAAGTACACCTAAGGCAGCTGTACAAAGCATGTGTGGTCCCCGTCATGTCATACACAAGTGCTGCTTGGTGTAAGGGCAACCTCAAGGCCCGATCTCAGAGTCCTGACAAGGGAGAGTCCAAAGCATCAGATAAAGGGATCGACTAATACAGGGGACTTGGCAAACCTGACAAGGGAGAGTCCAAAGAGAAACCAAGCTGGGGACTCTCCTTGTCAAGGCCCACTATATATAGCCTACAGAACAAGGGATGACCAAGCACAATGGAAGCGCCAGACAATGGGGCCAGGGAACAATGAGGGGCTGGATCGGGGAGAACAAGGGGAGCTGGACCGTCAGAATAATGGGGGTCCAGGCTGGAGTGTCATGTGGATGCGCTTGGCAGGGAAGTCCGGACCAAAGCATGTGATGCCTGACAGATGGCACGTGCACGGTCACATGCAAGATCCCATGACGATTGGACAAAAGCAGGGGTTCCCCTGACATCACCCCCCCTCTTGATTGCGGTGCCTTGATGCAAGGCACGGTTAGGGGTCGATGAGTCCCTGAAGGGCAGCGAGTCAAATACGGCCGTTGTGATGATGCGTGGCTTCCCAGGGTATCTGTGGTAAAATGCTGCCACAGCATCGTCAGCAAACACATCTGAATGCTTGACCCACTGGTCGTGAGACAGGTCATAGCCCTTCCATTGTACTCGGAACCAGACACTCCAGTAGCGCATCTTTGCATCTATGATCTCATCCACTTCCCACTCCTCTCCTTTGCCTTGTCCCAGGACAGGGGGTGGTTCTTCATGACACGGGCGAGTGGGGAACGGGTTGTCTTCAGCTAACTGGAGCTTGACCACGGGGAAGACAGGGTGGAGGCGAGAGAGGCTGGTGGGGAGGGCAAGCTTGTATGCGCCTTGACCCACGACTTGGGTGACTTTGAAGGGTCCCAGGCATCGGTGGGAGAAGCCACAAGAGGGTCACGTCGTTGTGATGTCTGAGGCGTCGAGCCAGACTTGGCTGCTAACCTTGATGTCGGTGATAGGCTGGCTACCAGACGCGCTCTGCACCAGCTCTATAAGGGCATATTTTTGTGCTTTTACAGAGTTTACTCTTGAACCATTTGGTGTATCGTGTTGCGGTTACCAGTGTTGCGCTCAGTAGGGCTTAAGGGTCTACTGCCCAGTCGATGACTGTGGATAGTGTCGACAATAGCAAGACAGTCAGACCACTACTGTGGAATTGGTCTTATAAGTCTACACCAGACTCAGGGCTATTAGTGACAGACACTCGGACCACAACAATTCCCCAAAAAGGGATACTTTGTTGCGGCGACTCCTCAAAAGGGTCATTCTCTGCAGATGGGAACTCGGGCTGAAGGGCTTAGCAATGCGCAACGCTCTCAATATTACAACTACTACTGGACAGGACTTGGCGTTACGAGATTGAACCAATCTTGTCCGAGACTGCCCGACCCCCGCTAATGTCCGGCACACCAACGTCCTGGACAAAGTGATTAATCAGCTGGGAAGCAACCTGTTGGCGGAATTAGTAGCCTGGCTAGTGACTATAGTGGCCATAGAAGAGCATGAAGCGGAGATTGCTGATGAGTTGGAGCAGGGTTTTCTCCCCCACGACAAGTGAATAGTACACCCTCGTTTGCCTTGCATAATTGTTTCGAATGTCTGTATGATGAATGCGATCTCATTTCCCCCACAAACAAAACAATAGACGTACCCCCTGCCCCCTGCTCGGTCCCACTGGTCCGCAAAGAAAAGTGGGAACGAAAACTCCCTCAGTGCTATGTGGTCGCGGCCTCCCCTGGCGCCAACTCCCTGCACCTCCCTCTGGAGATCCAGTCCACCGACAACGCAGTCCAGCTCTCTCTCAGGGGGCTGGTTGACTGCAGTGCCATGTCAGACTTCATTGACTCCACCTACGCCTCCGAAAACCGACTTCCGGTCCAGCAGCTCTCCCAGCCTATCCCAGTCTACAATGTGGACAGCACGCCAAACAAAGCTGGCTCCATTCGACAAGTTGCCGATGTGGTCCTGTGTTACCAAGGACACAGTGAGCGGGTCCAGCTCACTGTCACTTGGCTTGGCAAGCAGAAGTTGATCCTCGGCTATTCTTGGCTTTGGAAGCACAACCCAGAAATCAATTGGGACACCCAGGAAGTAAAGATGAGCCGCTGCCCATCTGGCTGTTCTACCTGCACCAAGGAGTCTCGCCAAGAGAGACGGATAGCCAGGATTTTGGCCCGAGCACTTTGATTGGCCCAACAAGGTCCTGCCCCCTCCATCTGCGTTGTCAATATGGAAGACCGCGAAGATGAGGCTATGCCGCCACTCCAGGAAGATGATGGAGAGGATTCCGGCAACAAAGAAGATTGTCTGGAAACTGGTGACCGTATCTTCTACACCTGTTTCAACCCTTCTGAAGACATCCGAGCCACTAGCACTGTCTCCCAACGTCTTGCCGAGGTGTTTGCCAAGAACTCCGCACCCCCTCAGGATTCCATACCCGAGTGGGCACGCAAGTTCAAGGATGTTTTCAGCAAGGAATCCTTTGACAATCTTCCGGAATGTCACCCTTGGGATCACGCCATCGAACTGGTGCCTGATGCAAAGCCAACAAACTGCAAGGTCTACCCTATCTCCCCCCTAGAGCAGAAGCAGCTTGACGCTTTTATAGAAGAAGGCATGGCTACTGGCCGGATCCGACCCTCAAAGTCCCCCATGGCTTCCCCCGTCTTCTTTGTCAAGAAGAAGGATGGCAGCCTACGGTTTGTCCAGGATTATTGGGCACTAAATGCAATGACAGTAAAGAATTGGTACCCTCTTCCCTTGATCAATGACCTCATCAACAAGCTCAAGGGAGCCCGCTTCTTCACCAAACTCGATGTTCGGTGGGGCTTCAACAACGTACGGATATGAGAAGGAGACAAGTGGAAGGCTGCGTTTTGGACCAACTGCGGGCTCTTCAAGCCACTGGAGATGTATTTTGGCCTCACCAACTCCCCTGCGACGTTCCAGACTATGATGAATGACATCCTCCAGGACCTCATCCTCTCGGGCGACGTCATGGTGTACCTGGACAACATCCTCATTGCGCACTCCGACCTTCACCTCCATCGCCGTATTGTGAACAAAGTCCTCCGGCGCCTCCGCAAAAACAAGCTGTACCTCCAAGCTGAGAAGTGCGAATTCGAGATGGAGTCCATCAAGTACCTTGGCATGATCATCTCCCACAACCACGTCGAGATGGACCCTGTCAAGGTGGCAGGCGTAGCCGAATGGCTGGCTCCCTCTAACAAGAAGGAAGTGCAGCAGTTCCTTGGGTTCACTAACTTCTATTGGAGGTTTATTTGGGACTTCTCGCACATTGCACGCCCGCTCTTTGACCTCACCAAGAAGGACGTACCATGGTCTTGGGGCGACAGCGAGTCCACTTTGTTCCAGGCCTTGAAGGATGCGGTAACCTCCATGCCGGTTCTTCTCCTTCCAGACTCCTCTTGTCCTTATTGCCTTGAGGCTGATAGCTCCGATTTTGCTACAGGAGCCGTCATCTCACAGCAGTCCCCCTTGGAAGACAAGTGGCACCCAGTCGCCTTCTTCTCCAAGAGCCTCAGCGACGTCCAGCGCAACTACGAGATCCATGACAAGGAGATGCTTGCGATTGTGCATGCACTGGAGGAGTGGCGGCACTTCTTGGAGGGCGCCAAATACCCCGTGGAGATCTGGACGAACCACAAGAACCTGGGGTACTTCCGCAAGGCCCAGAACCTCAATCGCCGGCAAGCCCGATGGTCGCTCTACCTATCCCGCTTCGATTTCATGCTCCACCACCAACCTGGCCGGCTCATGGGACGACCAGATGCACTCTCCCGACGCCCGGACCATGGGGCCCCTTTGGACAACACAGATGTCACCCTGCTGAAACTGGAACTGTTCCATATACGAGCACTCAAGGGACTGTCTGTCTCTGGCCCGGAAGCCCCGCTTATCCATGACATTTGGGAATCGCTCTCCGGTGACCCTGACCTTGAAGAGGCAGTTATGCTCGTAGCACAACAGCTTCTAAAAGGGATGAAGGGGGCCCGCTCCGCTGTTGCAGCGGAGTGGCACGTCCAGGATGGCCTCCTCTACTTCTGCGGGAAGCTAGTGGTTCCGCGTGACAGGGACCTCCGATGACGCATCCTTGAGCAACACCATGACACCTGTGTTGCAGGGCACACTGGCCGCTTCAAGATGCTGGAGCTGGTCTCTTGGAACTACTGGTGGCCCCAGCTCTCAAGGCACGTTGGCGAGTACGTGGCCACCTGCAACCTGTGCTGTTGGACCAAGGCCCTCCGACGACTCCCCACTGGACAGCTTCACCCCACAGAGATCCCCTCAGAGCGTTGGGAATTGGTGTCAGTGGACTTTATTGTGGAGTTGCCCAAGGCACACAGCTATGACGCCATCATGGTGGTCATTGACATGCTAGGGAAGCGTGCTCACTTCATTAAGTGCCACACTCGCCTCTCGGCCAAAGGGACGGCTTGGTTGTTCTACAAGCATGTCTGGCAACACCACGGATTACCGATCAAGTATGTCTTGGACCGTGGCCCTCAGTTTGTGGCGGACTTCACTCAAGAGCTATGGAAGCTGTTGACGTCTCCCCTGCCACGTCCACCGCTTACCACCCGCAGACTGATGGCCAGACTGAGCGGGTCAACCAGGAGCTGGAGCATTACCTCCGGATCTTCACCAGCTACAAGCAGGATGACTGGGACAAGCTCTTGCCCGCAGCTGAGTTTGCTTACAACAACCACGTCCACTCCTTGACCCAGGAGGTTCCCTTCATGACGGACACAGGATGTTTACCACGCATGGGATTTGAGCCAACAGAGCAGCGCTCCACCCAAGCAGAGTCTGCCAACGAGTTTCTGGATCAGGTTGCATTGGGTGTAATCAAGGCCAAATCAGCACTGGTCAAGGCAAAGGATGAGTACAAGAGGTACTACGACCAACAAAGGACTGCCGCTCCCAATGAAATGCTGAGGGCGCGCTCACAGGTGAATCTACTATGAAAGTAAAACCAAATATAAACATGTTCACACTCCTCGTAATCAGCTTCTCAGTGTGTGAAAGATGCGAGGGCTTCGGGGTGGACGGAACACCAGTATCACAACTCTCAATAGACGTAGATCCAATAGTCGCGGAAGACAAAGTCAACGACAAGAATATGTATATATAGCAAACAGTGGTGTCTCAACCAATATCTTCTATACAAACAAAACCAACACTAATCCAACCACAACCAACAATATCACAAGTCAGAGCTTAATACGAAGTATTAAGATCCCTTGTAGCGACAGCGTCCAGATGGCAATGCAAAGCCCAAATATCAAGTCAACACACTGCCAACTGATACAACCAATATACTGAGTCGATGCACTGCCAACTAGTAAAACCAAAATGCCGCGTCGACGCACTGCCAACTAACAGCCAATATCCAATGTCCAAAACCCAAGCACAACTTGTCCATGCACTGCCAAGCAAGAAGTGTGGAACCAAAGTTCTCAAGTTGATGCACTGCCAACTGACCAAAACAATCCGAGCACAACTAGTTGACCCACTGCCAAACTAGAGGTGTGGAAAACGATCTCAACAAAGCTCAAAGGCAACAACACTAAGTGCTGCGACTAAACCAGAAGCGGCGAATCCAACTTTCTGATATCTCAAAACTCAAACTCAAATCACAGTAGCTACAAGTGCTCAGAGAGCAACTTGTCGTGACCGGGCAGGGGTAACAGAACTTCTTAGGGCGGAATCACGCAACACGCAAATTGCACAAAACATCTGATATGGGTATGATTCACAGTCTGGGGGAAAGCTCCCCAATACAAAGAAACGATGTGCTACTTATACTGTCTACGACAATGCTTAGTAAAGTCCTGTACAACTGCATAGTAGCTACGCTATCTAAGATTGGTTGCCTTTTAGGGTAATGAAAAGTTGAACGATTGGACAGGTCCTGAGTGATCAGGACCCCGCCCCATAGTCCATATGGTACTTTTGATGTGGGTCAACCCACCGCGTCATACTTTTGGAATACAACATGCTGGATTGGCCAACTGGTATGTCTTGGCAGGTGAGTCCAACGTGGGTGCCCCAAGAAGCTGTATGGCCCTAGGCACGCCAGAAGTTCCTCACATGGTTTGGTTCACGGATCTAGCCCGTGTCATTTTAGATGTGTTTGGGTATGGGTGCGACTCGCCGTGACACTTGGAAGTGTCACCACGAAGCATCCACAATGTCCCGTGATCGAGTGGATCCTGACATGTGACAAGTCGTTGCCATGGCATGATCTAAGGAAACGTCTAACCCAAAACTGGGAGTTGCCGCAACAAGATTGGTTCAATCTCGTAACGCCAAGTCCTGTCCAGTAGTAGTTGTAATATTGAGAGCGTTGCGCATTGCTAAGCCCTTCAGCCCGAGTTCCCATCTGCAGAGAATGACCCTTTTGAGGAGTCGCCGCAACAAAGTATCCCTTTTTGGGGAATTGTTGTGGTCCGAGTGTCTGTCACTAATAGCCCTGAGTCTGGTGTAGACTTATAAGACCAATTCCACAGTAGTGGTCTGACTGTCTTGCTATTGTCGACACTATCCACAGTCATCGACTGGGCAGTAGACCCTTAAGCCCTACTGAGCGCAACACTGGTAACCGCAACACGATACACCAAATGGTTCAAGAGTAAACTCTGTAAAAGCACAAAAATATGCCCTTATAGAGCTGGTGCAGAGCGCGTCTGGTAGCCAGCCTATCACCGACATCAAGGTTAGCAGCCAAGTCTGGCTCGACGCCTCAGACATCACAACGACGTGACCCTCTTGTGGCTTCTCCCACCGATGCCTGGGACCCTTCAAAGTCACCCAAGTCGTGGGTCAAGGCGCATACAAGCTTGCCCTCCCCACCAGCCTCTCTCGCCTCCACCCTGTCTTCCCCGTGGTCAAGCTCCAGTTAGCTGAAGACAACCCGTTCCCCACTCGCCCGTGTCATGAAGAACCACCCCCTGTCCTGGGACAAGGCAAAGGAGAGGAGTGGGAAGTGGATGAGATCATAGATGCAAAGATGCGCTACTGGAGTGTCTGGTTCCGAGTACAATGGAAGGGCTATGACCTGTCTCACGACCAGTGGGTCAAGCATTCAGATGTGTTTGCTGACGATGCTGTGGCAGCATTTTACCACAGATACCCTGGGAAGCCACGCATCATCACAACGGCCGTATTTGACTCGCTGCCCTTCAGGGACTCATCGACCCCTAACCGTGCCTTGCATCAAGGCACCGCAATCAAGAGGGGGGGTGATGTCAGGGGAACCCCTGCTTTTGTCCAATCGTCATGGGATCTTGCATGTGACCGTGCACGTGCCATCTGTCAGGCATCACATGCTTTGGTCCGGACTTCCCTGCCAAGCGCATCCACATGACACTCCAGCCTGGACCCCCATTATTCTGACGGTCCAGCTCCCCTTGTTCTCCCCGATCCAGCCCCTCATTGTTCCCTGGCCCCATTGTCTGGCGCTTCCATTGTGCTTGGTCATCCCTTGTTCTGTAGGCTATATATAGTGGGCCTTGACAAGGAGAGTCCCCAGCTTGGTTTCTCTTTGGACTCTCCCTTGTCAGGTTTGCCAAGTCCCCTGTATTAGTCGATCCCTTTATCTGATGCTTTGGACTCTCCCTTGTCAGGACTCTGAGATCGGGCCTTGAGGTTGCCCTTACACCAAGCAGCACTTGTGTATGACATGACGGGGACCACACATGCTTTGTACAGCTGCCTTAGGTGTACTTGGAACAGCCCACATACTGTATTTACTAGCATTGTCACTACATTAACTTTTTCATTGCCCAGGCTACTAGTGTCTTTATGTGGTGTTTGAATGTGAGTTTCCAGTCCAGATAGACTTCTAGCCATTTGATTGTTGGTGTCACAGTTATGGTCATTGTTGAGCCATTGTTGTTCAGGAGTTGGATTGCAGGTGCAATATTGTCTTGCTTTCTGCATGAGTAGTGTATCAGTTTTCTTTTAGATAGGTCAATAGACAGTCCAGCCTTCTTTAGTCCTTTGACTATCTTCTTGTACGCTAATAGGAGGAGACAGGTGTTTGTGTCTAGTGCATCTAACAAGACAAATAGCTTCCTGCCATTTATATATATGAGCAGATTGGCTCAGGTTGACTTGTCTAGTAGAGAGGTTGGTACTTGGTTCAGCAGGAACATCTCCAGTAGGAAGCTGCTGTAGAGCACTGCAAAGATAGGTGATACTAGGGAGCCTTGCAGGATCCCATTCTTGTTGCACTTCATCTTGTCTCAGATTCCATTGATGCAGACTTCAGCCTCTTGTTTGGATAGAAATAATGCAACCTATTTTATGTATTGTAGTAGTATCCTTTTGTATTGGAGCTCTTCAAGTAATTGTTTATAGTCAACAAAGTTGAATCATCTCTTGATATCAAAATATGGCCATTACACTTGACTTTATTTGATTGACATCCACTGCAGCTCTACTTAGTCAATCCTTAAGCAGAAATAGGGAGAGCAAAAGTGGAATTCTTCTTTCTCTCATACCAACATGCTCTTCATAGCTACTACTTCTCTCTCAGCCAGTGCTGCTCTATATGAACTTAAGATTAGCTGCAGCCCAAGCCAAATATTGCCACCCTCTGACAATAAACATGTATACTTGACAAAGGACATGGAGACACAGAATGCTGCTGTCTCCATGGTCTAGTGGAAGACACACATCCATGAACATTTTCAAACAATGCTCTCTGTTAACAAATTCTTTTAAAAGTTCATGAGCTACACCAATAACATGGTCAATGACATCCAGGAGATAGCGAATGAGACCAAAGAAGATTTCAAGGCTGCAAAAAACAACGTTAGATGCTCTAGGAAGGAAAATCCAATGATTAAACCCTTTGTAAGTTGTAAGTGCAGGTCCTACTGGGCAAGTTGTTGTTTACCTCTCTCTAGTGCAATTATTTCAATCAGCTTGTCACCAACATTCCTGAAGCTAATCACCTTGTGGCATCAGATTGCTACTCTGCCCTGCCAAGTTTATGTTCTCTAATGCAGACCACTACTACACCTGTCTAGACATCACTATAAGTCTCTCTGGTATCATCAACACCTGGGACTGGGAGACAACAGGGTCCACTTTCCAGCTTGAGTTCTCTGTTGATACAATAGATAAAGGCACATGCAAGCCAGCAACTACCAATGAGCAGGAGAAGGTGTTTGTTCAGCTTGTACAAGATGTGCAGCACATCATGATAACACCAACAAACTGTTTGTCTTTATGGTGGTGCTTATGAAACAAAAGTGTTGCATCCACCAATATGATGTCTAGGGCTGATATGTCAGCAAATCATTCAATTGGGAGGAAAATGTGACAATCAACAAAGAATAAAGTCGAAAAGAGAAGTCAATTTTAAGACTAGAGAATACAACACAATAGCTACAGTGTTTATACCAAATCCAGTCTGAGTCATATCTACAACTAATGAGTCATGAGACTATGTACCTCATAGAACACTGGTTATAGGTTGTAGTAGAACCTTCTAGAGCATATGTTGCACAGCCTTAAATCAATACAGATAACCTCCTTGAGTCTCTAAGCTGGACCATGTGATGCCATGATTTGTGATAAGATGTTCTTATGTCAAAATAAGATAAAATAGTTGATTCCCATATCAAGATAAAATAAAATAGTTAATAGAATGGTGAAAAAGTGATTGAACTATAACAGAAAACCCAAAGCACTTGCTACATTCTTTCATGGCCTGTACAACATGGGCATAGAGGGCTGTATACTCAGCAATAACAAAATAATTACCTTGATCTCTACCAACATACACAATCTCTTCAAAACAGTCCTCCAATGTAAGGGGAATGAAGCTCAGAGCCAAGTTGATAACAAGACTAGTGATTAGAGCTCTCTAACAACTACCTATATACAAGTAGATGACATAAGAGGTATGACACTACTAACTACTATCTATTGGAACACTACCAGATCAATACCTGATAACATCACCATGCTGACATGTTACCTCCTAACATCCAAGCTTGCAACCATGACCTGTGCATTAGAGCACTTAGCAGTGTCTCAGCACTTACATCCTTAACCAGGTGATTGACATTGCTGTATTCAAGGACATTGATGAGTACAACCCCAAGGCAAACCCAAATTGGAAGCTTGTTGTGACCAAGGTGTATACAATCAGGAGTGAGCTCTGGCATTTGCACACTCACCTGAGCACAGAGGGGAATTCTTAGAGAACAGCTCAAGCATCCATGTGCCCAGGTGTCACACTATATAGTCAGCTGTGACAAGTGACTGATGATGATGGGATATCACTGCCATGGAACAATGGCAGATGACAAGTAGATGATGACAAACCCAGATAAGATAGTGAGTGGCTCAGAGGGGCCAGTGACGGCCAGCTCCTGAGACACCAACAGTGGAAGGCCACACTGGAGGAGCCCAGTGGCCAGGCCAGTGCCGGGCCGGCCAGTGGAGACATTGGAGGCGAGGACCAATGCCCGACTGGGAAGAGGGGTGGTGCGGATGAGCACAAGGGCATCTGGTACGAGCCTGTATGGCAGTAGACCACATCCATGGGAAGAAGGCCAAAGTAGAGGGGGAGGAGTGCGTACGGCAGTAGCACTCCCTGGTGCAAGGAATTGGGCTTGGCTAGACTGCTTGCAGGGACTCGAAGGAGATGGCCGGGAGAAGGAGGAAGAGGGCGGATGTTGGCATGGATGGAGGTGAGGATTGGGGGAGGAGGAGGAGGCTGGGTAATCAACAGGCACGCGGGCACGGGTCAGCAGAGAGGGCACAGTGGGTCACGTGCATGGTCACGTGCCCAAGGAGCGCGGCGTCCCCTGACAGACACAAAGGAAGGCATTGTTGTGCTGGCCAAGTTCCTGCAGGAGTCAGGAGCTTTCACGAGAAACAGAGGAGCGTGGAAGGAACAAGATCTCCCTTTGCTGGAGGACAAACCAGAACTGGACAGTACAGACAATGAGCAAGACAATGAGGTCATTGACAACAGCTGAACACCATGCAATGTGGCTCTGCTAGCTCTAGCCAACTTGAAGCCAATCCCCTCCCTCTCCCCCATATGGATATGACATGCTCTATGCTATGCCTGACTCCCTATCCCAACAACCCAACACCACCAGACCCAGTTGCCAATCATTACCACCCACAACAGCCAAAGAAACATGATTCTCCTTCAATACATGCTGCCCTTGGGCACTGCGTCTTAGTAGATAGTTTACTTGCTGTGGAATACAAATGCAGATTCAAAAAAAGTAATGGTCACATGCAGTGACCTCACGCATATTGATGACCCCTGTGGTATTGTCCAACAATGTCCGGCCAGACATCACCAACACAACACTGCCAAAACTCCCAATCTGTCCATCTATCTCTTGAACCAATCCTATTTGTGCCTCACCCTGATTAGCCTCTTTCCATTGACTTTGTACTACTCACAGGTATCTTCTGACCTGCTGCACACTCCACGTCACCAGAAGTACGCAGCCTGACCAGTACATTCTCTTGCAGTCTCCAGGATGATTTGTACATCCAATGAGTAGAATCTACGGTACCCCTCCCTTGTATACATAGCATAGCAATAACAAAGAAACAGATAGAATTCTCTTGCTCTTTTTTGTTGCCTGACAGGTTTCAGGCCCAGTGCAAACTGAGTGACATTTCACTTAATTACTGATCAAGTATGAAGAATCCAGAAGTACTATAGATAGAGCACAAAGGGCAGAATGAAAGAAGGCGATCACTTCATGATGGTTCCAGCACATTCCGACCCAGGGCACATCACTGGGGCCTCATTGTCCCCTTCTGGGAGAGCATTGGCAGCACACTCCCAGCCAGCAGTGCTCCCAGGAGCTTTGTCCTAGTCGAAATCGCAAGCGCCAAAGACCGGCTCCGTAGCCCATGGCAAGGACGAATTTCAGGTGAATGTGTAGTCGCTGCACAATGATGGCAGCAGATCGAAGTAGGCAGCTGGAGGATTGCAAGGCTTGATGTAGCCAGCGAAGGGCTTCAAGGCAGGAGTGACGGAGATCGAGCCTGGAAGTCAGACGACTGCACGTGGAGAATAAGTCCTATTGACCCCCACCTGTCATGCAAACACATGACCTGTCAGATGGATGATCTATCAACATGCACATGAAACATCATCATTGATGCATGATGTTTGACTTTAGCAAATCCTCGTCAAGTAAATATTGAAAACACATCTGTGTAGCTACTAGAGATTTTTTTCTGCTCAATTAGGCCTCTATAATTTACACAAAACTAATTTGTTCCCAGCAGACCTGGGTGTCACGCGTCACAATGACTGACACAAAATGATGGCCTGGGCAAACCCATGGCAAAACTCGGAGCTTACTGGGGCACGCACTGATGCGCAACACGTTGCAGACCGGCTCCCTCACCATCAATTCTCGCTTCTGCCTATGCTGCACCAAAGCGGTCTAAGGGCGGGAGATGATTATTCCAGCACCAAGGAACCACATCAGACTTCATTGGTAAGTCATTTTCTTCATTTTCCGGCTGCACACTCAAAATGAATCATCTTATCGACCTTTATCTACAAGGATATCTGCTGCTCAGGCATCTCGGGCATGCGACTGCACAGAAATGGGCCTAGTCGAAGCTCAATGACGCCATTTCACGCGGATGTTGGCAGATCATCGATCTGACAGGTCATGTGTTTGCGCAACGGGTGGGGGGTCAATAGGACTTATTCATGTGGAGAGACACAGCATGTCAGTGGATAGCCCATGGGATGACACAGACAGAGGACCCACTCTCAAACTGTTGGAGAACTGTGCATTGACAACCTGCAGCTGGAAGTCCGATTGCGCACAGGGCTCCTGAAGGGCAAACATCGGGGCAAGCGAGGTGGGGGACATCAGTTGCTGCTGCCGTGGTAAATGATTCTGGGCTGGAGGCATTGACAGTACGACGAATTCGAGCCTTGGGGTTTCTGCTCGTCTCCTCGCTGATGCCGGTTCCTCCCACACGCCCTCGTCCCTGAATCGACTTGAGTTTGATCATGCCGCACGCTACGGCCAGAAGAGACGTAGTAGGGGTATCTCAGCTCGTGCTCTCTCTTCCGCTGCTTTGGCATCTCATCTCACATCATGGGTTCCTCCGGGACCAATGGGCGCCACTTCGCCGAGATCATCCTCGAGAGCACCATGCTCGATTTCGCCAGTCCGAGTGCGGTTTTCGCGCTTCCAGCTCTGGGAGACACTTCATGTGCTTTGCGGCACCTTGAGCGTACCTTGAGAGCACCGGGGCCATTCAGTGATGACATGGCAATGCTGTGCGACTCGAAGATTAGACGACAAGGGACGACGGTGTCATTCGTGAAGTGAGAACAGTCGAGCCGATGCCTGGGCGGGTGTGGACCCTGAGACCCGACGCGTCTGTTTGGGACGTGGTCTGGTAGAGTTCTGGGAACTCAGTGATCGACATCGGATGTTTTTTTTCGTGATCAGCCAACCAAATATCGTTCGATTCGAATAGGCGTTATAACAGCCACCATATAATCTCCTGTTGTTACACGTCCACCATGTCGTTTAACACTTCGAGTGCCTACATCTCCGACGCCTGGTCCGGGTACCTCGCCCAGGCGCAGGACGTCCCGCGCTCTCGCTGGCTGCTCCTCGCACTCATTAATTCCCCCCTTCTTGCTATATTCTTCAACGTCTTATGGCAGAAAATCATCCCCAAGAAGGCTTCGGATCCGCCTCTCGTCTTCCACTGGTTTCCTATCATCGGGTCCGCCATTTGGTACGGAAATGACCCCGTAGGGTTCTTCCAGAGCTGCCAACAGACAGTGCGTCGAACGTTCTCCCCAGAATGCGTCGTTCTCATCCAATCGTCTTCCAGTACGGAAATGTCTTCACTTTTGTTCTTCTTGGTCGCAAGGTGACGGTCGCGTTGTCTGCCAAGGGTAGCAACTTTGTGCTGGGAGGAAAATCGATTGCTTTCAATGCTGAGGAGGCTTACAAGGTGCGTGTGCCTAGTTCACACTTCCGTCCTTCCTCAACATCTTTGTCCTTCTTCAACAGCATCTGACCGTTCCCGTCTTCGGCAAAGATGTCGTCTACGACATTCCCAACGAACGATTCATGCAGCAGAAGAAGTTCGTCAAGTTTGGTCTGACCACCGAAAACTTCAGGGCATACACTGGAATGATTGAAGAGGAGGTGGAGAACTTCCTCAACAAAGATGCTGTATTCAGCGCCTTCCAACTGAACGATATTAACGAGTGGGGCCAATTCGACGCGATCAAGGCCATGGCCGAGATTACCATCCTCACCGCTGCACGAACTCTCCAAGGCCCGGAAGTTCGCGCGGGATTGGACAAGTCTTTCGCTCAACTTTACACGGATCTCGACGGTGGATTTCAGCCCATCAACTTCCTCTTCCCCAACCTGCCTCTTGAGAGCTATCGCAAACGCGACCGTGCGCACAAGAAGATGAGCGAGTTCTACATTGATATTATCAAGAAACGCAGGGAACATCCGGAGGAAGCCGAGAGTTACGACATGATTTCTTCCTTGCTTGACCAGACCTATCGCAACGGGGACCGGATTCGGGATCACGAGCTCGCGCACATTATGATCGCTTTGCTTATGGCTGGCCAGCACACGAGTTCCGCGACCCTCTCGTGGACCATGCTGCACCTGGCATCCGAACCAGAGACTGCGTGTGTTATCCTGTGCTACTTCTCGTTGGTCTTGGTACTGACTTTGTGCTAGGAACGCACTCTATCAAGAGCAAGTCGCCAACTTTGGTAACGGCGATGGGACTTTCCGCACCATGACGTTCGAGGATCTCCGCAAACTGCCTATACTAGACTCCTGCATTCGTGAGACTCTTCGCATGCACCCCCCGATCCACAGCATCATGCGTCAAGTGCGTGAGGATGTACCCGTTCCCCCTACTCTGGCCGCCCCATCCAAAGACGGTGTCTATGTCGTGCCCAAGGACACCTACGTTCTTGCGTCCCCTCTCGTTGCTCAAATCGACCCTGCCATCTGGAAAGAATCGGACAAGTGGCTGCCCTCTCGGTGGTCTGATGAGCACGGCGTTGCGATGGAAGCGCTCAAGACATACACTGACGAAAGTGGAGAGAAAATCGACTTCGGGTTCGGTGCTGTGAGCAAGGGAACGGACAGTCCTTACCAACCGTTCGGAGCCGGAAAGCACAGGTGTATCGGCGAACAGGTTTGTCTGCTCAGTCGCCTGTTGTCGGCTTTGCCACTAAACCTTCTTGTTAGTTTGCTTACCTGCAGATTGGCACGGTGTTGGCTACTTTGATTCGCCACCTTGAGCTTCGTTTGCCCAACCCGGTCCCAGGTCCTAATTACCATGTGGGTTTTGCCTGCTTTTGATCCCTCCCTTTCCATACTGAATTTCGTTGTAGACTTTGATACTCATGCCAAAAGATCCGAAGTCCATCCACTATCGTCGGCGGCGACTGGCATAGATTGAGTATCGTTATTTAGACAATATATTATATATATCTGGAGCTCAGTGTCATACAGCCCAGCAGGTATCTGTAGCATGCGTAATAATGTCTAGGCATGAAAAAGACAGCTGAGAAATTTCATGTCGCTCGGACCAGCCCCTAATATGTAATTTCCTTTCTTGGACTGCGCCCTCATGGCAGGGTTTTTCTTTCCTTGCCCGCCTGACTTTCACTACGGACACTTGAACTCTTATCCATACGGGATCGATTCGTATAACGGCCATGATCAGGGACAGTATCAAGACCACCTCTTCAACAATAGAGACGAGCGCAATCACGACGGATATCAGGAAGAAAGCCACCACGAGCGGCAGCACCGGCCTTACCGATCACGCAGGCGGACACCGACACCACCTCCGCCTCCAACTCTTCCTTCTCAAGAATACCTCGCGATTTCGCGCTCCCCGCAGCCTGCAACGCCGATTCGTGGTCAGCGCAAGCTGCTCATATTTGATCTGAATGGGACGCTCCTGCTGCGCTCTGCGCGTGGGTACTCCCCCCGGCGAATCTTTCTGAGGCCGTATGCACGCTGCCTCGCTGCCTATCTCGCGCACCCAGCTGTGCAGGCGTGGCTGGACTGTATGGTATGGAGTAGCGCCCAGCCGCACAATGTGCGCGAAATGGTGGTAAAAGTGTTCGGAGAGTCGGAGGGCGATGGGAAGGGGTCTATCCTGCGCGCGGTGTGGGCGCGGGATACGCTGGGGCTGTCCAGGGACGCGTATCGTGAGTTGACAGAATATATACAGCTTTTAAGCCCTCGCTCAAATTAGATTCGTGAACCTTCTCTTCCTCTTTCTGTTCGATTTCTTGCCACTTGCCTGCAGACCAGAAATCACAAACGACGAAAGATCTAGCAAAACCTTGGGAGTTCTTCACTAAGCCCCAATCACTCAGGCGATCATCATCGCCCTCGATATCTTCTTCTCTGATAACAGATACCACTTGTCTTCCAGCTAACCAGGACACGACTGCTCTGGGTTCTTCATCGTCCAGTCATATCGCTGAGCCTTCGTTCGATTCGAATCACTCTTCTTCTCAGTCCTCTTCATCACTGCGGCCCGAGCTCTTCCCGCATGGCCCCGAAACCACATTCTTGGTCGACGATTCGCCTCTTAAGGCGCGCTTACAACAATGGAATCATCTCTGTGTTCCTGAATACGACCCTGATGCGAGGAGGCGCGATCGGATAGCTGCAGGACTGAGCCCGGAGGAAACGCCTGAAGATAATCTACCGAGTGGATCTACGACGAACGGTCCGGAAAAAGGGATGGAGGCGGCTGACTCTGGAGAGATACCCATCGTGGAGGAGATTTCGTTGAAGAAGGATCGATGGCGGAAACGGCGAAAGCATGAACAAGCAGAGAGCTCGGACAAGGAAGAGAGCGGATCGAGCGACCCATCCCCGCCCGAAGAGACAGTTGAGATTGCGACCGCTACTACAGCTATGAGCAAGCGTGCCAAGAGACGAGAGAGAAAGCGGTTACTGCTTGAGGCCGAAGGAACTTCAGCTGCTCCAGAAACGGGTGTGGCGGATCTTAAACGAGCTGCCGTCGGCATTGAGAATGTTTATTCATCGCCAGCTCAGGCCCCATTGAAGCGCAAACGCAGCACGGAGGGGAATGAAGTGGAGCGTGGGCCGGACGCCCAAGTCGCGGACAGCGTCGTAGCTTCAACCTCCACAGAAGAAAAAACGGCCGAAGATCATACTGCAGGCGACGATGCCGCTGAAACCTTTGACCCCACGCTTCTTGCTGTCATTGGCATCGTGTCTCATTCGCGGAACGTGGGGAATGTCGCTTCTTGGATTCGTGCAGGCGGATTATCCTCAGCGGGAGAAGATAGGAAGGCGACCCCATACGTCAACCCCGCCGAGTGGTTTGTGACTCGATCGGTGCTTTTTTTCTGGGCTGCTCGAGGGCGGCAAGCTTTGGCTGAGCTCGGAATGGAGGCCGAATCTGGAATTGACTGATGCATCCATAGATCGGATCCTTTCGCTATAATCTGGTGTTGTAATACTGCACAAGATGTGTATTATATTGCTTATATTGCTTTGCTAGTCGGAACGAAAAGTTTTTGTCTCTCAGAGGGCTGTTGGAATCAAATTTGTGTGCTCAAGAATCATGATCGACCTGATGTTTCAAATTATTGCTTTCATGATTTCTGGGTCCAGTGGACATGGCCACAGGTGAGAAAGGACGTACAATCATTTGTTGATGGTCGTACCGAGACAAGGTAGAAACTTTATCGAGTAAAGGCTTCGGTCGACTATGTACGGAAAGAAAGGTTTTCGATCAGGTCGCGTTCGTTCAGAGCATACTCGAAGTGCATGAGGTAGAGACTCTATAGTGATTCGGCGTACAATTTTGAGAATCAGATACTAGACTTCCGCTAGAAATTCATGGCCGTCTAGCTCAGCTGGTTAGAGCGTCGTGCTAATAACGCGAAGGTCTTGGGTTCGATCCCCACGATGGCCAAGTCATGTTTACTTTTTTTTTTACGCTTCGACTCGATTTCCAAGTCGTACTTACAATTAACCTTTGTTTTCAGCCACAGTCAGTAGCCAGATGGCTTTGATGACCTGACTGGTGCACTGCCACCCTATGTGTAGGCACGTGCCACTACTGACATCGCGGACACGTGATGCTATGAACCACCGGCAAACGGAACCAAAACAACAACCTCTCCACGTTCCCTCCTCCATGTTCAAAGGTATACTACCTAAGCGCATCGCGTCCTCCGACTTCACCATGGTCACACCTCCTGGTGAGGCTCCTGCCAATGCACCCAACAAGGAGAATCAGCCCGGTGTGAATGTCGCGAAGCAAGTGCGACCGCCCCCCAGCGGGAAAGGGATTGTACAGAGTCGGAAGAGGGCTGCTACTACGGCGACTCAGAAAGATAATATCTCACTTTCCAAGGCTGAGGAGAGCATGGAGGATGCGTTCGACAAACTCTTGGTGCGTTCCGGAACTCATGCATCTCATCCACATCACGACGTACTGAGCCGGGCTCCAGGAAGATCTGCAAATACCGACATCCCTGCGACCAAAACTTCTCGGCATGGAGTCTAACGTCAAAGCTGCGATGCTCAAATCTTCTCAGACCATCACCCCTGCTTCGCTAAGCAGCATGGGCCTTCCAATGCCACCCCCTACCGTAGCCCCTCTCACTCCCCGCTCCGCCTCTGCCCTGCGGCGCACACGCAGCACCGAGACACTGGACTCCCCACGACGCGTGAAATCCGGAGCTGCAGACGACTCGTTTGAGTTCGTGCAGCCACGCGCGCCTGCGCTGTTCGCCGAGTCCGCGCACAACGCGTCTTCCACGTCCCTCGCAGGCGGCGGCGCGGGGTCGCGCAAGTCCAGTGCTCACTCACGAGGGACATCGTTCGATAAGAGTCGACTGCTGTCGATGTCGCTGTCGCGGAGCCAGGTGCATCTGCCTATCTCAGCATCCATGGTCGACTTGACGGGCAGGCCGCCGGCAGCGCGCACTGCGGCCAAGGCGAAGGATCTTTCGCCGCAGCGCTTTTGTAGCGTGTTGACGGGCCAGTCGAGTACGGAGCTGGATATCGAGGTTGTGAAGAAGCTCAGGCTTATGCTCAGGAATGAGTCGGCAAGGTTGGTGCTATATGTTGGCATTTTCAAGTGTCTCGACTAATTGACTTCGAAAGCTGGTCGGAAGAGTTCTTGTCGCTGGGAGGTTATTCAGCATTGCTGACGCGCCTGAACGAAATTCTTGAGGTCGAATGGAGGTATATCGCCCGTCGGTTGACCCTTCACACTGAACTTATTTGCTCACAGAGAGGAGCAACATGGGGATCAAATTCTCCACGAATTGCTGCGCTGCTTCAAAGCACTGTCCACATCTGCAATCGGATGCTTTGCCCTGCGGAGCTCATGTCCAACACCTTTTGCGCAACTCGTGAAGCTACTGTTCTCTGATAAGAAACCCGGCGACGTGTCCACCCGTCAAATCATCGTCGATCTCCTGCTCGTCCTCTTCGAACTTTATCCAAACTCATCGCTTCCCGCAATGGGCGGCCGGGGTACGCCGCGACGCGAAGCCTGGGAGACACCCTCGACAGTGCTGCCCTCGAGCAGTCTAATCACTCTTCCGGCACCTCACAAGACGCTGTTTTCGCTCTTCCACGCACTTTTGCTCACTCCCGCACCGCCACCTGCTGAATGTCCGGCGACGCCGATTTCGCCTCACGAGTTCATCGAATCGTTGCACCAGCCTCGCATCTACAAGACTTATTTGCAGGAGTTGTCGGATGTATGCCGAGACTACTTTTGGGTATTCTGTCACCCGAGCAACACGATCTGGATTCTGTCGGAGACGGACGAGGCAAGAGTGGAGAAGCCTCGGGCGCCAGGTGGGATGACTGGTGGAGTCGAGTTTGAGGCCATGGGGTACTTTGTGGGTCACATTTCGCTGTCCTCATACTACTTCCTGACCATTCGACAGACGACACACCTGAAACTGATCAACGCTACCAGCAAGTCTGTCGCAGAGCTGAACATGCCCAAAGAGCACGAACACTCCGCCTTCCGTTTCCACCAAGATTTGTTCTTGTCTGGCTTCGAACGGATCATATTGGTTTGTTGATTATCTCTCACGTCGTCTAAGACTCATTTCGCTGCGCAGATCTCACGCAAAGCATCCGCCACGTACTATCCGACGCTGCATCTCGAGCTCGCCCGATATGTCGCACACTGTGCGAGAGCTGGGTACGAGTTGCCGTGGCCTGTTTCCCGTCTCGTCGGGCTGCCGCCAGCTGGTCTGGTCAAGCCCAAGGCTGGATCTAGCAGCGGTCGGAGCACGCCGGCGCCGAGCTCGCCGACGAAACGCAGTGGGGCCCCAGCGTTGCCCTCGCCGCGTCGGGTTGAGCCGCTGAAGATGAACTGATGATCTTAAGATAACTATGCGTATTTTTGCTTTTTCTATGTTGTTGTTTGCAGATTAGATGCCCCGAGTGTACCATCATGTCATGTATTCGTGCCCAGAAAGTCGTACCAGCGTCACAGATCCAGCCAGAGGTATTCGAAAATGACTCCTCAGAGCGTGAATGTCCGAAAGGATGTTGTATTTGCTGGACATGCACCCATTAACACAAGTGAGAGATCCAATTATCTGTCGGCGCTAGTAGGTTGCAATGGGAACACAGGGAGAGCATTGCTGGTTTCGAATGATCCACTGGCTCAGATGATGGAGCCAGCATGCGCAACCGAAGGACGCGGGGCAGACCACGCCCCAGCAGCATTCTCAGCAGCTCTCCGGGAGACCGGTCGATAGCTAAGGGGCACCCAAGCAGGATTAAGGATGAGTAATCCAAGCCCTCTCTGCTCTTGGCGAAGGGCCATTCTTGGCGCATAGATCGATTGAGTGAACTGAGAGATGTATACAGTGCTTCCGCACCGGGCAATGCGTGGTTTCCATGTGAAATTGGATAGATATTGAGGACTTTGATGTCGCAGTTGGGTGATTGCAGTTACTGAGCCTCAGAGATGTAAAACAATAGTAGATAGACGAAAAGTGAATACAGGCGCGCTGGTGGGACAATGCTCTTCCTTGATATGCCCGAGTGATCTTAGGAAAGGGAGTGCTCCAGCCAGTCCAGCGAACACTGCCCAGTGCCTATTGACGAAGTGCACGACATCGCTTGAATTGGTTGGACAGACAGGCTTGAAGCAGGAGGGAGACTGGAACGAAGACAACGTCCATAGCATAATAGTCCTGCAGCTGGTCGTGGTGTATCTTCACACCGAGCATTGATATGTAGATCCAGCCAGAGACCCGACAACGGCGACAGACGGAGACGATGGATACTTGAAGTGACGAAAACAAGGACCGGATGTGGCAGTGCGTGGCGCCCGGACCAAAACGGAGGTGGTGATCCAAAATTATTGGCATAAACCTTTCTTAGACCACTCTTATGTCGTCGTCGCTCTTTTCCACCTCGCTGCGCCAGGCGGCCCGACCCGCGCTGCGCCAACGGGTCCGGTTCAACTCGTCGCAGGCCGCCCCAGAGCAGAAGGCTCAGGAAGCTGTCAAGAACGCTCAGAAAAATGCCAGCCAGGCGCTCGACTCGGCCATGAAGACCCTGGGGCCGGCTGCGGCCAAGGCGGAGGCGTTCGCTACTTGTACGTGTAGGCCTGTACTGCGGTGGTGGGACTACGGGGGCTGAGTGCTTTGTGCCTTATAGCTACGCTGCAGCGACTGGGCCCCGCCGGCAAAAAGGCAGCGGACTTCATCGGACGTGAGCATCCTCGGCCGGCCGACGGCGTTCTTCTTCTACCCCCTCTCATCGCATGCACAGCTGCCCGGACTTCCTTCACCTACAACTTTGCCGTCTTCCGCGAAATCGTGAAGCAGGTGTACCGCGCCGAGCTGACACCACCAAAAGACCTCGCCACCGTCCGTGCCGCGTACGAGACGTTGTACAAGCGCGCCATCGACCCCACGTACTGGCGCGGAATCATCCAGAGCGGAGAAATCGCGCGAGTGGGTGTGTACGCTGCCGAGGCGTACGGTATCTACAAGGTGCGTGCGCTTACTGCCACGGACCCATTCCGCGTCGCTCATGGCTACGATTGCTTGCTACAGATTGGCGAGATTATTGGACGCAGGCAGCTTGTTGGGTACCCCTTACACTAGACCCGCTTCGTCGTGAATCACATAGAGTTGTCTACGACCCTGGTGTGATGCCCTCAAGTGTCTTCGTCTATGCTTATCATCATATGTATGTTCCTCTGTTCTTTAGGTTCCCTGCCTGTGGAACTTCTGCTATCTGCAAGCGGCTCTGAAGTACGTCGGCTGTCTCAGACATCCATATCTCTCGTCGGGCCTGCAGTAATGCAAACGGCTTCTTGCTCTGTCCTTGGACTGCTGCCAACTTCTTTGGGCTGGGAGAAGCAGCTCCACCTTCCTAGGCCAGAGTGTCACACACAAGCCGAAGTCCTTTGATTGGATGTGCATTGATGCTACGGAATTTCTCTGTAGAAACGGGTGGAGACGACAAGGGTGTGAGGACATGTAATCTGGTACACAATTCATCGTCAACTTTGGGTACCCGTTTCTCAAGTTAGTACATTTAAATATTACAACGCTTTCACACCTCCACAGCAAGATCCCTCTTCATATCGTCAGCGAATTTCTCAGCTATAGCGATGCACGCGCCGGCCTTTTTCGCCATAGTCAATTGCCATCCAGACGGGCCGCAGGAACGAAACATACCGTATGGCCAGAGACGATATCTGGGAATATTGAGGCGTCGCAGATCCTCAAACCCGCGACCCCATAAACCTTCAATCGAGCATCGACGACACCGCCCATCTCCGCAGGCGCCATTCTGCATGTGCTGGTCGGGTGGTAGACGGTCTCGACCCGCTCCCGGACGACTTCCCGCAGCTCGTCGTCGGATTTCGTGTGCAGGAAATGGTCCAGTTCAGGGTTGGTGTCCGCGTGATCCAGATACGGGTCCATCGCTTTCGTGTGCGCGATCTTCAGCAGAATTTTGTATCCGCGCATGAGCTTCTCGAGGTCATCGGCCTTTTCGAGGTAGCTAGCGAGGGGTCAGTTGAGTGTTGCCGATTCATTGTATGGGACGACGCACTTGGGATTGACACTGGGAATGGCGAACGGATCAGACGAGGTGAGGAGCACTGCACCGCGACTTTGTGGTCTGTAAAGGGATCAGATCAGAAAAGCAAGCAGTCTCGATTTCGCTCACTCACCGAACGAGGTAGCAGTGCAGCGCATACGTGTGCATGTCGAACATGATGGCACCGTGCTCCTGCGGAGGCATTCAGCAGAGCCGGTGGGGAGAAAAAGACGCACGGAACCTTGTAGGCCAGTGGGGTACAGAATAGCTCGAGGTCTGGACTTGCTGCTCCAGAGGTACTGTCCGCGAGAGTTTGGGTATATTCGCTCGGTGGGAAGAGAACGGGGTCGTCTGTTCTTACAAAGGCTGCCGATTCGCCGAACTAGAAGCAACCTCATTCAGCAACAGCACCTAAGAGTCCTTTGGACAATAACGCCAACACACATTCGTTGCCAGCCGCCCGGTGCCATATATAGAGTACTGCACAAACGACCGCAGCAATCGCGCGGCATCGCCCGGGCTTGAAGGAACAAGGCTTTTCACGGAGGACTGCTTCTTGTCGTTGAAGTACAGGTCGACGACCGGGTGGTCGATCAAATTCGCACCGACACCTGGCAGATCGAGGACAACGGGGATGCCGTGCTGTTGGAGTTGTTTTGCGGGTCCGATTCCAGAGAGCATCAAGAGCTGGTGAACGATCGGTTCAAATGAATACAGGGAACTGATCAAGCCACTGACATGTGGTGAATGAATCGCACCACCAGAGAGAACAACTTCTTTCTTGGCCCGAGCGCGGTAACGCAGTCCAGTTGATGATGAAGCAAATTCGACACCAACCGCACGGGGGCTGCCGTTGACTTGCTCGAATATAATCTTGGTCGCAGTCGCATGAATTGCTACCTTCAAGTTAGGCCGGCGGAGCACTTCCGGGGTCAGATAGGCCGACTCGGTGGACACTCTAGTTCCCTGTTCGTCGATGTATGTCACTAGAGCGTGAATCAGTTCCATTTGAGGCTGCGTCCTTGCCGAGAAACTCACTGAGCTGCCCAAGTAATCAGCCTGCAGAACGGATCTAATTGTGGGAATGGAACTCACGCGACTGGCACCAACAGGACCTTTTGACGTGTTGAAATCAGGAATGTTCGGTATCCCAACCTGCTCGCACGCCGTTAAGAATGCCTTTGAGTGGGCAGAGACTGTGTTGAAGTAGCCGACTCGCATAGGACCACTCGAACCGCGTTCTGATGTCTCCACGTCGGGAAACGCTGCATCTGGGAGGTACTTTTCGAACTTCTGGAAGTACTGTTGCAAATTCCTCCAGGACCACGACTCGTCCTTCATCAAGGCACCCCACTCGTCAAAGTCGCCCGGAGCACCGTACTGAGCCATCTGGGCGTTGATGCTGCTGCAACCGCCTAGAAGCTTCGCTACGGTATTCATGTAATGATGGACATACATCAAGGCAAAGAGAGGGTGTGCTCACCTCTGGGAAAGACGCGTCGCTGCGACTTAGCAAAGACTTGCGGTTCCGTCTTGATCCCATACGTGTGTTTCGACAAAAACAGCCTGCCGAATCCAGAGGGGATGCGAGAGAACATCAGAGCGCTGCCACTGTGCAGAGTTCAGAATGCGTCAAAGGATGGTCGGCCGGTCGAGCAACAAACCTCCCTCCCGCCTCCAGCAAAAGCACGCGAATAGACGGGTCCTCGCTCAACCGCGCAGCAAGCACACAACCCGAGGTACCTGAGCGCATCAGACCAAGAACTCGAAGCCACCGATGACCGGCATACCTCCCCCGACGATGATGACATCGTACGCGCACGTCTCCCACAACTTGCCCGGCGCCGCCGATCCCACCAGCCCGAGACGCGAGATGTACGCGCTCCTCCGCTGCGATTTCGACAGCAGGCGCACGAGCACAGCGCACGCCGCGACTGCACTGGCACTCCACAGCAGCCGAGGGTACGCAGCGAAGAGTGTGCGCAGTCTGACCACGAGTGTGTCCATGCGGGGAAGAGGAAGATGGTGGATCTATGTGCGTGTAGCATATGATTCTGCTTTTATTTGTCGGCCCCCTGATAGAATATCCGTGTTGCCGGCGTGGGTAGTTTGCTTGTGACGAATGTCGGCTGACTTGATTGAATGGTTATGGAACATCGTGGACATGCGAGCCGTCACGACGGGTGGTTGGACAGATGCAACAAAGATGCACGTCAGAACAGTTTATTGGGTGGAAGCTGCAAGGGTAAGGGCTTGGAACGGGCAACTCAAAAAGCTACATGATCAAAATCACGGATCGACCGGAAGTGCATGTACGGTGTGGCAGTGCCGTACATGGCCATGCGACAGTCAGGGGCAAAGCGTGGTACATTCGCCAGAGCATTGATCTAGACCGACGGCTACATTCACTCCTCCTCCTCGCTTTCCTCGTCATCATCAACAAGTCCAACCAATCCACCATGATCGCCGTCGGCTTGCCTCTCCTTCAAAACGCGACCGGCTTCCTTCAATTTGGGTCCAAACGCTTTTCTGGCACCCGCGTTTGCTGCCACGTCCCAGATCTGCAGCTTGGCTTGTGAGCCACCGGCAGCCAGAGTAAGGGGATCGTCGGGAGACCACACAGCCGAGAAGACCTTGCCCTATGAATAGTGAGCAAAGGAAAGCGCGAGAACGTGTAGAAAAACTCACAACACCGAGATCTCGCGAAGTAACGAGACTGACACTTCGCGAGGCATCGTCGCCAGCGATGTTCCATACCTTCACTAGCTTGTCATTGCCACCGGTTACAATACAGCCCCGGATGTGGGGGTTGATATCCAGTGCAGACGTTGCCCCATCATGTGCTGAGAGGGTGAACTTGGCCGGCGACGGATCGTTGAGATTCGTAGGCAGTGTCCGGATATCAAAGTTGAGAACCAAGCCATTTTCCAGAGAGACCTAAAGGAACATTAGCATCCGAGAACGAAACGAAAACACAAATACTGACGTAGAAGCCGTACTCTTCCCAGGGATCCCATCGCAAGGCTTCCACGTCGCTCCCAACTACAGCACCAACACCTCCATCCGGCGCCCTCGTATCGAAAGTCCGCACAGTCCGATCGTAGCTGCCCGTCAACAGCACACTGGGATCGCGCTCGTTCCATCTTACAGCCTGCACCTTGTCCTTGTGCAAATCAAAGCTCCGGATCGCACCCTCTCCGGCACTCGGATCCCGCGTCAGATCCCATAGCTTCACGGTGCGGTCTGCACTACCACTCGCCAGCAGATTGCGCTGGGTTTTGTTCCAGCTCAGCGCGAGCACAGCGTCGACGTGGTGCGCGTCCACTGCTGTGCGATGCTTGGTCTTTTTGCGCTTCTTTTTGCCGGTTCCAAGCGGTGTCGGCACGTGTGCTTTTGTCTCGTCTGGCCGTCCGAGAATAGATGTCGGATACATCGCTTCCAGCACGTCCAGTGACCAGATCTCGATCTCAGGATCTAGTGTTCCGACAGCGATGAAGTTTCCGAAGCCATTACTTGTGGGGGCGGATGTTGAGGTGGCGTGGCTCGTTGTCGGGGGGAAGTCAAGCCATTCGAGGCAGAGGGGGAAGTTGGGTAGCATGAGATCGTGGTGCACGTAGAGATTCTCCTCGGACTCGTCGTACACGTAGATTTCGAGTTGAGAGATCTCGTCCTCGGTTTTCGCAGCGACGAGAAGGTTGTCGGTGGGGAGTATTTCGAGTTGTTCACGCTCTTCCTCGGTATCATCCTACATAGTAAGGGTAAGAGAAGGCAAAAGACGCGACTGAGATGGCGTACCTCCTTCAATGTGACGTATGGGTCGTCTTCGTCGTTTTGGTAGTATGTCAGTCCTTTGATGTTACTGAATGGACCAGTAGCTTTTAGTGTGTCAGTCGCAACATATGAAGCACACTGAAGTCGCGCACATATCGTCTTGGCGTCATTGTCATAATCGTCCATATTATACTCGGATAGATCTTCGGGATTACCGGGCTTGGGCTTCGACTCCGAGTCTACGTCCATCGCATCGTCGTCCTCACTGTAAACTTCGTGATTGAGCGGAAAGGCTTCATTGACAGCAGGGGCCCAGCGTACTCGACCCAATTCGCCTCGTCGTCATTATCCCCTGCGTCATCCGCCTCCTCGCCCTCTGCACCCATCCCCATCGCCTTTGCAGCCTCGTGGGCTCGTTCCATCTCTACTCTCGCATCTTCGATCTCGATCCGCGCGAGTTGGCTTACGCGCTGGAGCTCATTGTCATCGAGGACATATTTTTCCGGGTGCCTGATCGCGGCACCGCGTTTGACCCATGAGACAGCCGAGATGAGGCTGCTCATGTCGGGGGTCGAGAGCAAGTTTTTTCGGGATTGATGGATCTGATTGACATCTGTCGTGGTTCCGGCCCGGCCTCGCCGCCACATACTATCCATCCCGCCATGGCACGGACAGCTTCCACGATTAATCTTATCAACTCTGTACAACGAGGCCTATCTCAGTTCGAGTTAGTCCATGTCCCATACGAGCGATGGCCGCTGGGGCGTTCCGAGAGCGAAACTTCCCGGACTCCCAGAGCTCTGCGAATCTCGATCATGGACTCATCGTTCAATCCCCCGACGCGAGCACACATGGCGTTAGCGAATGCGCCGCGCCCGTTTGTCGAATCTAGTGGATATGATGCCAAGATCTATCTGCTCTCCATCAAGAATGCCGACAAGACCCTCAAGTCGACGGACGCGACCTACCTGCAACGGCTCGAGATGATGCGGCTCTTGGCTCAGGACGCTGGAGATGAAGACAGCGTGGCTGTAGGAATCATAGATGAGCCTACGTTTGTCGGGAAAGCCACCAAGTTGCAGACGTTCCTGAAACACCGGCTGTCTGCGCTTAGCGCCAACAACCTCATCCGACCTGAGCTCACCTTCATCCTGGGCTTCGACACGCTGGAGCGTCTTGTAGCGCCACGATACTACTCGTCGTCGTCTGATGGCACGGAGGCGGAAGCGAAGATGTTTGCTGCGCTGGACGAGTTTTTCTCGCCTGACGTCGGGAACGCACGAGTCGCTTGTGCGCGACGGTCTCCCACGTCGGATGCGGAGGAGTCGACCCTACGATTGGCTGAAAAGTACTTCAAGTCCAATAGGATTGCGTTCATTGATATCGGGGTGGCAGAGCAGACATACAGCTCCACAGCAGTTCGTACCGCTCTCGGAAGAGGAGATAATGATAGTTGGGAGGATCTGGTATCTCCCAGAGTCAGAGATTATCTTTTACAGCAGATCCTCTACTCCAATTGATGGCGCGACGTCTCTGGCTGCCTGGCACAGATCTTATGAGTAGATTTACCATAAGTACTTTGAACAGTTTGTGTGAAGGGTTCAGAGAGACCAACACGTAGCCTTTCGAACGGATGCTTCTTCCCGAGAACATCTTTCGCCGACGCCGCCTCTGGATTCATCCGCAAATACCCAGAGGACTGTCTTGCGGGTGTGATTGGGTTCTTCTGGGTGCTTGGCTGGGCCGTGGATGAGAACGGTGGGTTTATCACCGATTTGGATGCCTTGCGTGTCGTGGACACGGCTGTGTCGAAGGTACAGGCGAACAATAATCAGCAGGAATCGCACCAGAGGCATGCCCGATGGATCCGGGAACGGATGCTTCTTCCCGAGAACATCTTTGCTGCCTTTGTCTTGCTTGTCAGTGACGGGGAGTGAAGGGACCGAGTGCACAGGAGGAGGAGTTTTCCATTTATTTATCTAGCCTACAATCATGTGTGTATTCTGTATTTCTGTATGTTCAACGAGATCTTCAGTGCGCCTGAGACCCTCCGTCGATTTAGTCATCTCGCGTCCATACTATGCTAAGCGACAGCGAAACAATCACGACGGTCCCGAGAGATGCAAAGCAGCTTCTGAAAAAGGTCCTGAACGATCGCTAGGAAGTTGCGCCGTACAACAAGTCGGGCTTCCTCAACATGTGTCCCTTAGAGCGAAGTACAACGTAGTTTGAGCTATCGTGAATTGTGAGTATGTACTGTGCTATGAACATGGTTTGATTTTCTGCCAAGTAAACGTCGGCGGTTTCACTCCCACGGGACATGGTGAGCTGGCTACACGAGAGGCTCAGAACGATAGAAAAAGGCACAGTCAGGATTTTCACGTACGGCCCCAACGAAGATCTTCATTCCCTGCCGGCCCAAAGCAGTCACGGAGTCGAGTGTCCTATCGTCCAGCCTTTTGTTGATCCACACCTGAGGCCAGACGAACCGGAAACAGCGCAGCCTGGCCGTCTTGGCGGTATCACGAGAGCGATTCGCCAACGCCCTGAACCATGTCGAGCAGAGCTGCACCGTGCAGTTCTGGAAGGTGAGCTGCTCGAGGCGAGGGAGAAGATGTCCAAGAATCAGGTTGCGTCCGTTCAACTCGAGGAAAAAGTTGAGCGTGAACAGAACGTCGGGATTCGACACATGCAACTCCACGAGGAACGGCAACTTCTGCAGCAGTAAGAAGGCCGTGTATCCTGCTGGAAAATCGAGGTAGAGACTGCGCAAAGCTGGCATTGCTGCCTGAACGAAACCCCCGAAGAGCTCGCGCTCATAGTTCAAGTCATCTTTGATCGCCAGCACACGCAATTTCGGAAAGCGAAAATAGGACAGTGGGAAGACACTGCTACGGGAGCGTAGTATCAGCTGCTGCAGCCTATTGTGATGCACGAGAACAGTCCCGGGGACCGGGAGCCACATGTTCGAGGCCAAAATCCCCACTGAGAATCTCTCGAGAGTGGGTACATTCTTGAATACAAGCCGGAGGTGATGGATGTTTGCCATGCCACAGTTGAGGTAGGTGAGTGCTGGCCACCCGGCCAAGTCGAGTTGGAGGATACGATCAATGAACATCGTCCTCAGACGGGGAGCAGCGACTGAGTTGATTGATGGCATGGGAACAGACGAGAACGCGGCTGATTCTAGCACGGGGAACGCGTCTGGTTTCACGGATATAGGATACAAGATCCAGGGCCGGTCAGAGAAAAGATGGATGTGCTGCAGTCTCGACGAAAAGTAGAGGAGCACCACCGGCACCGCGTATGAGCCCAACAGGTCGCGCCTTCCCACCCTGTTCACGCTGAAGACAAGAGGGCGATGAATCCCCGAACGTGCAAACCATACAACAGCGAATTCCATCAATGTGCGGTCGTCCCAGTGCATGGGTGTCGAGCACAGATTGATGTGGAGATAACGCCAAAGCTGGGACGTGTCCAGCGCTACGAGTCTCCACTGTCGGCAGACAGCAGTGAGAGAGAGAGGCGCTAGACGTCGCCGAGGTCCCATCCTCGGTCCGGGTGCAAGTGGGGGCTGAGGTGGCAGGCAGAGCACGAAAATCATTGACCAAATTTCGCAGGGTATCTTCGCTTGGGCAGAGCCAGCATGATATGTGAGACCACGATTCATTGTGAAGAGAGAGCTCATGGTGGTAGAAGGGGAGAGTGTTCTGGAACACAGTGGCAAGGCGGAGGGCTCTCTAAAAGTCGGCGAAATTGATCTCAGAGAGGCGTAAAGAAGAGCCCGGACAATGGAGGACAGGAATCGTGGCCCTCTTTATGTCGACGACGCATCAAAAGACACACTTGGATCCGTGAATTGTGCACGGCCATTCAAAAGAGTCTTCAAGTAATTGTCCTAGAATCAGCTTGGGTTTTCAAGTGCAGGGTTGTTCTCGACATCGAAGAGGCTTCCGAATAAGGGTTTCTGACTGTCTCATCGCTTTCCAGTGATCGATAGAGTAGCGGGTTGTAGCAAACGGTTTGCGTCGTGCGACGTCCGCAGTGAAAGAGCTGTAGCATTGATGATGATCTGCCAACACAGAGCAGCATAGCCACCTGTCAATCAACTCCGAGCGCACTCCCTAGTCTTGCCACTCAACCGGAGTCAAGTGCTGGGCCCTCTCCCCGCAGTCCTCGCGAGGGCATACTTGTCTATCCGTACAGTGTCTCCGCAAGTGAAAGCCACCCTTCCTGATCAATGTTGGCATCGACGTCTACATCGACGAAAAAACGTAAAGCCTCAGAGGGCGTGTCTATCCCGAACGAAAAGAATGCGAAGAAGGCACGCGTGAACTTGGCCGGATCAAGGAGCAGTCGAAGGTTGGCTGGGCTGGAGATTGCTCTGAGAGGGGAGGGAGACACGGAGGCGGGGACGGAGGGAGGAGATGATTCGCTCGGCGGGGAGTTGAATCAGGACCTGTGGGTAGATCAGGACGACGAGGGTCAAGATCTCGACGAGGGCGAGGCAAACGGTTCTATCTCCGCTGGACTCACATGGTCTACGGCGCCGGCACACGTCGCGGACTTTTTCGATGCCCACGCGTCAGGCTCGATGTCAGCAAGGAAGCATCAGCAGCAGGCTGACTCGGCTGGCACCGAAGACGAAGACGGTCGTGCGTCAGAGCAGGAGGACGACGACGACGACGATGAGGAGGAAGAAGACGAGCTATCCGACTCTGACGAGATCCTGTCCCTCTCGCTCTCCATCCCCACACTGCCCACCACCACCCCCACGCCCCGCCCCACCGCGCTCTCTGTCGCGGAAGCCAAAGTCACCTGCATGCTCTCGGACGCCGTCGTAGCCGTCGCCGACAGCGCCCAGAACCACCTCGCGCTCTCGCAGCTCTCCCGCTCGCTTCTCGGCGCCGATGCGCTGCGCCGCGAGCTCGCCTTGCTCGCGGACAAGGTGCACGTCGTCTCCGGCTTGGCTGCCGAGGAGAAGACGCGCGGAGATGCGCTGCAGGCGGAGCTCAAGACGCTCCAGGCCCGCAACGCCGAGCTGGACGCGCGCATCGCGGCGCTCGACGGGAGCGCCAGTGAGCGGGAGGCGTGGCTCGCCGGGATGCAGGCCCGAGTGCGGGGACTCGAGGCTAGTGCGGACGAAGAGGAGAATGCGATCAAGGGACTCGAGGCGGAGAACGTCTCGTTGCGGGCGGAGTACTCTAGGGTCCAGCAGGTCATGAGTGCCTTGCGGATGAGTGTTTGAGTAGTTTCTTTTCCTCTGATGTATTTTTGTATTATTGACTCTTGCTTTCGAACGAACGAAATACAGAATCACATGCCAGGATAGTGGTTAATGTGACCAAGCATGAACGACAACGTTCTTGCTGCCAGACCTACAGGCTCTGGGGCGTTGCTCATATATGGGATAAATAAACGCATCTTCGTCCCGAAGAGTTGCAGATCCATTCTCTCGATCTCGATCAGTAACGTCCACGTGTTGTGACGATTCGCGACCTAGCTGTTGCATATCGTGAACCCTGCCTTCGCTCGCAGTGCAGGAGTACGATTTGTTGAGTCCCAATGCGCGGTCTGCTGCGACGCGGAGAAGCATCCGAAGCATCTGACCGGTCTGAGGATCTGGATGAACTACGTCCCGGGCTGATCCTTCCGCACATGTGTGAGGGAATGAGATTGGAATGTGGGTTATACATGCTATGTACGGGGAAATGTACGGATGATGGGAATGGATATGCGATATATGAATAGGAGAATGTGTGACCAATGTCTTCTTGAGTCGATACAGTTTTCTTTGATCAGGCTTCGGGCGTAGAAGCTTCAAATGCGAGCCGCCGATGGCACCACCAGACGACTACCACTCGAATTCTCTGCGAAGTACATCAGTCATGATGGGCACCGGCAACAGATCGAGAATGGAGACATACCCTGTGCACCGCTGGAAAAGATAGTCCTTGCCCTTGGCATGGACGATTCCATCGCGCAGAACACACCGCCACTTGTTCTTCACTCGGGCAACCTGTTTGAAACCATCAGAACGCATAATCGCGTCACGGAAGACGCGCATACACACCTTATCGTACGTGCAGAAGATGACATCCGCCTCCCCGCCCATCGCTCCATCCAGAGCATCGTCCCCGCCATTCGCGCCGTCGCCCTCGTTGTCCGTATCTGAGTCATCCAGATCGCTGTTGATGGCATCCTCCGGATCGGTGCTGGTTGGCTTGGACGTGGAGGCCGGAGCAGGTGGCGCAAGCGCACGTGGGCGGGCAGAAGAACCACTGGGGCCGGCTACAGCAGGCGGCGCCGGCGGCAGCGACGGATGCGAGCTGCGGGGCGCCGTACCGGGCACGACCTCGTCGTAGTCGTCCTCGTCCTCCTCGTCGTCCGTGTGGGCGCCGTCGACCTGCGGGAGCTGGAACATGTGCTGGGTCATCATCTGGTTCAGCGCGCTGAGCTGCGCGGTGTTCAGGCTCGAGGACAGGATGCCGAGGCCGCTCGGGGGCGCGGTGCCCGGCGGGAGCGTGAGCCCTGGGATCTGCGGGCCAGGCAGGATGGGCATGGCGTAGGGAGTGGCGTAGGGCATGTGCGGTGCTCCGGGCTCGGTTTTCACACCCGATGCGCTGCCGGGGGCGATGGGGCCGGCTCGTTGGGGCATGGCGTACGGGGGGAGGGCCATGCCACCTGGGTAAGGAAGATGGCCGCTCGGGACTTGTGCAGCCGGGGTGGGCTCAGGGATGAATTCGGCCACGCGCGAGTTTTGCAGCTTGTCTTGCCAGCTCTGATAAAGATTGAGAAATGCGAGAGGACCGGGGATTGAGGGCTGCGCACCTGCATGAGGGTTTTCAAGACATCTTCGCCCACGCCGTAGTCTTCGAAGGAAGAACGGATGTTAGCCTCCACATCGTCAAGAATGGCTCGATAGACAGTCGGCTATTCCGGTCAGCAGTGCACCCATAGACCAGGTCGACGGGGCGCTTACGACGATTTTATTGGACATGGTGGCGAATGCAAGATGAGGGCAGGAAAAAGGAGAACGCAATTGATCGGAATGACAAAGAATTGTTCTGGCGCCTTGCCTTCATCCCAGAACGAGCTAGATTTTTCATCTCCCTTCCTTTCCCATGCGCACTGAGCACCCACGATCAAACCAGGCTCAGCATTTCTCGTCCCATAAATAATCACATGGCTGGGTATACAGGATCAGTCACTACAAGCCACTACCCATGACGTCCCAATCCCCGTGCGCTTCTGCTCATCAGACGCGAGACGGCGGATTTGGCCTGGGCCCGTTGAGCTCTGCGTCAGTCACAAAAAAATCAGCAATGCACTACGCCCAAAAAGCCAAGAGAAGACGCACTCTTCCTCAGCCTCCTCCTCCAGAACCTTGATGCTGGCCATCGCGTCCCGCACGCGCGCCCGCGCGTGCATCAGAGCGCGGTCGGCCTCCCGCTCCGCCTCCGCCGCGTTCGCGATCTTCTCCCGTGCGATCTGGACCTTCGGGTCGCTCTCCGCGTGGCCGGTGTACTTGCGCAGCGAGCGCGTGAAGACGTTGGAGCTCTTGCTCGCGAGCGTGGGCGTCGACACGACCGATGCGGCGTCGCGGTCCACGGTCCGGCGCGATCTGAGGGAGGGTATCGTCGGGGTCGTCTGCTGTGACAGGACGGAGGCGGCGTCGGCGTCGGCTGCCCCAGAGCTTCGATGTGAGCGGAAGAAGAAGCTGCTCCCGATGCTGGCTGCGCGAGAATGGGCTGAACGGTAATCTGACCACCCGCTTGTTGTGGGGGTCGGCGGTGGGAAGTCGGAGTCGGTCATGGAAACTGGGGATGCGGGGCGGGCTCGGTTGAAGAATGCACCCGTCGGGCGCCTTCGGGGTGGAGATTCTGGGGGAGTGGGCTGTTGCCGAGTGGGTGGAAGTGCTTGAGTTTCAAGGGCAGTCGGAGGAGAGTCGGTGCCGTATGGAGGCCGGGAACTATATGCTGATAAACGGAGGACGTATCACTGATACGCGATAGTTTGCCGACATAGGATCAATTTCATGATGCGCTCCATGTCATGATGCGCCTATCTGGACGGCTGAAAACGTTATACTAATAACCGATGTCTGAATCGTGGATGGCCGCTCGGCAGATATTGATCAGATGATTGACGCAATGATCAAGACCCCAGGTAGCCGACTATCGCAATATCGCAACATCGTAATATTCGAAAAGCGCAACATTCGAGATAGGATCAGCGGCCGGGTCGCCGGCGCGAGCAGGCTCGTCGCAAGTCCGGACTCCCAGGCGACATTCCAGGGCAGCGGTTCGTACGTCGTGTTCGACTGGGGAAGGAGGTGCGCGGCCTCCCTGATACAGCGCCGTCGAGGGTCAATTCACACACCCATACTGTAGCTTGGGGGGATCCTGTCGCTGACGATCAACAACGCGACGGCCCAGTCGCAGTTCTCACTGTCGTTCACCGAGTCCGCGGAGTTCATCAGCCCGCTCAAGTTGGACGACTCGTGCCAGCCCGCACGGCTGCAGAACTGGGACAGAATCCAGACGTTCCACGTGCCGCGAGCCACGGGGCTGCTGACGCAGACCGTGGGACAGCAGCGCGGCGGGTTCCGCTTCCTGACGATTGTGAGTGCGAGCGCGGACCCGCTGACGATCTCGAACATCTCGCTGGCGATCACGTTCATGCCCCACTGGGATGATCTCAGGGCGTACCCGGGCTACTTCTTTGCACCTGACCCCGGGTTCCACGACATCGACTTCCTCACGAAGATCTGGTACGCCGGTGCGTCATCGCCTGTTTGCTGGCTGATGTGGCAGAGCGTGGCGTGGGTGGGGGCTGACCGCTAGCAGGCACTATAGGGTGCAGACCAACACAATCCCTCCCCACACGGCGCGACAGGAGCCGTGCCCAGCAGGAGGTTCGTGTCGGCGTGGATCTGAATTTTGGACTCAAACTGTGCGATCACATTTGTAGGTGGCTGGTCCAACGATGCCTTGGGAGGAGCTGCCACTGGGCCTATCCTCGTCGATGGTGCAAAACGCGACAGGTGAGGAATGGTCGGTCGCGATCTGTGTGTGCAATCCCTGCTGATGACATTGGTACTGTCAGGAACATCTGGCCAGGTAACCCCTCATGCTCATGGACGCGATCTAACCCTCGGACTCATGCGACGGATCAGGCGACTGCGGCATCTCCACACACACGGAGCTCGTCGCGCTGAGCGACATGGAGCCGACCAAGAACTCGTTGATGGTGATGTTCCGCACGCAAAACCTGACGACTGGCGCGCTGCAGTACTCCGGGCCGCCGCTGAACAACCAGGGAAGCGACACGTACATCTCGTGGTCGCTCATTGGGACGCACAACTACTTCCTGTACACGGGCGACCTCGATTTCATCAAGTCTGTCTGGGCGAACTACACCAAGGCGGTTGGCTTCCTTGAGGGCCAGGTGGACTTGACCGGCCTGATGAACGTCTCGTCTGCGCTCTCGAACGACTGGGGCAGGGCCAGCGGCGCCGGACACAACTCTGCGGCAAACGCGTTGCTTTATCGCGTGAGGATTGATTTCTGTCTCTCGCATCATGTATCCGCGCTCATCAAGCTCGTAGACGCTCGTCACCACGGCGGACCTGGCGACGCATCTCGGCAATGTCTCCCTCCCCGCCACATACCTCGCCAACGCGACCAAGATCAAAACTGCGTTCAACAGCCTGCTGTGGGACGCCGCGGCGGGCCGGTTCCGCAGCAACGACCTGCCGAGGAGCATCCACCCGCAGGACGGCAACGCGCTCGCGGTCCTGTACAACCTCACGACATCGGACGCACAGAACAAGGCCGTGAGCGCCGGGCTGATGAAGTTCTGGACGCCCATCAGGCCGTGGCTTCGAGGTGCGTGTTGCGCTGGTGGTTTGTGGTTTGCGTGTCACCTGCGCGACAGATCCAAGCGCATTTTGTGGCCGGCAAGGGCGAGCGGGCAATTGATCTGATCGAGCGCGAGTGGGGGTACATGCTGGAAACCAACTTGAGTGTCAAGTCGCCGCTGCTAGAGGGCTTCTCGGCCAACGGATCGCTCGGGTGCGTGTCGTATCAATCAGCTGCGGCAAGCTGTTGGTCCTGATCTGTACGCATGGTTCTCGGATGAGGAAGACTCCCGCGAAAATGATTAGTGAATTACAGTAATTACATGCTCACTACGCTATCTCGAATATTACACTATCTTGAATGTTGCGCTTTTCGAATATTACGATGTTGCGATATTGCGATAGTCGGCTACCTGGGGTCTTGATCATTGCGTCAATCATCTGATCAATATCTGCCGAGCGGCCATCCACGATTCAGACATCGGTCATTAGTATAACGTTTTCAGCCGTCCAGATAGAGCGCATCATGACATGGAGCGCATCATGAAATTGATCCTATGTCGGCAAACTATCGCGTATCAGTGATACGTCCTCCGTTTATCAGCATATAGTTCCCGGCCTCCATAGTGCCGGGACGAGATTTGAAGAGAGGCATTATGTTTGTCGTTCGTAGAGGATCGTAAGTGTGTTGCTGCACGCTGCAAGCATCTGTCGTTTTTGAGCTTTCTCTTCGAGGTGAGGTCATCGGTGGAGCCCATCAGATCTTTAGCACTGGCTCTATCTGAGTTGATAGTCGGCTTGGATGAAGGCGTCTGGCGTCAGTACACGTCTAACGCAGAACAGCATAGACAGGAACGTGAAGAGTTGACGCAAAGTGCCAGGCCACGCCTAATATTCAAAATCAATGAATTCAAAATGACATTTGCCACGTGATTGTGGGGCGTTCTAGTCCGCACACCGTAAATATTAAAATAACACTTGCCACGAAGGACAACATAATCATGTTACAGCGTACATGGACCAAGCCAAAAACACACATGCACATACCACCCACAACTTCATAGAACGACCTTCAAGCGCACCGCTACGCACATTCTTCGCCGGACGTCCACCGCGTGGTCCCGGAACGATCCTTTCCGGACTGGTGCTCCCGAGCTTCGCATCGTCGTCCCGATGTCCATTCGACGTCGCCAACACGCTCGGATCCACCGTCAGCGTGTTCGTTGCCTTCGTGTGCGCCGTCGTCGGCCACGCGCCCGGCGTCGGTGTGGGCGTTTCGTTGGTGGCGGGGTTCAGGAAGCTGACCAGGGCGAAGCCGGGGGCGGGGACGTGGACGGTGCAGCTGCTGGTGTTGGCGTCGCACGGGACCCTCGCGACTGAGAGCTGCCCGGAGAGACGGCCGTCCGACGCGAGATTCGCGCCGAATGTCTGGTGTGTTTCGTGATTCAGCCCGGATCAGATATGGTAGTGCGATCGCCCACCTGCCCAGCCCAGGTTATATTCTCCTTCGTACTCACGGAGGGTGCGAGGAGGTACCTTGATGGTTTCAGATTCCGACCCCGAGTAAATCGTCCACGCTATGCGACTCACTTCACTTTCACCTCTTTCGGCAGAGTGACTGCCTGTAGAGCGACCGAGTAGTCACTCGCTCCGGACGGATCGGTGATGAAGTTGAACAACGCCACTCGGGCAAGCGTGCCGTTTTCGTAGATCGCGTATCCCGGCGTGAAGATGTTCTCGTTGTTCATCTGCAGGTCGATGATCTGAGACTGGTTGGACTTGCCGAACACTTCGGCCGCTAGCATGAGTAAGTCAGACTGGATAGCGTCGGCTAAGAGTATTGGAACATACCAACGAGGGCTGAATAGTACACCGGTCCGACAGTCCAGCCGCGGAACGTTGACTGATTCGTGGGCGGGGCTGAGCATATGAGTAAAGAGATAGTCTGAGAGTTGGGCAGACCGTGTCTCACGTGTGAATGGCTGTGGAAGACCACATTGAGATCAGGCTCTTCCAATGTACGGCCAGCACTCACGTTATACGAGTCACTCAGCCCACCCAAGTGGCTTCAAAAACAATCAGGCCTTTCTTCTCTCAAATCTTTGGCGAGTTTTTTCTGCCACTTACAGAAGCGCTCCGCTGAAATTGCTGTGGGCCATCTGCAGCCCGTAATCCAATGCCCACAGCGCGCTTCCGAACGAGTCACTGACGCCCGGGAAGCCGCCGCAAGAAGCTGTATTGGTCTCTAGCATATGGAACGGGAGGTCTAAACTTTGTGCGAGAAGTGTGCTAGCAGAGGGTGACAGTCAGCTTGAACCTGCCGGCATCCCACGGGATCCCCACCTGTTCAAGTATTTCCTCATAATTTCCTGGGATGAAGTATGATTGAGATAGTTGGAGAACACTGTCTGGGGATCGACCACCGGTCCTCCTGTTTTCAAGACCTTTGCGCAGTTGTTATCAGGATAACTGGCACGCCAGTTCAACCGTGGGAATCGGGGACAACCATGACGTCACTCGTACCTTTCGACGCTGAGGGCAGCCAGAGAGGGCGCGTAGTCCGTCAAGAAGCTGGCATTGAATACATCCTCGAGTCTCCACGTCCCGGATATGCTGGGCCCCACGAGCTTCTTGTTCACGTGCGGCACCCCCGGGTCGGCCCGCAGCGCGGCATCAATGAGGCCAAAGTCACGCACGTAGTCGACGGGGCCGTACGTCGGCGAGCGGCGATTGTGGCTGCGATGCGATGGCTGGGTGTACGTAAGTGCATCTCAAAAAGACTGTATGGCTTACGCCGGATATAGATCCGGCTCGTTGCCGACTTGCAGGCCCAGTAATCTGTCGCCCAGAATGCGCTCGGCGACCTCGGCGATCTCGAGTTGCGGATGCTGCGTGTCGTTGAGCGGGATCCCTGCGACCGATGATGCCTGAGTTTGCTTGCGTTAGGGAGCGATGGTGCCCACCGAGATACCACCCGACGTTGACCAACGACGAGATGTTGGCTAGCAAGTAGATCACTTCCGGAGTGTACAAAAGGGGCGGCGTGCTCTGGCGAAACGTGAAAGTGCTGAGCAAAAGGGGATCTGACCCGTAACGCCACAAGAAGCGCACCGAATTGCTATGCTTGTCTTTCATCAGCATTCGCCCGCTGGGAAGCGCGGGTACCATCGCAGCCGTGTCCTGCGTGTTTCCCCCGATCCGGACGCGGACTGATCCGCCGTGCGTCTGGATGTGGGACATGAGGTTCAGGAACGGGACTTGGATGAACGAGCTTCGGTGGAGCGTTGTCGTGAGCGAAGCAGGCGATGGCCATGCGCGTGCACGTACGAATTCAATCCCACTTGGTCGGTCTCCAGGTCAGTACCGCCAGCGCGAGATGCAACAGCGGCGCACTCACAGATCTGGTCTATCACTGAAAATTCGATAGAGAACCCGTAGAACGACCCCGACTGTCGTATCGATGCTCCCTGCGGCGGCTGCACGTTCAGCGGCTGGACGAACTGGGTCGGAATCGGCGGACTCGGGACCGGGGGAGGGACCAGAGTCGCCTTGTCGTAGGCGGCTGCGCCGGTGTACGCGACGACATTGGCCGTCCCGATCTTGGTGCCCTGCCACGGGCGTTGGGAGTACACCGTGACACGGGCCTGCACCAGAGAGACCGCGAGAGCAGCGAGTGCGCATCGCCCGAGATGCATGCTCGAGGGACCAGTCGACGGGCTGAAACGCGGGGTGCAGAAGCTCTTAAGCTGCGAGCCATGACGCGCAGAATGCACGCACCGAAAGCAATGCGGTGCGTTGCATTCTCCCTGCGTTCATTGATTTGCGGTGGGATTGCGCTCTTGCTTGATCGGGGAGTGATATCGAGGCAGCAGGAACACCCGGCGGATTTTAGTGCGGAGGCAACAGCGGAGCCTGGCCCCGTTCGATCTGCCTTATCATCTTTGTCGTGCGTCCGTCATGTTCTGCCGTGTCAGGATCGCAGTCCGTCCGGCGCTTGCGGTCTGCAGGACGCGAAAGCTTATTTGCTTGACGCTTGGCCGGAGCTTACGTTCGCAAGATCGACGCTCTGCGTGCTTGAATTACCTTTCTGGTCAGCAGCTTGGCGGTGCAAGATCTAAAATTCGTTTCAGTCTTATCCTATGAATCAAGCAGGAGTGTGTGGGAGGTCACATCCTTGCAACATTGCTCCTTGCGCCACAGCTGTGACCAGTCCACATGCAGGTCAGCTGGAAACATTGAGAAACGATGCCGAGAAAATGGAGTCATCCACACACATCCGAGCGAGCCAGCTTCTCTCTCCGTAAGGGACTCCAAGGGACCAGAGCAGGTCAGAAGACCACCGCGGCCTCGAGTCCTGCCCGAAACTTCCCCACTTTCGAATGCGGTAGTTTGATCACCAGCGGGTGTGAACGAGATTCAATGGGAGCCAGAGATCGAGTCCAAGCACGACCTGGGGCGAGCGACGAGTAGGCGCAAGTTCAGCCCCCGAACTAAAAATAAAAACGCGTCATAGCGTGGGAAATCTAGTACAAACTGCAGCGATCGCAGCCGCCGGCCCGGCCCGGTGACACTACGATCGACGTCACCGCACTCATCATACATACACATCGGTAAGCAGCCACTTTTTGACACCGTTCCCGGCCGTCTGCGCACAACCCTCACAAACAGCGTCGGTCGCCCGCGTTCCCAGCACGCACACAGGCACCCCCGCGGCCGCCCATGAAGGCGCAACAATCCGTCGTCCTCCCGCTGCACCGGCCCAAACGGCTGGCCTTCAGCGGCGTCGAGCAAGCCCGTGCGCCCGGGAATCACGTTGTCTCTAGGCTCGGTGAGTCCCTCCGGGCTCTTCTCGACTTCCCCGGGTGTGACACGCTAGCGCAGTGGGCCGGCTGAGCCACGGGACCGTTGGCCGCGGCGCGACGAGGATCTGGCGCATCTGCACGACGACGCTGACGGGCTCGCTCGCGGAGACGTTCCGGCTCCCCAAGAGCAGCGAGGGCGACAGCGAGGAGGTGCGCCCGGAGGTCAAGGACCCGGGGTTCGCCGAGGAGAAGCACGACGAGCCGCCCGAGGAGGAGGATCCCGATGCCCTGGACATCGTCGTCGTCGATATCGAAGACCCCGTCGAGAACCACATTGATAAAATCGACACCCGGCAGTCCGACAGCTCGCGCCACTCGAATTATGGGGGTAGCAACAGCACCGGGCAGCGGAACGGCAAGAACCGGGACGAGGACGGCTTTGAGACGTCCAGCAACTATCAGGGCGGTTTTCTGTCCTGGATCCGTCACCGCGGATGGCCGGAGGTGGTCGAGTTTTTCGAGCCACGGTTCCCGGACCCGCACGAGGAGATGTACCAGAAGCAAACATGGCATTCAATGAAGTTCATGGCGTTGTGAGTGCTGCTCCATAAGCTCGACGGAATGACCTGAACTGTTGTCTCAGCCTCGGTTCGCTTTGTGTGTTTGATTCCACTGCTAGTCGGGATTTGTTCGTTTACTTTGTTCAGTCCTCGTCCTCAACTGGATTCTATACCTGGTCCTCAACAACAGCAGCACCCAACATCATTTGTATGATAAAGTACGCCGTCTCATCTTTCTTATCCAGTCGTGCGCTGACCCTTGTTCTAGATTATCTATGTCAGTGACCAATTATCCTTATGTGTTGTCATTTACTCCAACTTCTCACAGTGGGGAGCGTTCACGGCAATCACTCTTCCGGTTCCAGTGATGGTCGCTCTCGACATGCCCTATCGCTCGCCTGTGATATTCCAGATCTGGTTCTGCGTCGCCGCCTGGTACTGCGGCTTCACCGAGATGGTCGAAATGCGTGAATGTCACTTCTTCGTCCCGGCACACAAGAAGTGCTTCGGCAAAGATTTTTTGGAAATGAGTGAGCTTTCTGCCCGTCCCCCTACGATGCATTTGTTCAAACTCCGTAGGCTATTACTCGACGGGCTTGCCGGCCCTGATGATGTTTATTGGCTCAAAGCGCATTTACAACCTTGCCGCTGTGACAGCGTCCTTTGTCTTGCAGGTGGTCTTGATTCTTCCCGATCAGACGATCTTTGCGCGCAACATTGTGCTTTTTGTACGTAGTTTCCGTAAGTCCCATTGGCGGGATACTGACGGGGTTCGTTTCTAGGTGGTGTTCTGGGTCTTCACGCTAACAGTACACCACAATACAGAGAATGTAAGACATATCCCTGATCGGGCGTTCCCCACTGACGTCTATGTTTCGCCAGGCAAAGCGAAAGATGTTTTTGCTGGCTTTGCAGCTGAAGCAAGCTTATAGGGCCAAACAAAAAGCCCGGTCAGCGGAGACGAAAGCGGGCTTCTTGAAACGCCGCTTCGCCAACTACATCTTCCACGAGGTCCGGGTGCCGCTGAATAACACATGCAAGTGCCGCCCCTTGGAGTTCTTCCGCAGTACTCACCATCAATCACGTTCCAGGTCTTGCCCTGCAAATCCTGCAGGCGGACAATGCTTTCAGGGAGGATACCGTGCTCAGGCGCAAGGAGATCTACGCGCTCGAACAGGGCCTGAATATGATGACCACCGTTTTGAACGACGTGCTGGACTTCGAGAGTGCGTGGCCCGGCCATCTTTGTAGTCTCTCAGCTGACCTTTGCTAGAAATGAACATGGGCCATTTCGAGGCCAACGACAAGGTGCGTCGTTCTCTTTTTTATTCGTGAGCGACAGCTTAGACGTGGCCACAGCCCTTCCCGCTCCACCACTCGATCCGCAACTTGCTTGATTTGATCCAAGTGCAGACGGACGCCCGAGGGCTTATCTTGGAGCGCCAGCTCGACGAGCAGATCGACACGGAGCCGCTCACCGCAGAGCACGGGGGAGCACCGCAACCCGAGGGTCTCTGGGTCCTGGGTAGCGAGCTGCGGCTGCAACAAGTGATCACCAACCTCGCTACGAACGCGGTCAAGTACACGCCGGAGGGCCAGGGCAGCATCCGCATCTCGACCGAGTTCTTGGGGATCACGACGCGGGAAAAGCAGCCGGGAGACGGCGATGACTCGGACGACGAGATGGACGACGCTGCGGCCTTCGAACGGCCCCGTGCGGCTCCCGAACGGTCGCGCAAGCACTCTTCGAACAGCCCTAGTCACAACAGCACCCCGCCGCTGTCACGCAAAGGCAGTGCGAATGGGACGCGATGTCTCACTTTCAAGCTTATCGTGCATGACTCGGGTCCGGGAATCAAGCCGTCCGACTTGGTCAAGGACAGGCTCTTCCAGCCGTTTGCTCAGGTGTGCCCGAGTGCTTTTGAGTTTACATGACATGTTTGCTGATCGTGGTCGCAGACCTCGACGGGCAAATCCAGTGGATCTGGGACGGGGCTGGGATTGGCTATTGTCAAGCAGATCGTCAAGGTTTGCGGCGGGAGACTGGTGCGTTGATGTGACTCACCGGATGATACGATGCTCAATTTTTCCAGGGCGTCATTTCCCGACCTGGTGAAGGATGCAAGTTCTGGGTCCAGTTGACGTACCCTCTTGCGTCAGAGGCAGAAGTCCAAGCCAGTCGAGAACTGAATGCGTCGCCGAGGCCGATACACTCGATCTGGAAGGAGGGGTCTTTCGTCCCGTATGCGAAGCCGCGCATAATGGTCGATCGGCCTGGGATCCCGTCATCGTCGGTTTCGTTCGAGTATCCGCCGCCGCCGTTGACGCCAGCAGTATCCGAAGCAATAGCGCCGCCGCTTCCCCGGTACGAGAGCAACCCGGCGCCGGTCGAGGTTCCTCCGCCCGTGCCGTTGGCTGCGCCCGTGCCGTTGGCCGCGCCCGTGCCGTTGGCCGCGCCCGTGCCGTTGGCCGCACCCGCGCCTACCCGGGCGGATCCCATTTCGGTGCTGGTGGTGGACGACGATGTGACTACACGGATGCTGTCCTCAAAGTGGGTGGTTGTTCTAGTCCTCTGTTTTGTACCATCTGCTGAAGAAACGTCGCAGACTGTTGAGCAAGCTTGGGTGTGTTGTGCGGACGGCCGAGGACGGGCAGGAGTGTGTGCAGATAGTGCTCAACTCGCCTCCGCATACCTTCGACCTGATATGTCTCGACAACTTTATGCCTGTGATGACCGGGGAGCAAGCGGTCAGAGAACTGCGGGCCCATGAGCGCGATGACTTTGTCGTCGGGTGCACAGGTTTGTCGCTCTTCGTGTTTTTCGAGGGATCTGTTGTGCTCACTCGCTCGCATCGCGTAGGGAACGCGCTGACTGAGGACCAGCAGACGTACTTCAAAGCCGGACTGGACCAAGTGCTTGTCAAACCCATCATGCTCCCGTGCGTCCCCTGCTTTCCGTCCCGTTTCTGGTTCCCCTTCTCACCCCGTCGTGGAAAATAGTGCCTTCAAACGGATCATCCAAGAAGCCCAGGACCGGCGTGCGGCGCGGCGCTCCCTCGCGACAGCAACAGCAGCAGCAGAAGCAACGGCGGCAGCCCCCTCGACGTCGACGTCCCCCACCTGATGGCTCTAACCCGCGCTCGACGACACTCGCTTACCATATAATCCGCTCCTTAATCGGGCATCTGTTTTCCATCTCCTGTCTACACACACCAGTGCATTCGTTTCGTTTCCAGGGCATCCTCCGTTTGTAATCAGATATCAATAATGTAGGTAAGATACCCATGTAGCTCTATACACGTGCGACAGCTATCTGTGCTCGGGCTAATCTGGGCGTCGCATGGATGATGGCAGGCCAGTAGGATTTAATTGTCTTGTGTACGACGATATACAGAACACAGCATAATGGTCAATAGATTAGCTCGCGGTCCTCGAAATTCAGCGCGGCCTCTGGGTCATCTTGAACCGCATTCGCTCACTTCCGGTTTCTAATATCGAAGCAACACGGAGAAAGGCACTGACGGTATAGTATTAGTCGGAGCCTGACAAAAGCCCAGTTCATCACCCTCGAGCACATCCTACAATCCACCCATGTACTTACATAAAACGAGCGAATCGAACAGTCAAAGCAACGAACGATTCAAAACAAAACGCAGAGAAACTAACAAGATTCCGGATGGCGCTATGTACATGTACCGTACGGGTGGGGCTATTCACTAGTGCACAGTGGGTCAGACTATTTACACGTACAAGTATGGATGGATGTATGGATGTAGGATCTATGCTTTTTTAGTTATCTAGGGCAGTCGCGCGACGATACGAGAGATATCAGATTAGCAAGGCGTATGATAGCAGCAGGGACGTGAGTGTAAGAGGATTGACGACGACGACGACGACGTTGTGGTTGTCATTCTAGACGGACAGAGCCTCCATCGCAAGGCCCAGCGGATCGGACGCAGGCAGGTTCCCGGTGTGCGTCGCACCCTGGTTGTTCGTCGCAGTGACCGCGCTGCTGGGGAAGAACACCTCGGGCGAGGTGCACGTCGACAGCGCACGCCGCATGTGCGAGCTCAGGAACGTCAGGCCGACTTGGTAGGCCGCTGTCGACAACCAATCGCTAGTCAGTCAACGCTCCAATGCACAAAAAATAGCCCCGCGCACAGTTCATCCACCCAAAGCCCTCCCGAGGCACCATCTTGAAGTCAATCCCCTGGTTTCCGTACTCGGCGTCAACGAGATGAGACAGCTTGACGGCGTCAAACTTCTCAGGGACGACGCCGTTGAAGTCGACAAATGACGTGGTCATCCTAGATGGATAGTCAGCATCCGCAGCACGGGATAAAAAAGCGCGCAGACGGACATGTAGAGGAAGCGGTATGCGAGACGCTGGGCCTCTTCGAGATATCCGTAACGCTCCAGACCGACCCATGCCATGATCTGATGCGGCGGCCACGCATAACTGAGCGCCCGTCAGAGAGGATTTCATAAACAAACAAGAGCTGTGACTCACGGGTAGTCCCACTGACGATTGGGCCTGTCCAGGGAGATCTTGCCGCGTGACTCCTCAGTCCCAGGAACCAAGCCACCGAGCACCTCGAACTTCTTCAGGGACTTGGTCCTGGAAACAAGTCAGCATTAACAGCGAACATATCCGCACACCACGCACATCAGCTGCCAGGCCTGTTCTTCGCTCGCACAACCAGCCCACATCGCCCAGAACGACGTGACACTCTCGTACAAGATCTGGGCCTCCTTCTCCGTGTCGTAGTCAAAGTACAAGCTCTTGCTGTCGTTCCAGAGATACTTGTCAATCACGCCCTTGCGCCATTCCGCGCGCGCGAACCACTCGGCGCTCGTCTGCGGACGCGTCTTGCTCCGCAGACGCGTGCTCTCCGGGCGCGCGTACGCCGCGGGCGTCACCGGGAACGGCGCGAGCGGGAAGTCCTCCTCCATCTCGAGCTCGTCGTCAAACACTTCCCGGATCGCAGTCCCGATGTCCATCTCGTACTTGTACAGCAGCGCCTGCAGATCGATCGTGCCCAGGTTCGCGCACCGCTTCTCGAACCGGTACGTCGTGTCGTGCCCGCTCTCGCGCACGGCACGGTCGTGCAGGAAGTACTCGTCCAGCTCCGGCTCGTGCAGGATCCCGTCGTTGTACTTCTCGCTGAACTCCAGAACCGAGATGCCGTGCTTGGCAGCATAGGGCTCGAGTATGTGCGTGAAGTGCGTCGCCTCGGTCTCCGGAGGAATGCCAAGCCCGTCCGGTCGGAAACGAGAAAGTCCGGTCTTGGGATCCATACGGGGCTCGGCGACCCACACCGAATGGTACTCTTTGATAGCGGCCTGGATTGCCCGTTTCAGCCATGCCCGGTTGGCAGCAAGATCCGAGCGGTCAAGCTGGTTGTAGATTTGCAGTGCCATGTCAGTGAGGAAGGGTGGCTGGGCCCGGCATAGGTAGTACGACCGGGAGCCGTTGAGGATTTTTCCGTAGTGCTTGATTTCGAAGATGAAGTGGTCGACCATGCCTTGAGCCATCGACACCTGACCGTCAACCAACAGGCCGAGCGTGATGAAGTACGAATCCCAGTTGTACAACTGCAGCCGTGAGAAGATGACGCCGATCTGGGAAACCCTACACACACCTCATTGAAACGGGCGCCCGGGACAATGAACGGAATGCCCTTGAGCGTCCCGTCCACCTCCTTCATCGCAAGCGCAAGGATCCCTGGCTTGTTGTTTAGACTCTTGACAAATGCGGGGTCATCAGGCTTCTCCGGCAGGACCTGCACGTCAAGGTTCAGGTGCGGCTTCTCCCTCGCAACCCTGCGGTAATAATCCGCCATAGCCGGTTCCCCGTGGGGCACGTAAATCCTGGGGTTGACACGCCCCGTCCGGTTCTTGGGGTCCGCAGTGATAATCTCGAGGCCGTCCCCGTCAATGCGCCGCGTGAGCGAGTGCCAGAACGAGTTCTTGATCATGCGCGAGAGCCGGTCGACGGGGTTCTCCGTCAGGCGCGCCTCGTCCAGCACGATCCGCTTGCGGTTGTGGTCCCGCGCGAGCGCGAGCTCCTGGAGCAGGTTCGACAGCATGTACGTGCCGCGGATGTCGAACGTCTTGAACCCGTTGCTCGTCGCCGTCCCCAGCGCCATCATCTTGGGCCCGGCGTCCGTGACGCTGATCTGGAAGTCGCCGTCCGTGTCCTCCTGCTCGAGCACGACCCGGATCGTCTCCTCGACGTCGATGAGGAACCGGCGCGGCGCGGAGCCCTTTTCGTCGTGCGACATGCGCCGCTTGCGGTAGTGCGAGTCCTCCTCGAACGCGGGGGCGATCTTGGGGTTGTATCCGTGCAGGTGCGACTTTGCGGAAAGGTGTCAGACCGGGCGCAGCGGAGGTATTGCGCGGGACGAACCTGGCTGTAAGTGCGCGAGCGCGAAAATGATTCGGCTCCACCATAGTAGATCGAGGCGTCAGTCTGGGCACTGCTCGAGCTCAATGCTTGGTCTTCCACAAAGGTGACGCCCGCGGGGTGGTTGAGTGCCGGGGCCATCGAGAGTGAGTGAGCTGGCGAGAAACAAGTGACAAGGGAAGAGTGCAAGCGGGGTGAAGGTTGGAATGAAGTAATTGAGTTCGGCCCGAGATTTATTTATGGTCGTTGGTCTGATTGGCGGGCAACTCGAACCTGGTTGGCTGTCACACCTGTGCCCTTGATCTTGTCTGCCCGCCTCCGTGGGTTATGAGTCTGAAGTCGTGACACGTTCAACCTAAAAATGCCCTGGACGTATCTGTCCCTTCAAACCTGATGTTGGCCAGGCTCGATGGATTCGCACCCACGCCGAAACAAGCGCGCCACCGGCCGTGCATTTGAGCTCTGCAAGACTGCACGCATACGATCCGCGGATTCAGAAGCAAGGATGGTCGCTTCAAACAGACCAAACGACGCTTGGACACGGAGACGTGGCGTTCTGGAGCGGGTCTACTCGGCTGTGGGCATCTAGGGTTGCACGTGGATTTATTGACTAGTACAACGTTCAGACTCGCACGCGACGCCGCCTGACGCGTTGTTGATTCACTCACTAGCACAGGAGGTATTGGTCTATCCCCCTCTTGCGCCGCCTGGATCTTTCTCGCCGGTCGTCGGTGGTATCTGTGGTTTGAGTTTGCCGTAAAGAGGCAGGTCGCTTACTACATGAAATGGTGCTTTGACGGAGAAGATTTGAAGAGGATCACCGTGCACACTGTGTCATCTCCGCGGCAAGCAATCCGACGTGAGAACTCGTTGCGATACAGTATTACTATTACTGAGTGGGTAAGTGAGTTCGTCTTCGCGTTGGAGGCATTATGCAATTAAGTGATCTATAAGCACACAAGACTCTGTCGCCGTGCCAATCTTGACCTCCTTCCCCGATCTCCTGAGCTATTCGACGACAAGAGAAGCTTAGCTGAGGCCGAAACACCGGACGGCAACTGCCGAGGACAACAGCGATGACTCGAGCACCGCTGACGCTATCCCACAAGACGCTCGACTACACATCCACTTTCGCCTTCTTTGGCAGAATCAAACTTCTTCGAAACCACCTTCGAGCTCGGACGCTCGTTTGCTTCAGGTCTTGTTGCTCTGAAGGCAGAATTGACTGCATGTGGATGTCCCGGGTACCCACTTTCATGTATCGGACTCTCCGTCGCTCAGGATCCGCCACCTTCGTTTTCGCCTGTATAACAAGTCTGCACCCTCGGACCGTCCGTGATTATCTGTCGCGACATCTTGGACGGAACGGCATGCGTTAATCTTGCTCGCGGTCTCGCGTAGAGTGCCGAGATGGAGACCGGCTTGCGTGTGATGGATACTGTAGATGAACGGTTGTCACCGCCATCGAGCACGACTCGAAGAAGCGTTCGCATCACAGAGCCATCTACGAGCTTCAGCTAGAAATGCATATAATCCGCTGGGAGAACGCTTTGTCTCGCAGATTGTCGAGCTATGAAACGGCTCCGGCTGTACTCTCACCTCACGCTGCCAGCTGGATATCTCAAGGCGGCCTGGAATGTTTTCCTGCTGATCTGCACAAGACCTCGAGCTCCGGCCCAATCCAATGCCTCGCCGACGCAAAACTCAAAGATGTCGGGGATCTAATCTGCCGTTCACCTTGAAACAAAAGCTAGCGAGAGGCAGCAAGCGAGACACTTGGCGAAGATCTTCGGTGTTTGGGGCGGCAAGCGTTACGCAATGTGTGGGAAGGGAAGGGGATCTTCCGGCTCTTCCTTGGGGGTTGAATTCGAGAGATGGACTACCGAGTTCGGCCCGTCGCGCAAGGCAACAACCTTCGTGCATAAGGGCCATCGCTTCCTCGATCAGGGCTTTAGAGATTTGGCAGTCGATGAATCTTTCAATCGTGTCCCTTGCTGGCTCCGGTGCCTATCGCAGAAGGCGGCCGGCAAGTGACGAGCTGAGCTAATTCAAGACTAGGCCTACGCCCGCAAGAATCCGAGTCTTCCAGCAAGTGGGCTGCCCATCGCCCCGGCGTCATAACAGACTGCCGGGCAGCTTGAGGCAATTAGGTCGTCCATGTCGCGGGGCGAAAATCCATCATCTTGCGCATGAGTGTGCTCGGCGCTGGGTGCGGATTGCCCACTCGCGGTGATGGTCGATTTACCGGGCATGCTCGCGTTCTATGAAGAGATATCTGGCTACGAAGTGGCTGCTGCGCTCTTGGATCGCTAGGAGCGATGGTAAGGCAGGACTTTGGAGGTGGATCCATAGCAGCGGTCGTCCGTAATGTCTCGGTGCTCAGTCTATGTACGAACAGGTTGAGAGTGAACATAGCTCCAAGCTGCAGCGTTCAATTTCCGCTTCAAGTTTGCCTTGTATGGAGCAAGTGTCCAAGAATGGAGCTCTACTATGGGCAAGACAAAACGCGTAAGCAAGCAGCTACGCCAGGTCGAGATCTCTCGCAAAGTCCAAGAGGGTGGAATAACACCAGTTTATTCGCTAACGATACATACTGCAGCTAGAAATACATACTTACCTATACTGTCTCACACCACATCACATCACATACACCCTCTACACCAGGCGGCGGCCCGGGAGCCCCGCCGCGCGGGGATGGTACACCCCATCCTTGCCCAGCACGAGCTTGTCCGCCAGCTCGTGGTTGTGCACCCGGTGCCACCCAAAGTCGTTCCGGTTCACCACCTCGAACCGGCCCGGGATCGTCGCGTGCGGCTTCACGGCGACGAACGAGAGGCCCTGCTCGGGGATCCTCGGCGGGAGCCACGACGGGGTGGTGCGCGGCGTGCGGGCGCGGCGGAAGGGGAACTTGGCCGCGGGCTTCGGCGCCGCCACGGGGGCAGCCGGAGCCGGAGCCGGGCGCGGGGGCGGGGGATACAGCGGCGCCGGGGTGTGCTCGAACAAGTCGATGTACGAGCCGGTGCCCGACGCGGGGCGCACAGGGTTCGAGATCGCCATCTTGAAGCGGTCGTGGTGCCCGCGGCCCCGCGCGTGGCGGCGCGGCGGGCTGGTAAACGCGTCGTTTGCGAGATCCTCCTCGCAGCCGGCGAAGAACGACGACGAGCTCGACGGCCGGCGGCCTCCCCGCTGCTGGTGCTGCTGCGGGAGGAGCGGCGGCAGGGGGCGCGTGTAGCCCATGTGCGCGAGGGTGTCCCAGAACACAATCGGCACGCGCCGGCAGAAGTTCTCCCACAGCGGGGACTCCCACTTGTCGCCCATGAGGCGGACGCAGAGGAGCAGCAGCAGCGCGCACGCGGGCCCGGACCAGCGCGTGAACTCCATGTAAGCGGCGGCGGCGGTGTTGAACCGGATATGCCAGAGGGTGAGCGGGAGCTGCGGGATCGCGCCCGAGGCGCCGTCGAGGCGGAGCGCAGCTGCGGAGATCGCCGCGAGCGCGTTGTTCTGGACCATGCCGAAGATGAGCAGCGGGCCAGAGATGAGCAGCGGCGTGAGGAGCGCGAGCAGGGACAGGCGAATGAAGCGGTCGAGGGTGAGGTTGTTGTGTGTGCTGAACGGCACATCCAGGACCTGAGACGCGCGATGCTTGTAGGCGACCCAGAGATTCGATGTAGAGAACAGGATAGATGAGATGCAGAAGCAGAGAGGAGGGAGATACATGAACACGAGCGGGAAGAGGCCGGCAACGGGGTCAACCGCACACCCGATGTCCTCGACGATCTTGTACTTGTGCGCCTGGTTCGCGATGTTCATGATCGCGAAGGCGATCGGCAGAACGAAGCAGATGACACTGTCGTTGAACGCTCGCCACGAGCGCTGCACAAACTGTCAGCAAAAAAATAAAACGCATAGATCAAGAAAACACACTTCGTCTTTCGAATCCTCAACTTTGGGATCCGGATTGACAATGCTCCACAGACGGCGGCTTGCACAGAGACAGGAGGCAGGGATGCCGAATGACGCAGACAGCACGATGCCGGTAGCTTTATCGAATCAGAAATCCAGCTGAACATACAAACCAAACACCGCCACTCACAAATCACACACCATCCCGGTGCTCGGTCATCAATGCTCCCAATCCACACCACAGAATTGAAGTACTGGCTGAAGCACACGGTGCACACCCAGAAAATAAAGCCCACATTCCCCACGTTCCACAACTCGAACGCGGAGAAAAGCGGGAGGGGAGAGAAGAGGGACGCGAGGAGAGAGAAGACGATAAAAGGAACAGTGGCAGGGGCAGGCATGGTAAGGAAGGTACGTTTGATATGAGGCTGGTTGGTCGAAGGACTGAGCCGACGGTGGCAAAGAGCGTATGTTTGATATTCGCTGGGCGGGATAACTGAACCCTCCGAACGTATGCCACCGTCCTTATATACGCCCCACCAACAATGTGCCGCGCATGGCCTGCTAAAGCGCATCGGTAGCTGGAAACGGCATCCCAAACCGGAGGGACAATGGAGAATCGGTTTGCTTCGCTTCGCACCGCCGCTTTGGAGTTTTGATCGCGGCCCCGTCAGAGACAATGCATGCCAGTATCGGCCCGGATAAGACTTGGTATGCCCTCATCTTCGTATTCTGTGATCATGAAGTACTGCCCAGGTCCCGAGATTCCGTTGACGTAATCGTCGCGAAAGGCCGCCATGGCCAGAGGACGCGTCGTAGGGTCTCCGTGAGCATGTGACCGCGATTTATGATATCGATCACATCAAGTCTGCCGAAAAGCCTCGAGAGTCGAGATCAAAAACATCGTGCCGTAATTGATCGCCTTCTGCACACCAGTTGGCCGCCAGCAAATGCCGCTCGCGAAGTCAAGAGTTGTTGCTGGCGAGAAAAACTCACGTGCGGACAACGCGGTCACGTGTCATCGATGATGGCGTGCTACGGAACTCGCAGGAGATGGTTATCTCATTTCGTCCAGGTTTGGACCGAGTTATCGACGGGCCATGCATAAGAGGCGAATGAGCCCGTCCAGCTCCCAAAAATCCCAGCATGGTCCGCAAGGCCTGGCTTTTTGATCCCATGGCGAGAATCACCGTCCTGCGACTCCTAATCCTCTCGCACATCTGCACGTTGTTGTTCCGCGGGCTGTTCGTGACATGCTATGGGACGACTCTGCCGAAGATTGTGCCTGTGCCGATGGATGTGTGTTTTGTGCTGGATCACTATCTAGCTTGAGTCTCTGTCGCGTCTTTCGGAACAGGTTCGGTCGACCATACTGTAGGTTGTTCGAGTGGAAAGTCTCGGGAATAGCGCTAGCGGATCTCGTGTTGCTTGTCCTAGAAGCCGCAAGAATGCGGCGGCTCAAAGCACTGACGAGCCAGCAGCTTCGTTTGTCCTCGGGGTCCGCCATCGGCACCACGTCGTTCTTCATGTTGCCACATCTCTGCGCGCTCGTCTTGACCGTCCCGTTCCGCCTCGCCACCATAGTCCGGATCAAGGAGCGTTCCTACCGGCAGAGGTTGGCGTTCCTAGTCGAGCGAGAGATCCCGTTTTTCGCTCGGCATCGTCCTCAGTCTATCCGTTCACCGGCCACTTGTCCGGTGCGTGGACATCTCGCACTGCTCCTCTGCTTGACCTTCTCCTCACGTTTGTAGCGGCGAGTCAAGATGCATCGCCGCCGCACGCGCCGTCGTCCTCATCTCGTCGTGATCGCCATCCCCTGTGTCACGCGTGTCGTCGCCCTCTCGCCGCCCGACCTCTCCGAGTTCGGTGTGCACGCAGAGGGCGCCCAACGCCTGCCCGACCGACTTGCCATCGGGTACCGGCTGAGCAATGCAGAGTGGCAGGATGGTGCTGTCCAGAATGTTTCGATCGCTGCAGTATTCGCCCCGTTCGTTGACCCCAGCGCAGAGAACTCGATGACCTGCGAGACGATCGCGCTGAACAGCCGGGCTGGCTAGTCCAATGTGGGTTGCAAAAGCTGCCCACGCATGCGGCTGATTCACATCACCGCCAGGCCTTTTCGGGTGGACGGATATGGAACACTTGAGCATCTCGCTCGACGTTCCACCGGACTCGGATTGCGTCTATCTGACTCTGACTGTGATGTCGCAGGACATGCGCGTGCAGCCCTCGAATGACGACGTCATCCTGCTCCTCGCGCAGTCCCGCCTCGTCGGCGTAATCACAGTCGGACGCTGGTCCGCGCGTCCGAAACAGTCCTTTCCTCGGATTCGGTGAATCGTCGTTCAGATATCGCATATCGCTCCATCCAACACGACACGACGCGATGTCACCTTAAAGGGGCTGCCGCTAAACTCGTACATATTCGTGCCCTCCATCTCGGCGCTGCAGCAGAACCTCTCCGCGGACGAGACACTCGGCCCCATCCCCAGCCCTGGCAGGTCCGCGCGGCTGACGCTGGTCCAGCCCAAGCCGTTCGTCGCCACGATCCTGGAGGACCACTCGGACAACTCTGCGTTCTCTGACATCTGGACGTTGGCGGGTTCTGGACGTTCGTGAACGGCGTGTTCGCGCTCGTGTTCGGCGCGAACATCGTGTACTTCGCGCTCGGTGCGTCGAATCGCCCTGTGTGCACCCTCCAAGCGACCTCGGCTCCCAGGTCCAGCGGATGGTCGCTCGCTCTCTGCGCTCGGCCTCGTGCACATGTTCCACCAGGAGCGCTCCCTCGTCGACTCAGGGGTGGCACGACGACTTTTCGGCGCTCCGCGATGAGGGTAGGAGACCGGGCACCGCTTCGGAGGGCATCGTCGCGTTCGTTAGGGAGCGGCTGGTTGATGTGGGGAGCCTGGAAGACGAGCGGCACGATGGGTTTGAGGACAAGACGGCGTCCTTGACGAGTCAAGTGGATCGGCACATTGGAGCGACGTTACTGATCTGGATTGATGATGCTCCAAACTAAGTGCGCATGCGTAGCTTGCAAGTGGGACAGTGCCTGCACTGGGTTCCTGGGCATGTCGTAGAAAAGGAAAGAAGTATGCAGCCAAAGCACAAGTTTGACAGCCAGTGGAACAGACGGGCAGGCATGTCAAAGCAGAAGAGAGTGCTACCACGACCAAAAATATGCTCTCAAAGAGGGTCGAACTCTTGACCTCCAGATTAGATGACCAAGGGTCACTCATAGGTAAATATGAGACTGGCGCTCTAACCAACTGAGCCATGAAAGCGTGGGAGGTGGAAATTAGATTACATTCTCGACTCTCATATAACGCTAAGGGAATCATTACATCTTAACGCGTGTTCCTAAAGTGGACTGGACACTTTGTCCGCCTTGTCACCTTGCACTTACCCAATCACCACGACGTTGTCATCCGTCGAGGCTTTCATGATCTCGCTGCACAGGACTTCCAAGGCAAAGTTAACGTCCATACAGCACTATACGAGTGCAGTCTCGACCATCTGTCATATTTTACTACTACAAGTTCTTTTTGGATCCTATGGTACACGCGGGCACAAGTTGTTACAGCACCAAGCATTCTAACAGCACATTTCGCACGGGCAGCCTGGTGGGAAGTGCGTTCAGCCGACGACCCGTGGATCAAGCAGGTAAGCAGGATGGGTGGTACGCACAGACGATGTCGGCGACACACTCGCAGCAGTCCTACGGGGGCCCATGAGATCAGCGCTCCACCGGCGGCGGCGTATCGGAGCTCGACGCACCTCGCATCCCTCTGCACAAGTGCGAAGTCCGTCAGCGTCCCCTCGCGGATCGAGTGTGAAAGGGCTCGGAGCCGGGACGTACCGCAGCAGAAGAAACAGGCGAGTGCCCCGAGGAAGCAGTCCTGGTGGGGGGAGTCACCGCAGGTCAGACTCTGCGAGGCGAGCGGGCCATGTGTGATCAAGAAAGACAGACCTTGCCCGCACCGGCACCCCGCATGCGCCAAGTGTTGCGTTCGTGGTGTTGGCAAGCACCATGCTCAGCCTGGGCTGGGGTCTTCGGGAGGACGCCTGATAAGGCGGATTGACACACAGCCGACAGTCGCTCGGCTCAGTGCTCAGAACGTACTCATTTCGGTCGCCTGTGGTTGCGCGTTGGTGGTGGTTTTCGCGGGAGCAGACATGGTGGGAGTGCAGGAAGATAGGTGGAGAGGTGCAGGGATCTGGAGGGAACGAGACATTTATAGGCTCGAGGAGGGATCAGCGTGCATGATGTCATGAGCATGTTCATAGCTGGGGCGTCGGTCGCACGCAGATACGTTCTTAAAATAGCCTTGGACCAGCGCAATCAATATGACCAAAGCCAATACAGTCAACGGACTCGATGGAACAGGTTGCAGCAGGACTACAGGAGCCGACGTAGGTGTCCATCTCGGTACATTAACGAGGTCGGACGGGGTACACGAGGCACAGGTTCGAGGATAAGACGGTCGTAGCAACACTCTAGCAGCACATCTCGCAGGGGCAGCCTATGTTCGCAATCAGCATCGGCGGCAGTATAGCGACATCATGGGACTACGCACAGATAATATCGGCAAAGCACTCGCAGCAGCCCTAACACGTTGCGTCAGTATCAACAGCGCCGAGCACGGACGGAGTCCACGAGGCCGCTTGCAACACACCTCACAGCACTCTGTAATAAAGCCGCATTAGCATTCCACGGACCGAGGGGTGAGTAAGCAATTAAGGAGACGCACCGAAGCAGAGGAAGCAGCCGAGCGCGCCCATCAGGCAGTCCTAGGAGGCAGCAAAGCTTCGTGTGAGATCGTACCACAAGCGGCGTCGGCCCAACGCACCTTTCCGGCACCAGCGCCCCGCATGCGCGAAGACTTGTGCTCGCAGTGCTGCCCGTGCTTGCCCGCGGTGCCGTTCTCAGCCTGCGACGGGGTGCCCATCACCGCTGCGGAGAAGGAGGAATCCGATTCAGCACACAAACGGAGAGAACGCGGGTGGATTCGCAAGGGACGCACACATCTGGACGGCTTGCGGCTGGGAGGTGTTGGTGGCTTTGGCGGGGGTCGACATGGCGGTGGTGGTATGTAGCGGTAGTGGTAGTGAAGGGGGGGATTTCAGCGGGTGGTATTGTCAAGCTGGGAGATCGAAGATCTATTTATAGGCCTGTTCGTGGCTGTGGTCAGATCCATTCGTCCCACCTGAAAGCAGCCCGTGGCAGTGACGATCCACCTCGTGGCTGTGATGATATCACATGTACCATATCGGTGTTTGGAAATCGGACTCGACGCCAACAATGCACGGAGACTGGGCCGGACTGGCAAGCGCTACGACAGGTCCAAGCGAACCTCGGGTGGGATTCCAATAGTTCACCGCAACAGAACCTCGTAGTATACTTAGTATGCACCCCCCCCTACGCACCTCCCTGGAAACAGCGTCGCGAGGCAAGTCTCTGTGCCCGGCCCGCGAGGCTGTTCTGTCCTTCGTCCTTCCTTGTGCCCGCAGCAGATATGCCGCAGGCTGTGCATACGAACCCTGATGCACCAAAAAAGAAACCAATCTCCCCGCTTCGCCTGTCATATGAGCTTCCCCGTCAAATGGCTTCTCATTCCCCTTGGCGAGAATCAGAACCCCGCATTTGAGTCGACGGTTTTTTTTTTGGTCGAGCTCGTTCAAGCAGCCAGAAAAAGATCGCGCTCAAAGCGTCGCTTGACAGACGATGCCGGGACAGCGGATAGATACCGACCGGCCATCGGACGAGATTCCCTGCGCGGACGGAAACGCGAAGGGCATGACGTTGTCATTGTTGCTCGAGGCGGTGGTGATGATGGCAGAGCACACGGCTAGACCGCTGGACCAGTCCTCCGAGCGTGGGATCCACCAGAAATATTCGCGGTCTGGCACCCAGCCTCCAGGCGCAGTTAGGGTATGTAGTTGTCCGCTTTGGCATTTAATTGGATTGGAGTCGTCGCTGCACAGCCTATAATGGGCTGTGCGGGTGTGATGGATCCGGTTGGATCGGGGTAGGAATGGAGGAATTGCTGCGTTAATCTCAACGTTCAGAGTGAAAACTCTGTTGTAAGGTATCCAAGTGAGCCCCAAGAGAAAGAGAGACAATAAAACGAAAACTAGACTTGTTCGCAAGTGCACTGAATCTCATAACCAACGCCATCACGGCGGGATCAACGCGCAGCAAGCGTACGGAATAAGTAAGTCCCCTGTGCGAGGTTTCGTTCCTGTTCTGGGCGCAAACCCCATCGGGAAAGCACTGGTTGCGGGTTGGAATGCCTTTGATATCGGGGATTGGTGCAGGATCACAGCCCATGGACGTGGAGTATGGGGCCCCTCCGGGATAGAGTTGAACAAGGTCAGATTCACGACTTTCTACTCCCAAGAATAGGATTTGACTTTGCCGTCGGGAGCCCAGCCCAATGTGCCCCTCAATTTTCCGGCCAAATCAGCACCGGAAAAGTCTGCTCACTTATTTTCAGCAGATCTGGGACAAGTTTAAGATGTCCGAAATTTCCATGTATCGTCCGTTTGGCTCTCCCGCGTATCCAAGAAGTAATGATCTACATTCCGAGCACATCGTTGAATAACGCTTGGGGGGGGAGCAAATATTGTTACTGTTCAACGAAACAAACCGGTACAAGGTCTCTGTACCAGATTTCCAGAGGCCGCCACGGCCGCGTGGCTTCTTTCCAAACTTACCTCCCCCATGGCTTCACAGATATCAAGAACACAGCAGCATCGGGACACCGGTTGAGAGGCCCGATCTCGCCGCGGAGGATGAATCTAGGGCACCCATGACCAGACAGACGCATGGCAACAGTGTAGAGGAGAGGGTGTGCTGTCGTTACTCTAAGGTTAAGAGGGTTGTAGCATGGCCTGCGGTGTCGTTCTTAGCCTGTGCCGGGATATCCATCACTGCTGCGGGGCAGAAACCTGATTCAGCTTCTGGACTCCTCGGACGCGCACATTCGGACGGCCTGCGGCTGGTAGGCTTTGGTGGCTTTGGTGGGATGATGTCGGTGGTGGTAGTGTAAGACCAGCGATCGGAGAGATTTTCACTCGGCAGTGTCAACGGTGAACTTGCGGTATCCCATTTACAGATCATTTCGTGGTAGGGATGACGCACGTCCCACATGTTTCGGCGCTTGAACATCGGATTCAAAATGAACGGATTTTGAAAGTCGGGGCCCAGATAGCCACGGGGAACAATCTGCTTCGTGGGCTGGGAGATCGATCGCGCGCGGGTGCGATACCACATGTACAGTATCGGCGTTTGGATGTCGGACTCGGACTCAACACCCACAATCTTGTTACGGATATGAAGCCGAAATGGAAACGCAGCCGGTCCCAGCGAGGGCTGGATACAGCAAGGACTTTATCTTCAGATCATCTGATACTTACAACCAGACACTGCATGCAGACGGGCCGAGCCGGATTTTCTTTGTGCGCGCAGAAACAGTCACGTTCAGGGCTGCGCAGGCTGCCAAGGATGCATGCCGTATAAGCGAACAGACATACTCTACCGTCCCGCTTCGCCTGTCACCTGAGCATCGACGTCAAACGCCTTCCCACTCTCTTCGGCGCGGACGAACGCCTCGCACTCGACGCGGCTCTTGTCCACATCCACCAGCCAGAGAAAGACCGTGCTGAACGTGCCGCTGGGCCAGGTCAGCCAACACAATATCCACGGCGCGGGACCGGGCCGCCATCGGGCACTCACAGCGCGAACAGAAACGCGAAAGGCATGTTGTCGTTGTTGTTCGAGGCCGTGATGATGGCAGAAGACACGACTATCCGGGACCATTGCGTCAGACGTCCTTCGACGTGGAATGGGTCAGAGTGACTCACAGGGGCCGATGAAAGCCGATGTCTTGCCAACCTGGATCAAAGATGGTGAGCGCTGCGCGGTCGCTGAGCCTCGTGGTGGTTGTGCACGGCCTACCACGGAGAACAGCGCAAAGAACAGGAACCTGTGCATCGCGCGTGAGAATCGACCCAGGCCGCGGCGAAAGAAACAGGCAAACATTTGGGGTAGCGGCGAGACTTCGCTGATCATGGTCTGCGAGTAGGCATACCAGGGACAGACCATCAATCCATAGAAGGCTTGATATGCCCTGCCGTTCACGGCTCACTCTCAGTCCCACGGCAAAAAAACATCGATCTACACACCAGATCTCCCAAACATGCTTGAAACCGAACTTATCTGTGTGCACTCCAATGAGTCCCCAGATCGTTAAAACCTGGAATTTTGGCTCAATCAGTGTCTGATCAGCACACAACAAACTCACGATGATCCAAAAGACGTTGAACGACAACATCTGGGGCAAGGCTAAAAATCAGCCAGCAAGCGCGGCATGCGAACTGACCGCTTTGGTACTGATTCGGAACCGTTTCTGCACCACCCAGAATGCACTTGCTCGTGTGTGAATTAACCGGTCAGATCGCAGCATAAATGTCACACTGACTATATTCCCGCAGCCTGGGCGGCAATTCCGACTATCAGAAGCAGAGTCAGTTGCAGGGTCGAGTACGCCACGACACTTTATCCAGATCAGACGCGACTATAAACAGGAATCAAACGCACCTGTTTTGGAGCGTGCCGATGACCGTCCTGGATAGCAGCTAATAAGGCATGTGATTTATCGAGACAAGACACGAAAACTCACACGGTGGTATTCAGGACATCACCCCTGGAAATCTAAGTAAATACACGCACCAAATACAACATAACCCGACCCGCTCACATGAGGAAATAGAAAATCAGATACAAAAACGTCTGCTTCAGCCGGAGACACTCCCGAAACGCAACATACGTCTGCTTGAACCCGATCGTCAGCAGAGTGCTTCCCGGGGGAAGCTTCAATCCCGGCCGCCGCTTCTCCAAGACAAACCAGGGCAGCGCGCACAGCAGCCACACCGCACCCGAGAACGCGATCAGCACACTGAAGGCCTTCGTGTTGTTCGCTGTGCTGGCGCCCGCGTTCAGGCCTTTGATGATGCCGACCATCACGACTAGGATGATGATTTCGCCGAGGGAGGACACCGTGAATGAGATGTTGGAAATTCGGTTCCGGGACAGTGAAGTCAAAGCAGCGTGTTCTTCTACGCTGAGTGGATTTAATCAGAATCCGAAAGATTTCGCGACGACTTGGATCACGTTTTATTTCCTTCTTTCACTTCTTCCAAGCTGGTCTGCACTTCCGGCAGGTCACGTGCAAGGCCAGCAAACGCGGCGGTCCAGAACGTCAACGATCCCTGCAAAACGAGTCAGGGGAAATTGTTTTCAGGCAGGCAACACAACAGCACCTGATAAGCGATTACTGATAATGTGCATCAATGGACTCTGTGGATCAAGTTATCCCCAAATCCCACTCACATCCTAGAATGTACAGCGCGACCCCAACTCTCCAATGCGACGCGTCCTCCACCCCCAGCCAGGCAAACGACACGGCCACAGCGAGGAGCGTGAAGAAGACGGTGATGTTCGGCCGGAACGTGCCATAGTCGGCCCACGCGCCGATGATCAGCAGCAGCGCAGCTTGCACGGCAAAGGAGATCCCATTAGCTTGTCCGGGATCCGTGAGCGCGCGGTCTCGCGGATGTGAAGGCAGTGGAATCACTCATTAGGACGATCGAGTTGACTGGTTGAATCCTTAGGAATCGCGGTGCGTTTGGTACGGACGGGAGACAGGACACGCACTGTCACGCACGCGCCCGAGATAAGGCAGAACACACCCATTCGCGCCGCAGGGAGCAGCGAAAGGTGCTTGTGTCGGATCGTACCCTGCTAGGTACAGGAGGTTCTGGAATTGAGATGGCCCGAAGTTGAAGCTGTCGACAGGTGAGCGGGTCCGATCATATCTGGAGGTGCGCCCGCGTATACCCAGATAGTCCGTTGTTCCCGACGTAGTAGAGATAGTAAGCCCACAACTCCTTGCGCGTCGTCGTCCATTCCGTCGGTGCGGCGTGCGAGCTCGTGGGATCAAGTTCCACTGGCGGGGTGCGCGGCGATGATTTCTCGTCCGTCTCAGACATTTCAGAGTTGAGATGGTGGGAGGAGAGAAGGAGGATAAGATATCATGTCAGCATGTCAATCGCGAAGGGCACTCGGCACGCTCCACCCACGGTCAAAATGATCACGCGAGGAAAATAAAACTTGGAATATCAGTTGTTCCAGGGCTGAGGTGCACAATAAAAAATCAGGATACATAGAAGCCGACCGCCCACACCTGTCTTCGAGATGGTTGGGCTATAGGTGTGCGAAAAAGAATTGTTGAAACAGGCGATGATCGGGGTTAGGGTCAGCCCTGCAGCCCACGGGTCACTCCGGGAACAGCCGGCGTTACTCTCAAAACTTGTGCACACGCCATTACGCCGTTCTGGGAAGCTGGATGTACCGCACGCTGCCGACAAGGCGTCTTGGGTCGGGCGGGGCGGTTCGGGTCGTTAGACGGGTGCGCGAAAACCTCCCTCGCAGCCGCACACGCAGCGCACCGACTGACTGACTGACCACTCCATCCACAGCGGCTAGCCACCGAGGCAGCGCCCACGCCCGCCGGGCCCGCCCCGAAAAAGCGACACATCGTCCGCAACCTCTTCCTGACGAGCACCGGTCTCGTCGGGACATTTTACCTCGCCTCCCCCTTCCTCGCATTCAAGAACGAGATCTACTACGAGTTTTTCACAGACAACGTGCCGCTGGGGCACGCTGTCATGGACTACGCGGAGAGCAACGACTGGAACAAGGCCACGCCCGAGTCCGTGCTCGCGGACGTGCAGAAAATGCTCGCGGATGCACAGCGCTTCGTCACGGACAAGATCAACGGCACGACGGCGTCGGGCACCGTGCAGGACACCAAGGCCGCCGCGCGGAACACCAAGGAGGCTGCCCTGCGCATCGTCCAAGAATCCAAAGACCGCGCCAACGCGGCGGCCGCCCGCATCAAGACGGAGGTGAAGAAGGACGTCGCAGAGACCAGCGCGGTCGTGAAGCACCAGTCTGAGCAGTTCACGCGCGAGATCAGGGAGCTCGTGCGCGATGCGGAGAACGCCCTGACGCAGGGTGTAGAGGTCGCTGCTCTCGCTACGGAGTCGGACGTCTCGGCTCCTCCCCCCGCTTCAAAAGACACCGCACCCGATGTCTACGACGCTCCTTTGCCTGTTGGATTCGAGCTCCCCCATGGATACAGACGTCCGCCTCCTCCTCCTGCACCGAAAGAGCCCGAGCCGGCAATGGAGCCCCTTCCTCGCCTCACGCCTGCCCTAGTTTCCATCACAGGTTCTGAGCCCATCGTGGCGCATCTGGCCGGCACCATCGACAACCTGACTACCTTCGTGGAGGCGAACCCGGCATCTGCGGCGCAAGCTGCTCCCGTGATCGATGCCGCCAAAGCGGACCTGACCGCCCTCGTGGAGCGGATCGAGAAAGTGCGCGAGACGGAGCGCACGGAGCTCGAGGCCAAGCTGGACGACCAGACGCGCGAGTACACTGTGAAGCTGCTGGAACTCGAAATGGAGGCGCAGGACAAGCTGGATGGCCAGGAACAGGACTTCCGCCGATTCTTTGATGAAGAGCGGGCCAAGTTGATCGATGCGTATAGACTGAAGCTGGAGCTTGAGTTGGAGACTCAGACAGAGCTCATCAACGAGCGGTGCGTTGGGCTCATTTTTGCTCTTGTTTTCTTCCTCTCATAAGTTACAGACTCAAGGAAGAAGTCGTTGCCCAGGGCATTGAACTCCAACGCCGCTGGATTCGCGAGGTCAAGGTCCACGTCGAACAAGAACGCGGAGGCCGACTGGCGAAGATCGAGGAGCTGGCGACCAACCTGAAGAAGCTCGAGCGGATCGCGTTGGACAACTCGGTGTACCTGGACGAGAACCTGCGGATCCACGCGCTGTGGTCCGCCCTCCGCGCGCTGACAGCCTCGGCCATCAGCAGCCCCGTGCGCAAACCGTTCCGCGAGGAACTGCGCATCGTGCGCCACATCTCTGCCGCCCGCGACGACGAGGTCGTAGCCGCTGCCCTCGAGTCCCTCGAGGCCTCGGACGTTCCCGACGTCGGCGTCGAGCCCTTCGCCGATCTGGCGACGTGGTTCGCACGCGAGGTCGCGCCGAAGGTCGCGCATGTGGCGTTGGTCCCCGAGCAGGACGCGGGGCTACTCTCGCATCTCGCGAGCCGCGCCTTCGCCGCTCTCCAGTTCCGCCGCCAAGGTCTGGTCGCGGGCGATGACGTCCTGAGCGTCCTCGCGCGGGCCGAATACCATCTCAACGAGAAGGATCTCGACAGCGCGGCCCGCGAGCTCAACCAGCTCAAGGGGACCGCCAAGCTGCTGTTGGCGGACTGGCTCGATGCTGCGCGCAAGCGGCTGGAGGTCGAGCAGGCCCTCGAAGTCGTGCAGGCGCAGGCGACGTTGGCATCCTTGTTGGTAGTGTAATGCAGCATCATACATCCATAGAGAACTCCTGCAACACAACGCCAACATCTTGAGTCTATACTTCAAGCCGGGTCCGTGTTCTGAGCTTCGCTTCGGCTAAGAAAGGCGAAACGCCGGGGCCCTGAATAAATGATGCGCTTCCTCCGAGAAGCACTATCTAAGAAGAAATGATACCAGTGGGGCAAGTGTGACCTGATGAAATGAATGGGAGCTTCATCCGCGGGAGCGGTGTAATAATGAAAGGATAGAGGATCAAAACGTTCCGACACGGGGAATTGAACCCCGGGCTGCCGCGCACTCGATCTCATTAGTGAGAGGCGGCAATGTTAGCCACTACACCATATCGGATGTGAACAACTTGTTCAAGAGAGCATTCCATACGTCGTATCAAATGATCCAATGACCCACCGCCTCGCACTCTCGGAAGAAAAACGACATCCTTTAAGCTCTGAATTTCGCCAATGAAATGACTAGTTGCGTAGTGGACCCAAGAGATTTCTAAATAGACGTTCTGGAGCCAGCCGCTCTGGTAATCGGCTGGATGGCCTCGGCCCAGTCAAGACTAAATGATGCAGGTGACAGGCTCCAAAACTGGCGCAACTATGACCAACAGCAATGAGAACATCTATGAAGATAGCAAGACAAGAGAGCATCCGAATCTACTTATGTACAAAACAAAATGAACCACCGAATCACTCAACGCTGACGCACGAGTCCATCGAAAACTTGCCCTGAGCCACCAGCTGGCGCAGATGGGCTTCCTGTTTGGCAACACCCGCAAGCGCCTCCCAGGCGCCCCCCATCCCCAACGCCGAGCGCTCCCAGATCGCCTTCGCCTTCGGCGCGCTCTCGGCGATCCTTTGCATCGTGTCCAGAATTTCCCGCACGGTGAATTTGCCTGAGGATTCCTGGTTCGACAGCGCCACCTTGAGGAACCACGCGTGTTTCTCGTCGTCTGGCGGGAAACACGCCGCGGCTTTGAGGTATTCGGGAGCCGCCTTGGCTTGGTATTCCCGCGCATCCTCGGGGTGGAGGCGGATCAGCTGAACCTGGAGGAACCCGCGCATGCTGCGTGGCACAGGGTCAGACCCGTTCGGAGACATGATGATGCAAAACTCGACGCACGAGTATGCCTGGCCCTTGGGATACAAGCAGAAGGAGCTCATGAAACCGGGGTCCAGCGGTTCCTGTGGCTTCGGCAAGGCCATGAACTCTTCGATCTCACGAATGAGACGATCGGCCTCGGTCTGCAGCAAGTCCAGCATCTCAGGAGCCGTGTTCGGATTATACGCCTGTGTGAATGACATCAACCAACCAACCGAACACGTCTTCTGGCGACGCGGAACCCGCACCTGCATGATGGCCTCCAGATACATCTTCGCGATCCCAAACTCGAACGTCTTCTCAAAGATCACGCCGCGGTCGTCCTTCGAGCTGGACGACCACTTGTCTCGCAGCGTGCGGATGACGAGCAGGCAGTTCTTGTAGAAGTCCACGGAGACAGTATGTTGTGCGCGCAAGCCTCCTTCCATGAGGGCACGCATCATCCATGCTCTGTGACATCCACACACCGTGAGATGGCAGCGGGAGCTGAGTCGACGGCGGTTGGAACACGCACCGGACAGTCACCGCCAAGGCATGCCGGACGGATCTCCAGCCATCGCGTTCCTGCCTCTCCAAGGCTTTCTGTATCACGAGTTCCGGGCCTTCGTGCGTCCACGCTCTCACCGCGTTCGCCTCAAAGATGACTAGGAGATGGTCGGACTCGTGAATAGACTGCTTGACCGCGGCAAATCACCGGCGACCACCGACCTTGCTTGTTGAACTTGACTAGGAACTGTGGATCGCTGATGTGCATGACCCGTTCGTCGCGCATGATCCCATTCGACATAGCTGCCAGTGCCTGGGGCACAATCAGATTAGCGCATCGCCTCCCCTCGTAGTAGTGCTAGAAACACGTACACCCAGCATGCCTGCGACTCCAGCGTTATCGGATGCCTCGTAGGGACGCATGAAGTTCATCTTGCCGACACCTTCCGCGAACTCCTGTGAAAAGATCAGCCCGACGAAGGAGCGTGCTGCTGCCGATCCCACGCGCCTCATACGCGTAGTGGATGACCCAGGCCTCCAGATAATCGTCAATAGTGAGATCGCAGCGCGCGGAGGGAGCAGACACACACTGCTCGCCAGCACATCCGGGTTCATCCGCGCCTGCGCCCTGAGCCGGGGGATCATCTGGCTTGCGACGGTCCACGGGAAGCTGCCTGCGTCGTTCTGCGCGACGAGGTGAGCTCGCGCATCGTACGTCTGAGATAAAGCAGCCGCTTTGATGGCGGCCTTCAGCCCCGCCTCGTACTGCAGCTTCTGTGTCGTCTCCGAGGGCGTGAGGCCTGATTTCGGGAGCGCGTCGAGGGCGCCGAGCCAGCTCGTCTGGCTCGCCGTGTGGTCGCCCATCGCCTGCAGCCACGGACAATCAGCAGCTGCAGAGGGAGACGCAAGAGAGAGGCAGTGCCGCACTGACGACTTTCGCGGAGGCCAGCCGCCCGAAGGCCTTGGCGTACGTCGGATCGAGGTGCGTCGCGCGCGTCGCGTCGTCCACCGCGTCCATGTACCTCCACGCACGACTCGCTCAGGACCCGTGTACATCATATCTCGCGCATCGCGCGGCGGGGACGGTGGCTTACCGCTTCAGCGAGAGCCGGCACGCGGCGCGGTTCGCGTGCAGCACCGCACGCGTCTTGTCGTCCGAGTCCTGCTCGGAGGCGAGGATCGCTGCTGCGTATTTGGCCTCGGCGGCGGCGAAGTTTTTCGCGTTGAAGAGCGCGTTGCCCTCGGCTTTGAGCTCGGTCACCGACATTGGGATGGTGGCGGCAAGAAGAGAAGAGAGATGGAGAAAATGATAGTTTCGCGCATCATGGTCGATAGATGAGCTAACGTAAGACCTAGGGCTCGCGCAGGGTCGAAGCCGGTGGAGGTAATAGGCATTGACATGAGCTTAAGGTATTAGTAACGAACATGCAGCACTGACCTGCACGGGGTCGTCACATTTGCTGCAGCTTCCGCACCGGTTATCAATCTACCAATCTACAACAGCCATTACGTTGCTTGAGCGCGTCAAGCGTTCTGCGTCTACAACACTTGGAATCCATTAAAACTACTAGAGATACAACAAAGCGCATATAAATATATGCCACTGTAACATGGATGCATGGGAACAGGGAGCAGAGAATGGACATGCATGCAAGGGAAAGAACTCGTTCATTAGCATGGATAAGAAAAAAAAGTCATGAATCCCGTCAGAATGGCGGCCATCTAGCGGCCAGCCATAATCTATCCTCTCTCACCGACGCGGGCCGCCGAACACATCCGACATGGTGGGCAGCATGTATGCCGCATGTGTCAGCGTCGCACCGACCAGTGCCTGCAGCACGACGGAGATATCCACCGCCAGCCGCGTCCATGTATCATTGACTACACGGTGGCTCCGCCGCACCCCAGACGGGCGGGATTTGGACGCCAGCGGCCCACCAGGAACAGTGCTCCTGGCTGAGTCGGACGTCTCGACCCGGGCAAGTGCTTGCCCCAAGCTCAAAGCGGGAGGCGGGAGCGCGAATTCGGCCAGTGACGACTCCTGGTGGTCCCTGCCCTTGCCCTTGATGCTGTATCCCGCCATCGCAAAGACCGTCGCCGGGGACCAGATGGCACTCGCAGGCGAGCAGAGCGGAGAGGCAATACTGGGTGAGGAGAGCACCGAGGACGCGTACGTCAGTGCCGGGGACGCAAGGTCGGAGGTCGAGCTGCTGGGTGACGGGAGCGAGACGGGATACACGGAAGCTGATGTGTATGTTGTCGTCGGCGAGGCAAGTGCCGAAAACGGAGGCGTCACGGGCGACACCAGAGACGACACACTCGAGGCGGACGAGCTTGATCCACGGCGATGGGTCAACACACGGGGCAGCGCGGATCCCGGGATCAGCGATCCAAGCTTGGCTGAGGACAATTGTGGATCCCCGACGGGAACCGAAACACCTCCGCCCTCGACCGCTATGCTTCCTTTCACAACCTCCATGTAGACCTCCACCATTTTGCCCGTGCACCGCTCCCAGGTCCATGCCAAAGCCTGCTGTGCGGCCCGCTGGCCCATTTCTCGGCGCATATCGGGTTCACAGATAAGCACTTCCATCAGCGTCGCGAACCGCCCGACAACGGAGGGACGGCCGGCGAGGTAGACAGAGGAGGATTGGGAACCCGAATCCTCTTGCATCAGGGCATCGGCACTGCCCCAGTGGGCCACCTTGGCATCGTCCAAGGGGAACAGGGGGGACCACGGAGAAGACGCCGAGGCTGCCCCGTAAACGTCAAGCAGGAGACCAGTTTGCAAATGCGTGACCACATCGGCCGTTCCCTCCGCGTACAAGCCAACCACAGGCAACCCAGATGCCATGCCCTGCAGCGTCACTTGCCCAAAAGTCTCTGTGAGGGAGGGAGCACTGTCGTTATGGATTAGAGCGTGGACAGACACCGCGATTGAGGAGAGCGGACCAGATGACATCCGCACTCGCAAATGCTTCGCTCAGTGCACGGCCGGTGAGTTGGCCGGTGAAAATGACATCGGCATGCTCTGCACCACCGGCACCATTCTTGGTGCACGCCGCACGCAGACCGCGACTCTCCGCCAGGGCGCGGAGCACGCCCTCGTACGGGCCGTCGCCGACGAACACCAGCTTCGCGTTCCGGCGCACGCGGGGCGGGAGCGCGGCAAACGCGTCGACGATCAGCGACAGGTTCTTCTCCGGGGAGATACGCGCGACGGACAGGATGACAGTCTTCTCCACCGCGGTCGAAGATGACACGGAGGGTGTACAGCCCCACGATGCTCGCAGATCAGCCGAGCGGAACGTGGGCTGTGGGGCACGAGTTAGCCGGCGAGATGGATAGGCGGGAATTCGGGTAACTCACTGAGAACATACCCGTCTCGACACCTCTTCCGACGACTCTGACGCCGGTGTAGCCCCAGCTCTCTAGTCCCTTGCCGGTGCTCGCACTCGGCACCATCACGGCTTGTCCAAAAGAGTGCAGCCACGCCTGCACGCTCCATGTCCGCGCCGGGAAATACGGGTATCCAAAGATGGCAGCGTACGTCGGCAGGTTCGTGTGGTGGGAGGTCACGATTGGGGTATCGGGGAATAGGGCGCGGAGGGCAAAGAGCGACTGTACCCCGAGCCAGATGGGATCGACCAAATGAATGACATGGGGAGCGAAGTTACGGAGCGCGGAGATGAAGCTAGGGGAGAGGAAACTAGAGAGGATAGATGAGTCGTCAAGTTAAGGATGCGGTGCGTGGAGTGGAAGATCCTCACTTGATCTTGAGGCCAGGGTACACTTTCAGTGGAACACCGTAGGTCCCGAACAACTTCGCGCCGGCGTACTCCTCCATCCCGCTCTCGGGCCCGAAGAGCATGCCCTCGATGCCGACGGCCTGCATATGCTCCAGGAGGTGCGCGAGGGTGACAGTCGACCCGTCGATCTTGGGCAAGAAGTTCTCTTCGCGTCCAAGCTTAGCTTCCAAGCCAAGACCGCGAATAGCGCCGCACTCACCGGCGACAATGGCTACCCGCAGTGGCTCGATGGGCTGCTCCACGGCCATGGTCGTGTCCATCGTCATGCTTGGCCTGAGAGGTCCGTCGTAAGATGCGAAGAGAGACAGACAGGAGAGAAACGGGTGCAGACAGAAAGGGCGGGGGCACGCACGCGCCAATCAATGCAGCTGATCTTATAGACGAAAAGCTGGAAGCAGGCGTGATGATGATCCGAATCTGGGACCGTTCCTCGCCCTTCTCGACTTCTATGTGTTCTTGCCTTTTCGGGGCACTCGTGGGCTGCTTGGACCTGAAACGACGGTTCCAGCGAGTGGGGTGCTCGGGCCGATGAGTCGTGCAGCCGTTGGGGGACGAGAAAGGGACGGATCGAAAGTCTCCAAGACTGCTTATAGCAAGGGCAACATACAATCGGGGGGTAGATTGGCCTTATCGCGAAGAACGTGTCTTGATCGGACGCACGTGAACGAGGGAACGTTGGTTGCGCGTTTGAAAGATGGCTTGAAGCGTGATCCATGGCATTCAACGTTGGCGTGGTTGTCGGCCGCGGTAGAGACCGTCCACCGCACTTCGCCTGAGTTGAAACTTTAGAGATGGTTTCTCTGAACAGTGGGAGCGATGATCTGATCAGTTCGGGGCTTCGGCCGAAGTGGACTTGGAACTTGACAACGATAAATGTAGCTCCTTTCCAATTGCTACTCTGAGTGGATATCAAACGGGTGCAAGTCTATGTTTAAGCCAAGTGCAGTCAACCCCCTCAGCTTGCTCAGGACATCTCGGCTGGGTCCAGCCGGCGGGAATATCCCCGTCCACTCCATCTCGAAAGACCTCAGCGTCAACACACCCTCCGGTCGGTCGGTCACAGCGTAGAGGAAATCCAGCATAGCGTTGTACGAAAACTGCCGATCGAAGCGCCGCCTTTCGCAATGCAGCGCGAAACAAGTCAATCGGCTTCCGAGGTGGTTACTCTCTGCGGAAGTGTCGTTCATCCAGCACGTGAGCGCTCGAAGGACCTCCTCCGCTTGCGGTTGCGTGTATTCATGGAGGTCCAGATTTTCGAGAGACGGAAGATGGAGAAGGGTGTACACAACGGACCGCGCAGGCCAGGACGCCAAACTGAGGTGGGTGATGGAGCAACCCGACCGCTCAACTAGCCTTTCTACGACGGACGGCTGGTGCTCAACGTTCGGCCGAGTCTCCTTGCCCATCGCGAGCAGTTTCAAGTCTGGCAGAACAAGGTAATCAAGCACGTCAGTGGGGCTCGCGCCCGTCCCGGCAGACCAAAGCGACAAGGAAATCATTCGAGCGAGGAGGAAAGGCTCCCCCCGTGACAGAGGCGATCCTCGCGTGAGATGGAACGTCGCCTGAACAAGATCTGGCGTCGTCCGAAGCACCTCCAGCGCACCCGACGCACTGAACATCGTGCCTTCAAAGTCCGTCAGTTGCTCGAAGGGAAGCTCGATGAAGAAGAGATCAAGAAAGGTGCAGTCCTCGCTTCTGATCAGGGTGGCACACTCCAACTGGGGCGCAGCTCGAAAATACGTAATCGGAAAGTGTTCGTGGTCTGCGAGGTTCCCTCCACCCTCAGCTTCAGCCGCAGACCCAAGCACTAGCCGCTTCAGGACAGGGAACCCGTCGGCGGGGACTTCGTCAGGGAGATATCTGGCCAACGTCGATGATGGGAATGATATTTCAAGACTCTCCAATCGTTCCTGCAGTCCAAACACGACGTCGAGAGCAGCGGGCAAACGCTCATTCACCCGGTCCCACCATGGATCGTCTATCCACTCGTCGTCTTGACCCGGACAATCGCGATGATAGAGGCGCACGTTGATGAGATTCGACCGCGCTCTCCGCAGCCACATTTGTATGAACGTGGTGTCACGAGCCCCGCCCGGCCGGTCGACATCCAACGACCAAGAGCTCCAAAAAAGCGCGCGTGCGAGCACGATCTCCCTCCAGTCTCGACAGACAGCGCTCAAGACGAGTGCGGGGATTTCGGATCCGGATTCGAGCGGGTCGTCGGGGAGGCAGTGCGTGAAAATGAGTGCTGTGATTTCGACCGGGAGCGACAATATGGGGAACGCGATCGAGCCCGCTATGGCATCCCTCCGGGCCTGGGGCTCGGTCAGTTGCAGGTCGACGCTGTGCAGTGCGTGTTTTGAAAGACAGAGTTGCTCCGACATCGCCCGGATCTTCGAAGGAAGTGATTCGGCGCGTCGCGTCGCGTCCGTTCAGGGAGTGGGCGCGAGTGGCAAAGGCCTGAAGCCAACCCTGAGTTTGTTGAGTCTTGTTTCGACCTGCCACAATGCCATCATGTCCCGCCTGGTGATGCCCAATCAAATTCTCGTTCTGCTAGACGGCCATGACAAGAAAGCCGGATTGACTTTCATCCGTGTTATTTTACCGCTGTGTCGATGAAGGAGCAGAGGGAAAAGCCTCCTTTGCCGTGAAACACCATCTCGCAGCCGAGGCTAAACACGGCGCGGCCATCCTAGCCTCCGAGCTGGAATCGGGACTTCACGGGGGCCTTCAAGCGTTTTGTTGCACGCAAATCGTTCTGCGTGCTTTTGAGCACTCAAGAGGCGTGATTTCTCTGGATTTGTCCGGGGCTGATCGACGGATTCCAAAGGTACATGGAGGCACTGGATGATGCGACGGCCGCGAGTTCAATTCGACCCCACGCACGCGAAGGCTTTTGAGAGACTGGTCTCTGCGCAAGTAGTCATTCTGCTCCGGTCTATTCCCTGTCTGCCTGTGCACTACTCATCTAAGACAGAGGGGCCTCGTGGCACCGACAAAGCAAATTAACAACGACCCGCTCCTGAAAGCGAACCTCACACGCCCGGAACGAGCACAAGGCTGCACTATGAAGCAGGGCTGAAATCTGTGATTGCGCCCGATGATAAATCGACTGTGTGTCTGGAGCAGATCGCCTGCCGTGAAGTGGATGGATACAGGACTTCGCCAGATTCCACGGACCCGGGCTTCATCGTTTCCTTCGTGCACTGTCCCAGTGGTCAATCATACTCGGCCTTCAATGTCTTTGCTCTATGGCAACTGCGGGTACCATCTACTAAAACATGCGTGACTTCGTACAATGCAAGGGATCCCCGGACCAAGCACTAAATGCCACGTCAATGCTGCCTGGTGTAGTATGTACCTCAAAGTTGCTGGTTGTTTTGCAGACAACGACGAGCGCCATCCTGGGATCGTGCTGGCTTCCGCTGCGAGAGATTCCGGACCAAAGCCCAAGGCAATGTGGATCGGACCAAGAGTAGTGCGGGATAACATGGTCCAATGCAGAGATCATTGAAATCCAGGGGCGATCATCTCCTGAAACTGTGTCCGAGTAGGAAACGATCTTATATCTCGCGTCAGGTGTTACAGTATCGAGAGAACTCCAACGGCATGGCATTTCGCTTGTCTATTACATCACGTGCCTGTGTTTCCTTGCACTTCGAGCAGCGTTCAGGTGTCCCATATGTATGCTTGCTCTACTTGGGGCTCGCAACGGTCCCGCACACGCTGCATGTCCGCCGCTCGGCGCTTTCCTGCCATCGCTGGATCACAGGCTTCAGCTGCGTCCCCAAGTCCGTCACATGGAACTCTTCCTCGTAGATGACCGTGGGCTCCGTGTGCACGTCGGAGCGACAGTACCACCGGAGGCGGTCTGGAGCACAGGTGAGACGATATTACATGTACCTGCGAGCGGGGCAGACGTACCCAGGGACCCCTCGGGACGCACGCGCTCGAGCACTATGCCGATGGTGTCCGCGAAACGGACCGGGTTGTGCGGGGTGTTGGCTGCGCAGAGACGCCTCAGCCGTGAGATGCATCGCGCTCGACTATCCGGACTTGCCAGGCAGCAGAAACATCTCGCCCTCCTCGATCCTGATGTCCCGGAAGACGCCCTCGTCCACGACCCGGAGCAGCATCCCGCCCTTGTGCTGGTAAAACCATTCCTTGTCCTCACACTCAGCTTGTGCCCGATCCATTATCCGCCCCGACGCACCTCTGTCTCGTTGACGTGGTAGTCGTTGCGCTCATTTGGCCCCCCGACGCACATGACGACGAAGTCTTTGCCTTGGTACAGGCAGAAGTTGTTCACCGGGGGCTTGAGGAGATCGGAGTGCTCCTGGAGCCATTTCGGAAAGTTGATGGGCTGCGCGAGAGGCATGGTGGGCGCGAATCGATGTATGTATGCGGTGAGTCGGAAATCTTACAGATATAGATGGAGTGGGTCTCGGCCGCGCGGGCCGCGGCAGCACAGCATTGCAAAGATCGCTCAGGGTTTCCCGATGACGGGGCTTGTCGCGCCGTCATGCCGGCTTTCTTCCCATGTTTCGCTCCAAGCCGATTGCGCGACCCCAAGTGCTGCTCGTGGAGGATACCCCCGAATACCAATATGTGCTGAACAACTTTGTGCGGTCTTGCGCCGAGTGTGTTTGTTGGGTAGAGCAAGACTGATCGTCGCGGGCAGGCGTTGGCACACAAGAAGGTCGAGGAGCAGCGAGGAAAGCTGAAGCAGCAGGAAGAATTGATCGCGCAGCTCCAGGACCGTGTTGCTCTACTGGAAGGCGTCCCGGGGCTGCAATCCGCGGGTGGAGGCTCTGTGGATGATTTCTCAATCAAGGTGCGTGGGTCTCACAATACGCAATCGTTGACTCTCATGTTCCTGGCGAAGGCAGAACGGAGCAGCGCAGCTAGACAAGCTCATCAATCGCTGGGCATCGGACATCGTCCGTCGCCCTCCGACTCCCCTCCACCTGATCTACGAAGCCGCGCTGTCTGACGTCACGCACGGACGGGAGGCGGGGGCTGTTTTCGAAGGCAGCTCCATGCAAGTCCAATCCCTCATGCGCCACGCACTGGCCGAAACGATCTGCGAGGGCTTTATTAATTGCTTGATCGTCACCAGCTCCAAGGAGGCCAACGTCCAGCTCACGCGCATCCACGAGCACATATTTGCACGTGAGCGTATACTACACCCACAGCATTTGCGTGCGCGCAACTGACTCGCTTCGAGGTGACCCGACCGTCGCCGCCGTCTGGCGCCGGCAAACGTTCTCTGCGGCGGTGGAAACCTGCACGCCCGAGATGGCCGACAGCATCCTGAACGAGCAGATCCCCCACCTGACGCGCCTGCTCGCGGGCACGCTCCCGTCCGCCGTCCTGGACGCCGCGTACCACTTCTCCCGGATGCTGCACGGGACGACCGGGTCGGGGGACGCGTTCTACCGCGCGTTCGTGCCTGAGCTTGGGAGCGCGCTGTACCCCAGCCAGAACGAGCTCGTCAAACGGTGCTTGAGGCACGAGGCGGGCCAGGTCGACCGGGTGGGGTGCACCATCTTTCCGGGCCTCGTCAAGGTCGGCTTGACCGGCGAACATGTGAGCTGGTTCTGCCCATCCGTGAATGAGTAAATGCTGATTGGGTGCTGAGAATGTGGTACGGCGCGCCCAGGTTATCTGTGAATGTGCCTTACTGCCTGTTCAGTCTTAGCACGTTTGTATATATGTATATCTTACACATGTGAATTTCGCTCGAAGTCCTCATCTCTGCATGTTCCTGATCGACGGGCGATCGACTGACCGTATGGCCATCATGGCATCAAACGCGTCCCAGTCGCGTTGCTACTTTGCTCACTTGTTAGCCGGCCATGGAAGAGCTACCGAACGTCCAACAATGCGCTACCGAATTGTAGCTGCAACCACCATGGTTGTCGTCCCCATCACTTGCTGTTCTGAGGGCGGACCGGACTTGATGATGCGGCTGTTTTCACAGACTACTCTGTCGACAGGCAGCTGACTTGAACTGGAGGTGCAAACAGTTCGCGAGACGATGATGATGCTGTTTCTACTGTTTCGGAGTTCCATGATACATTATAAGCAAGGTGTATGCCACTACCCGCGATGTGGCCAGGATGGGGAAGCTTCAGGGCGTCGGAGGGACCGAGACCACAGCGCTGGAATGTGACCAGCACTCATAGCGTCAACCAAGTCGTGCAAGATAGACGTCGTCCGGATAATGCTGATGTTTTGTGTCTCGGACGACTCTCGGTGAGCCCGAACCTTCTTGTTTGGTGGAGGATGCAGTACTGAGGCCTAGCGACTTGACGATCAGGCTCCATCCTCTCGAAGCTCCCCCTCGACCAGGTCCGGAACGTCTCCGACACAAAATGTCCTCTCTATTCTGCGCATCTCCCGTGCCGTCTTCCCCAGCATGGCCAAGCGGAATTCGGGGCTCCTGATCAACATTGGCTCCATCGTCGGTGGATTGTCAGCTCTTCTCCTGCGAGCCTTTGCCGCTGCTCCGCAGCGCGCGCGTGATACCCTAGGCAGGCGTGTACTCCTCATCCAAGGGAGCGGTGCAGCTGATCAGCGAGAGCCTGTACACGGATTGCGAGCCGCTCGGGATCAGAACTCGCCCGCCTGTCTCGTGCGAAGGGATCAAGCACTGTAAACGCATGCGCGCACGCACTTTGCGCTCCCGCCAGACTTCCTGTATCCCGCATCCCCACGGGTCTCGCGTCATCCGCTGCAGGCAGACGATTTCGCGCGGCGCGTCGCAAGCACGGAAGGCTCTATCGCCGCGGCCGCCGTTTCACATGCCGCTCAGGCTGCATCCGGTTGCATGCGACGGCGTTTGCGCTGATGGAGTGGCTGCCGCGTTGGGATTGTCGTGGAAACGCTCAGGAGCGGCTTGTCGCCGGCTCGTGATGGCCGTTGACAACGCCCATGGTCCCAAAGAGGAATGCGGGCGCAGGGTACTGCTGACTGATGCCTGGATTAGAATGAGATTGTATGATACATCGCGGTAGGTGAGGGACTGAAAGCGGTAGAGATAGAGATACACGTGGATATTGTTTGACTACAAGAAGAAAGCCCAAAAGACGGTGGTTGGTTGTGTTGGTCGCTCGCGCGTGCCAAATAAGGAAATAGTGAATACGGTGCGTACGCCGGGTAATGAGAGTGGGGAGGACTACATGAATGCAAGCTCAGTGACGCGCCGTGATTCTTCGTTTTCGATTTTGCTGGTCTCGAACATGATGCTGCCGCGGCTGTGAATCGTCGGGTTGGCGACGACAAGTCCCGTGGGTGACATCGAGCGCTGTTGCTGCTGCTGCTGGGCAGCAAATTGAGACGGCAGGGTCGGAGACGGTGGCAAAAGCGACGAGTCGAATCCCACGACCAATCCACCTGTGGATTTACGGCCCCCAAACAACGTCGAACGCCGGTTGCCCGCTTTGCCACCAGCCCCCGTTTCGCTCCGGACGCTGTTGCCCCGCTTGAAGATGTTGAGCGTCGACTTGCGGCGCTCGGGTTTCGGTGTGATCGGCTCTGTGTCCCGTCTCCGCGGGCCCATGCCGTCGACCTTGACGACCGGCATCGTCGAATAGCCGCCCACCTCAATCACATCGCCGTCAGGTGACTCCGTCCGAACGACGGGCTCCCGGTCCTCGCCAGGGCTCTCCACGATGACGCTGATCGGGTGATGTGCGGAGAACTCGTCAATCGTGCTGTTGCGAACCTTGCTGGCCTGCGCAGCAGTCCGTATCCGGCCGAAACTCCCAAGCGATTCGGCCGCGCTGCTGACGGTCGTCTGGGATTCGCTGTCGACCATCAGTGAGGGCACGCCCAGCGCCGATTCACTCTCGGACAGGTCCGGCCGCGGTGCGGGCGACGTCAGCTGCGATGCAGCAGGGGAGGGCGGCAGCGGGATGCAGGCCGGGGAGAGTGGTGTGAAAGCAGCATCGGCTGCGGGTGTGTGCGCGAACGCAGAGATCAGGGAGTTGGGGTTCGGGGACGGGGGGAGCGGGATCGTATATGCGTCCGCAGGGCCCTCGCCGGACCAAGCCCGCAGCAGCGGTACAGTCAAATCATGTGCCTGCTCGAGATTGAGCGTCGGCGGCGGGCCACGCGGTGCTTTGACATTTGGCGCGGCATCAGTTGCTTCATGAGGTGATGGAACAGGTGACGGCAACGGCGTGTCCACTTCCTCCAAAGTCCTCAACGCGAAAGTCTCCCTCGAGGGCGAATTGCCTCCGAATCGAAACTCGTTCAGTCGCGCCCTGTTCTTCGCTTCCCATTCTGCTTTGATCTGGTTGGCCGCCGTAGGTCGTCGCTCCAAACTCGACTGCGGGGCTGGCTCCGGCGACGCGACGATAGCAATCCGGGAGTCTTGGCGAGCCTCCTGCTCACTTAGTGATAGAGGAGGCAGTAACCCCCGCTCGCGTAGCGCAGCCGCACGTGAGTCCTGCGAAGCGAGCGTTGTCGCTACAGGAACCCGAGGCACAGCCAGAGAACGTCGGCGAGACACGGCCACGGGCGAAGGAGAGCGTGATGAGCCGCCTCGACGGTTGAAGCGGGTGGTCAGCTTGCGGAAAATGGTGCGCGATTTTGTGGGCACCGGTTCATCCGGAAGCGATTTGCCTAACGCGCTGGGATCTGCGGCGAGCACAGCAGGGTCGTTAGCGCGCCAAGTCGCATCGTTTTTAGACGGAGGCATGCTAAGGGTCTGGTTTCCGCTAGAGAGGAGAGAGAGAGAGAAAGAAGAATGAGCTCCACCAACCGGGCTACGAGAAAAACTAAGACGGACCTGGATTCTATGGCTAGAAGCTTCTCAGCCACGAGTTCCGCTGCAACCTGAGGTTCTTTCGCTCGGCGCCCCAACAAGCTAGCCATGCCAAATATCCTTCGTCCTCGACTGGAAGCACTGCTATCGACGATGGATGGAGGACTGGAACTTGTACTGAAGCTTCCCCGGAACTTGCTGAAGGAGCGGATGCTGGTTCCTCCTCTGGAAGCAAATAGCGGCTGGGGAGGCTCGAGTACCTCAGCCATGTCGGAAGTAGAGAGGGAGTGACAGAGAGAGAGAGCGGTAACTTGTAGGTGATGTTTGCCGACACGGATCTCCGATGAGCTGCTGTGGGGAATTTATAAAGGTTAAACAGAAGCCCCCGATCATGCGTCCTGATGGTCTCTCTTGATGGGCCAAATGATGAGAAGCAGAGGTCACAGGTGGCCGCCGGGCGATGTCCATGTCCGTGCCGAGGAATGCACCTCTCTTCCTTTTCCTCTCTCTTGCCTCGTCCTGCTAATATTTCCCCGTCAATTTCTGGTCAACTCAATTCAAAAACATTGCGGGGGGAATGCGGGGAAGGTGGCGTTCTCCTGTCTCACGTGGGCGAGTCGCGATCAGAAACGCCAGATTGGCGTGGCAAAGCGTGGCAAATTTTGAATATATAATAATACGATCGAAGCATGGCAGGATGATATCATCCGCTTCAACCACGTCCTTGGCGCTACGCCTTACCTCCGCGAACCCTCCTCTTCGCAGTTAAACTTGGTGAATGGACGCTGCGCGCACGACGTTACTGCCTCACATGTTTTTCCGCGAGCCCGACGTGCTCCACATGCCGGATGTCACGTACGCTGATCGGGCACTCATCTCAGGGTGGAGGTGGACTAGCTCTCAGGAAACGTCTCGTCGCTGCCATAATCTCTGGCAGATAATCATTCACCGGTGACTCGTCTGCATGGCTGCGCTCGGAGATGCGTCCTCGTAACGGGGTAACTTCTGCGCCCGCTCACTCACACGCGCCCGGGCCGCCGATCGTCGTCAATGGGACGTACCTCGCTCGAGCGACGAGCTGCATGCCAGACGTCTCCGCCCAATCCTCGGAAAGAGCTATCGTCCCATTCGGCAAATTCATTCTCGTCTGTCTCCAATTCCCGGTGTCTGCTGCCAATCTGTCGAGGCCAAGGCACATCTGGGCTACTTCTAGAGCATTCCTGCTGTTCTGAAGATGGATTTCCCTCCTCCGCCACCACACTCCCAGCAAGCCAGTTCAGGTAGCGCCATCCATCTCGTCCATAGAAGGGTCAGGCTCTTGTCGTCACACCACGTGAAGTCGCGTATATTGATTCAAGCGAGGTGTGTCAGACCACCTGGCAACACCACGGAAGACATTTCCGTCGTGCATTTCGAGATACCTTGGTTGCAGTACGGCCCCGCACCGTGGCAACTGCAGTATTTCCGAGCTGGCAAAACATGGGCATGTCGTCAGTGCAGCCCCAGATGAAAGTCTGACCTCTGACCCACTTGCCAATAGAAACCGGGATGTGAGCCGAAATAAGGATGTGACACCATCCGCGGTAAAGCAGAAGGATGAAATTGCTCCACTGCTTTTTGCTGCGGACACTGCCTACTCGGAACGCGGAATGCAGAAACCGAAACTAGAAGCTGGAAGGATCATTGCCGGCTCATTACATCTAGAAAATTTGAAGTGCGGAATCTTCTGTCTTTATCTGATTTTCTAGCCACTGGTTTGCAGCTCGCTGAAAGACAGAATATCAAATTTGGCGGATCCGTGCAAGTTTGTACTTTCAAATCCGAACAGAGTATTGTCTAAGTTCATGATTAATGAGTAGCAGCTGAAATCCTGCTCAAGTGCATATAAGCATATAAGTTGTGTATCGCAGCAAGACACTGTCTCCGTCTTCACTCTGCCTCAACCTGCATGCTTAGTCATTCTCGACTCGGAAACATCCGGTCACCATCTGATGTTCAGTGCTTCGGCCGGCATCTACCCAGGATTGATGATCAGATGGGACCGAAGCTGAATCATCTTGCGTCTGCACATGTCGCTTTATCCACCTCCCTCTCAACCTGCAATCGCTCGGGGCCCGACAGAATTCGAGATCCTCCGAGCATCACACAAGTGCGTTCGACTTCTCCACTGGGATTCCGGCTTCCTGATCCATGACAGGTTTCTCCGCGAGGATGAAGGCCAATCCGCGTCCTGGGACGACCAGCTTGCGTCAAAATACTACGACAGCCTATTCAGAGAGTACGCCGTCTGTGATCTAAAGCACTACAAGTCTGGAAACGTGTGTGGACCTTTCGTCTATGCAGCCTCGTTACCAACCCATCTGACAGTTCTCGCTACGATGGAGGACGGAGGAGGAGGTCTTATCTGGTGCCGGCGAGACGTCATGTGGGAACACACGCTGTGAACATCACCACAGCGCCCGCGGGGAAATCGGACTTGCGACACTCGAGCTGCCGTTCGCCTACGCTGAGCACGGAGAGAGCAAATCGGCTTTGGTCAAGGCGGTCCTGTGCCCGAAGTGCGTGAAGAAGTTGATGTGGAAGCGGCGGAGGGACAAGGAGCTGCTCGCTGAGGCGGCAGTGGCGTCGGACGTGCGGGTGCAAGATGCGAAGGGCGAGCACTCTGGGGAGGAGGAGGGTCCGACATTACCACCTTCGGTTGGGGTTGGGAACCTGCGGAGCCCAGGCGACGCGTCAAATGAGGGCAAGGCAGGTAAGGACGCTCGTCAGAATCACTCGCACCGGCGTCGCAGCTCTCGTTCCCTGTCGCCCCGTCCACCTCGGGATCGTGAGCGTACTAGGAACCGATCGCCTCGCCGATAGGTCGTCGAGCAATACAATGGAGACTGTCCCACCTTTTTCGTGGTCTATCCTTGACAAATACCTGGCGCTCTCGAGTCTTCCTACGCACCTCTGCAGCTCCCACTCAAGTCCCATGGCGATTCTGTGCGGCAAAGATCGACCGGAGTTTGTCTCAAAGCCAATGCAGTCATGGCCAGCCTTGTCGTGCAGGTCCTGCCCAAGGACTAATACTCGCAAGGAAGTCACTACATACCAGCTCGTTCCCAAGTTCACTGAACTTTGCTCCGAAAATCAACCCGGCTCATTCAATGAATAATTTATTGTAACACTTTGGGATATCGCAAGAAGAGGCGAGCGCTTGTAGGTCCAAGTCCTTACTTGGGGCTGTATGATATTTTATGAGCACGATCCGTCACGCCACGTGATATTGTAACACATTGTTTTCCTCCAACCTTTTGCGCACTTTTGAAGCACTAGTCTCTCTATGATCATCCCAGTCAACTTCCCCCTCCCGTCCTCATCAAACGAGAAGCTCCCTCCTGCTCTAGCCAAGATCTCGCACGACGAAGTCGTGCTGATAGAGCTCCAGGGTGCACTGGAGGTCGAATCCACGCACGCCAGGGAGCGCGACGGGAAACTGGTGGGGAAGCTGAACATTGACGATGCCGCCGTACGCCGCGCTACTCCCGCGAACTTTCCCTAATCTCACTCACTCATCCTGGTTGGTGCATTTCCAGAAAAAGCCCACGCTTATGATCGGACACCATCTTCTTGAAGGCAAAGTCGCGCAGCTCCCCAAACCGCTCGCCGTCCTCAAGCGCGTGGTGGGGGGCGAGGAGGAGGAGGAGGAGGAGGAAGAGGGTAGAGGGGGGCAGCCGGACTCGTGCTCGGATGCGATGGAGGTGGATGGCGCGGAGCCGCGGGACTCCACCACGTCGCGAGGACCGGACGCCGCAAGGACCGCCAGCTCCTGGGATGCCATCGCCGTCATCAAACGCAAGATCATCTTCGCCAAACGGCCGATGCCCATCGTGGGACGCCCATCGTAGGAAGCCCAGTCCGTCCCGTGCGCACGCAGCTCGCACCTGCGTGCATGCCGTCTCCAGCCACCTTTCTTCCTTGCTTCGCGCGGCCTTGGGCATCATCAATCACGTTAGGGATGGGTATGGCGTTCCCCCCCTGGGTCTGGGCCGAAATCCGCGGACGTTTCTCGGTCAGCGGAGACTTCAGGTCTCGTTCGTCTATGGTTAGCTCTGCACCTCGGTGTAGCGAATCCTGATGGGAAAGCATGCGATCATCCAGATCAGCGATCTAGCTCGGGCGCCAAGCATTGTCATGATTGTTATCCAGACAGGACGCATTGCTAGTTAGACCGGTATTCTGAGGAGAAGCTCATTATCTGTTTGGCCTACATACGTGCGGTACACAATTACAAGAACGAACGTCGTACAAGCTGGGACAAGGACCGGACTGTCTACTTAGACTACTCTGGGGTTGGTCGTACACTGGATCTGGCGTCACGGATCAGTCAGCCAGTCGATGACAGTCAGTGAGGGAGACTTACTTCCGCTGGATCAGCCCTTTTGGTGATGGGCATTCAAAGTGTGGTGATGATACATGGCGACTAAGGCAAAACTGGTGGAGGAGTGGATGGTGAAACGTGCAAGTCATGACGATCCGGTGACGCTTGCGGGTATCCTGCACCAGACGAAAGGAGTGAATCGATGGATGGTGGTGTGCGAAGGCTCGAGCTCGGATGCCAGGGTGACTGTGGCATCCTAGTTGAAGCCGTCGAAGTGACCCTTGAGGATACGCTCCCCCATCGGAGACGGGGCACGGCGTGGGCGCTCCGGCGAGGAGAGCGTAGCAGAACGACCATGTCTACCAAATGGTTGACTGGCCTGCGTCGGGCTCACAGCTGAGTTGGGTGGGGCGATCGGGGGCGAACGCTGAGAAAGCATGTCAGCATGTGTAAGGCAAAGTGGCAAGCACATGACTGACGTTCATGGTCAAGGACAGACGACGGAGAAGACCCTGCCCACGCTCTTGCTGAGCGTCAGGGACGACGGTCGAGGTATTCTGGCTGAAGCGTTCGGTAATTGCCGTGCTTGCCCGTCGGGCGTGTTTCGTCGCAGCCAGCTCTTTGATGTCAGTCTCATCCTCTGAAATCATGTGATAAGTACACGCATGCTTCTGGGAGTGGTTTGGACAGACCTTCGAAAACCGGCGGCGGGCCAAACTTGCGGAAGGGGAACGTGCCAGGGGCCTTGGTGGGCGATTGCGCCAGGAAGTACGACAAGATGGGAGAAGTCGAGGTGGCGGGGGATTGAGCTACGATCTTGGGGTTGGCCAGAGATGTGGACAAAGGGGTCGCTATCTCTGTCGGAGACCCTCCAGAGGCCGACGAATCGGTGGAGGAGACAGAGAAGGATCGGGGGCGAGCGCGGGGCAAAGCAGAGGACGAGATGGGGATCGGCTTGGAGGCGGTCGTCGTTTCGGTGGGAGAGCGGTTGTTCGACATGGTGAGTGAGTGGGAGCGGCGAATTGGTCGTGCATTCTTGGGTCGGCACTTTTGTATGTGGGATTGGAGTAGATCACGTGAATTCTAAATGGGAAAGGAAGGAGAAGGCCGGGGGTTCTAGACTCCACAGCGTGTATGTACAGCAAAGAAGACAGATGGGAAGATGGCGACGGTGGTTTGCCTTCGAGCCTCGTTGCCCGACGACGACCTAGCCTGCCCGCGAATGCCCTATCGAGTCTCTGGACTCTTCATGTTATCTCATTGGCTGACAAGCAACTGACACCTCCTGGGATGCTCCGCTCCCGTCAAAACATCCGCAGCCAGCCGCTGCCAAAAGCCCCTATTTTACCCCGCATTTTGTGTTGACGTTCTCTATTAGTGGCGGTGTCTGGTGTCTGGGGGCCCCCAAGTCACTCGACATTCTTCAAAATGGTTGGTCAAGGTGTGAAAGTCACGATACTTGCCAGGAGACCACCCATGGCTCGGCGATGACGGGTGCAGCGGGGTCACGGTTGCAGCCCACTTTCTGTATCCCGCAGACCATTGCCGAAGTCGTCCGTCAAGCTACGTTTATGCAGTAATTGGCGCTTCTGGCACGGTACACATTACTCATCGTACTCCAAGGCCGCTGGTCTCCCACGCTCTGCAAGACCCCGGCAGCGACGTTGTCTCGCCAAACCACACAATCTTCCGCCGACCGCTTGACTGTCATCGACTCGTTGCGACAATGAACACCGCGCAATACAAACTCGGGCCCGAAGCTCGGAACGGCAAACTAATTGTGCACGATCCCTGCTCGCGTGACCCAGTTATAACGGCTGGTGTCATGACCAAGGCCTAACACGCTTTGGGAAACTGACGGAGTCTTTTCCGACCTTGCGGACAAGGTTCAGAGACCGCTGGGATGCAAGCAGCTTCTGACGTCTTCGTGCTCCAACAAAGCTACTGGAATACCTGGGCAGGGTCGGAGATTGGCCTGGGACTTGCCGGAGATGGAGATTTCGTTTTCTCACGCAAAGATCACAGGAGCATCCCAGGTGTCATCGAGCACGGAGAGCGAGTTGCTCGAAGGGCGACGATGAGCCTGAGGAAGGTTGTCGGCTGAATCCACGGCTGGTGGAGTGCAGAAGTCTGTCTGGGAGCTCCAAAGTACCCTATCGACTCTCCGATGCGGGTGCGATCTGGAGACTGCAATCTTGCTCGGAAGGACATATGATGCCTGGACAGACGAGAATAGAGAGATCCAGATACAACTGGACCAAGATAGAGAGCGAGTCTGAACGCACGTCTGACATCGATCGTGTACACATCGAGGTCCTGGAAAGAGGTTTCTACGAGCTTAGTCCGAGCATGTGCGATCACGACGACGTAGATTGTTGCTGCTGCTGCAATTTGGATTGCATTACATTGACTAGTAGGCCCATATTCTCCCGCTTTTTGCCAATCGTTTCTTCGAGGGTGTCCAGATTCGTCTGAATGTAGGTGACTTTTGCAGAATAGTATTTTACGGCTTGCGGTCGCGTCTAACTCGACTAATGAGCGCGAGAAAAGACGAAAAGAATACTGGAACGCACCTTTCGCACGAAATAGCCGGTGCCAACGTCGACGATGACGTGCTCTGTGTCGGAGAGCTTGCCGGGCACGTAGAGCGAATTGGTCAATGGTACCAGGATCGGTTTAGCTAGCACGAGTGAGAAAGGATCGGAATACCCCGAGCAGGTACTGACCAGCGTTTGCTGGTTTGATCTCCGCAACATTTTCGATACAGGCCTTGAATTTAGCTTGAGCAGATTTGAGCTGGGCGAATGAGTTGGTGAGGTGTGTCAGTTCCTGGCGCGATGTGAGAATCCTGGGCCGAAGTAGCGCTTCACGATTCACCTCTTCCAACTGCCTTCGCACATCCGCAAGCTGCGGCAGGTCCAAGTCAGTCACACTAATCTGTTGAGGTTGCGACATGAGGCAGAGGGAAGCGCGTCACGATGTGACCGTCACGGTGATTATTGCTCTTCCTGCTGTTGTTCCGCTCCACTACACTCTTTTTGCGCCCCCCATGTGTGCATCGCATTCCAAAGGACGGTATCCTCAGGATATTGGTATGTCACGTTATCTCGTCACTCCGCACGATGTAGAATGTGACCGGTCCCTTGCAGTTGCCATATTTCATGCCTCCTTCCATCCGACGAAAGGGAATATAATAGACTGGGCGTTAAAGGCGAACGACGGTGCGTTGCAGTGGGATCGGCCGTGTTTTATCTCTCATTTGTTGAGACTAGACCTCAGCCTCGAGAATCTTGAGTTCAACGCCCTTCCGAGTGGATTGCACCTCGTAGAGCAAGACGTCGTGTGAGTGTCTGTCTCGTGCTGGGATTTCGATGGGTGTATCCTCGTGCGCTTGGTCCCTTTCTCATCGAGAGGGGGACTCCGGTATCTTCCGGTTCTTGTCTCCGTGACCGGCAGCTTCCTAGCTTCCCTCCAGAGACTGCGGGACATGCAACTGTGACTGCGGGTCTTACTTTGATTGCGCATTGCTATGTGATCCCTGTTCAGGCGACGGGTCGTGCCTAAGTCTACGGTGTTTAAAGCTTGCGACGTGATATAAGCCGGCGAAACGTGCGGCAGCCTAATGCTATCGAGGGGATGTCGATTGATGGAGCCAGTTGTCGCGTGGGCCTGGCAGTCTCGTATTCTATACTAACTCTTCCTCAGATACTTTAATAAAGATGACCAACATGGTGTCTGCGTGTTCAAGCGGCGCAAGACAGTGGATCACGGGCACCGGGGCTTCCGGCTTTCGTCTTTAGGCATTCTGGTTGGCAAGTCGAGTCGCCCACGACCTTGGCGCCATACGGTGGCCTTGAAGGAGCTGATCAACAATCTCTATTCGCGGTTCGAAAGCTTGGAACGGGATCCCACAGAAGCCGACTGGGAGCCTGCTCGCGTCTTTTTCGAAGCACGCAAGGCCAGCCGGCCCAATCTTGGCGGAGCGGGAGACTGGAATGGCTGGAGTGAAGAGCTACTTGAGCGTGTGCGTCTATTCGGATATCCCGATCACAGCTGTCGTTGATTTGCCCAATTGCAGCTTGACGATGATGCACTGGAGCAGAACCCAACACTCCATCTGCCCCACTTACTTCGCATCCTCGGGCCATCTTCCCTCACGCTCTACAAACATGTTGTGGCTCGTCGGCGAGTTATGATATACACCGTTCCACCAGTGGAAGCCGCATCCATCCTGTGCCAAGTTGCCGCCGACATGTGCTACGAACTGCAGGTCGAGGAGACCAGTTCTGAAGCGTCGTCCTCTTCCACACCATCGTCTTCCAAACCTCACCGGCGAGGCAAACACCAAAGCGGCGTCAGTGTACTGGGAATGGTGACATTGATGGACATGGATCGGTTACAGACCGAGAGCGAACGTGGAAACGGCTGGGTTGCATGTAAGCACATAATATCCCTTTTTGGCCATATTTGTGGCTTAAGAGAATGTTTAGGCACGACTGATGCGTTGTTTCTTGAGAAGCCGCACTGCTACGACTTGATCATCGACTTGACAACTGCTGCCCCAGGGCATACCGCTCGGCCCACTTTCTATGCATCCCGGCCCGCTTCCTCACCGAGTAAATCCGCAAGACCAAAGGGACCCTCACATCGGCTCTCCATTGTGCGCTTTTCCTGGAGCGACGTCAAGCTAGTACGTGTGCATGTAATTCCTTCATTACACTCATCTGACAGGTGTTGTGGATCTGTTAGTGGAATGAAGTGAATCGGATTCTCAAATTGGACCACTCGTCTTCACACTCCGCGTCTTGTTGCACGCTCTCCGTTCCCGAGTCCAAGGCCAAGTCTGGGCCGATAACCGTATGGACTGACGCGTGGCGAGTTTACGAAGACGTTTGTGTTATCTGCGCGGGTCTGCTGATGGGCATGGGCATCGGTGCATGGGCTGGACGGAGTGCCGCTGGGTCAGATGGTCATGTCCATCTCGAGGGAGAAGATGAAGTGAGCTTGCATGGCTTGCGAGCAGGGGGCAAGGTGCGAAATTTGGGGCTGGGCATCGAAGGGGGCCCCAAACCTTCGATGTCTAGTTTTAGAACGGCCCGTCGGTCGAGTGCCGTCTCGTGGTCGAGCGGCAGAGCGACGATCAATGCCACCGGCACCAGCTCATTCTCCAAGGGGAAAGGCATCGCGGCCCCTGAGGCAGCAGTGGACGACGAAGAAGAGGACGAAGACGACTCGACTCGCACTGAACGGGAGAAGCAGATCCTGACGACGTTGTCCTTGTTACAGACACTGCACGCGCAGACGTCCTTCCAACTGGCTGCTCTCGACACCTTGCTTCCTCGCTCGGCGCCTACCGTGGTTCTTACTTCGCGAGAAATGCCGTCACTAGGCCTCAGCCCAGTCAGCAGCTCGGATGCCCGGTTTCTTGAATGGCTCGCGAAGGAATACGGCGGCGATGTGGAGGTGATCGTCAAGCGGGGTTGGAAGGATGCGATCGCAGCTGTGTTAGGCTATTGAAAGACTTTGCGCGGGTGTGCCACCAGGACATATTGTATCTTATCCCTAATTGTATTTCAAACCTCATATACCCACTCTCTTGCAATCAGATAACTTGGAACGCCATGTGAATGTTTGTGTTCCATTGGTGAAACTGTCGGAGACCATGGGAAACGCCTGGGAGACATCGTCCGGGGATATCCAGATTCATCTATGCTATCTAGTCCAGCTGTGTTCGGCAGGCTGCGGCGATGTCTCCAGAGAGTGCATAGTCCAGACGATTCATTAATCCTGAGTGCATGGTACATCCTGTTACGCAAGTTGCTGAGTTCTAGGGCCATAGACTCCCGTGAAACATTGAGTCGCAGGCGTGTTTTATATCCCATTGACAAGTCACTTGACATGGTTTCGAAGTCGGATGCGGCTTGCTTCTACGTCTCAGAATGGACCCCGGAGTTTATCAGACAAGAGAAGGACAGATGCAGTGGCCAAAATGACGACGTTTGGAGGGAGATCTCGCGTGAGTTTGACTATTTCCAGGTGAGAAGCGCGCGTGGCCTCCAAGCTTAGACTCGCTCCTCGTGCAGGAACCAGAAGAAGACCAAATGCAAAGGTATTTGAGCCAGCGAGCCAGCGGGTCAGTCAGACCAGGTTTCATTAAGCACGATGGGGGAACGGTGGCGCCGTCCAATGAGTGCCTGATTGAGGTCGCGGTACGTAGCGGGATTGAGTACATGGTGCTCTCCTCGGCACTCGCTCGCGTTCGATTGAGTTCCCCAGTCGGGCAACACGGTCTAGACTTGGTCATGAATCCTGATTTAATAGCATCCGTGCGAGAAAGGGCCGAGGCTGAATGTTGTTTTGGATTCCAGTCACGGAGGTCCAGGGTCGCGGGTCAAGAGGCACCGATTTGGCTGAGTCAGCAGATAGTTCTTCACTTCACGATCCATCGTCCTGCCCAAAGCCAATCCAAATCCAACTCTAATCCGCTATTCGCAAATGAAGCCTTTGTTGGATAGATGTCAGGACGCGAAGAAGGATGACGAGGGATCTCAGGTGGGGATTTAGCATCGCGACACGTGGGGGCGGCATTTCATCCGCGTTTTTTGCGAAATCGTAACGAGTGCTCGTGCGGGGCTATTTAGGCCAGCGTAGGCTTGACAACCCCCTTTCCTCCCCCCCGTCGCGCTTTCCCTTGTACATTAAGACGGATCGGCTCCGGTCTTACACTTTCGTTCCCCCGCCACTGTCTCCCGCCTTGTCGCTTTGCATCCACTACCCGCGCCACCTGCACACTTCGCGGCCTATTATCTACCTTCGTTCCCATTTGAAACTGCGACATCCCCATGGCGTCTTCTACATCTATCGCCAACCTGAATCGCATCCGGCGTAAGCCTGCACCGAGCATTCCCGCCGACCTCGCGCAGATTGCGGATGACGAACACGCCAGCGTCTTTGACTGTTTCGCTACACCTCAGAAGCGACACTCGTTTACGCTCTATCCTGCTGTACTGCCTGACACGGCGTCCATCGCGCCCTCGGTCTCTCACCGCTCGCACTCTTCGACAGATTTCAGCTTCGAGACCCACCTGCACGGGACCTCGCCCTCGCGAGCCGGTTCCCCACACTACGTAACACGACGGCGGGCTGAATCCACCGCGCCTCTGCACACGGATCTGCCGTCCTGCCCGCCATCTACAGAGACTCCGGCATTCCCCGCGCCGCGCCCCAGTTTTCTCTCCCGACTCAATCTCTTTTCGGCCGCCGCGGCCGCGACGACGACGCCGGCACCAGTCAGAGTGCGCAAAGACACGATCTCGGCGCCTCGCTCGACCTCGCTCGCGTCGCTTCCTGCGGGGATGGTCCCACCGGAGCTCGCTGCGCTCTCTGGTCGGCCGCCCATCGCGATGCGCGAGCTGAAGCTGCCTGTGCCGGCCCGGTCAGGATCGAGATCATCCTCTGCCTCGGATTCGACTCGGGCGTCGTCCAGTGACGACTCGGCAGAATTCGATACGGATGTGACCTCGCCGCCCACTTCACCGACCTCGCCGTTGTCGCTGGTGCCGAAACACCCCTGCGACGACGGACTCCCCACGCTCAACTTTCTGCCACCGACGCCACCGAGTGGGTTCATTGGAGCAAGGCGGAGCGTTATTCGCAAGCCCAGTGCTTTGTCGCAGCCTGGTAAGGAAATGCAGTCGTATTCGCTTGCAAAACTAACTCTCAGGACAGAAATGGTACAATCTTCTGCGTCGATTAGCGAGCAACTCCCATCCTCAACCATGACCCTGCCTCAAGCGTCACTCCCCGTCCGGTCTATCTCTCTCCCTCATCTCATGGCTACTCCGTCTCATCTTTCGGCTTCCGCTTCGTCGACTAGAAGCAGCAAACACGGAAAACGTAAGCCCGCGCCCCTGCCGGCGCTTTCTACCCCGACGAAGGAATCGCTCGTTTCTGCCCTCTCACGAGAAGTTGTCGATTCGCGGGGTGTCAGGATTCCGTTCGGGCAATTACTCGGGCTGGACGAGGTCGGTGATGGTGTCAATGTGCAGATCGAAGAGGGGAGCTCGACGAGAGGGAATGGCAAGCACATTCATCGGACGCTCGTGATCTTTCTGCGGCACTTCTGGTGCCCGTTGTGCACCGACTACGTTGCCGCGCTCGCTGGCGGCGTCCGGAAAGTTGCGGAGGATGAAGCTTGTTCGTGTAAGAAGCCTGGTGCGTTGGGGGTATCGAATTCCGAAGCGTACCTTGCGAGTGTCGTGCGATTCAGCCTCTCGGCCGAGGGTAGATCCGACTGTGGGGAAGGGGCATCAAGTGAAGGGACGAACGCCGAAGGGAACGCCCATTGGGCTGCCAAGGCCTGTGGTGGCATTTTCGGCAAGGTTCGCTGCATTCCAGGGGGCTCTCCTGAGAAATGACTAACATCTATCCTTCAAGGAACGGTTAGGTTCTGACGAAGAAACGGCGCAGACACACATAGTTTTGATCGCACCCGGTGCTCATACCATTGCCAAGCGATGGTTGCAGTCGTTCGACTTTCCCCAAGCTGCCGTACAAAGTGTTCGGCTTTTCGTGGATCCGCGACCTGCGGAGGGTCTTTATGCGGCGCTCGGTATGGGCTGGGCTGATGTTAGCATGAACCCGGACCCAGAAGCGGACCCCGAGAGTTACATCACGCATGGGCTCATGGGCGGTGTCGGTGCTGTGGTCATGCGAGCGGTGCGCGCTGGCGTCCCGCTCTGGGCGAAAGGTGGAGATATCGGCCTTCTGGGCGGCGAGTTTGCGTTTGAGTGTGTGCAGACTAGGTGAGTTTGCGAGTTCAACTTTACCCCCAGTTTGTTCGTTCCTTGCTCATCAGTTCACTCTCTCGCTCAGTCCCCCGACTTTGCGGTGTGTATATGCCCATCGCATGCAGAGTCCTCGGGGCCATGCTGCTGTCGAGACGGTGCTCTCGAAAGTGGGCGTCAGTGTTTCGCCAGAGGAGAAACTACCCCGGTCCATGGCTGCACGGAATCTCAGCACGTCGTCGCTCCCTCGGTCTAGTTCGAGTGGATTGCTGAGAACATTGCTCGGTTCTTCGACTTCGACGTCTTCTTTCACGCCTGAAATCGACGTGCCTCGCTCCTCGTCTGCTGGAACCGGCGGACGAGGCTTTTTAGCCCGACTTGCGTTGAAGAGTGGTGGAGGATTGAGGATGGCCCGGTCGTTCTCGTCGCCCGCTGGAAGACCGCTCGTCCAGCCGCAGCAGCCGCAGCAGCAGCAACAACAACATTCGAAGACAGTCAGTGTGATCTGGGAGGAGCCAGACGGCGAGCTAACGAGATCCAAATCACGGGTTCCCGCCATCCCGCCGACGCTCTCCACCTCGTCGTCCCGGCCCTGGGCGAGTGACTCGATGGAGGAATTCCCGTGCGAAAACGAGTCGGACGAGGCATCCCACGGGCACAACGATGGTTGGGAGCACGTGTGGATGCGCGCCCGGGCGAGAAGTCTGGCGCGGCTGAAGGCGAGGAAGGATGCGAGAAGAGGAGTCCAGATGTGACGTTGTATTATATTTCGAGTTGTAGCGAACATCCTATCTATGTATTATATTCCTATGGTATTCTGTACTATTGCCTATTATCTATACGCCAAGTGGCTCTTCAATTTCTATTTACCCCGAGATTAATCTATTCCCATGTTCTTTGAATTCGATGAACTCGTTGAACGTGTCAGCAACGCGTTCGGTACGATCTGTTCGCTCTGAGCAACTACGTAAGCATACAACCCACGTCATGTGAATGTGCACGTGCTTTGTCACGATCGCGACTTCTCCTCAGCCATCTACAATCCGAATTGGACCATGCGTACATCCCTGCCACCAGAGATAATGTCTGAGATCTTCGTACTATGTGGCTCAGAGAGCGAAGGCTGCCTCCCTCGACCCGTCGCCCAGGTTTCGAGACGCTGGCGTATAATTGCGCTCTCTACACCCCGGATGTGGAATCACCTATACCTGATTTGGGGCCTGCGCAGATCATCCAAAGGGCCCACCGCAAGTTCTAAGCTCAGAAATGCCTCTCTGCACGCTCTCTTGGATCTGCAGATCGAACGCACCGCCAGGGCCCCGCTCTCTGTGACCTTTGGCGACATGAGCGACGACGTCGACGTGCTGGGCAAGCTGCTGCAGCTCTCCGAACGCTGGGAGCGCTGTGACATCCGACTTCAGATAGAGCAGCAGCATCTTCTCGTGGAGGGAGGCGATTGGCGGTTCCCGCGCCTGCGGTCGATGAAGCTCAATCACTTGGTGGCGGTGGACACGCTGGGGCTAGGGCCGCTGGGAACCGCACTTCCGGCGCTGGAGCGCGTGATAATCTCGTACTGGGTGCATCCCCGTCTGAATCTGATAGGATGGGGACCTCTGGAGATGCTCACTCTGTGCTGGTGTCACACCGTCGACATCATTGCTGCCCTCGCGCGGTGCCGCAAGACGCGCAAGGTCGAGATAATGCATTGTTTGTCGCCGTCTCAGCTCCCGTTGCCTGTTTCTCCGAGTGGAATCGAGCTGGAGCTTGAGGCTGTGACGTTCGTCGACCACACCGCAAGCATCGCACATGACATCTTCCGGACATTCGACACCCCACGGCTGCGGAGTGTGACGCTGAAAGACTTTGTCGTGAATATGCATCTTGTGCGCCCGATATTCGCACACCTGCCGCCCTCCCTGACGCATCTCCACCTCTGTGACATCGAGCTCCCGGAGCCCAGGCTGCTCGCGCTCTTCCGCGCCAGCTCGCCGCAGCTGCCGAACGTGACCGAGCTCGAGCTCACGTGGTCGTGGGACGTGCACTCAGACCTGTTCATGAACTGCATGACGCTCCTCCCCGGCACCAGCGGCCGTGCGAACATCTTCCCGCGCCTACGCACGCTCAACATCACGGGCGGGCTATCTTGTCGCGAAGACGCGCTGTACCTCATGCTGCGCAGTCGCGTTGGGGTGCTGCGGCGCGCGGAGCTGTTCTACGCGGGGCGTGCTTTCTTTTTCGGAAGTGCGTTGGATGGGCTCAGGGCGCAGGGGATGGAGATCGACATGCGGTTGGGCGGGCCCAGGAAGTATGACCACGTCCGCAAGTTCGATTACTTGTATTCTCCCGATGGAGACGATGTTGTCTGAGCTATTGTCTACTATCCGCGGATCTCTGTCATGAACTCGCGACTGCGATCTTCGCAAACGGCCGCGCTGATCATGTAGCAATCGTCCCTCGATAAGAATGTGGCACGTTTCACCCAACGGAGTGGAAGGCTCTACATTCCAATGATTACATTCCCGGCTATCCAATACCCTGTGATGTAAGTGCATAGAGGCTGGCACCAGAATGAACGTTGAGCTAGCAAGGTCGATTCAGGACAGAAAGATGGTCGGATATTGGATCCATGGGCCAAACGGAATTTCGTATTATATATCACTGGCCACTCGAACCGTGAGCCAGATTGTCGCTCCTGCCCATGATGTCTTGTCCGAGACGAGAAGTTATCTCGAGTTTCCCCAAGCATCTGCGCCGGGTAAGAGTGCTGCTCCATCCTGGAACTCGACCATACTGTGAGGGTTCCCACCACAAGCCGCGGTGGAGGAAGCCAGGCTTCCCGAGCTGTACTTTCCCAGTTTGTTCAGATATACCCAGGGACCGCATTCATGTTCTCGATCTCTTCCGGACGCTGTGCGCCAGCAGATGAAAACGGCTGTGATAATTTTAGTTTCTGCCGCACGACTGCGATATTCTTGGAATGCGGCTCGCTGAGTTCGCCGAGCGTATAACTGCGCGGTACGGCCGGCCGAAGCGGAGCTCAGTTCCACAATCACGAGAGGGACGTTCTCCGTTGACAGCCACGAGAGAGTGCCGTGGCTGCTTACATACGATCGTCGGATTCAGGTCAGGGCGACCGAGCGCTCCGTGCTGTCCGGGCTAGAGAACCAGTGGATTCTGGGTCTGCGATTGGTGGGGCCTGCAGTCGACGTGGGTCTTCGTGATCCAGGAGGTTTCAGGCAACATCAACTTCCCTCTCGCAGCGTGCTGATAAATGTGATTGCGATGCTGACACACGTCGGCGTTGCCAGTGCGCGGTGTGCTTCCCCATGCCAAATTCAGCGTGATGAGGAATCGTTGCTCTTCCTGGCTGCCCTGACCGGGCTCCACGGCCCATCTTTCCAGCTGCGAGCTCGGGTGCTGAATCGACATGCTCCACGAGGCCTCGACTCTGAATATTTGGGGCAGTGCAATAGGAAACTGCCAAAGGCCAGGCCAGTCCACCCACCACCCGAGCGAGTTTGTATTGTGATACGTATCGTAGCTTCCCGTATTGTTTTAATCACCGAGATATGTAAGGTTCAGATTGGGTGAGGTGGCTTCCCGTAACGCCCAAGGCGAAACTCTGTTGGGGGGAGAGTAAGTGCCGGGCGGCTGCAGGTATGCACAAGAGATAAGTAACCCGTTGCCCTCAAACACTCGGAAGATGAGAAATAGATCCTAAAATGTGGATGGTGATGTAAGCGCTTTTGAGCCTTTTCAAAGCATGAGATTGAGGATGAAGCTTCTTGGAAGTCACGTGACCGTGAATTGATGAATGTTCAACTGTGGCATAATCCCCCACGGGTGCGAGACCAAATGTCCCCATGAGTAGAATCTCTCATAACTCATTCTGAGAACACAAATGGGCTTAATAAACTGGAATCGTTCAAAGATAACGAGATGTGTCATGTCCACATTCGAATGCCATTTCAACACTGAATCTGCCTCTCTGCCTTTCTCCCCCCTCAGCCCCGACAGCTTCGCCACGCCGGGCAACTCTTATTCTTCGTCTCTCTCTGTTTGACTCCCCATTAAACTAATCGATAGCAGTATTATTTGTCACGCGAATTTTTGCTATGCAGGTTCAGCCAACTCGAGAGATGCAGAGCTGGGGATGGGCCCAACAAGACAGAGCTAGCTGGAAAAAGTCTCAGGCGTCACACAGCTTCGAGGGGCCGGGTGGCATCCACACTCAGCAAAACATAGGGACCTAATCGACCCGACGGCTTTAACGATGTGCTGATGATCGTGTCACGATTCAGCACTGGTGCAGGAGAAGAGCATCGAGAAAGCGCAGCGGAGGGATTCTGAAGAGGAAGTGCCCGCAAAGATACCCGTCGTAGTGATTCATGAATTCATGTGAGAGTTCCGGTAGCTCGATCGAAACGACAGACCTGCGACTCGAGCATTGCTCTCGAGGCGGGGAATTGATGAATTGGCTGCCACAAAAAGAACCGAAGCTAAGGTTTCATACGGGAGCAGCTCTGGAGGAAATGCGAAATGGTAGACTCTGATGACTTGGAACCCTCAACCCTCTCTTTCGAACAACGAGAAATTCCTCCTGTCGACGATCTTCCACTTATTCACTGGGATCTCGTATTATCAGACCGGGATCGGTAACGTCACAGAACCGAGTCTGCATACGTGGCCACAATGGGCACATCCACGGTGGTCCCAACGGGAATGCTCGTAGCTCAATCCAAAATTCCAATCCATCCGACGCTTCAGCTGCCACGGTGCCTCCTGGTGGTCTTGCAATTCAAATGTTACGTAGGCCAAGTCGAGTGAGTCACAGACTAATGGCCGCACTTGAGTTTCGAGCGATGTCCCCGGGCTCTGGCACCGAGCGTTCATGCAGCGTTGGGCTCGTTCGACGGTTCGGTCGAATTGACTGTTCAACATGGGCGAGATGTTCCACAAATAGTTGGACTATACCAGGGCGCTCGCAAGCAATAGAACAACGACTAGGAGCTTGAGACCCCGTGGAAATGGATGGGAATATGCAGCCCACCATCAGTCAGTCTACGTCACGCGTGAGAGCAAGTGCCCGAGAAAATCTGAATCCCAATGTCTTCGCCCGACTAGCAAGGATCCAAGGCACTTGTCATAGGAACCCTGAATGTTGATCGCCGCAGTTGACGGTGTCACTTGCAAGGAAGAGATGCCGGTAGTGGACGCGGTTCTTCAGACGTTGATAGGCCAGCAAGAGGGCCGGAGGGACACTACGCCTTTCCAGGATAAATAGCATCGGGGGAGACTCGTCAACCAAACAGTTTCATGAAGCCCCTATCAATATTCGCAGGAGGAAGACGTCGAGCACAACTGGACAGGTAAGGAGAAAGCCTGCGTCTCCTACTAGACATGAGTGGCGAAAGTCTCTGTGGTAGAAACGTTCAAGAAACGCTTCTGAGTGGTCGAACTCAGGACGGGTGACACTGAAGAAAGCGAGCACTTATTTGGGATGTTTCCCGGACCGAGATTTCGGCCTGGCTGGAGTTTGTGACAGAGAGGAGATTTACAGAAGAGGAAAAATCAAAACCGTGTCATACATTCAGGGACTGAACCCGAGATCTTGCGCCAGCTCCCAACGGGAAGAGAATGCACCATCTGGGCCTCACAGAATGTTATGGACCTTGGTGACCTCGGGGATAGTCGCGGTTATTGTTCAAATTGGAGTGAGAGCCGCCGATCGAGATAGCACAGCATCGGGAAGGCAGGCTCTTGTCTTCCGCGGCGTCGATGAGGATCTGCAAGTTGAATCTCATTCCCCCTGTTGGTCGATTTTGAATGCCGGTCTGCACGTGCTTTATAAATCTGATCCCTAGGGTAGGTAGATTAGATAGAGGGATTGCCGGCAACCACCGGTGCTTGCCTTCCTCGACCACACGCACTCACTCACGCGCGAATGAAAGTAGACTAACTTGGACCTTCTATGTGTCACATCCGATTGCGGGCGCCAACTCTGCAGGAGTCTCAAATCTCCCTCTTCCTCCGCCGGCCGGGTTTCTGGAGCCAGGAACTTGTCCTGGATGACCTCCATCCATTCAATCGCTTCAATGAGCGAGTTCCGCCCCGATCGACACGATATTAAAGCGGAGAACTCGCGTTCTGGCATGTTATGTCTCACATGCTCTTGCTTCATCAGCTCGTGCTCTATCAGGGAAAATCCTGCGCGCAAAAGCCTCACGACCGTTTCTTGCGGAACATATTATACACATTATCAGACTTGTACCGTGCGGCTGCGCTTTAGCTTTCGCGGTTCGTTCGTTGGCGTGATGCGAGAAAGTGCACAGGGCCCTGGCAATCGGCGGTGCTTCTCCCACTCGGCGGAAGAGTACGGCGCGCGCCCAAAGTTCTCCTCCGAATCTCGATCCTCGTCCCACACCATCCCATTCGCCGATTTGCGGCCGGGTGACACCGGCGGCAGCGGCACCTCGACGGGCGTGTTCGACTCGGGGGGTAGGATGTTGAACGAGCGCAGCGATGCGGGGATCCAGCGCGATGGGGAAGGCGCCCGGCGTCGGCGTTTGCGGGGGGTGCTGCTGTTTCCCGTGGTTGACGGCGATCGGCCCCGTTTGCCCGTGTCGGAGGCTGCCAATGTCGCAGCAGCGGCGGCAGCGACAAGCGCTGCAGTCCTCGTCGATCCATGGCTGTGGACCTCCCTCTGCGAGCAGCGCCGAATGTGTCTGTTCAAGTTCGACATGACGCCGAAACGGCGCTGACAGATCGAGCATTGGAAGGCTGAGCAGCTGATCAGGTTCCGACCCTCGGCATTTCAAGCAAGCTAACCTTTTTCGCCAGTATGGACCAGTAGATGCTGCAGGGAGGGTTAGTTGGCTCAAATGGGATGAGCCGACGACGTGCCTTCTTGAGAGTGCTAGGCCGATCGAATCTGAGGGACTGGCTCAGGAACGGCGCAGGATACGGCTTGCTGTAAAAACAAACCGTTTATGGCACATCGTGCAGCCATGCTTCTTCTCACGGGACAGGAAGCCATCGTCCAGGTCGTCGTCGACGAATGGCTCGCTGACATCGGGGTAAAGTACGGCGTGGGCAACCGGCATGCGCAGCTCATGGTCTTCGTCGCGGTATTCGTGTGTGGTGCCGGCGCCGTGGTTGAGCAGGATCGCCATCTCAGACGCGCGTGGGACGTGTGGGGTAGGCGAAACAAGCAGAGGCCCGCTCGCTAGTACATCCTCCGTTGTGCTGCTTTTAAACACACCGGCTCCGGCCCCTGGGTCCGAAGAAGAGTGTGGTGGCTGCTGAGAAGGGCCGGGTGGCCCAGGCAGCGAAGCGGGTAGTCCCGTCGTAGGTCCATATCGTAATCGATGCGAATACAGGCCCCCGTCGGAGAGAGCCTCGGCCGGAGTACGCCCGGCATCGTATCCGATCCCACTACCCCCCGCTGCTGCCGTTAGTCGGTCGCGAGCACCACGGTCCCAAGAAGGGCCGCCCTGCTTTGGTGGAGGGATCCCCATATTGAATCCGGACGGGCCAGTTGCCGAGATTGTCCCGGTGGCGCTCGTGCCATATCTCGCGGGTTCATTCGCACCCCGGGAGGAGAGTAGGAGCAGCGATGGTGACCCACTCGCCGGAACATATCGCGACTCGGGCAAGGGCCCGGCTGGGGGTAGTGGACGCAGTTGCTCGAGTGGATTTGCGTGGAGTGTTGAGGATCCGTCCGCGAAGGCGGTCGAAAGAGGCGCAGATGCGCTGTGATAGGCCAACGTCGAAGAGCGGTCACTCGTTTGAGCGCCGACAGCGCTGCTGAGCAGATAATTGGAGCCGGTGTGCGGAGGCGGGGCCGGGTGCGCGAATCGCGGGGCGAGGAAGGAGACATGGGGGCAGTCGCACGGACAGCGGCAGAGACACGAGATGAAAGGCGACGACATCGTTCGTTATATATCGCGAGCAACAACTAAGTAAACGCCTTCGAGGTGTGAACGGGGTGACTGATCTATGAAATCCTAACCCCCTTTCGAAACGCTCGTTGCCTCCTGTCTTCTTCGACCTTCCCACAAGCCTCTTCTGCCCCAAAATGGAAGCTTTCGTCCCACCAGCCTCGCAGACTGAACAGTGCGAGCCTAACGCGGCAAAGTGCTTCGTCGTCCGCGTGGTTGATTTGAAGAGAAAAAAGCTTATGCCACGTAATGAATGACAGGTCGTTAGCTTTCTAGACTTTCCGTGGACCATGGGCGTGCCCAGGGTCGCGCTAGCCTGAGACCTCGTCCAGATAAGACGATCTATTCGTGACCTGTTCCTACACTCCTGCGCATGGCTGCATAGAGAATAAATCATGTATCAAAGCGACGAAAACGAGATTAGGAAGGTAGATGCCAGTGCTTTGGTATGTATTGCGTGTGATATGTGGAGAAACATGCCATGAGCCGATGCAACCAAGGTGATAAATGTCCACGGAGGCTGCAATCGAAGTACCTAGATCCCTCCCCCGTAAGCCGCCTGCGGCCCGGGAGAAGCCCGTCCGCCCCCATATGCCGCCTGCGGAGCGGGCGAGGCTCGGTCACCGGCGCCAAACGCAGCCTGTGGGCCCGGCGATGCGCGACCGCCGCCGTAGGCTGATTGGGGGCCCGGCGACGCGCGCCCACCGTATGCCATCTGCGGTCCAGGCGATGCGCGCCCGCCATACGCCGCTTGGGGCCCAGGAGACGCGCGACCACCGTACAGCGACTGGGGACCCGGGGACGCGCGTCCAGCCATTTGGGTCATTGGGATCGCCTCAGACTGACCCCACTCCGCGGGTGCCGGACCATTGGCGTCATTAAACGTTTGGGGCACCGGACCGCGATATGGGTCATAGTACGCGTTCATCGCATTCGGGTCGTCGTGGTATGGCTGATTGTTCGGATCGTTGCGTGGAAGTGCAGGGACCGCGTATGGATCTGTGTGCAAGTCGGCTGTCGAGTCTCCGTAGGTCGTAGACGGAGCACGTGAAAGCTCGCCGTCGCCGCCGAATCCGGTCCGTCCCGTCTCCGTGACCGGGAGTGGATGACTGTCAGCACCCGCAGCGCTGTGCGAATTGAGCTCGGGCCATTTGATGTTTTCTCCGTCATCAAACTCGTTGTGGTTCTTGCGCCCGAATTTCCAGATGAGAAAGCCGACGAGACAAAGGAGCGCAGTACCTCCTGCCACCGCCAAGCCCACTATCCCTCCGGTACTGAGCCCACTGGAACTGTCGGAGGCGGCTGCACTCGAATTCGATGGCGAGGGGGAAGCGCTCGTGACGGACGCAACTGGTGTGCTCGTCGTCGTGACATCAATCGTAATGGTCACGCCATTGTCCACTGTGACTGACTGAGAGACAATAGTCGTAGGAGGTAGTGGGGACTGGGTTGTCGGTGTCGTCGGAGTCGATATCGGGGTTGTTGTTGTTGTTGTGGGAGAAGTGACTGGAGCTGCTGGAGTAGAGACAGCTGCGGGTGCAGAGCTCGCCGAGGTGGTAGAAGTAGTAGTCGGCGTTGTCACGGATGGGGCAGCGGGCGTGGATGCAGCCGCCGTCGTAGAGGGCGTTGAGACAGACGGAGCTGCTGCGGCGGCTGACGATGCCGCGGGCGCTGAAGCGGAGACAGCGGTGAGTGAAGGAATCGTCAGTTGCCCGCTCGCGACGGTGGCGGCCGCAAAGAGCCAAAATGTCCTTTGAAGCCGCATAGGTGGCCGTCGACGTCGTAAAGGATGGAATGGAGGTGGTGTGTGACCAGTGTGACTGACACAATTCCTCCATCAAGTGTTTGCGTAGCTGCGAGGCTGTACCTGCTTGACAACCCACTTGCAAGTCCGCAGTCAATCAACTCCGTGCTGTGCAGAGGCCGACAGCGCGTATCGCATTTGTACATATACAGATTCACAGCCGTTACATAGATTCCACAGCCGTTCTCTCGCTTTTTTTCGGACTGGAATCGCGATCAGGGTTCAGCATCCCTTGTGAGTAAATGCTACCCGCTCTGAGGAGTGTGAGCGCGATCGATATCTGTCAGCAACCACTGTGATCCGACCGAAACCGCCGATGCAAGGAACGTTGCAACGCCAGGTACTTACATAACCTGGTCAAAATTTTGCAAGACGGCTCCAGACTTCCAGTCAAGCGTATGTAACTCCGACGTAGATCATCACGATCCAGCTCCCTTCTTATCTTCGTATTCGTGTCCAGGATTCTGGAAGTCGTTCTCAATTACCACAGCTCTCACGAGTGTCAGGGCGAGCGAACATCCTACTGCCGCCGAGCTTGCACGTTAGGTCGCAGCTGTCAGCGTGCATTTTCGGGAGTTGCATTCCGCGTAATAGAAGTCCGTGCAAGCATCAAAGAGAGATGCTGGGACCGAGAAAAACACAGCAAGTTAAATTGCGATAGCGGAGATCTTGCACGTGAGCCTTCGATACTTGACACGTGGACTTCACGTCATTATCGACGAAACGCGTGTTTCATGCACATGTGGATGATTTGTGCGTTCGGCATTTATAATTCGCGCGTTCGGCATTTGAAAATGCGGCAGAATTGCGATAGAGTGAGACCCGGATGATGCTCAAGCTTTTGCTGAACAGTCTCTGAATGACGAGTGGTGGATCGAGTCTTTAAGTAGATGTGATCAGTCATTGGCTGCAGCTCTTGGCCGGCCACGTGCACGCCACATCGTAGACATTAAGCTCTCTTGAATGCATTTCCTCAAGCGCCAGGACGATCCAGGTGAGCAAATCAAGTACCGTCATGTTGCAGTCAATGGCTCATGGAATCTTAGCCTCACCGAAGGACAAGGATGGTAAATTTTTGCAGGGTCATGGTCTAGAGGCCCTCTGAATGAGACTTTTTACACTCCCAGATTTTCTCTCTTGAATCCCAAGTTATGGTGTTCAGGATTCGTGCATCAAAGATTCGGATGCGTCACTCCGCGTGACTGCCCATCAAAATTGTGGATCAGATGGGATTTGTCGTTCCAAGTGACACCCCTCGCGTCGGCAAGCCAAGGGCGGGGATGACGACGCGTACTACGTAGGAACCGGCACCAGGCTCAAGAAATCGCAACGTACCCTCTCTCACCCGATGATGGCCCTGAATCTACCTGCTTTATAAGTGTGCGGAAGAAGGAATACCTACATCCGCCTGCATCCCATCTGCGTCACCATGCAGCTTAATTGGTACAATCCCGACACAGAGATCCCTGACCTGACGGGGAAAGTGATTGCAGTGACAGGAGGTCAGTTCATGCACTTCACATCGAGCTTACGCAGCTGACCTAGATCTCCAGGAACTGCTGGAATCGGCCACGCCGTCATCTGCGAGCTCGTGAAACACCATCCAAAGCAGATCTACTTCACTGGCCGTTCTAGGACACAGGGAGAAAAGATTGTCGCCGAACTGTCCGCCGAGACAATCGTCACTTTCCTCGAATGCGACCATTCCTCCCAAGCCTCCGTCCGCGCAGCCGCCACGCGCATCACCGACGCATCCGACACAATAGATATCGTGTTCTGCATCGCAGGCGTGATGAGTGTACCGCCCGCGGTATCCGTCGACGGGTATGAAATGCACATGGCCGTCAACCACCTCGCGCACGCGCTTCTCATCAAGATGCTTCTGCCCAGCCTGCTGCGCGCCGCCGCACCACGCGTGGTGATCACCTCATCCGCTGCGTTCGGGATGCACCCGCGCGGCGGAATTTCGTTCGACACCCTGCGTACGCCGCAGGGAGGGCTGCTCGAGCGCGAGTGGCGCTATGCGCAGAGCAAGTTGGCGAACATCCTATTCGCAGCTGAGCTGGCGCGGCGCTACCCCCATATCACGGCTCTGTCGACGCACCCTGGCGTCGTGCAGACCGCGATGTTGGCGCAGCAGAACGCGCTTGTGCGCTTGTTAGGGTCGCTGATGCAGTTCGGGACATTGTTGACTCCGGCACAGGGCGCATACACTCAGCTTTGGGCTGGCACCGCGAGCAAAGATGTGAATGGGGCCGAGATCGTCAACGGAGAGAAATACGATCCCATCGGTGTCCCTGGTGCACAAACAAAGGTGTCAAGGGACGCCGAGTTAGCAGGCCGCTTGTGGGACTGGACTGAGCAGGCCATAACACTGCAACAGTAGACACTCATGGACTATTTACATTTACACTACATGAACACCATTCACTTTGGGTACTTTTGCGGCGGGCACCTCCTCGCCATCTTCCTCCCTCCGCCGCTTATTGGAAACCCAGCGAAAGGGTTGGGTAAAATACACGTCGATCGAGGGTTTGCGTGTACTGCGGACAGGGCCAGCAGTCACACTGTGCCCCTTTTTCTTGTACTGGAGATTACTTCAGATAGAGTGAAGACGACGACTGCAAGCACGCACCGTCTCTAACTCGGGTTTCCCCCTCCACTTCTCGATCGCCTCGCAAAATCTGACAGCCGCACGCTCGACTGGTTCGGCGGGATACTGCCAAGCGAGGTCCTCCATGTGAGTCGACAGGTCTGGTGTTGATGGCGGGATATCGTAGAACTACGAATGGTCAGTGGTAAAGCAGTTAGCAATGTTTGAGGCGCACCCTCCTCAGCCGTGTCTCCATCTCCATCTCGAACTCTTCCTCAGCTAGACCTTTGTTTCCCATCGGATTCCGGAGCGTAGGGAACAGCATCTTCACCGCATCCGGCAAACTCGGCAGCTCGTCAGGATTGAATTCCGCGAAATCATCCTTGGGTTCTGTTAGCGGTGGATGCATTCCCAAACCGACTTTAAGAAGACAGTCAACAGCATCAGGGCCGCGCCATCCGGCCGTCAAATAGCCCTCCAGAACTGCTCTTGTAAGCAGCCCTGCCAGTAGCAGATACCATTCTCTCGATGGCAGGAGTGCGGAGTTGTAGATATGCGGAGTTGCAATCGGGGACGCAGGGGGCGGAAGCGGTTCCATCTCTGGTGGCCCTTGCCAGTCCATTCTGTCTGTCACCATCTCTGGCGACGTAAAGTCCCCATCGGCATCCGCCAGGTCATTGTTTTCATTCTCGTTGTCGTCCACGGCAGCAGGCTCTTCTTCTTCACCCCTCGCCTCTCTCCCCATCTCTGCAGCGACCATCGCGCTCAGCCTCAAAAACCGCGGGATCAGTTCCGACAGCTTGGTGTTGCCCACCCCGCACCCATCGTCATGGATGACGTGCATCCCTCTCCTGAGCACCGTTCCCGTCCTAGCTGCCCTGGTCAAACCGGAGCCGATTCCGCTACCGTCCAGCCAGCCACTGATCCCTCCGCCCTCGGGCGCCAGTCCCCCGGGCATCGCCTTCCAGTATTGGGTCGCCTTGGTACTCCCCAGCTCGGCACCGCGCTTCGTAGATACCCGGACACTCGCCTTGGCTTCGACACAGATCTCGCAGCCCGTGTGCAGATGCCGCGGACAGCGGAAGGCTGGTGGAGCGTTAGCCGTGCTAGGGTCTGCACCTGCGTTGTACAGCGTGCGCACTCGTGCACTGGGGGCTGGTGGTGTCCGTGGTTGCACAGGATACAGAGGACCAGGGCCAGGACGTAGGCTCGACGATGGCGCCGTCCAGGGCTGGATGTCGGGTTGCTCAGGGTACGATCCAGAAACGTTGCTCAAGGACGATAGCGCCGGAGGAAGCGCGACAAGCGAGACAGTTTGCGCGGCTGGAGAGGAGATGGACATCCGTCGATGTCGGTGGGACTGAACGGGCGCTTGCCGTGCGAATAGGTCGTTGATCATCGTTCCGAGCAAAAGTCGCAACCGCACTCCGTTCGGCAGCACATGTGGTCCAGGCGTCTGCGTGCTTGGGAAGATTCTAGGGGATGTTGGTGGCGTTCCAGAATCTTCTTCTTCGTCGACTCTCCGGCCCTCACCCTCTTTCGGCATCTGCTCCAGCATACTTGTAATCACCCGCTCCACTGCCTCTGCGCGCACCCTCAAACCGCGCGCTAACCCCAGATCCTGAGCCCGCAGCCGCTCGTCCTCGTCGTCGTTGTGCGGGCGCCCCGGGTCGCCTGCGCGCGCTTTGAGCGTTACCGCATCCTCCCCATCGGAACCCATATCCTCTGATTCCTCATATGTCTCGGGCCGTAGACGGTGTGCATAGTGTGGTGAAAGGGGGCCGCCTGTGCGGTCGGTCATTCCGAGTTCAGCGCGCGCTTGCGAGAAGCGTGTGCGACCTGTGTTTGGATCGTCATGGTCATGATACTTTGTAGAGTTACAATGAGCGCGCACCGTGCACCCAAAGCATATGGTCCACGATCAGTGTCCGCGTGCTCTTCTCTCGAGGTGGTATGGAGTGGAGATGATGCGCGTGCTTGTGCGCCGGAACGCGGAATCCGGTCCCATTCTGTTGTTGAGAAGATGTAGACGAATTGGATTCGGGGCGAGAGACCGAGGGGTTGGAGGAGGGTGTCAGAAGTGAGGACGATGCGGCAGTAGCGAGGTTCTGTGCTGCGTAGGAGAGGTTCGATACTGTGTTGGTACTAGCGCTGCGGATGGAGGAGGTTGCCGATGCCGATGAAGGGAGGGCGGAGGTTGAGGTTGAGGGTGGCTGGTGAGTGGAGGTACCGTTCTGGGAAGTCATGGCTTCTTCGTGTCGGAGGTCGTAGCCTATCGAAAGACGGGACAAAAAAAGCAATAAGTAGGAACAGTCCGAAGAGGAGATCAATGGATGGACGCCTACGCGAGTGACGATGGCAGGCGTGACTTCACGTCAATCATCGGAGATTATCGGCACTCAAGCTAAACTGTTCCGCAGTACTCCGACACTTTGGGTCTGAGCGATCTTCGGCGTGCATGTTGGGGCTGGTCCAAGCGCGAGTAGCTTCTAGTCAATCATGAATCATGATTAGGATTCCCGTGTAAAAGATATTCGATTCCCCACGTGACAGTTCAAATAATCCCACGGAATTCTAACTTTTCCGGGCCCCTGGTTCCTTGCGCTAATAGGTCGATTGCGATGTGCCACAGGAGATAGTGAGCACCTGCTTGAAGTTGTCAGGCCCAGGCTTTGAAACCCTCTGTGTGTGAAATATCTTTCCAATGTGATATTTCCAAACCAGTGATCATAGGCACTAGCTAAATGGTTCGTGACGCCCCTCTTAAAAGCTTGGGGCGGGAATACACAAGATCGTGGCCGCCCGTGTCAAGGGTAAGGATCGAGCCAAGGTTGATGTTCTCCCTGTCTGGTATTCATCTGCGAATTGTCCCAGGTGCCAATTCCAACGTCATTCAGCCGCCACCATCGACAAGGCGGAACCATGCTGCTATAATGCTAATCTTTCCACATATTCTCAGAGAGTCTTCCTATGGCACGAGAGCCATGCGTGAATCAAGCTGCTCAGGAATTTGATGGTTGAGTTGTCGGGTGCACAAACGGCGTTCAAATTTGGATCTACCGGATACGATCAAGATGACTGTCCTGACTGCGAATTTAGATCACGGATCTATCTAACGCTCCCCTTTCATGTGCCCGTCCTTCTGAGCGAGAAACCTTGCCGGCCGCGCATTGCACAAGGTGCCCAATGCCGGGACGGGGGGAAAGAGCGTGGTCGCAGGGAGCCGGTCTTCGATTGGAGCACTTCGTCCGTCCGCAGCAGAGACGGAGACGTTGACAAGATACATGATCAACATGCCATCGGTAGGACTGTAGCACCATGGTGCTCTAGATCGGACGATGGACGGCAAGGCACTTGGGTGTTTGATAATGGGCGGGTGGTGCACACCTATCAGATATCAAGCACCAATTACGATTTCCCCGTCGACTGAGCTGTGAGCCAAAGATGCCCGAGGACATTCGGGGTATGTATATACATAGATAACTGATTAGATGCTGCGCACAGCCTGCTTCATCTCTCGAGGCAGTGTTGCCTTGTAGTGTAGGGCGATGCATATTGATCTGCAGAGCTTACTGATCTAGTAACAGTGCTACAGAGAGGGAGAGAGAGCAGCAAACAAGCGTGAAGTACGAGCGGAGGCAAGCAAGGAGCCTATTTGAGACAAGATCGATATTGCCGCGCACGGGAGGAGAACAGATGATGGTTGCTAACAATCACAAGTTAATGGTCAATGAAAGACCGAAGGGTTAGCTTACATAATTGAGAGAAACAACAACAGTAAACTGACACACTCATTCTCCTTCTTCACACCGCATCTCCTGTGACGAGGTGTACTGCCTTGCTACAATGGATCCCCAACATCAGGACCAGGACTATTTAGCCGATGTTGTGGACTTTTCCCCTGGCTCTCCCGACAATTTCCAGATCTCGTTAGACCCCGACCCATTTGACTACTCGAATCTGGGCAGCCCCCCGTTCCCCCATACACCATCTTACAACGGATCCTTCCACAACTCCCCTTACTCCAATCACTCCGAGCTGAGCTTCAACGGAGAGCGCGAGACCTTTGGAATATTCGAAGAAGATCACGTCGGCGGAATCTCCTCCCGAGACTACGATCCATCGGAGTTCGACACCGTCAATCCCCAAACGACGTCCCTTCTCATGTTCAACGAGAACGACTACATCCATAGCAACTACGATCCCAGTCAACTCTCCACTGTGCATATCTCAAGCCCCGATCTTCGAGGACCCTATGACTACAGTTCTCCGTCGAGCAACGGCAGCGGGGAGGAAGGGCAGCAGCAGCAGCTACGTAGCAGAGGGTCTTCCGTATCATCCAACCACAACAACGTGTCCCCTTCCCCGCGCCTAGATGTCTCCGCCTTTGAGAATCTTTCCTTCCATTCTCCCAGCTGGGGCACCGACCCCCTCCCGCGAGAACGACCCGTCTCCCCACATACTCAGAAACCACAATCGCCACCAAGGCTCGTCATGCCCGAGTCGAGTGGCAGCCCCACCCCTGCTTTTGCTGCACCGCCCACCATCAATGCACCCGACGGTGACGGTGTCCATCCCCGGCTGCACATCGTGCCTGCGACACCCGTGAGCGGTGGAGGCCCGGCTGCGACGGCCGTGCCGTTCCAGAACGGTTCGGACCCTTTGCGTCAAGGTGGTGAGTCACGAATTGCAGCCGTTACGTCAACGGCCGATACTCATCGGTCATCGTGCAGCCTCTTCAGAGCAGTCGACAGGGTGGAAAGCACCACCGCAGGCGGAAGAATACGACTTCAATGTTGGTCACGATGGCTTGTCGACAGCTAACGTACAGATGCTTAACAACTCGGTGAACGGCAACGATGCATCCTCACCTTACCTATTTCCTGGCATCCACACTCGCGGAAGAAGAAAGTCGGATCCTGGACTGGAACCGCCCACCTGGGATTTGAGTAGTGCGCATGTGAGCTCCACGCATGAGGACGCGGTGTCCATGGCCGAAGTTGAGCATGGGTCGATGGGTGGTTCGCATCGGAACTCCTTTAACGGGACCCTGCAGTCATTCCCGCTTGAATCGTCCGCACACCTGCTGAACCCGAACCCCAAACGAGGACATGTCCGACAGTCGCGGTCAGAGGATCTACGAGTGAACGGAATGTTCCACGGTGGATCTCCAGATTTCTTGCGGGCAGATGCATTTCTGTCCCCGATGGATCCGCCGCCGCCAATTCGCAACCGACACTACCGGAGTGCGTCGACGGGCGGTGGATCTCTGCGTAGCGAACGTGGTGCTACCTTGGGAGGCAGCGGCCAATGGAGCGCAGCTTCCTCTCAGCGGGCCAGCCCCTATCCCAGTCCGAATGTCTCGCCACAGCCTAATTACTCGGACCTGCCTCCAGAGGACCCTTCACTCATTGTGTCGAAGCCGAATGTGACGACTCCCCGAACAAGCACGGCATCGCACAGCCGACGCAAGCAGGAAGCGACTTTCATATGCCCTGTCCCTGGATGCGGGAGTACCTTCACTCGAAGCTTCAATCTGAAGGGGCATATCCGATCCCACAACGAAGAGAAGCCGTTCCTATGCAAGTGGCCGGGGTGTGGTAAGGGCTTCGCTCGCCAGCACGATTGCAAGCGACACGAGCAGCTGCACACGAATTACCGGCCATTCACATGCGAGGGTTGTTCGAAGCAGTTTGCACGGATGGATGCTCTGAATCGACATCGTGGGTCTTCCGTGCCATGTGTAATCTTAGTGCATGCTAACTTACTTGATCCACAGTACGGTCTGATGGGGGCATCGACTGCCAGCGAGTGTTGGAAGCCAGTGGGCGCCTGCCCGAGTTTTCCGGTGGGGGGAAGGGGTCGCTCATGCCCGACGCCGGCGGTGGTCGTATTCGCTCGTATAGCATGGGGAGCTACTCGGAGACCCCTGAGCCTCCAATGCATTTGATGCCCAAGGTGGAGGATCCATGGGCGAATATGACTGGCGTCGCATTGTGATATCCGTCTATTACACGCTCCTTGCTGTTGCTTTTCCTTCCTTGCTTTTCTTGTCGCCGCTTCGAATAGCTTATGCTCGTTTCAATCCCTATCTATTCCAGTGTATCTGATTGCGGACTTTTGTTTGGATACATTCTCTCTTCTCGCTGTACCTTATAGAAGCAAAGAACCAACTTTCCCTTGTACCTAGCTGTCTGCTCAATCATTATGTATCTATCTGCTGTCAGCGTGCTACGGCCAGATTATATACTTTAATAGTAACTTGTAACAACATTCCCGCCGTTTTCTCAACACTAGAAAGGTCCGCTCAGTTCTTGGCTCATGAACCGGGTTCACGAGATTTCAATGAGCCCGACAGATTTCAGCAGTTCCCATCACTCTCCACCCAAATTGAATGGTGGCAGACTGAGACATCTCCATTTTAGGACAAAAGGGCACAATCTTGCTCAGTTGCTGTTATAATCTATACACCTGAAAGCCCATAACCCCTTCGGATCCATGAATTTTCCATGTGACCATGCTGGTAGCCTGGTAGAACCCATGAGTTTGTAGAAACCATGATCAATGGCAATTTCAAACTAGAGGTCAGCAACAACCTGTAACAGTGCAGGAATAAAAGGGGGTGTGCAGGAAAATTCACAAGACTTGGTGCCAGGTCTGGCAGCAAGCAACAATAGTGCAGGATGTAGATCAAAGTTGTAAGCAATATGAGATGAATGAGACGAAGTAGTCCTTCTCCAATGCTGCTTTGATGCTCCTGTTGATTGACTAAACAGCTTTGATTTCATCAATCAACTGCTGATCCTGTCCTCTGAATGTAACTTCTGTTCAAGTACTTGATTCGTTGGTGTTCCTCTAGATTTTCTGTGAAAATCAGTATATTGTCCATATGTCCCTTGTTGATCAGTTCCCATAGTATGCCATTCATTATGTTCTGGAAGGTTGCTGGGGAATTTGTGAGACCAAAGAACATGACCAAAGGCTCATACAGGCCATGGTTTCTGCAAAATGTGGCCTTCTATTCATTGCCCTCCTTGATCCAGACATTGTTGTATCCTGTCATGATTCAATCACTTTTTCATCATTTCTTTGATCATCTTATCTTATCTTGACATGGGGCTATCTTATCACAGATCACGGCAGCACACGGTCTGGGTTAGGGGCTTAGGAGGATTATCTCCAATTGATCCAAGGCTGTACGACACATGCTCCAGAAGGTTCTACAGTGCCCATCATCACATCACAACAACTCAATCTGGTTGTCATGTCACATCAGATTCCAGATGTATTTTAGAAAGCAAACTTAACATTACCAGGTGATTTACTGCATAAAAACACTCCTTTGGATGGTCTCTTATTCAGCTTGTAAAGGGCCAAGAAAAATATTGAGGTTGACTCTTTGGGGTTCAAGAAAATAACTGATTATATAACCATCACTCACATGCAATGACATGTGAGCTTCCCAATCAGATCACCTGATCCTTTTTCTCTTCAGCAGCTTTGATGGGATCAACGTTCCAGTGTCACTTTGCATGAAGTTTTGATGCAGCAATGCTTCAATGGCTCTTAGCCATGATTTCTAGGTGAGCGGACTCAGCAGAGATCAAGGGAAAACTGTCATAGTTTGACCACTTTTTCATCTTATCATCAACCATCCTATCTTATCTTGGCATGGATTATCTTATCATGGATCACGGCATCAGACAGTCCAGACTAGGGGTTCCAGGGATTATCTTTATTGATTCGAGGCTGCACAACATATGCTCTGGAAGGTTCTACTACAACCCATGACCAGTGCTCCATGCGGTACATAGCCTTATGACTCATTAGTTGTAGATATGACTCAGACTGGATTTGGGTATAAATACTGTAGCTACTTGGTTGTATTCTCCAGTCTTCAAATTCACTTCTCTTTTCAACTTGTTTTTGAGTTGATTGTCACATAATTCAAAGACTCCCCTCATACCCTCGTATCTCTTACCTCCTACCCTGCATCCTGCACTGCTACGCCCGCTATATCCTCTTCACCCTTATCACCCCACTCACCCTTTTACCAAATCATCTAGTTGTTCTCTGTGATCGCAGTGAAGGGTTCATATTGAGCAAACAGCACCAGGCCACAGGTAACGTTGAGCCTGACCTAAGCCTTACGGTAGCTACAAGGAGTGCTGCAGAGACCTTCGGGAAAACGCACCTTGGGATCATTGGGCACGTGAAGAGCTAGGCCCGGGATCTTTTTGCTAGCAAAAGAACCTTTCCTCGAGTGCTTGTACAGCACACGAATCCACCATTTTGTTCCGATTCCCATTGTCGTCTGGGAGTCCGTCCCCTCCTCCCATCCTACCATTGTTGGCCAATCTGGCGTATCAAAACCAACCGGGGCCCTCCAATCCCTACCTCGCCCTCCCGCCGCCTGAAGACGAGATCCCCGACCTTGACAAGTTACCCTCCGAACAACCACCCTTGCCCCCACCTACCACGCCTGCTCCTACCATGTCAGGACACCACCACATCACTCTCGCCGCCAACCCCCCCTATTTTGATGGGGACAAGACCAAGTACATGGGCTTTGTGGACTTGTGCACCACCTACATTGGTGCATACCGGTCAGAATTCTCGCTGGATGAAACCAAAATCCTCTTCATCCTCTCCTACCTCCACAATGAGGCTGGCACAAGCTGCGCCGCCTTGAGATGGGCAATGAACTGGAAGCAGCGCAACTTTGAGAGCCTTAATGGAATAAAGGCTGGGGTCACCTTGGCGACCTTCTTGGAGGAACTTCAGAGGGCCTTTGGGGACTCCAACACAGAGCAAGTTGCCGCCGCTCGACTCATGGCTCTGTGCCAGAATAGACAATCCTTTGCGGATTATATCTCTGACTTTGAGATGCTGGCTGCAGACACAGGGTACAACGTGGTCACCTCCACTGATAGCAAGGGCGAGTACAAGAAGGGGGATCAGGACAACATTCTCATCAAGTTCCTCGAGCGTGGACTGAGCAGCGAGATCACAAGCCGCCTCTACAACACAGGTGTCCCCTTGCCCAAGGCGTATGGCACCTTCAAGGACTGGTGTGTCAACATCGAGGCGAACACTCTGCATGATCAGCTGCACAAAGCATCACATGGGCACTCCACGCCACGACCACCTCCCCAATGACGCCCGCAGGCAGCCCCAATGACACCTGCACCCGCCCCGGCCCAACCTGCTGCCAACAAACTGGTTCCGATGGAAATTGATCGCACACATGCTCATAGCCGCAATACCATCTGCTACAACTGTCAGCAGCCCGGGCACATTGCGCGGAACTGTCCGGAACCGAGGAAGAAGCGCACGTTCTTCAACAGGGCCACAATGCTTGAAGAGATTGAGAACGGGGACAAGGACAACGAGTTCCTCAAGGAGATCGCCAAGAAGCTGCGTGAGAAGGGTTTTTTCAGCGCTCCACTCCTCTAGCCAAGGAGGTGGAGCGTCCGGACTATGGACGTTTTTCTGTACTTGTTTCGATTAAAGACATGAACAATATCCTGTATACATACACGATCTCAGACTCACTACGTACTAATATTCACAATTTTCTTGTTGCTGATATGGAAAAAGAATGCCAAAGAAAAATAGCTTTAAATAGAGAGTATTTACAGAGTAAAAAGGATCAGAAAGCTGCAGATAAATTAATTTTGGACTCCTACGTATTTATGGCTTGTGGAGAAGGAACCACGTCAACAAAGACCAAAAAGGGGAGCATTGCTCTGGAGGCTCAATCCTTGGAAAAGGAGGAAGCGCCTAAGGAATCTCCTGAAATCAAGGTTCCAGAAGCACCCAAACGCACCAGGGTGCCAGATGCCATCCAGAGAAAATTGGCAGCCAAGAAACAGAAGGGCCCCCAGCCCAGCAGATTGGCGCAGGAATTGCACAGTTACCAGGCCGAAAGAAAGAGGCATTCGATGGACGTATATGTTCAGATCACGGGTCTGGACTCAGGAAAAACGCGCGGAGTCAAGGCACTGCTTGATAGTGGCTGCAGTACCTGTTGCATCAATACTGACTGTGCACGGGCAGAAAAACTGGATATCCAAGAGCTCCCCCAACCCATAGTGGCTCGTAACGCCGACAACACCAAGAACATCAGTGGCCAGATCACGCATTACGTCGACTTAAGGATGAGAATTGGCCCTCATGTAGAGACACGCACGTTCCTTCTGACGTGTTTGGGAAAAGCTCAGATCTTCATTGGTCTTGATTGGCTGATGGAACACAACCCTGAGGTAGATTGGCAGGAGCAGACAATGAGATTCAGCCGATGCCCCAAGTGGTGTCACATGAGGGATCACAAGGAGCACCAAGCAATGATCGACATGGATGCAATCGATTTGGACACGGGCGCACTGGATCTGGAAGAGGGAGAATCAATCCTGTTGGTCGACTTTGGAAAGGAGGTGGACCTCCGGCTGAAGGAAACCCCGGCGCAGAAATTTGCAGAAGAAGCGGAAAAAGAGAAGGAAAGGATGACCAAGGGGAAGATTCCAGATCAATACCGGGAATTCATCAAAGTATTTGCCAAGGAATCATTCGACTCACTACCAGACCGACAAACATGGGACCATGCAATCGAACTCAAACCGGGCTCCAAAGCAGTGGACTGCAAAGGTTTACCCGCTATCACGAAATGAACAGGTCAAACTCGACAAGTTCTTACAAGAGAACCTGGCCAGCGGACGGATCAGGCCATCGAAATCACCCATGGCATCAGCATTCTTCTTTGTCAAGAAAAAGGATGGCTCGCTACGCCCCATCCAAGATTATCGGAAGCTGAATGAAATGACAATCCGAAATCGATACCCGCTGCCGCTGATCTCCGAACTGGTCCATAATCTATGCGGCACCAAGTTCTTCACAAAGCTTGACATCCGGTGGGGATACAACAACGTATGGATCAAAGAGGGCAACGAGTGGAAGGCTGCGTTCCGCACGAACCATGGACTGTACAAGCCCTTGGTCATGTTCTTTGGTCTCACAAATTCCCCGGCAACCTTTCAAAACATGATGAATGACATACTCCGAGAACTGATCAATGAGGGTCACGTGGTAGTTTATCTTGATGATATATTGATCTTCACAGAGAACTTGGACAAACATCGGTGGATCACAAAACTTGATAAGGCTAGCGCTGGGGGCTGGACAATTTTGCCAGCAATGAGCTCAAAAGGCCAGTCACCAGTTGCCAGCCTGACAAAACTTGTGACAACGGGGCTGGGGAGCCATTGCCTGTCGCTGGACAAAAAGAGAGCCACAGAAGGTATACTTGTGTGAAGGGCTCTTCTTTTCTCCTCAAATTTACTACTGAAACAATTGTTTTTGTGGGACTGCCTAGTCTAATTCCCCAACTAAACTTTCTATCTGAACAACAACCCCTACATCACATCTGATGCTGCCAATCAATGAGATTATCTGACTTGCCTCAGCCATAGGTGGAACATAAGTAAGAACTGCCAAAACAAACAAGAACAACGAGTTCTCATTCACCATGATTTCTTCTGCAATACTAGTGTCTTTCACAGTGCCTGATTTTGACCTGATTTTGATGTGATTTCGACTTCGATTTTGTTTTGATTTCAGTTGCCGGCGTGACACGACCCAGCAAGGCTGATCAACAATTTTGTCAATACATCAGATCACAATGGATGTAGATCATCTCGATAGATAGCTGATATTATTGATAATGTTCTCACGCGCTTTCTTGCCTCATCAACTATGCCAAAAAAGTCGGATCAAACACAGTGCACTGAGGCCCTTCATCACACATTTTGCGATTGTCGAAAATGACGCCCGCGCAGCAGCTCTGGCAACGGCAGCCCCAGATCCTGGCATTCCGGCCGTGATCGGCACATGTATCAACATTGTTACTCTGCTGTGACATGAGGTCCCTGGCAACTGAAATCGAAACGAAATCAAAGTCGAAATCACATCAAAATCAGGTCAAAATTGGGCACTGTGAAAGACCCTATTGACATTGGGAAAGAGAGAAATTGTGAGATTCTGCAAAATTAGAAAAGAGAAAAATGCGAGGTAGTGCAATGTCAGGCAAGATTGGTATATTTGAAGCAAAGTTGTGCCGGAGCACTGAACTTTTCAATTTCCAGATTTTGGCGCTGGCATTATGACGGATAATCAGAAGTGCTTTCAACTCAGGGGTTGTAAGGTGCAGTGATGTCAGAGGCATGCACTACCTGCCTGTGTCAAAGAACAAATCTTGTAATCTGTCACACTGGGGGATCATTAAAAAAAGGTGCCCCAATCAAAGATTTATATTTTCAGTATTGTAGTACAAAAACTATGCTACGATAGGTTGCCCAATACTTTTAATATAATCTGCCATCATTGGTTACCTGTTATATCAGCTATTGCATCCCAAAACGGGACCTACAATTGATTGCATATTAGGTCCGATCAAGACCACGTTTTTTCTTGTCCTTTTTTGTAAGATATCAGGGCTCATTTATATTCAAGGTATGGTGGCATGATTTATTGGACTCAATCTCTGACAAAATGGGGTCTAGATCAATGGCTCAGATATCTGAGCTATTGCGGCCCGAGCACAGTCTGCCCAGATATCTCTGATATTGGTGCACATTGCCGCCGACTGATAGAAAAAAGTTACCCCAATATCGGAGATATCTGGGCAGACTGTGCTCGGGCCGCAATAGCTCAGATATCTGAGCCATTGATCTAGACCCCATTTTGTCAGAGATTGAGTCCAATAAATCATGCCACCATACCTTGAATATAAATGAGCCCTGATATCTTACAAAAAAGGACAAGAAAAAACGTGGTCTTGATCGGACCTAATATGCAATCAATTGTAGGTCCCGTTTTGGGATGCAATAGCTGATATAACAGGTAACCAATGATGGCAGATTATATTAAAAGTATTGGGCAACCTATCGTAGCATAGTTTTTGTACTACAATACTGAAAATATAAATCTTTGATTGGGGCACCTTTTTTTAATGATCCCCCGGTGTGCGTGCCTTCAACACCCACGGATGCTCATCCGCAGAATCGTCCATCCACGGATGCTTACCTGCACACGCTTATCCGCGGATTCTTATCCGCGGATGCTCATCCGGGGCGACCAAATCCGCGGCAGAGCCTTAGTACTACCAAGTAGTCATGAGTGGTAGCTTTGTCCTGACCGCACGGCCACTATCGGACAACTCCACACCTATAAATTTGAAGAATCTCTATCTGCTGCTCAACTTCCCCATCACTCCAATCCACAACTATGACTACTCCGTATCCTGGCCAGAAAACTGCTCTGAATGTTGTCTTAGTGCGTCGCGTTGAGACCGGAGCGCAGAAACCGGCTCGGATTTATGACTCGCAGGGGACAATGACATTTGCGGCACAGGGAACATTCCGGGCGCGCGTCACTGATCTTGCAGATGTTGAGGCTATTATTGATGTCTTTCTCAGCCATGGCCATCGGGAGGTGCGTTATCTGCCTAGCTGTTCAATTTCTGTGAATGAGAATGCGCCCAGCTGGACGCTGCACGCGGGTACGGTAATGGCACGAACGAAGAACAGATCGGAAAGATCGACTGGAAGAGCAAAAAAGTGCTGATGGAGACGAAGTTGTATCCAATCTCGGTTGGTCAAGACCGCCGTTCCGTGGACGCGGTCAAGGCTGACTGATCTAGCCTGAGACAAGCTACATCGGTGATCATTCGCCTGCAAGCATCCGAAAGTTCTGTCAGATGTCTCTAGATGCTCTCAAGACTGAGTGAGTGTCCTCGATCAGGTCCTGGTTGCTGCCACTCAATCAATCAGTGCCCTCGAGATCTGGTACCTGCACGCCCCCGACCGAAAGACCCCTTATGAAGACACTCTGCGCGCTGTCAACGAGCTCTATGAGGAGGGCAAATTTAAGCGGTTCGGGATCAGCAACTACATGGCATGGGAGGTGGCCGAGATCTGTGGCGTCTGCGAGCGCAATGGCTGGGTCAAGCCGTCTGTGTATCAGGGCCTCTACAACGCGATCCATCGTGCTGTGGAACCCGAACTTTTCCCGTGTTTACGAAAATTCGGGATGGCATTCTACGGATTTAATCCGGTCGGCGGCGGATTCCTCACCGGCCGGTACTTAGACATCACCGACGAAGTGGAGGACACCTCTCGCTTCCACAGCACGGATCGTGCCAGCATTGTGAGTTCGGTCCAACCAATGTGCGGTGTGCTCCGCGCTTAACCCCTCCAGGCATACCGCAAGCGATACTGGCAGCAAGCTTACTTCGACGGGTTGAGGAAAATCTCGACCGCAGCTGAGAAACACGGCCTGACAATCATTGAAGTTGCCTTGCGCTGGACCATGCATCATTCTTTGATGAAACGTGAATTCGGCGATGCGGTCCTCATCGGTGCTTCAAGCGTCGCCCACATCAAACAGGTGCACCTCTGATGAAAATCATCTGAACTTCATTTCTGACTGCATAAAATGCCGTAGAATCTGGATGACTTTGAAAAGGGACCTCTGCGTAAGTGACTCCGATGACTGTGGGGGTGTTACTTATGTTTCTCAGCCGAAGAAGTTGTCGATGCTTTAGACGAGGCTTGGGCTGGTGTGAAGGGCATCGCAAGCAACTATTATCACTAGTTTATGCCAACAAAGTCAAATTGGTTCTGAAATTTGGCCTAAGTCGTATGTGCCGCACTGTATTATCACACAGTGCAAACGGTGGTAGTGGAATCCCACTGGCAAAGAGTAGGCTTCGTTCGCAGTCGGAAATGGCTAATGAGCGTTGAGTTACAAATTCGTGAACTCATCTTCCCGATCACCCACGTGCCAACTTATCACGCCACTGAGTTACCAGTGTGCCACCACCATCACACAGATAGACCATTGTTCGCTCCCTCAGTGACTCGCTTGCTGTATAGGAGCTTTCTCGGACGAAGATACATGGACTAGTCCATCTCTGGGCTATCGTAGTCTCCGAGAAAGCGTGATCACCGTCCTTCGCCCACCGGTCCACTTTATCCTCGAGATGGTCCGAGCATGCATATAGGCAACTAGGCTGTAGCCCTGTCCCCTGGGCTGCTTCCATGGTACCTTCGCTGTCTTCTCTCCTCTCCTCATGGCAGCTAAGCACTCGCGATGGTCACCGGCGTAGCAATGAGGACATGGATCCGGTGCCATTGAAACAACGGACATGGACGACGTGGGTATGTGGCACCTCAGTTACCACCGCCATCACCCGGTTGCACCCCCGCGGGGGTCCTCCTGGGTACCCTCAGACGTAGCTCTGAGGGTACCTAACAGGTACCCCCCTGCGGGGCCCGCGGGGGGGATTTGGTCCATTTGGGGGCGGGGGCATATGCGGGGGTCAGCAGGGGGGGGTCTGTACATGTCATGTGATTTATCATTGGGAGCGGGCAGGTGGGCGCGAAAAAAAAAAATGAATCACATGACACATCCAATGGGCGGGATGGCGGCTGATGGCGGGGTAAAAAAATCACGTGATGCACCGCATGAAAATTATCAAAAATGGCTAGCAGGGGTTGGCGGGGGTTGGCGGGGGCGCTACTGGCCCCCCGCACACCATGGCGGGCAGTGGGCGCATTATCACGTGACTTTTGGGGCACCTTTTGTGCACCATTCGGCATGATTTCGGAGGTGTTGCTTGATCCATTGCATGCTGTGGCAGACAATGGGCGCATAATCACGTGATTTTCCGCCCAAAAAAATGGAAGCCTTCCCCAAATCATCCTGGTATCATTTCTATCGGTAAATACACTAGTTAAGCATGAATTTGAGCTTAGAAAGCCCAAAATGCACCCTGCACAATGGGACTGGTGATGCACTTGATCCCATCATTTGGCGGGGTCTGCTGCGGGGGGTGCCACGGGGGGTGCTGCGGGGGGTGCTGCGGGGGGTGCCGCAGGGGGTGCCACAAGGGGTGCCGCAGGGGGTGCCGCAGGGCCCGCTGTGGGGTCAACCACAGGAGCAGGGGTAGGGGTGCATTGCATCATATTTTGATCTATCTATTCTCGCTGTGGTCATAGCATGCAGCATAATTATCCTTCATTTTGCCAGGAGTTTGGAGGCTGTGTCTGGGGTTGGTCTGCAGCTACAGCCATGTGACTCCCTGATGCTTCGGCAGGGGCTGGGATATCAAAACTGTGCAATATTGTCTGCATAATCCAGGCATGTAGGGTTAAAAAGAAAGTGTGATTTGTTCATTTTTTGGCTGGCAGGGTAGGTGGGCTGACATCATGGGCTGCATCGGGTCCACTGTCAACTCATTGATTGTTTCGTCTGCTCATTCTATACACATGCCCATTGGTAAGCTGATCATGCTGTAGGCACAGTCTAATCTTACCCAGTGGATAATACCATACGTTAATTATGCACCTAATGTCACACTTCCTGTCTGGGACTCATTGAAGTTCATCTGTTCTGTGTTACTTTACAAGCAGTTTGCTTTAGTTGCAACATGAACAGATGTAATAGAGTGGATTTGACATGCCCTGAATTGATTCCTAGGTGGAATATGAGACAATGGATTCACCAGCAAGTTGCCTCACAATAGTCAGAGATTGGTAATATTTGAATTTCAAATTTCATATACAACACTCTGTGCACTCAGAACTCGTATATTTGCAAGATAGACTGTAGAGACATAGATGGTTACTTTTACTACCTCTGGGGCTGCACACATCCTTGCCATGACCCACTGCCTGCACCCCTGCTGGTACCCCCATTGGCACCCCCGCCGGCACCCCTGTTGGCACCCCCGCCAGCACCCCCGCTGGCACCCCCGCCAGTCTAGCACCCCCCGCTGCACCGGTGCCTTGTCCCCGTGATTTTCTTATATGTAAGATTATGTAAACTGACAGCTCGGAACACGTCAAGTCACTAGCCAATCAGAACCTGTATAAACGTCGTACCTAAGTGTTTACTGCTCTTCTAACACTGTTCCTACAGTTATGCAGCTGAAAACCATCGGAATAAGGTCTCCTTCTGCTATTCTTGTTGAATATGTAGATACTTCATATCATTTGTCCACCTAAAATTCGAAACATGAAAAGAGTTCACCATTGCTCAAGGTTCCTATGTAGACAATGGTTCAACATGGTTCACTTTGGGTATGGCAAAAAATATTTTTTCTACACACAAGCAATTCAATACAGCTGAATGATATACTCTTTGGCAGTGTCTGAAACAAATTCTGAGAGCCCTGGACCCGGGAACTATTCAAAAACTTGAAATGAGTCCGAAAAATAGGGTCTTGATAAACATGAGATATGGGCTGGTTTGAAGAGACATGGGCCACCGGTCATGTTGAATATAGTATTTTACAATGTTTCGGTGCCCTACCTCTCATCACATGGCCTCATTTCCTACTAAAAAGGGTGCATACACACTCAAGCTCATAAAATCAATTGTCACCCAGAAACAAGAGCAGTGAAGTTGTTTCACTGGGATTGGGTAAAGGTTACCTAGAAGTCACTTGGGTTGCAGTACAGAAGCTTTGGAAAGTGATTTTGTAGTTGATCCACATTTGGTAGGCTGGCAGATGCTTGTGCACCCCCATGGCACCCCCCGTGGCACCCCCCGCGGCACCCCCTGTGGTTGACCCCCCCCCCCAACCCCTGCAAGGATTTAATTGACAAATGTCCTGCTCAATCCATTGTAAGAGTCTACAGTATTATTGGATTCAGTAAAGGGCCCAAATGGTGTGTAGACAAGAAGTATGAAATCCGGAAATCAACAATTATGACACCTCCACGGAATATGCTGCAAATGGAGAGAAAAATTTGAGTGCAGACAGACTACCTGAAGCAAACAGACAGAGAAAAGAAACATTAGCCATTTCTTGTTGATGATGTTGGCTGTCCCTGGAGCATGTACTTGGGAGATTTGCCTAACAAATCAAGTTGCACATTTTTCAAATTTTTAGTTTGACCTGACAGCTTGAGCAGACCATGCTAAAATGAACCAAGTCATATATATCAGTGCCCCAAGCCAAGCCAAAAGATTTAGGTAAATTTGCACAGTTTTGATATCCCAGCCCCTGCCGAAGCATCAGGGAGTCACATGGCTGTAGCTGCAGACCAACCCCAGACACAGCCTCCAAACTCCTGGCAAAATGAAGGATAATTATGCTGCATGCTATGACCACAGCGAGAATAGATAGATCAAAATATGATGCAATGCACCCCTACCCCTGCTCCTGTGGTTGACCCCACAGCGGGCCCTGCGGCACCCCCTGCGGCACCCCTTGTGGCACCCCCTGCGGCACCCCCCGCAGCACCCCCCGCAGCACCCCCCGTGGCACCCCCCGCAGCAGACCCCGCCAAATGATGGGATCAAGTGCATCACCAGTCCCATTGTGCAGGGTGCATTTTGGGCTTTCTAAGCTCAAATTCATGCTTAACTAGTGTATTTACCGATAGAAATGATACCAGGATGATTTGGGGAAGGCTTCCATTTTTTTGGGCGGAAAATCACGTGATTATGCGCCCATTGTCTGCCACAGCATGCAATGGATCAAGCAACACCTCCGAAATCATGCCGAATGGTGCACAAAAGGTGCCCCAAAAGTCACGTGATAATGCGCCCACTGCCCGCCATGGTGTGCGGGGGGCCAGTAGCGCCCCCGCCAACCCCCGCCAACCCCTGCTAGCCATTTTTGATAATTTTCATGCGGTGCATCACGTGATTTTTTTACCCCGCCATCAGCCGCCATCCCGCCCATTGGATGTGTCATGTGATTCATTTTTTTTTTTTCGCGCCCACCTGCCCGCTCCCAATGATAAATCACATGACATGTACAGACCCCCCCCTGCTGACCCCCGCATATGCCCCCGCCCCCAAATGGACCAAATCCCCCCCGCGGGCCCCGCAGGGGGGTACCTGTTAGGTACCCTCAGAGCTACGTCTGAGGGTACCCAGGAGGACCCCCGCGGGGGTGCAACCGGGTGATGGCGGTGGTAACTGAGGTGGTATGTGGTCCCCCATCTTTGCATCTATCTTCTCATTGCTCCGATATGAGAACTATGTGGCCTACTGGATCTCTGATTCAATCAATCCCACGATTTGGGAAATCGCGAGCTCGATGGTTGCAATCGGACTATCTTGGTGAGCTGCACTGCTGCAACTATCTGTATTGTTCGTGGCTGACAACTTGCAAGGCAACAAGCGCTTCTTGCCATCTCAGTCGGGCATATTCTTATCGCGGTCGTAATATCGCTGAATGGCACGATGGGCGCGCAGCTACATATTCCATTTCCGGTGCGCCTTCCTTTCGGCTCTGAGTGACTATTTGGTTCATGGAATTTGTATGCAGGTCATAGCGCGCGCTTCCTTTGGTTTTTGGTTCAGCGTGTTTTGTGTGACATGCAGGATGAGCATTGCCATGTTCTGGTTCGGAATCGTTGTAAGCTGTGGCGCATTTATCCCCTTGCGAGTGGCTTCTTATTCTTATCAGAGCTTCAACGGATCCGAATGCACGTTCCAGATGGTCAAAGCGCTCTGGCCATCGTTCGCGGACGTTCCAAACCAGCTTCCCGCTTCGGCGGGAATTACAAGCGTCGGGATGATAAGCTACGTGCTCTTCTGGGCCATCCAGTTCCCGTTTCTGCTCGTTTCGCCCCGCGACATCCGCTATTTCTTCGTCGTGAAGGCCGTGCTCGCGCCGGCCACGTGTCTGGGCATGCTCATTTGGGCGATCATGCGCGTGTCCCCCGCCACGAGCCTCGGGCCCGGGTCGAAGCTGCACGAGAACCACGCGCCGTTCTGGGTGTGGCTGAGTGCTATGACCAGTGCGACGGGGGCCTGGTCGACGCTCGCGATCAATATCCCGGATTTCACACGATACGCGGTGGATGAGAGAGCGTGGGTTACGGTTGAAAGCCGGCTATAGTTCGCCTTCCAGCTGATGTCTGTGCAGTCAGTTTATCCAGATTCTGGTCATTCCTATGTTTATGACCCTCGTTGGATTCTGCGGGATCGTTGTCGCATCGACGACGGATGTTCTGTATGGCACAATCATCTGGGATCCGTTACGCGTGATTGACCGCTGGGACTCTCGTCCTGCGAAATTCTTTGCTGCGTTCAGTTTCACTATGGCTGGTGAGTTCTTTCCGGTCCACCCGCCTCTCGATCATCCACTCAGTGTCAGGAACTACTGCGTAGTGCTCGGAACAAACATCTCTGCAAACTCCCTGAGCGCGGCCAACGATCTCACCGTGCTATTTCCGAGATACGTCAACATCCGTCGCGGCCAGGTGATCTGTGCGATTGTGGGCTGTTGGGTCATTTGTCCGTGGAAGATCCTTGCCAGTGCGCCGGGATTTCTCAACTTCATTTCTGCATACGCGGTATGTTCATGAGCGCCCATTTGTGTATTCTGCTTATTCGCTCAGGTCTTTTTGGCTCCCCTTGCCTCGATGTTTGTTTTATTTCTGCATGAAATCGAACTATTTTGCTGACACTCCCTCTGCTCTATGTGACAGATTAGTCGTGGATGTGGGTGCCTTTACGACCAAGATATCTTTTGACCATTGGATCGCAGTACTGGATCGTCCGTAAACGGCGGGTCGACCTGATTGAAATATATCTGCCCGAAGGTCGCTATCGATATTGGCATGGGATTGTGAGCTGTTGCACATCGCCGGTTCGACACCCATTTGACTGATATAGAATTGGCGTGCGGCGCTCGCCTTTGTTGTTGGTCTTGGCCCCAACATTCCTGGACTAGTCGCCACGCTCGATCCGACCATCATTGTGGGGCGGCCCCTGCTCAAGGTGTACGATGTGGCGTGGTTGTATGGGGTGAGAATGCATGTGACTTCCTCTCTACTACCCAAATTAAATCCGTTTTGCAGACGATTTCGACCGCGTTTGCATATTGGCTTTTCTGGGTTTGGTTTCCGGCCAATGAAACCTTACTCGATGGTGATAATTGTGGTGGGGCAACCGCTTGAGCTCGAGTTTCTTTGGTGTACTTCCAGGGACAGATTTCCGATAAACTTGTGACAAGCGTTATAGTTAGAATAGACTCGTACAGCAGTGTCGATTATGTAGAAGGGGACTCGGGTTGTTTGATGATCGGATTGTAAACGACCGATCCGATCAAAATTCTGATTCTGTATCATTAAAGTGTGCCAAATACGCTGCCTGCTGGAAATCTGCCTTCGTGTACACAGCTAGTAGCTCGAGATCTCTCGGATGATGTCCATTCAGAAAAAAAGTTACCCGACTGAGTGCATCACCCCGTCAGGCGAGCTCGCTTCGGCTGCTCTTGACACTTACGTCCATGCCAGATCATCGACAACGCACTGCGAGGCTCACAGCCCGACTTTTTAGACCTCGCCAACCTCTGGCATGAAGTCCCGGAACTGATTCCATTCGTCGTCCTTGAGGTCTTTTTTCACTATCTCGACGAGCAGACGGTCGAATCCATCCTCGCCCCCGCGCCGACCACGGCCCACGCGAAACTACTCCGCCCATCAGTCGGAGCAGCAGCTGCGCGCCCAGACGTCGCTCATGGCGCTCTGCAGAGCCGGGGAAGTGATCGGGCTGGGGGCGCGTAAAAAAGTGACAATTTTCCCCTGGCCGATGATTTTGGGCGTAGAAGTACCTCCGGAATGCTGGAGATTCTGAAAATTTTAGACATTTCCGGCCAACTGTATCTTGTATTCGAGAGCGAATCTGAGCTTATCAAGACCAAGTTATGCAGCAAAGAAAATGGATTATTCTCTCGAAAATAGAGCAACAGTAGGTCTGAGAGTGGAAAAACTCTTAGTAAATCTGGGTCAGACCGCGGAAGAACATATGCCTCAGTGACCGGGGACCTAGGTCAGCTGGACGAGCGAAGAGTATTCTTTCAGGTCTCGGAGCTTTTAATTTAGCGGCCGTCATGTCAGACTGGTCGGAGGTTGGGGCAGCTTGGAAATTCGAATTCAAAAGCCAGTTGCGGGCAAGAACTGATCAGCCATGGGTACAGCCACGACAGCTACCTATCAAATCATTGGCACCCAACTTTAACCTCCGCCCACTCTTAAAAGTTAAAACACCTCGGGTTCCAACATCGGTCGTTTCCGTCTGTGGAAAACATCGGTCTCATATCAGTAACGCGAACACCATGCGCCGTGGCTCTCTGTCCATGCAAATCGTTCGGGACGCGGCATTGCGGACCGTACTCCGACAGGAGCCAAGACATGCCCAGCTTTCCACATGTGGACCACAGGACAATCTCCGTGCACTCTCGGGCTGGCAAGCCATTCGGGGCCGGCCGCATCCCCTATCGCCCCTTGCCTACATCAATGTCGCCTGATTGCACCCTATTACACCACCCCTGATCGGTATCTCGCGAATCGCGACGCTGATCAGCGGTAACAATCACCCGTCCCTTTCCCCGCTTCTCCAAGTATTTAGGCAGAGTGTGGGGATGTGGGGCACCCCGGCTTCCTCTCCATCCTTTTCGACCTGGTTCACGCACCCATGGAGTCTTCGCTCGAGAAAGGAGAGATCATCGCAGATGAGAAGGGTGGGGTGGTGCATTCGACGTCGTCTCAGCCGGCGGGCTCGCACATCTCTGGTCCGGAGCGCGCGGCTCTGGAGAGGAAGTTGCTCTGGAAGATCGACTTGCGGTGCGCCACCTGTGTCTTTCTTTGTGATTCGTACGTACTTACGCCGGCGCGCTAGGATGAGCATCCTCATTGTCATCTACATCCTCAACTACGTGAGTGACTTGCCATTGGTCGTGTGCCGCCGTGTTAACATTCTGTTAGATCGACCGGAATAATGCCGCGTCAGTAGCCTCTGCTCATCGAGACCCCTCCTCATCCTGACATGCCGAGCAGTGCTGCGCGGACTCGAGGCCTTACCAAGGACCTGCATCTCAAGGGCCAAGAATTCCCGACGCTGCTGTCGATCCTCTACGTCGGCTACATTCTCATGCAAGTTCCGAGCAACATGTTCCTGAACTACATCGGCCGCCCATCGCTCTATCTTCCTTGTGCCATGATCATCTGGGGTGTTATCTCCATTCTCACCGGTATGTCGTGATCTGCCGTCAACATCCGACGGGACCGCTGACTGAACTCAATGAAGGCATCACGACAAACTTTGTCGGTGCCCTGCTGACGCGCTTCTTCCTCGGCTTTGTCGAAGCGGCGTTTTTCCCGTTAGTCCGCGTCTCTTTCTCCGCGTCGGACTTTCTGCTTACGATCACAGGGGAGCACTGTTCCTGCTCTCCAAGTGGTACAAGCGGGATGAGATTGGCCTGAGGACGGCCATCTTGTATACCGGCAGCATCATCAGGTGGGCGGAGCGCGACCGCTGACTGATTCATGCGGATGCCAAGTAATTGACTGGCGACTTCAGTAATGCATTCGGTGCCCTGATCGCCTCCGGGATCCTGCACAACATGGGGGGCAAGTTGGGCCAAGCCGCGTGGAGGTTTGTCGTTTGCCTTCTGTATCAGCATGTGCTTATCCATCTTCCAGGTGGCTGTTTTTCATCGGTGCGGGACTAGCCCCCATTGACGCGGATCCACGACTAACTGTGCTGTATAGAGGGAGCCTTGACGGTCTTCGTCGCCATCGTAGCTATCTTCGTTCTGCCCGACTTCCCCGCGACCTCGAAATGGCTCTCCGAGGACGAACGCGCACTTGCACTGCAGCGCATGTCGGAAGACGTCGGTGTCGGCGACGAGGGTCAGACTGAGCACGGAGCGATGCAGGGGCTGTGGTTGGCGTTCTCGGATTGGCGCGTGTGGTGTGAGTGACCGCGTGTCCGCTTCCATTCGGCGTGCTGAAATGGCTCTGCAGGGCTCGCTTTCGCGCTGACTGCGCAGGTCATCGCGCTGTCGTTCAACGCCTTCTTCCCTACTCTCACTGCAACACTCGGCTACAATCCCACGGTGACTCTGCTTTTGGTGCGCTCCGCTTTTCCCCACTTGGAACGCCTTGATCGCTCACGCGCCTGTTTCAGTGTGCACCTCCGTTCGGATTCGCCGCGATCGTCACATTCATCGTCGCGCGCCACTCGGACAAGGTCAACGAGCGATGCTTCCACATCGTGGGCTCCTTTGTCGTCGGTCTGATCGGCTTCATCATCGCTGTTTCGACCATGAACACCGCGGCTCGGTACATCTCGCTCTTCCTGATGGCGCAGTCCTATGCTGGTTTCGTCGGTGCGTTGACGTTCCCTTCTATTGACACACGTTCTGTTCGCTCATGCCTTTCACTTACTACAGTTCTGTTCGCGTGGTGCTCGAATACGTTCCCCCGCCCGCCGTCGAAGCGGGCCGTCGCACTCGCGCTGATCAACGCCTTCAGTCAGCTGGGCAACATCTCTGGAAGCTACGTCTGGCCCTCGTGAGTTGCTCCTAGATACTCCTGTTAGTAAGTACACTCCGCTGACGCGTGCACCCAGCGCATGGGGCCCGACGTACGTCCACTCGTACGCTATCTGCATCGGTTGCTCTGGCGCGTCCATCATCATGTGCCTCATCTTCCGGTGGGTCCTCAAGGCCGAGAACCGAAAGCTGGAGGAGGCAGAGGAGGAGAAGGGGGTCAGGACAGCGGGCTTCCGCTACATACTATAACGATATGCCATTTACGATTCACGAGGCTCGTGTAACACCCAAAAATGTAATATGTTCTGGAGACAACCTCAGTTGGCCGCTGGCAGGCAGTGCGCTGCAAACCGCTTCTATACATCGCAACCGGAACCACTTGCCAGTCTAATAAAAGATCATTGTATACAGAGCAATGTACAATGCACAGTTACAGCAACATTTTCTTTCTTTTCCACTACCGACCCCCCGAAGCGTATATGCAGCCAATGATAGATATAAGTAGATCAGGCGATTACTTGAACTGCAGACGAACGGATCAGCGACGAATTCTGGCGCGGCAGACAGAGCGCAACGTACGTTCTTGCCATCGGCCCAGGTCTTGCCGTCGATCGTGAGATCCCACGCGAGCGCAGCCTCGAAGAAGGCCTTGTCGTCCGCGTTGGCGATGTCGAGCTTCTTGAACTCGTACGACTCCCAGTCGGGCGCGACATTGACGACCGGGGTCGCGTCCGGGCCCCGCAGGATGAAGGTGCCCGCGATCAGGGAGTTGTTGGCCGTGCCGAGCACACCGACGGAGCCGAACAGGTACTTGCGCGACGCCTCGAGACGGTTGAAGAAACCGGTGATCTGGTTCGAGGACATAAAAGTCTGCGTGAGCTCCTCGGGGTACTTGAAGTCCACACGCCAGATGGAGAAGCCCTCCTTATCGAAGCTGGCATGCGGGTCAGCGGCTTGCATCCATCCGGTCATCGGAGAACGGCCACGTACTTCTCGTAGAACCATTCGATGGCACCGCCGGGACCGCGGGTCTCCTTGTTGGAGTACGCACGCTTCCAGTCCTCGAGGTTGAACGTCGACTTGGGGAGGTCGTCGAGCGGGTTCTTGACCTTGGGCTCGGCAGGGATATCGTCATCCTCCTCCTCCTCGGCCTTGGGCTTGGGCTTCTTCTCAGCCTTGGGCGCAGCGGGTGGGGGAGCAGGCTTGGCCTCCTTCTCCTTTTTCGGCGCAACGAACGTCGGGGCCTTGTCAAGCACCGGCGTCTCGACGAAGATGCCTGAGAACGCAGGCTGGTGGAGCACGGTCTGCATGTGGCGAATCAAGTTGGGGATCTTGGCGCGCTCGGCGGTGTCGATGTTGGAGATGGCGGCGTGCTGGACGATACCCGCGATGTAGATATCAGCAAGGGTGATGCGTTCGCCGACGAAGAAGGTGCGGCTGGCGATGTGCTTCTCGAGGGTATAGAGACCACGGAGCTGGCGCTCGAGGAAAGTGTTGTGAATCTAAGGTCTTTGAGATAATTGCACGGATGCGAAGAACGACAACACGTACCGGCTTGCTGTAGGGAGCAAGACGACCGGCGACCAATCCTTTGATGAGATTGGTGTATGCGTCGACCTCAGACTCCGCCAAGTGGACCCACTGGTCAATCAGCGCCGCGTCTTCGCTGCTCTTTCCCAGGAGCCCAGAGTTCGGAGCGAGAGTGGCAACTGCAGGTTGAATCAGTACTAAGATGCGGCCAGCGATCAGCAGCAGCGATTTGGGTCAGATTTTCAAGATCTCGACACGATGGTTAAGACAGGGATAACTGAAAATGTAGATACTCTCATCAAGCACAATCGCTGCGCCTCACTATCAAAACGAAAGATACGCACTGTAGCGGGCAATCGCAGCCGATTCGAACAGATGGAAGCCATCCTTTCCCTCCCAAGCAGGGATCTTACCGTGAGGGAACTTGGCGAGAAACTCAGGCTTCTTGTTATCTTCGAAGTGGGTGTAGCTCGCGGGGAGCTCGATAGCTACACCACCAAAGGCTGCAACGGCTTGGATCTGAAGGCGAAAATCAGGAAATGATCCGACGGATGGCTTTCGGTGCACTCACAAGCTTGCCGGTGTTTTGGGCGGGAATAGTCCAGAGAGTGCCAACGGAGGACATGATGAAGCTGAGGGAGGCGAAGCGGAGGAGAGCAAGGAAGATGAAGGAAGATGAGAGAAAATTTTGATGGAGTCAGTCCGCATCGATCGATCGCATCACCACGTTTTCCATTTCCATGCACATCATAGTACACATACTTGGATATCTATGTACTCCGACATAAACCCTTCACAGCTTTGCCCTTTCCTGTTCCTTCTGCTTCAGAATGCGCACAGCTCGAATGGCCCGCCCCGCACGACTGATGCTTTCACGGCCGAGTTGCTCACTGATCCACCAACCAACATTGACCATCTGGTCAATGTCTATGGTCCCATTGACTGTGCCGTCGACATGATACTGTGATCCACGCAGCGCATATAGAACATCCTCCGTTGCGACATTACCCGTGGCTCCCGGTGAGTATGGACAGCCTCCGAGACCACCCACCGAGGCATCGATGGTGCGGACCCCATGTTCCAAGGCCGTCATGACGTTGGCGACGGCAGTGCCGTACGTGTCGTGAAACTATAGAGAAAGGCATCCATGAGCGAATCTCGTGAGCGGAAACTACTGCTCTTACATGACCCTGCACGCCTCGTCAGTCGCTAGTCATGATGGCAAAGCTCGACTACGCACCGCCAGTCGATCGACTGGAACACTCTTCTTCACTTCTTCGAGCATTTCAGACACATTCCTCGGTGTTCCCATGCCGACTGTATCGCCCAAGCTCACTTCATAACATCCCATATCCATCAGGGCCTTGGAGACATCCCGCACTCTCTTGTAGTCCACCCATCCTGAGTACGGGCAAGCGATAACCACACTCACGTAGCCGCGTACGCGCAGGCCCTGTTCCTGCGCTACCTTGACCACCGGCTCTAAACGCTTCAGCGATTCGCCCGTCGTAGTATTCAAATTCGCTTTCGTGAACGCGTCGGTGGCGGCGGTGAAGATAGCTATCTCATCGGTCAAAGGGGGATCGGCTGAAGTTTCGGATAACAGTGTAGTAACCGCATCCAGCCCCTTCTGATTCGGCACGAGCACGGGGTATTCGACGCCAGGAAACCGGTGCATTTGCTTAAGCACATCTGCAGTGCCTGCCATCTAGACTGTGTTTGAAAATAGCACGCAGAACTGAGGTATCAAGCTTACCTGTGGCACCCACTTTGGGCTCACGAAACTCCCCGCCTCGATGCTCTTCACGCCCGCTTTGCCGAGACGAGTGATGAGTTCCGCTTTGACGCTCGCCGGTATGACGCCCTTTTCGTTCTGTAATCCATCCCTCGGCCCGACCTCGACGATTTTGACTAGGTTGGTGGCAGTGGCAGTACTTAGTGTGCGTCGGGCAAGGGTGCGGCGAGAATGCGAAAGGAGCCGGGACATTACGGACATGTCAGGTCAAGTGCGGGGTAGCTGGTGGCAGTGACGATCCCACAACAGTCAGGATTTCGGACGTGCTACCGTGCAGATTCCTCACTTGCAGGCTAGTTGCAATGTTTCACATAGACTCCCCCTCTAGTTGAGCAGTCTATCTCGGAACTACACGGCACTTGGAAAGTGGAGGTAATGAAAGCGCTAATCCAATGCCACCCTTTGATGGCATGCAAACTCTTGACGTCACCTGTCACTTCTAGCACATTCTCTACGATTCGCGCACAATCTAGGCAGGGTGGGCTGTGACACGTATATAACGCACTCCGCACATCTCCGTCCTTCACTTTCTTTTCTTCTCATCGTATATCTACCATGGGTGCCGACTACTACAAGCTCCTGGGCATCGACAAAGATGCAGATGAAGCGAAGATAAAATCTGCCTACAAGAAGATGGTGCGTATCGCATGTCTCACACCCCATTTTCTATCGAGCACTCACCACCCTCCACCCAGGCCTTGAAATGGCATCCAGATCGAAACGGAGGATCTGAGCAGGCATCCCAGAAATTCAAAGAGGCAAGTCTCACTATTCGGTCAGGGACTTTCGGGTTGCTCAGCATGCACTCCACAGATTTCTGAAGCATTCGAAGTATTGAGCGACAAAAACAAGCGCGCAGTCTACGACCAGTTTGGAGAGGAGGGTCTGAAAAATGGAGGACCCACACCGGGCCAGGGCGGCGGACCCGGTTTCTCTGGGTTTAGTGGTTTCTCTGGTGGACCATCGACGCAGAGCCGACCCGGTGCATCATTCACATTCACTTCCAGTGGACCTGGAGGGTTCTCTGCCAGCGACCCCAACACAATCTTCGAGTAAGTGATATCCTGGTCACTCAGCACTCATTCTGATTCGTCTTTAGGCAATTCTTCGGCGGCTCTGGATTTGGAGGCTTCTCCGGCATGGGCATGGATAATGGCATGCGTGGTGGGATGGGTGGAGGAGCTTCTGGCAGGAGGAGGACCGCGCCCCACATGCATGACGACGACGTCGACATGGACAGCCCCTTCAGTTCATTCGGTGGAGGGTTTGGCAGTATGCCAGGCGGAATGGGCGGTGGCGGGGGAGGTGCATACCGGTCCCAGCCACGGGCATCATCACACCCCACCGAGATCACGAAACCACTCAAGCTGTCCCTCAACGAGCTGTACTCTGGAACGACGAAACGACTTAAGGTCGGGCGACGATTGTTGAATGGTGCGACGGAGGAGAAAGTGCACGAAATCGTCGTTCAGCCGGGATGGAAGAGCGGCACGAAAGTGCGTTTCCCACAAGCAGGGAACGAGATGCCGGACGGAGATTCTCAGGATCTCGTCTTCGTGGTAGAGGAGAAGCCACATCAAACCTTCGAGCGAGTTGGGAACAATCTCGTCTGCAAAATTTCCATACCACTGGTTGAAGCGCTCACTGGTGGTGCGGGACGAAAAGTGGTCGAAGCTCTCGATGGCAGGAAGCTGCAGATCACAGTGCCTCCCGGTGTTGTTCAGCCGGGACAGGAGACGATTGTTTCTGGGGAAGGCATGCCTGTTCGGAAAGCGGGAAGCACTCGAGAGAAGGGTGATCTCATTGTACAGTGGAAGGTGGTCTTCCCGACTAGTCTGACTCCAACACAACGAGAAGCGGTCAAGAAGGCTTTATCCTAGAGGAAAGGCAATTTTACTGGTCGTTTTTAGCAGATGTTTCCAAACAGACTCGTAGGAAATTGTAATTAGATTTGTTAGCATTGCTCTGCATGTACTGTATATTGTATCGATTCATCTCACATCAATTGCGCGTTGTCAAATGACCAAGGAGAGACAGTGACTTGAGGGATCAGAGGCACGGTCACGTGCAAACTCTCCGTCTAGAAACATCTCATCATTGCGAGGCGAAAATGTGTACAATCAGGAATTGTTACAAACTGCACAATATCCAAGCAACTGACAACATGTCTGCCTGGAAATTCTACCTCCGTGCACCTGGATTCAGAGACTTTTGTCTGGTGATTACACGCGCTGGACTGTGGTGTCCTTGACAGCTAACGAATCCATTGTATAATCTGTTCTGCCATCCTTCGGCCCTCTTGCTTTCGTCTTTGGACACCTTCCAGCCCATCCAAACGTCGACTGGATTTCGCCCTGCTTCCTCGTCTATACGCTTCTCCGATGGCACCAGCCCAATCTCCGGCTTCGTATGATTCGCGCATCAGCTCGATGCCAACGCCTTGCTGCTCCAATAGCCGGCGCAGGCCGTGCTCCTCAATGAACAGCGGGCGCGACACTACCGGGGTAGGATGTGAGAGAGATGCACGCCAAACGAGCCGGAAGATCGCACCATAGACAAAAGGCGTACTCGAGTCGACACACTCGGAAACGGTGCCGTAGCCCTAACAGGCTCAGACGCTTCCAGAATCTCAGTGCAACGCAACTCACCAGCTTCCCAAGGAGAACATCGCCGACCGCCGTCAAATCAGGCATGTAAACGTCTCGAGGCGCAATGTAGAATCCGTCAGGCAGCAGCGAGTCTGCCGCGTTCTCGGCATTCCACTGGTCTTTCGATACACCGCAGACGACGGCTATCCAGGAATCGTCGGGAAGGAGGAACGCCGACTGCTCTTCATCCACCTGATCGTCCTCCGGGGACTGAACACCCGCACCACGGGTGACGTCGGACTCGTCGCTGTCCCATCGCGCTTCAGCGCGGGCGGGGCGCCGGGGATCCACAGATGCGACTCCGTGGCAACGCGGGGCGAGCTGAACACATGGTCTCCGTGATCGTGGTCGGGCGTCGGGGGCGGAATCTCGAGTCGCAGGTGATGGGCGTGCGGCGGTTCAGGCGTCAGATCGCGGCTGGCTTGTCGGCTATGTGAAGGCGTACCCGCCCTGCTGTGGGGCCGCCGGAAGATCTGCCCACCGAAGGAGACGACCAAAATCTTCGAGTTGTGTAGATGCTCGGGAATTCCAATAGAGTTGAGGAAATTCGCTCTCCCCGACGATGTATAGATCGACTCAGAGGGAGCACGGACGAGAAGCGGAGCATCGAGAACCTGGCGTGCGGGTTTCGTGGAAGTAGAGGGTACAGAAGGATATAAAGTGGAGGAATTATGATCCAGGGAAGCAAGGATCTCCTCGCGGAACTGGTTCGACGCAGGATCGACCCAGTCGGAGGAGGGCAGCTTCGGTTCCATCGCAAAAGAGGGTATTGGAATGTAGCCTGGAAGTCGAAGCAGCAGATCGGCACAGCGATAGCCCCGATGTATCCGTTGCACTGTGTCCATGGATGAGTTGCGCATTCATCCACCTAGAGTTTGACGGCCCACCCAGCGGCTCTAATTCTTCACGCGGTATCGGCGTGTCCGATTCCAGTGCTCTGAGGTGTTCGGTCGCAGGATGCGTCTCATCGCTGGTTGTCATTGGCGCCTCGGTAATCGTGGTCGACAGAAAGCTGTACACAGAATCGAAAGTGAAGTTGGTGACGAGAATGGAGGGCAGGCCGGCTTGCGTTGCAGCGAGACTGGAAGACAGTCAATTGATATCGAAAACTTGATACTAGTTTTCACATACCACCCCAGATATGCTGCGTCGCTTAATACGCAATGAGCGCCAACCGCATTCAGCCAGCGAACCTCTCTCTCCGCCATCTCCGCTTCCCGTTCCATGAACGCTTTTAGGCCATCCACACTCCTCTGCCTGTCCACACAATAGCTATTTGGCCCAAGTATCAGCGAAAGTGATCTCCGCGATCAGAACGAGCACGCACGCAAGCGGCTGCACGATCACCGGATCGATAAACGCGGAGCGGTAGTGTGCGCCGAGAGACACCGCGTCGGTGAACACGTGCTGCGGCGCGGAGGAAACGATGTAGATCACGGGGCGCGCCGGGCCAGGTAGACGCAACAGATGACTGGCAAGCGCGGAGACGCGTGTCGCATGCCCGAAACCTGCCGGGTTGCGGTATGTCTGTCAACACCGAAGACGCCGAGTTGAGCACGGCAACGTACCATGTCCGGAGCAGTAGTACACGAGTGTCTTGGGCATTGACGATTGGCCGGAAGGAAGTCAGGGTGGATGGCTACAACGTGGAGATGCCAAGGTCCAAGAAGTTGGGGTGAACACTCAAGTGACCGGGCAGGCGAGGACTAGAGTATCAGGAGGGGCGCCGAGCAAAAAGCACGTTGGTGTTCGGGGATGCGGGGTTTCGTTGGTATGACGCATTGAAACGGGCGCTGATGTTTGCTTTCCCGGAGGGCCCATTAAGGTCGACAACAAAGGACATGGTCTGTTTTAGGAAAGGATGATCGTGATGCAGAGTCGGGGTCTCAGTGTCACATTGTTACGGTGTCATAGTCATGTCATCACGTCTGCATAACATGACCGTGCTGTCACGTGTTCCAGTAGACACGACGCGTTCCCTGATTCGGGATGCGCACGGACGCGTTCTAACTGATAATATTGGCTCGATACTGGTGGATGTGCGTGGAAAATATCAAAATAAAAGAGTAAATCGAAAGAGGAAGAAGTGGAAGAGGGGAGGAAATCGGAACAGTTTGCCCCGATCACAGTCGATGTCGGAAGCGTCGGCGTTTGGATGCCGGTGGCACAGCAACCACGTGTTAGCAAAAAAAAAAGTGCTGTGATCTGTTCCTTGAGCTCAGAGGCCACTACTGTATGTGAGGGTCTAGTTGGCCACCTAAGAGACTTTAGCTCTGTAACACACAATATGATACCCTAAGACCATATCCAATGGGTCAGAAACATGACCTACCCTGTTGAGAACGACGTGCGAGTCGCCGCTTGTGCTTATTAGTCGTGGTTCCTGATCAATGAGTATTTTCCCGCGACGACTGCCAAACTGGGTCAACCGGGCTAGTTGGCCGGGGGTGGGAATCTGCCATCTCACACATTGCTGTCCATCTTTCTCATCGTATACCAGAGTACCGCTGCTACTGTTGCTATTCCAACACTCAGTACACCATCTATCCACAAAATATCATGCATTTGACGAGCCGTTCGTCACCAATGCCCGACAAGAATCAGGGTCATATGGTATGACAAAGGCAGCACAGGCAGGGAAAGATCACGGCGTGGAGAGCGGATGTGTTTGAGTATGTGGTTAAATTGTCCTCTGAAAAGGCCTTTACTCCTGCCTATCGAATGTGCACCCAACAGGGGCGGATGGTACAGAGGTGATTGTGTGGGAGCGCAATCGGTTAAGAAATCGGCCCGCCCAGGCCCACCCAAATAAGGCTTGGTGCCTCCCGATCACAATGACCAATCAATCCTGACGGATCACCATCACATCCCAGTGACCTCAGATTTGCGTCACACCGGCATTAGACATCCCTCTTTCATCCTACATACACGAAATGCCTGGAAAATCAAGGGTTCATGTTAAATAATCGAAGTGGCCAACTAGACCCTCACATACAGTAACACTTGTTCCATTTGTCACAATAACTCCTTACATAGAATGGCACTAGAAGAATTACATGATTTCCCCCCTGGCAGGAGGCTCATCACAAGTGCCTTATGTTACCTAGCGGAGTTTGAAGCTACCTCGCGGATCAGATGCACCAAATTAGAGGACATAGTCTGCAATATGATTGCCCTGCCGAATCTCTGATTTCAGCCGTTTTTTCACATATCGGTCCGTCAGAACTGACCATAAATGAAATATTTTTGAGACATCGACAGCAGATTGGCCTGGTTGTACCTCCACTTGCACCTCCTCCGAGGCCAGTAGCTATATACTGAGTTCATATTTCAAGACAAGGGCAGGGGATTTCCCCTGAAAGCGGCGCAAGCCGAAGGGCTCGAGCGCGCCGCCATCAACGACGAGCATGCTTATGATGTCGGGAACGGTCATCAGAGACTTCCAATAAGCATATACACGTCCTCGAGTCACGGAGTGCCAGGACCCCAGCACACCCGATCGATCTATCAGTCGAAACAGACCATGTCCTTTGTCGTCGACCTTAGGCCCATCAGGATGGTGCATCATGCACATCAAAACTGGAATGATTGACGTTTATCACACACACAGTTGAGACCTCGGCGGAAATCCCTGATCTCTCACTGTAAGTAAAAGTAAATCTGGGCTACGTGCATGCAACCTGACAGAACTCATGCCCCGTGAAATCGGACTTCCTCTGATTCATCAATTAACTACTGACCCTTTCAAGCACAAAATGTCTAGCACGTAAGATAGGCGTCATGCAGAACCATCAAGTCACGTGTGCGTGACTTGATGGGTGACATGTAACATGGGAAACGCGAAATTCTGGCGGTCCGAATTCACTTTGAGTATTTCTGAATGGAAGGTGTATTAGAGACTCTAATTCGACAATTTTCGCTTTTCTAAGTCCTCTAAGTACTGGGGAGGAAGAGTCTGATGGCCTCTATACTTTTTATTGGCCCATGCTGCCTCTGCGCCATTCAACCCATGGTGATAGCCATCTGCGAAACGTAAAGATCTTGTTGCGAAGCGTCGCATTGAATCAATGGGAACTGATTCAAGCGCACTGATGACATTAGCCTCTAAATCATCCTCGTTAGTTGTCCGAGGATACATTCGATAGATGCGTTTTGCATAACCCCAGCATTGCTCAATGAAATTGAGCTCCGGGTGATATTTGGGGAAGAATATGACTTCATAGCCACGTTTCATGCAATGCTCTTCAAGCATTCCCATCTGTGCCTTGAAATCAGGCTCGCAATACAAGACTTTCTTCATGCAACAGTTGATGGAGGGCGTGTTTCGACAGCCGAAGCTCAGACATTCGCCCCTCATTTTCCGGCCGTTAGCAAGGCGTGCATCCGGATCAGGGAGATCATGTCCCATGGCACGACGTTCAATAATCAGCTGCTTCATTCCTTTGAAGGATCCATCAGGCAGATAAAGACACTGTGCGTGTCCCATTTTGAAACGCGCATCTCGCATCCGAACCTGTGTCTGTACGCCGTTGACCTTGGTTTTGTTGAAGTTTTTTGACGGCCCAACAGTCATGTGCAGCGCTGAAAGTCCATCCGGGGCACGGGCGGTGTGAACACGGGCATTATCATATGCGAAGACGTGATGTTCGTCCCGATAGTCTTTGTCAAGCACATTCATCGCCTTCGTTGCTTGAGCGAGAATCAATTCAATGGTCTGGTATCCATCTCTATTCTTGCCGGGACGGAGAACCACTCTGGCGCTGTCAAATGATCTGCGAGGCATGATGGATCAATACTTGCTTTGTTGCCTTGCTCTCAGGAACGGACATACCCATCTGCGTTTGGTGTCTTTGCCCGCATCCAGCCGCGGTCAGGACAGACATAGTCACCAACCATTATGCTTTTCCCCTCTCCCTTAGCCTTGATTGTGGGTGTTTCCAAGTTCCCAACCCACCGAATCTGCCTCTGATCGTTGCCGTAGAAGATTGACTCGTCATGGCACCAAATCACCACCACCCTCGCGTCCTCAGAGTCGCTAAGGTATGCATGCAGTTTGGCATCCACATCAATTGTCTTTTGACTGTGTGTTTCAATCCACCATCGGGCGCGCGAGTGAAGATGCCTCCATCGAGGCAAGAAGACATTTTGCCAATAATGGACGATGTCCTCGCGTTCATGGCCGTCCGAATACATGCCAGAGGGTTCCTTCCTCCAACGGTAACCCATTTTTTTCATCCACCGTTGCGCGGTCCGGACGCTGATATTCCGCTTGATTTGCAGTCGCGCTTGGAACTCGGGTGTGGCCACATATCGAGCAATGTCTTTCGCTGACACCCACTTGCCGAGTGATTGCAAATGCTGATGGATACTGCCAGCAACGTCCTCGTCGGTAAGAACACGAGAGTTATGCTGCCCCAAAAGGTGTGTTGGAAGCTTCCGAACCTTCTCATTCTCACAAAAGTCGATGGCCCATTCACGCAGCTTTCGAGCAAGCCAGGTCTTCCTTCCCCGTTTGCCAGCCGTTGTGGCAATGGTTTCGGAGTGCAGACTCCAGGCAGCATACCCGGACGTGCGATAAAGTCGAAGGAATCGGAGAACACACTCGAGTCGAGTGTGGGTCACAAGATCAAGCTTCAATTTTGTGTGGCCAGGGCCCTTGGCACGTCGAGGACGAACCAATTCTTGCATCTCGGGGATGGCCCGATCGACAGCATCGTTTGAAGGGATTGGCCGCGGAACCTTCTTTGCGGTGCGCTCTGGGAGCACGAATTCCCGCAGTGGCAATTTGAATTCACCTCCCTCGGGTAGTCTTTCCTCCACTGGATCCCAAGGCAAGTCCTCGAGACCCTCCTCAGCCAACTCGTCGTTACTGAGAATTGCAGGTTGTGCAGTGATGGTGCACCCGAAAACGTCTTCCTCACCCTCGTGCATGGGAACTGGGTCCGAATCCTCGCTAACGGTGTCCAATACATCGCCATCTGCTTCGGAGTCCGCACCATCTGCTTTGGATTCAGCGCCATCTGCTTTGGATTCAGCGCCATCTGCTTCGGAGTCCAGGACTGAGGGAGGTTCATGCCACTGCTCCATTGGTGAGTCTGCTGTCAGGGGACGCTGCGCTCCTTGGGCACGTGACCATGCACGTGACCCGCTGCGCCCTCTCTGCCGACCCGTGCCTGCTCACCTGTCGATCACCCAGCCTCCTCCTCCTCCTCCGATCCTCACCTCCATCCATGCCGACATCCGCCCTCTCCCTTCTTCCCCTGGCCATCTCCCTCGAATCCCCGCAAGCGGTCTAGCCAAGCCCGATTCCTTGCACCAGGGAGTGCTACTGCCGTACGCACTCCTCCCCCTCTACTTCGGCCTTCTTCCCGCGGATGTGGTCTACTGCCGTACAGGCTCGTACCAGATGCCTTGCGCTCATCCGTACCACCCCTCTTCCCAGTCGGGCATTGGTCCTCGCCTCCGATGCCTCCACTGGCCGGCCCGGCACTGGCCTGGCCACTGGGCTCCTCCAGTGTGGCCTTCCACTGTTGGTGTCTCAGGAGCTGGCCATCACTGGCCCCTCTGAGCCACTCACTATCTTATCTGGGTTTGTCATTATCTACTTGTCATCTGCCATTGTTCCATGGCAGTGATATCCCATCATCATCAGTCACTTGTCACAGCTGACTATATAGTGTGACACCTGGGCACATGGATCCTTGAACCGTTCTCTAAGGATCCCCCTCTGTGCTCAGGTGAGTAGTATACCTCCCTTGTATTTGATAGTCTCTAAGGATCCCCCTCTGTGCTCAGACTCATGTGAGGTTGTTGTGTGCTGTGTGCTCTCTTCCTTCGGGCTGGCAGGAGTTGCCCTTACATCTGCACAATCTGAGTCCACGGAGACCATTGATATCTCTCCTGGTGAGGGAGACCGTGCGTGTTTTTGGAAGAAATCCAGGAGATTCGTGCTCTTCAATCCCAGTCGACGATCTTCAGCCCGTTCTCGGGCTTCTTGTTCTCGGGCTTTCTTATGCAGTTCTTGCTGTCTTCGGACCGACATGTCCTTCCCAACTCTGGTGCTTGAGTAGTTCCCTCGCTGAGAAGCCTTGTTCTGTGCAGGAACTCGATCCAAAGCTTTGTCCGTCAACTTGAGCCACTTGACCAAGTCAGCATGGCTCTGTAGGTGCGGAACATCGTCTTCTTCGACAATCTCAAGGTCTGAGTCGTCCTCCTCAGATTCCTCCTCAGCCTCTCCTTCACTCTCCCCTTCTCCAGGTTGTTGGGATAGCGAGTCTTGGGTGGCACATTTTTGCGACGGTTCATCGCAATCGCTGTCCGAATGATCTGGTTTCTTGCGCTGGGTTAGATGAGCATCAGAAATGGGTTGATTTGGTGGGCATTACCTTAGCAGCATGAGATCCGAGGTTGCTGATGTTGCGTTTCTTCAATCTGGGCATGGCTCAATGAGTTTTAATTTTTGCAATGAAGATTAGCGCGCGCTTAGCAGCACACGTGACATGCACGTGATCGTTATCAGGGTTAGGGTTTCCCTTTTGGGAGGCGCGAAAATTTGATTTGCTTTTTCGCAAACGTGCTGAGCTGCACAAAAAATCACTTCTAAACATTTTCACAATGTATACCCTTAAACTTTTTTCTGAAGAGAAATGGATTAAATCCAAGACCACAGAGTCCTTCTAATAGGTCGCCCCTACGCATCTGTGGTCTCACTTATGAGGATAATGAGAGTGTGAAGGCGGAGTAGCGTCGGGCGTCGGTGTCACGCCATCAGATCACATGACTTGATGGTTCTGCATGACGCCTATCTTACATGGCGCGACTTTTGGGCTGTTCATTCTGACTTGACTGAACTGTGACAAGATTGACTCAGGAGGCTTCGGGGAGTCTTTTACCGACGCTAGGACGGCGAACTCGGACACAGGGTACATTCATCTACAGTACCCCAGAACCAGTATTCCCAGGACCGTCTGGAAGGCAAACCCCGATCACTGATCCCTGAATCATGTCAGCAAGACGTCATTCACCGAAAATTGACCGTGTGCTAGAAGCGTGCCAAGTTTACTCTTACTTTGACTACCGACATACACGAGGACGATTGACGCTGCAAGATAGACAACGACACACGCACGATACCACTTGTCGTAAAGGACGACCGGGGACGAGCAATTCGCGCTAGGCAGCACGCCACAATACATCAAGTAGATCCCATATCCTACGAGCTACTTCATGCTACCCAATCGGCCCGTATCTGTGCCTCCCGCACTCGAAGTGCGGGCTAAAGCCGCGAATGGAAAGCATACAGAACCCCTTAATTCACTCGAGCCTCCAAATAGGCCATCGTCGACGCAAGCCGTGACCATGCCATCCTCGACATCCCTCCCCATCACCCCACCATCGGGCACACCCTCTCCGCCCTCGCTCTCCCTGCTCCCGTCCCTCGACCATGCACTGCCCTCGGTCGTCAACAGCCGCAGCGGCTCCGTGCTCGCCCGCGGCTTCATCCTCAAGACGGACCACTACCCCTCCGGCCGCGCGCTCGATCTGGCCGTGAATGTGCACGGGGCGCCGAACTTCCGCGTCGGGGGCGGCGGGGAGTGGGCCGAGCTGAATGTCTACGGCGTGGCGCAGCCGCGGACGCAGGGCCTGCGCGCGATCCTGTCGATCCTCCGCGCTGCGCCCGGACAGGCCCCGTCGGCCCCCGACGCGCCCTCGCGCGTGGTTTGGTTCTCGACGCGCGAGGAACCGGTTTTGTATATCTCCGGACGCCCGTTTGTGCTGCGGGATGCGGCTGCACCGCGGCGGACGCTGACGCTCTCGGACCGCGCTGCGAACTTGGAGGCGATCGAGCTGAGGATGAAGGCGGATGTGTTGGCGGAGGCGTCTCGAGGTGGAGGCGTTGTCCTCACGCATAACGAAATCGGTGCGTTTTTTCTCTCATCCCGATCACATATTTGTTAATTTTTCACCCCTCAGCCTCGGAATCTCCGTCAGGGACAGGCGCGATCGTGCCGACATGGACTTTCGTGGACGTGTCGAATGTCAAGACCAGCCGTGAGCTGTGGGGAGAGATGAAGGCCGCGGGCTGGTCGGTCGATGTGCGTGTGTCCATTGTCATTTTACCATCCGCTTCTAAACGCCTCATCGCCAGTACCATCGCATCCCTATTGCGCCAGATCGGCCCATCGAAGACTCTAACTATCTGGACGCCTATCTCCGTGTCATCCGAACATGCGATCCCCGCAGTACCTCACTCGTGTTCTCGTGTGGGATGGGAGCCGTGCGGACGACCTTCGCGATGGTCGCTGCGGCGGTCATGAGGAAGCGCCAGCTGGCTTTGTTGGAGAACAGGATCAGCAGCACCACGCCGACGGACGACTTGGACGCACGGCGGACGGCTGCGCTCGAACAGGCCATCGCGCAGCAGGATCTTAACCGGTCGCTGTTGCGGCTGACCCATCTCCTCCAGCAAGCGTCAACCACGACGAGAGCGATCGAGCTGCTGTTGGCCTATCCGACGCTTCTGGACAACCTGCGCAAAGCGCATATGGGAAACTACGGGATCGTGCTCAGTCTGCTTGGGTGTCTCGAACACGGGCCTGCCGCCAAGCGGCTGGTCGATAAGGTCATCGACGTCATGGACCAGGTCACGCACTTGCGCGAGGACATCCTGGTCCACCGATTGCGGCATGCGCTGAGGTCCGGGGGTGAAGGGCAGGAGGTCGATTCGCTGGGCAAAGCGGGTAGAGCGCTCGAGAAGTACTTCTTTTTGATCGCTTTCGCGGCTTTCCTGGAGGAACAGCCGGACGATCTGGGGGGCTCGTTCGGGGATTGGGTCAAAGGGCGGATCGAGATATCCAAGTGCGTCCGCGCTCGTACTTGGCCTTCGAACGATGCTCACTATCACCAGCCAGATCAAGTTCTTACGCAAGTCGACCGACTCGAAGCTGAACGTGTTTGCGCCGATCAATGACCTTTCAGTACTCTCAAAGCGTCATGGGGAGCTCGACCGTGCGATGGTTCCCGGACGCAAGAACGATCTTGCCATATCCGGTGGACAGATCCTAGGCGATGAATATGCCAGCCACGTCGTCAGCAATCGAGGCGGCATCGTGCTGCGTCAGGGGTGCGCGCGTTCTCCAGCGTTTCTTTGCCTTCAATCTAAAGCAATATAGCACGATCCTCAAGTCAGACCAGTGGCACACCGCCGACACATCAGCGATACGAGGAGCACCGAATTTCCGAAAAGTCCCGCACGCGTCAGCCATCTATGCCCTGGGTCAACCCACTCTCTCGGCGATCCACGATGTTGTGCATGCCGCATCACCACAGTCGCGCGTGGTCTGGATCACGCTGCGCGAGGAGCCCATCGTCTATGTCAATGGCTCGCCGTACTGTCTGAGACGCGAGGGCCGCTTCTCGTTGCGCAACATGAAGGACTACGGCGGCATCTCGGCGGGGCGGCTGGAGATGCTCGAAGAGCGTCTCAGAGACGATATCCTGGCTGAGATCCGGGCCTTCGGGGGACGGTGGGTCTCTTCATTCGTTCTTCGGGACTGCGATCTTACAACGCACAGGTTGCTGCTGCACACCGAATCCGCGGCCGGGACGATCCTGCCGGTGTGGGAAGACATCGCCGACCCCGCGCAAGACGTCCTCGTGCTCAAAGACATCATGGCGCGTGCCCACCCGGGGATCTCGTACCACCGCATCCCCATCACCGCCGAGCGGCCGCCGGATCCGGCCGATCTGCAGGACATCCTCGACGTCGTGCTGGGCGTGTCGCCGGAGACGCCGATCGTGGTCAACTGCCAGCTGGGCCGCGGGCGGAGCACGCTCGCCTCCATCATCGTGATGCTCGTGCGCGACTGGCTCGCGTCGTACCGCGTGCTGCAGACGCCGACGACACCGCTGTTCCCTGCGGCGGCGGCGGCGGACGACGCGGCCGCGCGCCCGCGGCACTCGTACCAGGTCATCAACAACCTGCTCCGGGTTTTGCGCGCGGGGCTGCGGATCAAGGCGTGCGTGGACGGCGCGATCGACCGCGCGGACCAGGTCGTAAATCTGCGGCTCGCGATCGAGGAGTGCCGGATCCGCGCGGACGAGGCGAGCGCGGACGAATCGGAGAGCAGGGCCTGGGCGCAACGGGGTGCGTCGTCGTTTCCATTCCCGTCGTCGAGAGTACTGTGTACTGAACTGATTCCACGCAACAAGGCCTGCAGAACCTGCACCGGTACTTCTCGCTGCTCGTGTTCCAGGCGTACCTGCAGTCCGCGCAGCCGGACACGCTGGCGCGCGGCGGCGTGCAGCGCTTCGTCGAGAGCCTGCCGGTGCTCCGGACGTTCGAGAGCGAGCTGTTCACCGCGCCGTCCGCGCACACGCTGACGCCGCTGAGCCCACCCGGCGGGCTGGCGCACCCGGACGAGGTCGCGGCGCTCGTGGCGAGCCGCGCGGGCGGGGTGCTCAGCGCGGCGACGATCCTGAAGGACGATATGTTCTTGGGGCTGCAGAAGCTGACGCTGGTGGAGCGGATCCAGGGCGCGCCGAATTTTAGGACGGTGCCGCTCGTGCTGGGGTCGGTGGATGCGAGGATGGTGTGTGGGAGCGGGATGCCGACCGTCGAGGGGCTGCATAATGTGCTCATGCGCTTGGATGCGGGGCCTGGGGCGGGCAAGAGGGTGTTCTGGACATCGCTGCGGGAGGTGTGTCCATGATCCGTTGATCCTGGTTAGATTGGCTGATGATGATGATGGCATAGGAACCCGTGGTCTACATCGCCGGCCGGCCATATGTGTTGAGGCTGGCGACCAATCCACTGGAGAATGTCGAGTACGTGGCTGCGCTCTTGTCATTGACGTAGGCTCACACAACCAACACCAGAGCCACAGGCGTCACCACGTCCATGGTCGAGCGCATGGAAGAGACCTTCAAAGCCGACGTGCTGCGCGAGGTGCGCTCCTCGCGGCTGCTGCAGTCCCCGCCCGCCGCGCTCGGCCGCATTCTGGTGCACGACGAGATCGAGCTCGACCACCCGGGATCGTTCGCGGTCGTGCCGCAGTGGAAGGACGTCGCCGAGTCCGAGGTGCTGACGCCGCGCGACGTGTTCGAGCGGATGCAGCAGGAGGGCTACGGGATCGACTACGGGCGCGTTGCCGTGGTGCGTTTGTCCGCATGGCATTCTCTGTTTCCCCCCCTCGTTTGCGTGTCGACTGACTGTTGGGCTTGGACAGACGGACGAGCAGGCGCCGCTGCCCGACGCGCTGTCGCAGCTGCACGCGCGCGTGAGCCAGGCGCTGGAGGCGGACGGCGAGCTGGTGTTCAACTGCCAGATGGGCCGCGGGCGGACCACCACCGGCATGGTCGCCGCGTGCCTCGTCGCGAGCGTCTCCGCAGGGACGTTCGCGGCGGGCGCAGCCGTGGACCCGGCGGACCCGGCGTCTTCCGGGGCGAGCGGCGGGTGGGACGCGATGGACGGGCCGTCGGAGGAGGAGGTGTACCAGCAGCGCGGCGAGTACAAGATGATCCTGCAGCTCGTGGGCGTGCTCGAGCACGGGCTGGTGGCGAAGCAGCTCGCGGACCGGGCGATCGATGCGATGCAGGATGTGCAGAATCTGCGCCGCGCGATATACGAGTGCGTGGGCCTGTGTCTGTTTCCCTTGTGTGTATATATGCTTACTTAACACTGCGCATCAGCTACAAACTGAAGCTCGCGACGCAGCCGCCGGATTCGCCTGCCGCGAAGAAGCTGTATGCGGTGACGACGAACTACCTGTTCCGATACGGCACGTTGATCGTGTTTGCCAATTTCTTGGTTGGCCAGCAACACGGTGAGCCCAGGCGGAGCTTCAGCGAGTGGCTGAAGGAGCATCGGGAGGTGGGCGGGGTCCTCAGGCGGCGGGGACTGGACTAGCTGGATCGATGGATATATATATATGTATATATGTATACACTTACTGCATCTGTTGTCATTTACTCGTACTTACAGCTCATTACATACTCCCCAACTTACACAGCTTTCGTCACGCTGCTGCCCGCGAGCCCCCCACTCGGCAACGTAAACGTGACAGTCTTCGCTGCCGCGCCCGCATCAGTGACCGTGACTGCGAGCACAGCCAGCGTCTGCGTCGGGTCCGACACGGTCATCTGCCGGCTCGCGTGGTCAAACACCACCGCCGCGGTGCCGTTCGCCGCGAGCACGAAGCCGGCGGGCGACCCGGCCGTGAACGCCACCGACCCGGGCGCCCAGAACACCGCCATCGCGACGGAGCCCGCGAGCACCGCCGCGGCCGTGTTGTCGTTCCGCACCACCACGGGCTGCGCCTGGCCCAGTCTCGTGCGGAACGTCGGCAGATCGAGCGCGGGGTAGACCGTATACGCGACGGACGAGGACGAGGATGTGTCGTGGTTCACCCACGCGGCGAAGAGGTCGACCGTCGTCGGGGGCTGCGGGGACGTCCCGATCGCGGCCCAGTCGCCCGTCTTCTGGCCGACCTGGACCGACACCGATGCGCCGCCGCCGCTGCCGAAGACGTACCCGACGTTCCCGTGCCACAGCGATGCGGCGCGCACGCCGGTCGCGTTCGAGACGGCCGTGGACCCGTTGAGGACGACCTGCCCCGCGTGCAGCCGCTGGTCGAGCACGGAGCGCACGGGCGCGCCCGTCGCGGAGCTGGTGTTCGACACTACGACGACCTGCACGTCGCCGGGGAGGAAGAACCACGCCTTCTGCCAGTGCAGGGTGCGCGTGAGCGGGTTCGTGTAGCGCATCGCGGCGGCGCCTTTCGTGCCGTCCGACGCGCCGCCGACGAAGCCCTCGATGCCCGCGGCGCCGGTCTGGCCGCAGTTCAGCGGCGTCGCGCCGTAGTCGACCGTGATCCCCGGGATGAGCTCCCAGTCCTGCCGAGCGACGGATCAAACCGCTGGGCTCGTAATGGAATGTATCCGACGCACCATCGACGCCGCGATATCCTCGTACTCGTTGCCCTCGATATACGTCCGCAGCGCGCCGTCGGACAGGTGGAACCCGAGCGGATTGGCGAGGTTCGTGCACTCCGTGTTCCGCGTGCGCGACGAGTACATCTTGAGCGTGCTCACGTACCCCGCGCCGCGATGCACCATGTAGTCGTTGTTGAAGAACATCCGGTTGCCGACGAGGCTCCCCGCGTTCGCGCTGCTCGAGCCCTGCGACAGCGACGAGGAGAAGTCCGTCAGCGCGGCGGAGCCCCACTCGGCGCCGAGCTGCTCGATCTTGGTCAGGTTGAGCAGAATGCTGCTCGTCGCTCTGGATCGAGGCACGGATCAGCGGCGTCCGGGAAAGTCTATGCACCAGCCACGCACTGCAGGACATCCGCGGTGGGGAACGCGATGAACCGGCCGAGAACCGACTGTGCTCCGTCATGAGGCCCGCGCCCAGAGAGACCATGTCACGCGCACTCACGAAATCCCAGTGTAGCACCCCGGTCAACACGTTCCGGTAGATCATCCACCGATCGCCGGTGAAGAGCGTCCCCAATGCAGCCTTGGACGCGGAACTGGCCTCGAACTGCGTCCCGCCCGCTTCCACCTCGAGGTCGACCAGATCGTTCGTGTAGTCCTTGCCGTAGTTGCCGTTGTACAGAATCCCCGAATGCTGGATGCCAAGTCAGGTCAGGTCAGGCGGCGGAGGGTGATGCTGCTGATAAACGCGCACCTGACCAAACCCTCCGTCAGGCCGGATCCCATCGCTCCGGGTCGCGTTCTTGATACTCAGCTCCGCATGCACGCGGCTGTACGCGTCCGTGAGCAGCGTCGTGTTCGCCGTCAGCAGCGCCAGGTCGATCCCGATCTACGCAAGTTCCAGTGCGCGCCTTACCTCATGCTCGCGAGCGCGCGAATCACACTCACCTTGGCGACATCGAGCAGGTTCGCTCCGGTCAGCACGCCGACCTGTCATCGTGTGTTGTGGGCGATGGGATGGATGGATGAAAGAAGGGCACGGCACGGGAAGCGTACCTGATTGGCAGGCACGGTGAATGTCCGGTACGCGCGCGCGGTGATCGTCTTGCAGCTGCCCAGCTCCGCCGCGGAGAGCGTGCTGTTCAGCAGCAGGCACGTCTGCGACACGAGCTCGGGCGTGCCGATGATGTTCGGGAACCAGTTCTGTCATCACTACCCCGTCAGCGCGCTATCGAGAGAGACGGAGAGAGCCAGCCAGCCAGCCAGCCGAACGGCACGCACCGTGTTCCAGAACCCCGGCGTCCCGCACGGACACGCCGTGCCCCCGCCCGAGTCCAGACACGCAGGCACCGTAAAGTCGTTGGCGAACCAAAAGTCCATCGCGCTGCGCACGCCCGCGCGCAGGGCCGCGCTCCCCGCGAGCGACGCCGCCGCCCCGGGCACGCCGCCGTGCCACGCGCCGGCCATCGTAGCTGCCGTGCGCCGTCGTCAGCAACGAAACGCGGTTCCTACGGCGGAAGGAGGGAGGGGGGACCCACATATCCGGTTCCAGTGCTATCGGATCGGGGTGTTAGATCGAAACAACTTGCGGAAGTAGGCCGCCAAGGAGAAGCGGAAGCGGACGCACGATTTCGGCGGGCCAGTTCGCGCGCTGTGCGGGGCACCCGGTCGTGTAGTCCACGTCCGCCCACTGCCCGCTCGCGTTCAACGTGCTCAGCCTGTCCACTAGCGTGAGAAGCCGCCGCCGCCGCCCGGGACGCCCCCACTGGCACACACACCACGTAGCACGTACCAGGTCGACACGGAGGCCCCGTCGGTGAGCTCGCCGACGATGTTGTCGAGTCTGCGCGCGGTGAGCGTCGCGATGTCTTGCGCGGTCGTGCGGGGCGCGATGGCGATGTCGATGTCGATGTCGGCTTGGGCCGCGCACGGGAGCACGAGCGCTGTGAGTTCCAGGAGGCCAGTCGGGATCTTCATAGTATGTAAGTATATGAGAGTGAGGGGGACGACCGGTCGGGGGATCTGAAACGGGGCCCCGAGCAGAGGCGTATCTGCTACTTATACTACTACTCGAACACACATACACGCATATACCCAGGATTCCTATGCGGCAGATCATCAGAAACACGAGCTCGAGCGACGGCGACGGCGACACGGGATCGGGTGACCGACCGTCCGTGGAACAAGGCAACATTAGGATTGGATCATGGGTGCGCGAAGAGCTATTTCATGCCGCTGCCGCTGCTGCTTCTTCTCGTCAGTAGATCGTCCGAGGCGGGCCCTCCCGGGTGGAAATCTCTCTGCGCCAGATGATGATCATGATAGTATACACGCATATAGCCAGATAGAAATCAGAGACAGTACCACCCGCCAGATGTCGAGAAGACGCCGCTGCACCTGGTGACCGTCCTGGACAGTCGTTGAGATCCTACCCATCATGTCATCAACTGATGTCCTGGAGCATGTCTTATGTAATGTAAGAGCCCAAGATCTACTACTACTCATACACTGGTATTACAACCACATACGATATCACTACTTTTCCAACAACACACATACATACAAGAATCACGACAGATCGAACCCGGCATTCGCGGTGATAGCCTGCAGCAGCTTGGTCCGCAACGTGCTCTCGCTAGTGTACCTGGGGAGCTTTCAAAAAGAAAAAAAGAAAAACACGCGTCGTCAGCCCAACCAGGAACGCAGCACACCAGCAGACCAGCAAACCAAACACACCTTGAGCAGATTCACACACGTGCTCGACGTGGGCAGGCGGAGCTGGTCCGGCCCCGCGTCCCGGATAGCAAAGTGGGGAACGAGCTCCTTGAAGCCGCTGTAGCGAGGTCTCCATTCAGCAAAGGGCCGGCCCCGCGTCCCTTCCAAATTCGAGATCACTCACAGAAGCGGCGGCCGACTGCAACTCGTCACGAACCGCAGGAGCGCCCTCCGTTGTTCCTGGTTGAAAGAGTGCACGACCTATGTATGGCACCCGACATCAGCGGCGGCAGACAGGCAGCATACGGCAGAGGGCTGGACTCGCCTTCCAGAACGACACGATTGTCGCGTCATTGGGGTCGTACAAGCCACCGTATTGCGTGTGGCCCTGCAGGTCGTCCAGATCCACAGGCGAATCGGTTCCGCCGATAAGCACCTGCAGCTCCTGCTGATTGAACATCCTGCCCGCAAGAGCATCATCAGTCACAGCTCCAAGTCCACTACTGGGGATGGCACTACTGACCTGAGCCACTTGTGGTCGATGATCTCAGACAAGCCCTCGAAGAACGCCTCGCTCTGGTGCTTGATCTGCCTGCTCAGCCGGTAGTGTGACACCAGGTGGATGTACTGCAGCCGGTTCTCCTTGGTCACGGCGATGTTGCTGCCGTTCGGGATCAGATCCACGCTCTTGGTCACTCCAAAGTCTGTCGGAGACGACTGAGCTCGTAGGATAGAGCACGAGGACAGACACGCGCGCACGTACCTTCGACGGCGACTGCAAAGTTCAACGACAGGTCCTCTGGGTTGCCTGTGTAGTGTTTCAGGAAGACCAGGCCGTTGTACAGCTCGGGATCCAGCGACGCCAGATCGTCCAGAAAGCTCTGCTTTCCTAGCCACTAATCTCCACAGTCAGCTCCAGGAAGTTCGAAAGAGCTATCCATCCTCCCACCTTGGCCAAGAAGAACCCGGCAAACGCAATGTCCACCAGAATCCCATCGTACATGGCCTTCCCAACAATGCGGCCGATGAACCGGTACCAATTCAAGCTATGCGGCTCGACGGCATACGCATGCGGATTCGGGTACAGCTCGTTCTTCTTATTCGCAAGCCACAGCCCGCGGTTCGTGTCAAACGCCTCCTTGCACAGCGACGTGAAGAATTCCTTGAACACGCCCCCGCCGTCGATGCCCGCCTCCGGCACGTCGAACTGGTCGATGAACGTGATCGCGATCTTCCCGCGCAGGTCCACGTCGCGCAGCCGGTCGAAGCCGTCCTCCGAGATGTGCGCCCGCCGCACTACCACGCGCGTCGGCGGCGTGTACGCCAGCGGCCCCGCGCGCGTGCGCCGGTCGTTCTCGATGAACGACCGGAACACCTGCACGCGGTTCGAGAACGGGATCGAGAACGGGATGTTGTGGAGGATCCCCAGCCGCGGGGCGAGCCGCGCGATCTGCCGCGACGTCGCTGCGCGCGCGTTGTTGGTCGTCATCTGCAGCTCTTCGAACAGCGCTGCTTCGATGAAAGACTTCATGTCGATCTGGCCTGACACGAGCCAGTGGTCCTCCGGGGTGAACGGCCGCCGAGAGCTTGTTCGTAGTCAGTAACAGTTCGTACCCAACGGAGCGACGCACTCTCTTGCATGGATCGCCAGCAAACACTTGGTCACTCTTTCCCGCACTTCCTCCCACGTAAAGGCCAGACCCCTAGGCCCATGCGCAGCCACTAGCTCTTGGTGCCCATCATCCAATGTACCTTGATACAGCCCAAACGCAATGTCAAGCAGCAGCCGGCTGAACGTCGTCAGCTCATCCAGGCTCATCGGATTCCGGGGCACAGCCGTCGCCGTCGACGTGCCAAAGAACTCGTCATCGCCCATCGTCAGCAGCGCATGCGTGTAGAGGTCAGCCAGAAACAGCACCGCCGGCAGAGTCGTACTCGGGGGCTGATTCGATGGCAGTCCTGAGATACACGTTCAGCTCTCATAGGCACAAGTCCCACCGCTGTCAACCTACGCGTAAACTCCTGCAGGATCGCCGCAGCGTGGGCTCGGCGCACGGACCCGCGCCACAGCTCCTTGATGACCGTCACCCCGTGCCCGCCAACCATAATCGCGCCCAGCACCTCGCCGCGCTTACCCGGCCACACGCGCTCAAGCGCTAGGAACATGCGGAACAGCGCGGCGCGGCTCGCATCCGGATGCCGCTGCGTGGCCGCCAGCAGCGCGTTCAGGTGCGCAGGCGCCACGAGCGTCGCCAGCCGCTTCTGCGTCTTGGCGTCGAGCGCGGGCAGCACCACGCGCGGCGCGCTCGGCACGAATGCCGACACGACCGACACCAATGTGGTGGATGCGGATGCGGCGTGGCCGTCGTCGGAGGAGTCCGAGTCTAAATCCATGTTGACGGTGGGGGAAGCCTTGGAGGCCGAGCGCCCGTCGAACACATTCGCCGGGAGCGAGTCGAACACGACCCGCAGGAACTCGATGTACCCCGCAAGCGCGGCGGGCAGCATAGCTTTATACCGCGGGGGCGTGAACGCCGTGAGGTTCGCGACGACATGCACGCGGTCCTCGATCGAGAGCGCGTCGATGGCCGGCGGGCCGGGTGCGGCGAACGAGTTGTACGGGATGTGTGAGGAGAGGTGCGTCAGGCCGGTCAGCGGCAGCCGATTCGGCAGCAGCGGGATAATCAGGATGTTCGCGATGAAGGCGTGGAACGACTCGGTGGATGTCAGCGAGTCTGATGGTAGGGTGAAGAACGGCGCGGTGACGAGCGTTAGTATTAGAGGTAGCGAGACGGATGTTTTAGCTTCTACGGGAGGCTTCGGCGACCTTGAGCGCATCCACACTGAAGGCAGAGATAACAACTACTCACGATGGATTGTATGGATCTTGAGAGCAACGGGAAGAAACTTCGCCGGAGGAGATACAGCTGTATATTTGCACAGACCTCTCGGCCTGACGGACCCAGATTTCGGCTGACAACATTGGGACTCAAAAGCATATTCAGGACAGTCAGATGCGCAACTGCATCCTTGCTCCTGCTCCGAGATCGTTAGCCCCACTCGATACCGCGATCTCATCGCATACCTGGGCGCGGAAGAGATGGATTTCAACAACAGTGCAGCCGCCTGCCTTATGAGAACCAGCCAACTCGACGCATTCGGCCCTTTGGCAACAGCAAACAGAGCCGCTGTACCCTTGGTGAGCAATCAGCACCCACTCCCAATCGACAACTCACATTCACCCTCGGCCGACACGACCTGCGACCACCTCCTCAGCACCTCACCATTCATCTCGTTCCCCAGGACGACCAGACACCTGAGCCCCGTCAGGCCCTGCACATCGCGCTCGAACACGCCCTGCATCTGCGCCCGCGCGGCGCGCGTCGAGGCGAGGGCGCGCCACCACGCCTGGATGCGCACTGCCGCGTCGCTCCTGCGGCGCAGCTCCGAGCGCTCGAGACGCCGCGCCTTGGCCTGGTCGGTGATGGACGCGAGCGTGGACACGGACGACGCGCCGCCGAGGTTGATCTGCCGCCGTCCTTCGCTGCCGAATAGAGGGATCATGGGTGTAGCGGCTCAAGTGGGTGAGTGGGTAGGTGGGTGTGGGAGAGGACGTGCTATGCTATGCGTGCGTGCGTGCGTGCGTGGGGGCGTCAATCGAGAAATGAGATCAGACTCGACGCGCGTCTGTCTGCTCGAGCCTCGTGGCTTTGTCAGCGATCATCTAGAGTCTTCCGCGGTCTTCGAGAGAGTGGGGGTGCGTGAGGATCGTCAAGTCGGCCGCAGAGGCGTCCAGAGCTATTACATACTACATGCTGATGATTTCAGAGCAGCATGATGCTACAGTTTCTACGGGGAAGTCTAGGGGGGAGAGCTACTCTGGATGATGACGATGATGATAACCTTGAGTAAGTAAGTATATTGCATAATTGGAGCGCGCAGACGGCCCGGGATATAATATAATACATAGTAGCCGGCCGCGCATCGCTCTCAACATAGATTCACATCGCCCGAGAAGTGGACCAACGACTTCATTTCCTCGCCCTCCGGCATTTCCGGGCTCTCATCAATGACCAGCCTCTCCTTGAGCCACTCCAGCCGCTCCCCATCCAGCAGCACCCGGTTCGCCGAGCCCAGGAAGAGGCGCCGGATCGGCGCGCTGAGTGCGATCCGCGCGGCGACGAGGCTGCACAACATCGCCTGGTGTTTCTCCTGGAACTGGGCCTCGCTGAAGGACAGCGTGTCGAGGTTCGGCCACGGCATGTGCGTCGCGCTCTCCGAGTTGGGCAGCGGGACGAGGAACTCGAGCGCGTCGTCCGTGTAGAGCGAGTTCGAGCACGCGAACGCGCGCACGGCGGGGAACAGGCGCGCGATGTCGTGGTAGTCCGCGATCGAGAACGTGTTGTCGAGGAGCGTCATCGACGCGAGCACAGGGAAGCGCGAGGCGGGCGGGAGCTGCAGGAAATACGCCAGATCGCCCTCGTCAAAGTTGCACAGCCGGATCGTGTCGAGTTTGGTCGCCGTCATCGCGGACAGGATGACGTCAGCGTTGCCTCCGTTCGAGAGGGCGAGATAGCGCAGCTCGGGCAAGCGGAAGGGCAGGACGTCGATCGGCGCAGCGAGTCTTCTGTGCGGCCGCTGCGAGTGTCCGATGAACGCAAACTTGACGAGGGAGAGACATTGCTGGAGGATCTCGCATATCGACCGAAATGGAAGCGGGAATCGCTCCTCGACGAGGCAGAGCTGGGTGATGCCCGACAAGGGAAGGCGGAGCAGATTCAGTACGGGGCCGTTGAGCCGGACAGAGGACAGCAGCGGTGACCCTCCCGCAAGCGAAAGCAGAGGCTTGCCGCCGCCGGCCGCAGGATTAAACTCGGTGTCCAGCGGTGTGAAGAGAAAAGTGCGCAGCTGCGGCATATCGAACGCGCGGAAGTGCGCGCTGACGAGCGAGTCCGGGGCGACGAAGTCCGTGACGAGATGCAAGCGGGCGATCCGGCCCAGACACGGCCGGATGCGCGTGAGCAGCTCCGCGCTCCAAAAGTCCCTCATCAGGAACAGACAGACCCCCAGCGCGTGGCCACACGACCTCTGCAGATACACATCGAGTTTCTCCGGGGGCTCGAACGGCGACGCCGTCACCCGGGACCACAGCTCGGCGAGACGAAGCGCCGCCGCCCGCCACCGCCGGTTGACATGGGACAGCGCGATCTCGAGGGGAGGGGTCGCCGACGGGAAGGCGGCGGGGTGGGGAAATTGCCGGACGCCCGCTTGGAATATGAGCTGCAGGATGTCCTCCGGGATGCGCGCTTCGATGCACCCTAGCGAGTCGTGTGCGGCGCCATTGCAGCGCGATGCTTCCTCTTCAGCACGCATGATATTCAACCTAGGGGACCGTTCAGCACGCGTTCACTTCGACGAGATCGGCCCCGATCTCCCCACCCCAGCCAATTATCTGACCTGCACCGGCAGGATATCTACTGGGAAAACGACATGGTGGGATAGAGACGATCGATGGGATGGGATGGGATCATCTTCCATCATCGATTCAGCAGAGGATAAGAATCCGATTTGGGTCGCATGATCCGCTTGGGTTATCGCTTCCCAAAAAGGTAAGATCTCATTAGTGTGCCGATCCTTGCCGAGATCTGACATCATTGTTGAGGAAACCGTGCTGGGCCGCACTGGTACGCAAATGATGGCGAGGCCGCTGGAACGAAAGTGCCCCCGACTCCCCTGGTCTGAGTATGACATCTACGTACTACTTCACAGCTCCTCGGTCAGCCTTCGACCCTATCACGCCCAAACCTTCCTCGCAAGATCAATCGGTCCGAGATAAACTCAGCCTATCCGATTTGGCAAGCCAGATTGAGTGCCGCATCCACATCGAATCTGGTCAGAGCTCGACTTTTTCAACTTTTTTTTTTTGGAAAACTTTGAAAAAAAAAACATAAATCTTTTGAAAATGTGATGCGAACCAGGCGAGCACATTCGTTGGACAAGCACAGGTAGTGGATCAGTTGGTGAAAACCAGGTACGACCTGAGTGCCGGCGATGCGCGGTCTCTCGATCTCGACATGATTCCGTACATTTCAGATAGTGAAATTCAGCATAAATACTTCATACCAATCATAACCAGCCATAATCAACTCTATGAACAACGGACATTACACAAACACATCCACCTAATAGCACATACCACCGCGTACATGGGCTTAGCCATCACCGTTTCTCGATCCGATCACGATGGCGGTATCAATCAATTCATTCCCTTGCCTAATGCGTTGACCATACTTGACGGAAACCATGCCCAAAGGGTCAAGTGCTGCCCATACGGGTTTGCCGTTTGCATCTAGGCCGCCCAGCAGAATCAGCGGCGAAAGACGCCTGGCTCGGAGTCCGATTCTGAGTGACGAGGTCCGACAGACCGCAGGAACTTCTTCCCCGCTGTGTATGTCAGAATCACGGACACCTAGGCTGCTATCTGAAGATCGGGATCCCTGCGCCTCATCGCAGCTTCGAGTTACTATGGCTATCATGGAGGGACGACGAGGGAGCATGTGACAGTGTCTCCTCGTTGGCTGCTCATTCTACGAGCGTAGGTCACTAACGGTCAACGTTTCTGTTTATAGACGCATAGGATACCCGATGGCTCGACTAGCGCAGCCTGCGATATGTATCACTGGATCGACTCGAAATATCACGCGGGAGGAGGACAGTAGACGATCATAGGGCACAAGAATAACACAGAACAGTGTGGCACAACCGTCAAGTGAAACAGTCATCAGGATAACGGCTAGTCACCTCGAAATTGGCTGCGCACGAGCCGTGCGCGAGTCGCTATGTGCGCCACATGCTCTTCCTGGATCCATGTGCTGTCGCGCACCGGCATCAAATCCTCCCGGCAGGCCAATGGCGGAGAACGACTGCGGAAAAGAGAGCTATAAAAGCGAATTAGGAGGAGCCGACGAGGGCTATTCAGCAACACTTACTTCAAATCGTCCATTCCTTCGTCTTCGTCTTCGTCTTCGTCTTCGACACCTGCCCGTTCCCGATGTTCAACAAAAGCGCCCTCCTCCTCGCTGTCTCGCTGGCCGTCTCGGTCTGCGCCATCCCGTCTCCAGCACCGGAGGGGATCGCGATCCCCATCCGAGCCCGTAGCGCGCTGACGACCGCCGATGGCGTGTTCGACCACGACAGTGCCATCGCGGAGACCGTGAAGACGATCAACAAGCACCGCCAAAATCTGATCAACTTGAAGAAGAACAAGGGCGAATCGGTCTTCAACCCCGTGCGCTATAATCCGAGTCCAGTGTTGGGTGTTCTCTGATTGAACGCATCCGCAGGGTGCTGAGATCAAAAACATCGCCACCGTCCCTGCCGCCGTGCAGGCGCGGATGGAGAGCCGCAACGAGAAGCGTCAGAGTTTGGGGCTCACTGATCAGTCGGAGCAAGAGTGGACTGGCAGCGTGTCCATCGGCACGCCCGCGACGCGTTTCGTCATCGACTTTGACAGTAAGTAGCACTCAATGGATCATCAGAAACACGCTAACGGAGTGCAGCTGGGTCTTCCGACCTCTGGGTGCCCTCGTCTTCGTGCAGCTCAACCTGCTCGGGCAAGACCAAGTATAACCCCAGTCAGTCGTCAACTTCCACCTCCGAGTCCGGATCGTTCTCTATCTCGTACGGGGACGGATCGACTGTCTCTGGGCCCATCTACACGGACACTGGTAAGCCCACGTTCTCACCCGCAGAGGCAGTGCTCTCATCACCGTCCGTGACTTACTGTAGTCTCCGTCGCCGGTGTGTCTGTCACCCAGCAGTACCTCTCGGGCGTGACGACCCTCTCGTCGGAGTTCACCAGCGACCCCGCCGACGGCCTGCTTGGTCTCGCATTCCCGGCCATCTCCAATCTCGGTCAGAACCCGTACTTCCAGACAGTCATCAGCCAGGGCGCCGTCTCCGCCAACCAGTTCGGGTTCTTCCTCAGCAGCTCCGGCTCGTCGCTGTACATTGGTGGAACCGACACCAGCAAGTACTCCGGCTCGATCGAGTTCAACGGGATCACCTCGTCGTCTGGCTTCTGGCAGGTCACCGGTGCATCTGTCAAGGTCGGCAGCAGCACTGTTACCTCCGGTCTCGAGACCATTGTCGACTCGGGAACGACCATTATGTACGGCCCGCCCGCACTCGTCAAGGAGATCTTCGCCCAGGTGCCCGGTGCACAGCTGTACGATTCCACTAACGGTGCGTGCTTGCTCTGTCGTCGCCGTTGTCCTGAGATGTCTGACGCATCATTGTTCCAGGCTACTACTCGTATCCATGCTCGAGCCCGCCCCAGATCTCGTTCAACTACGGCGGCAACGACTGGACGATCTCCGCGGCGAACCTCAACCTCGGCCTTACCTCATCGGGCTCGAGCTCGTGTGTGTCGTCGCTGGCGGCGCAGGACCTCGGATTGGGATCTAGTGTGTTCCTACTTGGTGATGCGTTCATGAAGAACCAGTACACCGTGTTCGACGTCGACCAGAACGCTGTCGGTTTCGCCACCCTTTAGATTATCGCAGTAGCCAAAGAATAATATGGCAGACCGCTCTTTCAACTATTGATGCCAGCAATCCTTCCACCCTTCAATCGGCGCTCCATTTGCATTCGAAACTCGCGCGAATCATGGGCTGTCCCATTTATGCCCCCGCACTGATCTTTCCCTGTCATACAATTAATTCGAGTTCGAGAGTGGGGCAAACGAGGCGGGGCCAAAGTGTGGTCAGTGTTGTCCGGAAAGACAGACGATGAGGCGGTAGACCGGTTTCTGAGTTGATGCGACCAATGTGATGTATGCGGTGTGAGCAGTTCGCCGCAATAAGATACTGTAAGTGGGAACGCAGGACTTCACAGGGATCGCACCAACTATTGCCTGCGATTCGTCATGAGACGGAACAATCCCAAGCACTTAGCTCTTGTAGTCTTTCAGGTACGAAGTCATCTGCGAGATTCGAACATTGGAACATCCACTTGTTACATGAATATCGATACAAGGCGCCACATCTTCGACAAAATACACCGTATGGTAAAGCATATCTCATGCCCAGTTGTCGATGAGCGCGTCCCGCATCTCGCCGATAACCTTGGATGAGTCCTGGCCCTGGAGTTCTGGGGGAGAGCGGTCGGTCAGAGAGCCGAAAATGGCACCATCATGAGACTACGCACTGAAGGTCGCCTCGATGACACTGATCTCTGTAGCAGTCGTTTCGAGCCCAGTGAATGCACACCAATCGTTGACGACCAAGCCGGCTCCAATGACATCCGAACCTCGGTTCACGGTCCCAGCCTGAGATCGTCAGCGCACAGACTCGCACGAGAACACGAGAAGACGCACAACAAGCGGTATCTGCAACAAGCTGCTCAGCTCGTCCTGGTCCTGCACGCTCGTTTTCGGATGCACCAGCCCGCCCTGGTTCGTGATCGCACAGTAGCTTCCCACGAGGACGTTGTCCGCGACCGTTTGCCGGAAAACCTCGACCTTCAGCACGTCTGCGATGATCTCCTCCGTCTCCCGATCCACGTCGGGATGGACGAGTGCGACGTAGTCGTTACATGCGATCACATTTCCGAGAGCAGATAACCGCTCTTCGACGCGCTGGATCGCCACGGCGTCGGGCAGGGAGTTGCGCAGGTGCTGCAGCTCCTGGTCGGTTGTTGTGGCAGGGACAAGTAGACCATGTCGGTTGCCTGAAGATGTGATTGGTGAGATCTGGAACGACTAGACGAGTCAGGAAAGTGCGCACCAGCTGTTAACCGACCTATTATCCTTGTCCCGCCAATGCTCGTGTGGACGATGGGAATCACATCGCCGAGCTCACTCTCGAATGCGGAGTAGAAATTTGTGCTGCCCTGGATGGCAGCGAGACAGTAAGCGTTTGTCAGCTTGGAGAAGACTCCGATATCGCTATGGTTTTCGAATTGAATGCCTAGGCGAGGCTTGTCAGATTATCGCAGCCGAAAGAGATTGGGATTGCGCACGAGTGGCCATGTTGAGGGGGGATGTCGTAGATCTGTCTTCGGCTTTGTAGATGTGTTAGTGGATGAGGACGCCGGGTGTGGTGGATGGCAGCCCCGAACGCGAAACTTTTTTATGAGATCGGATGTCACACTCCAGTCACAATCACCCCCGCTCTTGCTCACCAACGGCTCCGACGCTCTGATTCCGAACACGGTCACCTTGAGTCACTCCCCTGCTCGGAACCCATGCTGCGTGTCTGTCGGAGGAAAAACTTCCTGACTTCGTGGTCCCAACGCGGCGTGAGATGTGTGTCGAGTGACGCGCCCGTGATTCCGAAACCGCTCACATCAGTCGAGAGGATCATTGCGGATGGAATAAAAGTACTAGGCTGAGGTGCCCAGATGAAATGCAAGCGTTGACCGTATTTCAAGGCGACTGGCCCCATATCCTTCGCGACATACATGCAAATGTGTCTCTCGCACCCTACTCGCGGATACTACATGAACCCTAACAATGCTATCTTTGGCGCAAAGGGAGACTTTGTGACCAGCCCCGAGATCAGCTCGCTGTTTGGAGAGGTACGAATGACCCTCTCTTGCAGCATTTAATAACGAACGCTGTAGTCGAGTTGTTAGGCATCTGGCTAATGTCGCAGTGGATGCAAAGCAGCTCTCAGTTGCCCATTCGTGTTGTTGAGCTCGGCCCAGGACGTGGAACTTTGATGCGCGATGTGCTGAGGGTGAGTCCATCAGTCTATCACATATCCCAGCTTCCGAGTATGTTCGCCACAGGTCGTTTCTCAATTTGCCAAGGACCGCCTGACAGCAGTCCACCTCATCGAAACGAGTCCAACATTACGCGCTGTACAAGAAAGTCGGCTGTCCGCCAGTGCTGGGCAATACGGTTGCACGCTCGAATGGCATGACTCTATTGAGCGTGTTCCTCCCAGCAGCGAAGAGTACACGATGGTTCTTGCCCACGAATTCTTCGACGCTCTCCCGATGCATACCATCCAGGTCAGTTGCTCTGGTTTCCCATGGGCATTCAGTCACTCACTTTTTTTGCAGAGGACGGATAAGGGCTGGCAGGAGATTCTGATTGCATTGACCGAAACTGAGGGAGACGACAAGTTCCGCTATGTGATGACCCCAGAGCCAACCGCCGCGTCGATGCTCCTTGGCCTGTCCTCGCCTCGCTTCCAGCAGCTGCCCATTGGATCTCGAGTAGAAGTGTCTCCCGTCGGCTTCCGGATCATGCGTGCCATCGGGGAACTCATCAACGGGCGGGGTTCTGGTCTGATTGTGGATTACGGGTCTGCAGGCGCGTCCAACCAGTCTTTCCGGGTCAGCCGTGCACATGTGTAGTCTTGCGACTGTCTGACTCGCTCCTAACAGGCTTTCAAGAACCACGAGCTGGTGGACATCTTCCATGCACCGGGTGAATGCGATCTGACGGCGAATGTGGACTTTTCGTATCTGGTCGAGTCTGTGCAGGATTTAGGTATGCACCTGCTGTCGGTGACATGGCATGTTCTGATGGACGATGTAGTTCCAACCCATGGACCTATATCTCAGGCGGACTTCCTAGAAGCCATGGGCTTGAAGCTGCGAGTGGAAACGCTTGCCAGCCGGCTGTCGTCGGCCAAGGAAAAGACAGCCATAGAAGACTCCGGGCAACGGTTGGTCGATCGTACCGGGATGGGATCACAGTACATGGTGCTGGGTGTGGGTGGACAGAAGGAAGCGTGGCCTTTCGCAGTGCCAAAATAGCTTGCTCAGTAATGGTGATGGGATCCATTAGTCTGCTCGGCTCTCATCGATGTGCCCTGGACGTTATGGCAGAGTAGCTTAGTGCTACGAGTGTAGTTCGCTTTATGCGTCGAAACCCACTCCCCAGCGTCCACTACATTTGTCTCATATAAAAAGACTGCGCACAAGGATATATAATTACGTCGACTATCTGGTAGGGCCGCCACGCGCTGCAAATCACAAATCCCGCATGCCGCGGCAAAATCGCACGTGGAATGGACGCGCACTCTTCCAATCTCACTCTGACTCTGAGACTCAGTTTCTCTTCGCCATCATGACCACTCCATCCAAGCCCGTCACCATAGCGGGGCGTCCCCGTGCGGAGCCCATAGACGGCGTCTCGGGCTCGTTCTCCACGACATACGGCACCCCCGAGCTCCGCGCCCTGCGGGCCCAATACGCAGGGACCCCTCCACCGCCGAATATCCCCCTGCGTGCGCCAGGCTCAGCCTCCCCGGCACCGGGCGTGCGCCCTCTCCCGGACGTACCGATGCAGGGCTCGCCCGCCTCAGCGGCGCTGGGCCTGCCTGCCTCATTCAGCAGCGCGAGCCCCGCTCTGCAGCCCCGCACCGAGCGGAGCAACAGCAACACCACGGCGACGCCCAACATCGACCTGGAGGAGCTGACCGACGAGGAGAAGGCCCGCGTGCTGCGTCTGCATCTGGTGTCGAAGCAGGAGCGCGAGGCTGCCGCGGGTGGCGCTGCGTCGTCCGATGTCGAAGCTCCGGTGGGCGGACCCAGCTCGAGACGCTCGTCCTTCCGGGCGCCTCAGGCGCCGAGGGAGGCTGAGGCGGAGCCCGAGACGTTCCCTATTCCGTACCACGCCCCGGGAGCCGATGTGACGTGCGTCGGTCCTTTATCTGGGAGATCTGACTTTTTCTGACAGCACATGCTGATAGTCACGATATCTACAAGTGGCAGTCGGACCAGCGCAGGCTCGCCGCGCGCACGCGGTCGCACTCGGTCGTTCTCCCGCCGTCGACGGCACAGCACCCGGCGTTCGAGCACATCCACGAGCCAGGTGGTTTCCGTCGCAACTATCTGCTCCTGCGTGCCAGCGAACGCGGGGAAGATCAGCCGCCGATCCTCAACAACTTTATTGAGTTCCTCTACATCTTCGGACACTTTGTGAGTTACACGCTCGATCGTTCTCGACCTCTCGACTGAACACCCCTCGCAGGCTGGAGAAGACTTGGAGGACGACGAAGGTGAAGAAGACGAGGAGGATGCCGAAGCTGCCGCCGCCGGCCCACCAGATGAAAACGAGCCGCTCCTGGGCACCTCCTCTGGTGCTCGCACTGTGACCAAGTCAAGGCGTGCTCACGCCCGTCGGCGTACATCGACTTCTCGGGGTCCCCATGGAACGGCGACCGTTCCCCAAGCCGTGCTCATGGTCAGTTTCCATCTGCTGTGACAGAAAGACTCTGACAATATCACTAGCTGCTGAAAGCATTTGTCGGCACTGGCGTGCTCTTTTTGGGAAAAGCGTGGGTGTTGTTTCTGGCAGATTTGTTGTTCGTTCTTGACACCGTGTCTCAGGTTCTTCAACGGAGGAATCCTTTTCTCGTCCCTGCTGTTCGTCTTCATCGCTCTGATCTCGCTGTACTCCTTCCTGCTCCTCGTCTATACCAAGTTCGTCGTTTCTGGCAGTTTCGGTGACATCGGCGGAATTCTCTACGGACCGTGGATGCGTTACCTCATTCTGGGCTCCATCGTCGTTTCGCAAATCGGATTCGTCGCGGCGTACATCATCTTCGTATCACAGAATCTGCAAGCCCTGATCATGGGAATTACGCACTGTCTGACGCTGGTGCCGCTCCACTGGCTGATTCTGGCGCAGACTGTCGTGTTCTTGCCGCTCGTTCTGTTCCGGGACCTGGCCAAATTGAGCACTACTGCGTTGGTCGCGGATGGATTCATCCTCGTCGGCCTGGTGTACATCTTTGGCTCGGAGATATCGATCGTGGCCGAGCGCGGAATAGCGGATGTAGCTCTGTTCAATCCCAAGGACTTTTCGCTCTTTGTTGGGTTGGTCCTCATCGTTCTCTGGTTTACCCGATGCTGAAGTATCTTCTCCCAGCGTTGCCGTGTTCTCGTTCGAGGGTGTTGGAATGGTTATCCCTATTACAGACGCTATGCGCGAGCCGCACAAGTTCCCCAAGGTCCTCACTGGTGTCATGCTCGGTGTCCTCGGTGGGTGTTTGCGGGTGACCATCTCAAAATACATGCTAATACACACTAGTCCTCTTTGGTGGCGCTGGTGCTCTTGCTTACATGACCTTTGGATCCGAAGTGCAGACTGTTGTTCTGGTCAACCTCGATGCCTCGAGCAAGATGGTCCAATCTGCACGTCCTTCTCCACACTCTCTGTAGCCTTGCGTAGTGCTGACTCTCCACAGGTGCAATTCATCTACTCGCTCGCGATCATGCTGTCGGTGCCTCTGCAACTGTTCCCCGCCATCCGTATCATCGAGAATGGGATCTTCACGCGCAGCGGGAAGGTCGACTTCCGTGTCAAGTGGTCCAAGAACATCTTCCGGTTCACGATCGTCTTCCTCTCGGCGTTCCTCAGCTGGCTCGGGGCTGCGGACCTGGACAAGTTCGTAGCGTTCATCGGATGCTTTGCCTGGTGTGTTGCTTTTGTCCGATGCCGTGCTCCCTGGACTGTTTCTGATTGGACATTGTCACGCAGTGTCCCGCTGTGTTACGTGTACCCGGCGATGCTGCATTTCAAGGCGTGCGCTGACACGCCTCGGAAAAAGGCGGCTGATATCGCCATGATCGTCTTTGGTCTCGTCGCGGCGGCCTACACGACCCTGCAGACCGTTAAGGTGCGCACGCGTCTCCATCTCCTGGACACAATCTGATGGTGATCCCCTGCTTCCAGCTGATGATCGAGCCCGACAACGGCGGTCCTCCTGTCTTTGGCAATTGTTGAAGGGCGTTGTGCAAAGCAAATAACGAATAAAGCTTCAAGTTCATGTTCATGTACTAAGCGGCGTATATGACTGGGACTGCGATATGCGATAGAATCTACTTGTTATCTACTTACTACCCACACATACTATCTGTACCGCACTCCGCTGCGAGTCTCCACAAACGAATGGACACATTGTGCGACCAGTGGCGATCTGAGCATTTATGGTGCCGAAGAAACGTGACGATCCTAGTCTCTTGTCTCTTCAAGCGCAGTCTGCCTTCCCTGCCCTCTCTCCTCTGTGTCCTAGAAAACAGCAGAGCGAGTCTATACGAAGGAATGGAAATTGGCAAGAACTCCAAAGCACTCCGCGTGACTAGTGTCCACTCGTAGAGACAGCTCGACGCGTGGGATCCTTGTGACAGATCAGACCATCTGACGCACACCGTAGACCCGATACCTGGCTACTACGAGTACCTATTCGGAAGACCCTGCATCTGCTACTGGCACGGTCTATGCACGCGCTGTATCTCAAATGCATATACATGTCCATACGTTCCGGACCTGCTCCCAGGTACACCCGTTGACATTAGTTACTGCGTCCTTGCCTTCCGCCACGGCGTTCGTTGCGCCGCGTGCGAGCTGCCGCGTACGGCGGGCTGACCAGTGTCGACCAAGAGCCCGTTCACTGTCCGCCATTTCATTCCGTGTGCCGGGACGCGATCACGTGCTAAAATGCAGCGCGTGCAGGAATGGAAAAGGACGCGGCTATGTCTATCAGTACATCCGAGTTCTCCCTCTCATTCAAGGATTCCGATGTTCTTGGGGGTAACGAGGACCTAGCTGTGAACAGAGTATGTCGGACTACAAGCGCTTTGACAATGTCCTAGGGGACTGTGGTGCCACAGGTGGTGGTCCAGAGCTGGAGGTGAGAGCCGAAGAGCTGAAAAGGATAATTCTGTCATGGAAGAGATGCACAGTGGAAGACAATGGTGGTTCCAGAGCTCGTTGGGATCAAGGGTAACGGACAGATCAAGGCCTAGTCCGAAAGCGAGATGAGTCACGCGATTATAGCACAAACTTGAGCTATGAAAATGCAGGCGTCATAGCTCAGCTGGGAGAGCGATAGACTGAAGCCTTCATGCGCCGAATCTACAGGTCACGTGTTCAATCCACGTTGATGCCATTAAGAGCCGGCGGGTTCCATTTTTTTTTGTGGATCTACAACCTGTGCTCATTTGGGTAATTACAACCCCACACTTTCTTTCCGTCTCTGTTTTCCTGTGGCAGAGAGTGTGTTTGTTGCTGCCTTGTTCCAGGTCTCCTGTGGAAGGCAATGCAAACAAAATGCAATCACAGAAGCATGCTCGCTGTATGGCCGCACTAATACTACTTAAATCCTGTGAGAGTGGTCCTTCAGAATTGGTCTGCAGCTGGCTTGCAAGGCCTGGGAGACAGTGTTCTGCTGGCAGAAGATGCTCTAAGCTTATGTCCACGACAAATTTTGAGAGCAAATAGTAGAGATTTGGCCAAGAGGAGGGAAGCTTGCGCCAAGTAATCAAATGCTATTTAGTTGTCTCAAGAATTTGTCCTTAGCTGTGAAGTGGGTTCCTTTGGCCAATGCTTGCAGAAGAGACAGAGAGCAGCTAAGCACCACATAAGACTGTGACTGCAAAAAATTCAATGAAAGCAAAGTGCACAAAGGGTATGTACATATGTATGTATTTGTCTTCAATGAGATAAGTCTACTTGTCTCATAAAATGATTTTCGGTCACTTCATTAAATCGATTGCCGTCGAATGGGGTGTTCATGGTTGGATGGCCGAGCGGTCCAAGGCGCTAGACTAAGGATTAACTCGAGTAATCGAGTGCAACTTGCCACCAGGCGATCTAGTCCGAAAGGGCGTGGGTTCGAATCCCACTCCAATCAATATTTTACCCTGCTCCCCGTTTCTCTGCAACCCACTGCTCATATGTCCTGTCACCGCACCCTTGATTAACTTTAGTGCTTGTACATCATATGCCTGTGTCGCTTAAGTGTGTGTTGGATGAGAATATCATCCGGTCCCTTAGCCACCCTAGCACATCTTCCTCAACATAACCAAGATCCGCTCTAAGTTTTCCGCTCTCAGATTCACGTTTACTCTAACTTTGGAGAGGGCAATCCATTCTTTGCTGTAGAGTTGGATCCGGACAAGCTCAGCTTTGTGCACAGAAACAAGATAATCAGTTTGTTGAGAGATACCACAGAATCTACGTCTTCTTGAACCTGATTGACGCTCATCCGGCCGGACATCAATGAGAAACGTCTTGAAAGGTCCCGAAACATCTGTTGCTCTATCTTGCGAAGGATAAAATGTCCATTTTTGGACCAAGTTTCACTCTACTCCTGAGGAACATATGCCTCAGTGACCGGGGACCCATCTTATTCCAATTTTACATCGAGCTTCTTGCCGTCGGGAAACTGGTCCATATAAGCCCGTCGACTAGCTGAATTCGCAACGTATTCGACCAACTTGCAGTGGGCATCGTTTTGTACTTCACCGTGCGTATTCAGGTTAATCTCTTGACCAAAGCAGAAAGCGAGCAGACACTCACCACGAACGCTGCGCGTTATCCTGTCCAGTCCAGCCATGGTCACATCCACCTGCTGTAGCGACATATCGTTGACGAAGTCCGCGCGCGGCCTGCGCATGACATGCCACGTGGCAAGCCGCGCAGAGACAGCCTCGCACGTGGTACCGGGGACAGCAGGCCTGCGAGGACCCCCCGTCCTCGATCGCTATCGTGGAGCCCTGGGCGAGCAACGACAGTGCCGTCGAAGAGTGGGGTGCGGCCGTTACACCACGTCGGGAGGGCGGGGAGCTTGCGCAGCCACGAGCGATAGATCCGGCCGGTCGGTTCGGCAGGTCCAGCAGGCGGTGGCACTTGGGCGTCGTAGTCGGCGAACTTGGCGCGCACCTGCGCAAGGGTGATCGGCGGGCTCGAGAGTCGAGACTGGGTTTGACACTGGAGAATAGGGGTGGGTTGAGCCACCAGGTATGGTTTGAGAGGTCTGGTATTGCGACCCACCATCTTCCTCCCCCCATTCGTTTCAGTGTAGAACTGAGCCGAGATGATGAGTTCTCCGTTCCTGCACGGATAGGGTAGAAGCTCGCGGAGGGGAAGCCCTTCGAGCGAACAGTGCGAACGCCTACACGGCCTTCTGTGAGCCATTCCAGACCGGAGATGTTGCCGTCTTCCGGAGGTGCTTTGAATACTGTGCGACAACAGGTGATACCGGTGGGTGAGGCTTGATCATGCCCGAGCATATGTGTGCGGGTGAGCAACCGAGATCGGCCATCAGAGCCTTGTGTCCCCAAAGCGATGAATTCCATCCGCCCCAGCACTAGATCCGCGTGCACAGTTTCGCCGAACTCGAGCGCCACATCCCCTTCTTCCAGAGAACGATACAAGAATTCGCATCCAACACACATGAACACAGGTAGAAGGTCGCCTGGTATATCAAGGGTGATGCGCTTGAGCTCTTCGTAGATGTCGGTCCGGTGGCACATCTGCAGCACCTGCGCGACCGCCAAATCAGAGAAGAACAGAGCGCGGAAAAACGGAGACAAGCCTACCGCGTCCTCCTCAAGCTTACCGCCCGGCGTGAACTACGTCTCATTTCCATCCCTGGTCACAAGATCGAAAGTGACGACCTGAGCGCCTAAGCCCCATGGACTGTCAACACACCCCGCGCAGGAGCACATATTTCAAGTTCTCCTCATGGAAACCGAGATGCTCCAGAAGGTGAGTCGCGTTGGGCTGCAGCCCGAGCGCCGCGTCGACCTCCGTCTTGTTCGCCGTCCGCTCGAACACCTGCATGATGTGCCCAGTCTGCCGGAGGGGGACTCGGTTGACGCCTTCACACGGCATGCGCGAGGGTTAGGTGCCCTAAGCTTTCCGGAACCGATGCTGATCGGGACGTTGTTCATTCCGGCCTCAGGCCAATAATGGCGGGAGACTGTAGAGCAGCGGCCAGCCGCATCCTCCAGTCTTCTCGTCGGAACGAGACAGATGAAAGTGCTGTCCATGGCAGTGCGCGGGTCGAATCCAAATATGGCATTGAAGCCTATGCAGGCAGCACGAGGAAGAACGGCTTCTGAGCGTCCCAGTAATGAGAGAACAGATGAGACATCGCCGCACGAGTTGTCCCGTCACGTGAAAACTCTCCGCTCATTTTGATCATCATTCCAGCTGCATCCAACAATATGAGCTACCATGCTATTTGTAGCATGCGCGCAAAAGAGTGATGAATAATAAGTCTCGCCACTATCTACATCTTCTGCTGCGGCCAGACTTCCAGACCGTGTCAGGAAGCCGTATGTCTGATTGAGCCCCAGGTCTAATCTCTGAACGATCGGTGTCAAAGAGTAACCTTTTTAGTAAATTAGTATTGCATGGTTGGATCTCACTTCTAGAGCTCTATCATCTTTGCAATTACATATATCATAAAACAAGCCCTTCCTTTCGCGCGCCAACCAAGAGCTGCGATAGTGCTGCGAGCCGAAGAATCTTCAGCCAATATTTTCGTGCAACCGGGAGTTGGAAAAACAGCTAAGATATAAATGCTCGAGTATTTGAAACGATTCTACTGCAATGTTTATATAGGTCCGTTGAATGACATGATGGTGCAGATATAGCACGAGTGGGTTGGAATGACATAAGAGTGTTTATGGGAAATCAGGAAGCAAAACATGGGGATATAATCAACTAAAACGTGGTGCTATAGACCGAGGGACAGAACATTCCGATAGCTCAAAGCGTAAACGGAAATCAATAGCAGAACATTTGGACAGTTCAGACATTTCGGATCGTGCTGCGACCCGGGACCTTTTGCCAACAGTTAAGGACAATTCCCGTACTTGTTTGACGACAACATACCTCGCATTTTTTCAAATGGCGCTTGAGGTTGCTTACGGTAGCATATGTACGTTTGCAATAGGGGCAGTACCGTCTGGCACCGATATGAGCGTCGAGGTGATCTGCACGGTATACTACATCAGCAAAAGATGTCCGACACAGTCGTGGAACCACATACTATTCAAATTGTGCTGCGCGGTAAACGATTGCTGACATACCGGGCACTCGAATCTGGCGGCCACCTTCCTCCGCTTCCAAGCAGCTTTGATGTGGGCTGCGCTTCCGACTATCGCCTTGACGAAACTGCTGCGTCCCGGATGGGTGGACGCAATGAATGAGGCTGGAGCAGCAGCGCTAGGTCTGGGAGGAGTTGCAGTTGTACCTAGTCCAGAGTATGAGCAATAGAGTTTGATGGCTTGCTGTGTACCTGTAAAGCCGACGGGTAGAAACGAGCTGGGAGGATGCTCGATAGAAAGCTCCGGGTGGGACTGAAAATCTGATCCGTGGTCGCTATGGTTCGAAGCGTATGGAACGTTCATGCCATCCAGCTCGCTCAACGCGCCATCCTGGCAAGGATTGTGAGCAAAGTGTTCATTAGGTGGCTCCACTACTCACCAATGCTTGCGCGGCCAATGGGTTCGGGTATTGTGGAAGTGGTTGGTATATATTGACGTCTGTGTCTCTGGTAAGGCGGAGGAGAGTAAAAGAACGCGGGAATCACGAACCAGATGCAACGCTTTGGATATGAACCATGTCAGGATCATGACGCAAATATGTATCTTCTGAAGAGTCCGCTCCCAAGGATAGATGAATCCTCAGGTTATCGGTGAGACCGTTGATGGGCTGGAAGTCAATAAAGAGACGAATCGCCACAAGTACGAAACCTACAGGAGAGTCGATCCTGGTGGGATGCTTGAGCGCTCGCGGGCTGGCATGTCCCAGCAGATGGTTCGGGCGTGGAACATCAAGATGCTGTCCGTATTCTGCAGGCGCCATCCCATTATCGAGCCGAGGAGAAGGGAAGGCGTTTGGTGACGGAGTCAGCTGTCGCAGTGAGACATTGGACGATCCGCTGGGAGACGGGGTCCAACTTGGACTCCACGATGAGTACAAGGACAGCGTCTGCGACGAGTGCAGAGTCGGACTACTGTCGCGGATGACCTCAAGGCGATCGTTATATCGACCATGGTGTCCCTCATGCGACGCGCTTCCAAAGGGATTCAGCCGTGACGCAAGACGGGAGCAGCACGACTAACAGCAGTTTCTCGTCAGAAGTCATGGCCGAGATACCATACGGCGAATACCCAGCGTGCATGGTTGGGTAGTCGTTGTAGCGTCGAGGGAGTTCGGAGTGCAAGGAAACTAGTTCCTAACCAGGTTAATGAACGGGCTCAGGCCGTAAATAAGAGGAATTCGTACATGTCATAGAGAACAACAGCCCGAGCAGTAAGGCGCTGCTCAACTGCATAATTTACAGGAAAGCTGTCGCGTAGTCGAAATGAAAAGGGTCCGAGGGAGATCACAAGCATGAATCCGGGCCACCATCGCAGGGGGGGCTGTGCTTGTCCCGAATCTCAGTGCGACATGAACAACTCTGAGGCACGGACCATCGATAGTACTGGATCATACATCCCACAGGTCTACCAGAAATGTAAGGAAGACAAGCCTTCTGAGGTCTGAGCCGCGATGGAATGCGATCGCCTGTACAGTGCGCTGGCGGTGAAGGGAAGAACATGCTGTACAGTCGTCCAAGTGAGATTATCTACATGCTAGAGCACGGGCACAGATGATTTGGACGAGGCGGTGAAGTAGAGGTTTGTTTGTGCGGCCTGAACAGCATGGCAAGATAGACAGCGTGTGGTGCTCTGAGAGGAAGATCAAACCCCAGTGCAAGGCGATGTCTCAGCGTGTCTTGTGATAGGGCAGATGGAGCGAAACCGGGCCAGTAGGACCGATACCGTCGGCGTGGACATGATCCGCGCGAGAGCGATGGTCGACCAAGATTTTCGTCTGAATTTGGGAGCAATATTCACATCATCAGTGACGCTTCGACGAAGTGGAAGTAAAGCAGTGAGCGGTCATTTTTTAGGGAAATCGTTGAGACCCAGACGATAACGCCATGGGGGGATACCCCAGCGGTCTAGTAGAGATGCATTCAATCTCTGTTGTCGGGAATTTGTTGGTCGTTCGTTCAGATTGTGTGTTCTTTTCGGCACGAACGAGATATTGACATGAGGAAAAACGAAGGAAGCTGCTCCGGTCCAGCCCTTGTCACCGCGGGGATATGGCAAGTGGCCGAAGTAACTTAGTAAGACCAGCTCATTTGTACCACGTCACAATTGTGACGCGCACGTGAAGGATTCCTCAACATGAACGTTCATCGAATATGCCCTCAATCATCAGCTGGCTGAGCCCCAAGCGAACACTGCTAAGATCCCAAAGAAGGAGAGAATAGATGTAGTGGGGATGCATGCCATGCCGTTAATCTCAGCGTTCGTTCCGGGGGTGTATACAAAAATAACTTGGCCGATCGGAAAGATAAGTGCTTGCTTCCTCGTTCCTCAGCCGTAGATGATATCGAGCTTGTCAAAGAAAAAAAACCGAAGGCCTCGGTATCATGAAACCAGAAATTTTACAGGGACTGGAATCAACAGTGGCGGTCTTATTATAATTCATTCCAAAACAAAGTCGAGACACAGTTGTCCACCTTATAGCAGTGGGCTCCGATAAACAGCAGGATTTGACAGAAAGAAGTCCAGACACAATCTACGCCAAGATATCTTCTGGAACGGTATTTGACAGCTATGAAGAGAATATCAGTAAAACGAACCGGAGCGCGGCTATCTGCAACATACTGTGATCTAACGGGTTCCGGAGACCCTGCGGTTCACGTCTTGCAGTCAGGTACTTTCTAAGAACGGTCAAGAATGATGTCCGCACTTATTGAGCGACGACATGCCTCGCATTTCTTCAAGTGGCGCTTCACGTTACCTACGGTGGCATATGTCCGCCCACAATATGGGCAGTGCTCTTTGTGACCATTATGAGCCTTGATGTGATCTACAAGGCGTGCTCGGTTAGCTAAAGGTGTGCGACACGGTCGTGGAACTCTCATACTATCCAGATTATGTTGCGCAGTCAACGATCGGGGACAGACCGGGCACTCGAATGTGGCAGCCACCTTCCTTCGCTTGAAAGCAGCTGTAATGTGGGCTGCGCTTCCGACTATCGCCTTGAAGAAGTTGCTGGGTCCCGGGTGGGACGACCCATCGAATAAGACTGGAGTAGCAGCTGCACCGGACGGAGAGTGTGAGTGATGGGACTCAATGTCCGGCTTTCCACAGGTGAAGCCTGGGACAGAATCCGGTCGAGACGGGCTGGGAGGAGTCCAGGGAAAGGATTCCGGCGGAGGCTGAATACCCAATGCGTGGTCGCTGTGACCGGTGGGAAGCGGTACGGGTATGACACCGAGCTCATTCGTCGGACCCTGCTGGAAAACAAGTCAGCAGAGCAAGGGTGGGCAATCGGAAACGCACCGCAGAGTACGAAGCTTCGCTACCCCATAATGCGTCCTCGGATGTGCTCGGGTGATGGCGTGGATAGGGTTGCTGTATCTGCCAGTCTGTTCATCTCATGAGGTGGAGGCTGCAGAACCATACGCGATTCACTAACCAGATGCTCCGCCTTGGACATGAGACAGGCCGGAATCGTCAGGCCAATCTGCATGCGCCAGAGGCTTCAGTCCAAAGAACAGGTTCGTTTCCAGGTTATCAGTGAGACTGTTGACCGACTGGAACACCATGAATAGACGAATCATCAGGTGAGAGGACGCACGGAAGAATGGCCACAAGTGGAGTACCCCTGATGATCTCCCAGCGAGCGGACCGGGGGGAGGACATTGAGATACTGTCCGTATTGAGCAGGCGCCATCCCACTGTCGGACCCAGCAGAAGTGAAGAGGTTTGGGGATGGGGTCAGCTGTCGCAGTGAGACATTCGATGATTCGCTGGGAGATGGAGTCCGACATGGAGACGATGTCTGCGGCGAGTGCTGAGTTGGACTGTCGTCGCGGATGGCCCCAAAGTGCGAGTAATCGTAAAACAAATAATCCCATTCTGGACGCGTCTCGCTGTGAAGGTGAGTCAGTCATGGCGTAAGACAAGAGTAGCGGCACTGACGGTGACTCGTCGATGGTCACGGTGATCTCGTCATCCGTTGCGTGGTCACTGGTCATACTTGGGTCTCGCCGAGTCGCAGTGCGGTGGGGGTGCAGTGTGGTATTCAAAGTGAAGTCCTTGGGTGGGGTGAAAAATAGAGTCTTCGGCAGAGCAATTTAAATAGCGCAGGACGAACTACAGCATTCACAGCAGCGTGAATGGGGCACGGGATCAGGTGGCAGGTGGAAGTGGGATACCTCGCCATCAGGACAACTTGAACGCCCAGGGTAGATCAGGCTATGTTGAGCTCGAAAGCAACTCGACAGCATATCCAGTGCGGCGGAGCACTTTGGGAATGTTCCATCGATGGCGCAAGATTCTCCCGCTCTCCTGCCTGTCTCTGCTAGAGAGAGCATGCTCTCCAAACCTTCAACGAAAACGGTCGGTCGGGGAAGTGGATAGAAAGGTGCCGCCGGAGGGAAACAGCGTGCCGGACCTCGGAGTGCCCTGAGTGAAAGAAATCGGAGCCATCCGCGCTGCCATCAACGGGAGTGGTAATCATACTGAGGCATGCGACTCGGCAGATTTCAGGAGCTGTAGAGCTGCGGGGTCAGCCTGCAGCCACCAAGCGACTTTGTTGCTTACTCCGAGGTAGATGGTGGGACCAGGTTCCATCCCACCCGTGAACCTTATGTATGACATCGCTTGAGTACGATGGATGTTCCCGTTCACGGGAAGTAGCGCCCCGTTTGTCACAGATTACGGATAGACTCCACATAAAGAACAATCATGGCCTGGGGAATTAGTTCGGCCGGTTGAATGGCGCGGGATGTATGCTGTGGGGAAGATACGAGCCATCCACATGGATTTGGGAACCCGTGAGCGCAGACCACGTTCTGGATTTGGAACGAGAAGAAGTCCACGGGGGAGCGGCTTGCTCTATTCAGGCCTGCCAATGGCAGGGCGGAGATCAACAGGTCATGTGAGCGGTGCATAGTCCAGTATTCGATCCATTTTGAATCCATTTCGCCCACAATTCTGCGATGGAAAGACACTCCGGAGCGAATGTCTAGATCTGCGAGAGTAAAAAAGCTGTGTTGCTCTGTGCCGCTCATCGCCTTCTAACGTCCTGTTGCCCGTTATAATGCAGCATCGGCGAAATAACTGCATTGATCAGATTCGTATTGAAGTAAGCAACAGCAGTGCGTGTTTCCCCGTCCCGTCGCATCCAAGGATGCCGAAAAAGAGGCAGAGAATCTTGTCTCACCGGAATTTAGGCGGTGGGCCCTTCGCTGTGCCAATGTCGAGAAGCCCCGAAAAACGCCTGAGCGCCTATGAGTCGGGTGCTCAAATCAGATCATGACTGTTAGGGAATTGGGCAAGGGGGTAGAGGATGCAGTCGTGATAGGCCAGTGTCCAGCAATTTTTGGAACAGAATGCTATCAGAAGTATGTTACGCCACAGCTTGCTTCAGAATGCTATGGGAGGAAGGCCTTGTGCATACCCGGATAGCCCCCAATAAGCGCCCAACAGGTCCACGATGCATGAGTTTTCGACGCCTCAACAAGGCTCAGATCCCGCCCGCCAGATCCGTGGCAGCAGGGCGATGAACTAGAAAATTTCCGGCCCGATCCTCGCATTTGGAGGCAATCTATAACAGCTCCGCAGTCTGTTGCAGTTGAGGAAGCGTGCGCCAATATATGGAGAGATCGGGAGGCGCTCAGAGTCATTGTCATGATGAGACGGCGCTTTGACTCGGGGCTTGGCGAGCGTGGGGCCATCTGTTGAACTTGAGCATCCTCGGGAGGGGAACTCTCAGCGACATGAGAAGTGGCGTAAGTAATGGTGAGTAACAGGGAAATCGGTGATAACAGGACCGAACTCGAGAGTTGTGAACCAGTCCACATGATCGAGCCGGAACAGTGCCGACAAGTACTGATCACTGACGCGGCTGATGTGATTGGTTCTGGGACCGAGCGGGCCGCGGCGCTTTCAGCGGCGACTGGGTGAAAGCGTCGGGTGCAACGCTCATGAGAATGCATGGAGTTTGGAAGCTAGGCAGGATCACGGCTGGGATCACATCGACGTGTCGAGAAGCGAAGCGATTGCGCCAACTTGCATTCGAAGGAACAGTTCTACTTGTAGAATGAGACAGCGCGAACTGCCGTACATGATTGTGTGATCAAATCACGCACAAGCCAGGCTACATAAGCTGACGTAGCAATGCAGCACATCAGATGGTAGCAAAATCGACCGGATATCATTCGGTAGACCATAGCCGTTGCGGCACTGAGGGCCATTTCTTCAAGTTGACGTGTCGCCGTGTACCGCTGGTAGTGCGAAACAGTTTCCACACTTGCCGGATCGGTGAGCGTTTATGTCGCAATGTGCATCGAGATGATCTAAGAACGCTGATAGATGTGCGATCAGAAACCGTAGACACAGGCCTCGGAGACGTACTTCCCTGATTCTGCATTGAGGCGAAAGTCGAGGGGAACAATGGATATACCTGGCGAGGAAACAGGTCAGGTTTCATGCATCGTTCGACGCTGAATGCGATCAGAGGCGCACCGCTGACTTGATGGCGGAACCTGGAGTCGCGCTGCGCACCAGAACCGGGTTCGACTGCATTGTACTCGACTACGGTAGATGGAGTTGATCCGGAGAAGATGGGTGTATCCAGCTCCCGGTAGAATCCGCGAAGGAGCTCGTACTCTTGAAATGCGGTTCGCTCAGCGTCGCACCATTCTTCGCACGCCTCCGAGAATCGCGTCTTGATTGGCTAGCGGCGGTAGATGCTCTTGATCGGACGTGAGACGCTCCAGATGTAGCGAAAAGAACGGCGACACCAAAAGGAAGGAGGGCTCGACAGAGATCTCAGCAAGAACGAAGCCCTAATACAGATAGAGGAGACCTTGGATCCAGCTTGATAGAGAGACTCGGAGAGGTTAACAAGGACGCCAACGAAGTGAAGAAAGCAGATTCTAGCGAGTGATGTGCAGTGGATGGGAACGACTGCGAAGGTGACCGATGTGAAAAGTTGACAGGGAGGTGTATGACATGGGAGATAGCGAGTGGTAGCACAGAATGTAATCGCTCAGGAGGGGATCCACCTGCGGATGAGCAGCACGGGTCGATGATTCTGTGGGCGTTGACATAGCATGGAAGGAAGGAGCGCGAGCGTGCATCCCGCAAGAATGAGAGGCTTGTCCGAGTGAAAAGTGAAGAGAGACCGAGGCGTAGGCCAATATGAACGACAACAATCAGGGCCGCCCGCTGCAAAAGACACGTTGCGTTGGCTGCGCAGCAGCAGGTGACGATATTCAGCCCACGAGAGCAATATGTGGTCGAGATCGGTAGCATTGACATTATATGCGTTATGGTTGTGGTCCTTGAAGACCGTGACAGAAGGGGGAGATACACAGTGGCAGCAAGTGATACGGAAGGGACACAGAATACCAGAACACTGAACAGTACAGACCTAAAGCCGTTTGACGAGGGTGACACGTTCAGCCTCAGAAATGACGTCGTTTTGTGCGAATGATTCGCCCTCTCCTTCCTGAAGGTATGCAAGCGGACGCCAGGTCGCATTGAAATGCGCACTTCTTTGCAAGAAAGATGCGGTAGAGTGGACATGGCCAGACAAGACGGGCAAGTCGAGTTTTTCTGGAAGAAGACTTTCTGAGATTGAGAGAGCGGGAGTGCTGCTGCATGGGCAGAGGCCAGGCCAGAATGTTGGAATGGGAGCTGGATTCGACAGCAAGCGTTATTGATCCGAGTCATTCATCTTTGCCTGCGGGGCTGTGGACCTTGGCCAGAGCCAATGAGGAGAGCTGTCGTCCATCCGGAGTAAATGAGAGGCACGTGGTCATGCATAGGGGTACCGTCACCTGACATTTCCGAGTCGCGTCTGTCAACGCGATATACAAATGAAACATCTACTGCAAGTTCGGGCTTCAATTTAAACAGAAAACACCTCCTTTCCAAAACAGTCTCAGCATATCCTCTTCGTGTTGTACATTCGGTGCATAGCTCACGGTACACTCCATGCTCATCAACTTCTTCAATTGGCCACCTCAGTCATGCATCTTCATGCGTAGAGCGGAGTTCCATCCATCAAGCAGCGCGGTCCGCGAGGAGATGGCTTTGATCAGCCCGATGTCGGCATACCGTGACGCTCTTGCGACTGTGGGCTCCGTATCTCGCTTTCGGCTCTCTCTTGCGTTCTCTGAGTTTCCGCTGGAGGCCAAACAGAATTCTTGCCCATTCTCCCACTCGAATCTCTTTTGCCTCGCCTCCGCACGAAGCGGGATCGTTTCCCGCAGGCCATGAGAATCTCTGCCAGGACTGGGTCAAAGGGGGAATTCAACAGAGGAGAAACGATTACGATGCCTCCTCAGTGAGTCGGGGCGACTCAGAAATTTGCCGCATTGATCACATCTGAAGCGAGGTGGGACGTGCAACTGGAGGTGTCGGTGGCAGTTGGACTCCCGTGTGAAGGAGTTTGGGCAACCGAGCCAAGGGCATTTGAATGGTTTTCCCTTCGCCAGTGAGAGATGCACAGGGCCCATCTGGGGGTCGCTGGGATGGTTCAGCGCGTTCTCTGTTGCACCTGATGTCCCGTCCAGGCTCATGCTATCGGCTGACCGGTTGTCGCGATCGGCACTCTCATTAGTATTGGAAGCAGCATCCATAGATTCGGATGCTTCTGCGTCGGGGAATCGAAACTCGTCGGCGGGCTGCTGAGCTGCCCAGCTCGTCATTCTCGACTAAAGCAACGAGTATGAGAGCCAGTTTCAGACATGTGCCCAAAGAATGAACGCAACCGGATGTTTGTGCGGCAACAGACTAGGTGGCGTCCCGGAAGGAAACCAGCCAGAGAACATAGAGTCCTCCGGATCGATGCCTGGGCTTGGTGCGCCAAAGTCCATTCGGTGTTCAGGCCAATCGAATCCCGCAGGGAAGAAAAGGCCGCTTCCTATCGGTCTGTTCCTCTCTGGAGGCTCGAAATCGTCCGCACTCAAGACTTGAAGGGGATCCAAGAATAGATCAGGTCCTCTTGATAATCTCCCCATTCTCGTCCAGGGGATGATGTCACTTGAAGTCGGGTACGATTCAGCCAGCGCGTATTGATCGAAACGTCCTACGAGTGGATGCGTGTCTTTCGAATACGGTGTGCTCCGCTCATATGCGCTTCTATCGCCATCATTCTCCACAGTCCTTCGTAGAGTTGGGGGATCACAGGCAGTCTGGAGTGAGTTCCATCCTTTGGAGTCGTCAGCTGGAAGGCGCATGAGTGCTCAAGTCGGGAAAGAAGAGTGCAATAAATCAGCCTCTGCGAATTTCCGGCGTATTTAACTCTCGCGCCATTCCGAACGCATTGGCGCGCGCTACTATATCTGGTACTGGGGGGGTGATCAGCGGCCCACAGCAAAGGCTCCATCTCCGCTGCTACAGCTATTTGACAGCCTCAATCTATCAAATATAAGCGCTCATGAGAACCCTGTACAACAGCAAGGTGGAATATATTTAGAATGAGCAATGTCGACTTGGCGAAAGTAGTCCCAACGTGATGGTAGAACTCATCCTAGCTGACTAACTAATACAACGACATGAGAATTATTCGATAACACTACTAGGACAGTAATATAGCGAGAAAATGAGACGGTCGAGAACATAACAGAAAGATAACGTATGTGCAACTGGAATCGGACGTAGCAAGTGAGCAATAAATGTTATTACATAGACAGATGTTCAGTCACGGTGAGGTGGCCGCATCTTTCACACGGCGACCGGCCACTGGGGAGCGCATCAGTCGTTGCATACTTTGTAAGGGGACAGGACGCACGTGACCATCGGACTTCTTCGACAAGTGTCTCTTCAGATCATGGCTTGTACGGAATTTGTTTTCACACGAACAAGCAAATCTATATATGCCATAATGCCGATCCTCGTGATCTGGGCGACGGTCAGATCCTCGAAGAAAATGAAACGAAACAGGACGTACTGCGGACACCGCTCTTTGTGGTAAATCTCAGCCTACACATGGAGCATTGGAACCTGCGCTCGTGCTTGCGACGTTTTTCCGAGGCGAGCGCGTTTGCTCGGGACACAGGAGCCGGCAACGGAATGCTCGAGGTGGACGCTCCAAAGTCGGGACTGGCACTCGGGCTCGGGAGGCCAGAGGAGAGCGCGTAGTCGGAGAAAGAGCCGGAAGGACTTGCTTGAGGTTGCAGGAAGCGGTCGTCATATGGGGGCCTCCGGCCTACATCCGACCAGCGACGATGGTCTCCAGAACGATCCGTACCCAAAGCTGTGTTGGGGTGCAACAGATCTGGTTGGCTTCCCGCGCGAAGACACAGCTTCTGGGTGCCAGACAGCGGTGGAGGGGTTTCGAACAGCAGACTATGTTCCGCCACGCCGAAGGAGTCAAACATGCCGAAGGTCGCGCATACAGCACCATCATTTTGACAATCTGACTCGATTGGCGTGTCCTTGAGACAGAGCCCCTGCATGATCGGAGACAGTTCAGTCGCAGGCGGGGGACTTTGAGCGTCGTAGGACGGTTCGTCATGAGGAAGGAAAGCATAGTGGGTTTGAAGCCAAATCGATCTGGGCGATTCCCGAGCGGGATCGAGGAGCCCATATTCAAAAGGAGAGTATTCGACACCCGAAGTATCCTCTGATAAGTCTAGAGAAAGATAACTCGCTGGAGGAAATGCCGTCAATTTGAGAAGAAGGATCACGAAAGATGAGAATGGCGTACATGACGCGATGGAGTATGGCGACAGTTCATAACCACCGTCGGACGTATAGGCGACCAGGGTTCCGACCGTAGACCTGGGGGCACATTAGCCAGTGCATGTTGCAGATCGAACGCGCTTGCTCACATAGCAGGCCTTTCGCAAAGACGCTCCATATCATCAGGAGTTTCGGGATGGCTCGGAGTACTCGGGGAGGCAGGTGGGGCCATGTCTTCGTTGCGAATGTCTAGGAACGCTCCTGCGCTGGTTTTTGCGGTTTTGTTCGCTGCGTTGCACCACGCACACTACACGTGTTGTCGAAACGTACCGGATTTGGGCCCGCCAGGCGCTCGGCGCTCGCTATCTTTGGTTATCGATGGAGGATGATCATGGTCTAGAGTGCGTTCCATAATGACCATCGCCAGGAAAGTGGCCGGCGGGCGCGGCTTGTCAAGTCGTGGCACCTGGCACGGCCGTGGAGCCGAGCTTGACCTGGTGCTCACGCGAAAGTTCATCTCAAAGGCAGTCGTGTATCGAGTTCAAACTTGCCGAAAGCACCTACTCTCTCAAATGATCGATTTCACCCGATACATAACTGAGCCAGCGGTTCTCTGGTCCTGTCGTGGGCCGGATTTGAGCCTTCGGACGGCTGGTTTCAAATTTCTTAAAAATATGTTACTCTGACAAGTGCTGCACACATTCATTTCCGTCGCATGGCTGGTGAACGAGTCACTCGAAACGTCTTCTTTTCCTACCCCATCGAGCAACTGCCATCTGTTCGCCGCACCGATAGAAATCCCGCTCGCACAGCTCCCGCAATGACTTGTGTTGCACATGCAGTATACCATCCAGAACAAACGGCACGATCGTTGGATCTGCAAGAGGACAGAAGGAATCGATACAGCTGTCCCACAGCTCGTGCGATCGCTTGATAGTGTCGTCGGACGGGCGTCTGTGCAAGGTCGGGCTGTGCGAGGGCTGTTGACCTATCGATGGGAGGTGAGGGATGAGGGGAAGAAAGGCATTGGAGCAAGCGTAAGGGATATCATGCCCCTCCCTGGGACAATCGGAAGTGGGGGGGCCATCGGACGGGCGCCTATTGAGGGTCGGGCTATGCAGTGGCGGTTGGCCTGTCAATGGGAGATGAGGGGGATAAAGTCATTGATGCAAGCGTGAGGGGACACAATGCGTCCGGGGTAATTGGACGCAGGCGGGCGGACGAGAAACACATTAGCGCGATCTCATGCGAGGCGGGGGGCTGGACGTGGGCCGAGGGATGCGTGGTCTGATCCTGAGCTGTTGCACAGTCCGTCCTGTTACACCATCTGCCGCTGTGTCGTGCGTGTACTTCATGTTGCGGGCGCGCCCTTACAGCAACGGGTGCTGCCGACGGCCTGGTCCCTCGTGTCGGAGTATTAGGGTCTACAGCTTTATGCCAAGCTGATGAGTCAAGGCAGTGCATCAAACGGCTGGCGCGTTTCTTTTTGGAAGGCCGCACAGCCCGTGCCGCGTGTCGAAGCGAGGCGGGGGCAATGCTTATAAGCACAGCCCAACTGACGCAGCCGGTCGTGACTCTCCACCCCATGGCTCTCCCACTCCCTCGCTCCGAGTGCATCGAGATAACCGAGGATGACCCTCTCGAAAGCAACCTCTGGTTCCCAGCTCAGGATGATCCACAGCCGTTCGAGTCCGTCGGGCGCATCTTTTCTCGTGATTCCTGGATTGACCCACTCTCAAAGGTTGTCGTCTGAGCAGTCGTTTGCGCACGCAGAGAACAGTCAGTCATGCTTATGTGGCTGTGTTCTCAATACGTTCTCATTCCCGTGTGCAAGGTTCATGCGATAAGCACTTGTCGATCAATATGGAGGATGCATGGAGGACGGCCCCGACGCTCAGCATTACGAACGCGGAGCCAGACTATTCGAACTTCAACAAGTACTGCTTTCGAAATCCTTCGTCAGGCGCTAGCTCACCCATCAGTCCAATGAGTCCTGCGTCCACCTACTCTTCAGGTCAGAAGCACCTGCTCTCTTGGATGTGCATTACGCTCAATCGATGCAGTGTTTCCTGAGGACTTTCCTTCCGACAACGAATCGCGGTACAAACAGGGTTTTTCAAGCTATCCCCCGTCGCCTGTTACGCCATCCCTCTTACTATCCGGCTTCAGGGACCTCGAGTTGAACCAATCCTATGCGGGCGACCAAGTGATCATCCAAGACGATCTCGCCGATCATGGCCGTGCACGAAGCTACAGCTCATCGGGGAACGCTGTCGCCCCCGGCGAGACCTGGGGCGCTGACAATGGTCTGGTCCGCGGGCGTGCGGCGTCGTTCAGTGGGCCGTTCGTTTCAGCTGGAACTTCCTCGGAGTCGTACCCTGTCCACGTCGAACAGTTTCCCCCCAGTCTTTCCATCGAAATTTCGAGCATGGACCCTGCCCAGGAGCTGGGCACATCCGTTGCGTGGGGATCCCCGTCCTTTTCGCCATCCGAGAGCAGCGATGGCGGATTCAGCCCGGGGTCTAGCAGTCCGCTGTCAGAATGGATGTTTCCCGCGGGTGAACGGTCCATGCAGACTCAATTCCTCGCCGTCCCCGGTATGCACCGGCGATCTTCGACCCGACACAACCGAAGGCATTCGGACACCACTTCCTTAGGGGTACCGGAAGTGGACGCCGGTTTCGGCCGAGGACGGGGCATACATCGTGTTACTCAGAGCGTCTCCGGTCCACATCGCAGTGCGAGCAGTGCGAGCAGTGTCAGCTCCTATGCGAGCTCTCGCGACCCCTCCCCAGTTTCCTTTGATTACCCCTCTCCCAGCGAGGCACTTGTCCCCGGTCTTTCGTTTGACTTTTCGGACCCACATACCGACAATGAATGTGAGACAGTCGGGAATGTGTCCTCCCTCGCACGACGCAAGACCTTCACCACGATCCGCAACTCCAGCGAAGTTCTTTCTGTCGACCCCCATCTGGTACAGCACGGGACCACACGCTCCCGGAACAGGGACTCCTCTCTCGGTGTCTTCCGGGCTGCATCATCTTCCACGGCCTCCGAGAGTATTGATGGTCAAACTGTCGGCGGATCCCAGTCCGAGTTCCAAGTCGTGACCGCCCCACCGTCACCAGGCAGGAAATTCAAGAAGGAGGTCGCCTCGACAAAGATCCGGAGCGCCTCTGCCGCCCGTCGCATGAACAAGGCTGTCTTCAACTGCACAGTGCCAGGCTGCCCCTCGACCTTCACAGCTCGTCACAATCTCAAGAACCACATGAATTCTCACCAGAACAACCGCCCGTTCGTGTGTCCTGGATGCTCGTTCTCCTTCACCACACAGGGAGTCATGAATCGTCACGTCAAGAAATGCCGCCACTGATCCTTCGCTATATTGTATTAGTGAGTGCCCTTTCTTTCGCCTCGTCGACTTGTATCGATCCTCTGCCCAGATCTGTCTTGTAGACCATCACTCCGTCGTCATCCCGAATCCAATTTCTGTATCGATATACCTCTCTCGCATCTCTCTCGATCTTTGCTACCTACTAGCTTTGAATTATACCTAATGCTGCTTTGCGTAGAATACCCCACGAATGTCGTTTTCTCCTAGTCACGTGCGAACCCTCCGCTCATCACGTGTACATCCTCCGCTCGGAGGTCACACGTCGCATTGACTTCGGCTTGCCCAATGTCGCGCCGCCTACACTTTCACAGCCCTGAATCCACTTGTAAACTCAATTGTGAAGATTTTTTAGCGACATCGGCGGTTCCATTCCATGTTCAATGGACCAAAGCGAGTGTCCATCGACCGCCTGGTCCAATTACACACTGGGGGAACTGTCATGACCGGCCCTGAAATCTGACGCAGCACAGGATGGGAGACGAGTTCATTCAAAGTAGTCGACGACATTGTAGACTGCATCCGTACGATTGTTCCGTGCCTGAACGATCTGTCTTGTGAACGAGCTAAGGGGACAGTAACTAAGCTGGATCAACAAAAGACAGAGAAAGACAGGACGTACCTGACTCTCGCACAACGAGCCGCACCACTCACAAATGCAGACGCTCCGATGCCAACGAGCTTATCGACGATGGCTCTCACACCCGGATCGTCCAAGATGTCCGGCTCCCACATCACATGGTCGACGCGCAAGCCATCCAGTCGCGCCTGCGTCAACTCGGCCACGGTCCAGTCCTCGAGCAGGCCACCCTCAGCGAAAGCGTCCCCGAGAATACCCATGGCCGCTGCGTGGAGGCGACCAACGTCGCGGAACGTTCCGGACTTTGAGACGAGAGCCATAGAATCGTGATCTTGCTCGTCCAGAGTAGAGCGGATGGGAAAGGGGTAGTCGCTAGCGAGCCAGACAGTCTGCATCGGAAGGCCAGCGAGGAGGTCGACAGCAGCGTGAGCGCAATGGACGAGACCTGCAGGTGGGACACCTTCCATGCGCCAGTGCATCATGACATAAGGCGACGAAGGCGCCAGAGCGGCAGCAAGCTGATGCAGGTGAGAGGCATATGTGAGCGGATGTGCGACTTGAGGGAATATTGGATGCCGCAGATCCCAGGAAAGCACGAGGACACTTGCGTCCAGTGAAAGGGCTTGAATGACTTCAGTTGGGTCAGCAGACGCTTTGATGTTGACTTGCAGCGCTGAATCATCCTCTAGACGCAGCAAACGGCGAGTCCGCTCGAAGCAAGGAGGAAACCCATGCTCTGTCGAGCTCTCATGCACGACTTCAACCGTGGCTTGGTCCCTTCCCTCCGCTTGTGCAAACGAGACGACTCGCCCAGTTGGATTCTCTATCTCCAGCCATCTTTTGAACATATCGGGCTTGATCACACCTTCCGCAGGCAGCTCATAGTACACTTCAAAGTTCCACCGGAAGCATGCCCCCACGCGGCTTTTACCAACGTTTGGCAGCACGACCGTCCTGTTCAACGCCCGCCCAAGCTCCAAGATCTGCTCCAGATGGATGTGCGCCTTGGACTCTTGCTCGGCCACGCGCAGCACAAAGAGGAACTGGTCGCAGTCGACACAGCGCAAATCTTGAGGGGCGAGGTGCACAGGCTTGACTTCGGGTATGCGCGTCACGAGGGGGGGCCAGGGACCCGGCTTGCTGTGGTCTCGTGCGTAGTAGGTCGCCCGTTCGTCTGGATCTCGTTCGGTTTCGAGGTCGGCCAGGACGTCCAGAATTGCACGATCGACGTAGGGGCTCTTGCGGAGGCTCTTGAGGCGCTCCGTTATATCCCGGGAGCTTGAAGCAGTGGGAGAGGTGGGACGGAGGAGATACAGCACGGCGAGGAGACCCAGTAGACAGAAAAAAGTGCGCTTGCGTATTCTTGAGGTCCGGCGGAATGGTGGATATGAGTGCGAGGTTGACGGTTTGAATTCGGTGATTTTAGGCGGCTTGTGTGACAGAGGGTCAAACGGCGGCAGATTCGGAATGCTGGCGCTTCGGGTTCTCGATCTGAGCATGAGGGGAGGAAGCAGGACGCCAATCGGAAATCCGGCATATCGAGCACTGCCACTGGCCACGGCAGATCACGTGGATTGTTGATTGCGGCGATCCGACTGGCTCCGAAGATCGCTCATCTTTGCACTGGCACTTCTTCTCAGAGGGCTACTTCGCCGCTCGAGTTGCCGACTGCATTGAAGCTCGACGAATCAAACTGATTTCATCAATGCGGATATAATCCTGTATGTATCGTGGGTGAATTCCATCTGAACTCAGGCCAAGAAGTTTGCTAAGTTGATACTTCGACGGGGAATTCGGCAATTCTTCCGCATGCTCTGGTAACTGAGACTCCCAATCCAGCATTCGAACGGCTAAACTCACACTTTTTCATCATCTCCTCTTACTCAGCGGTTTCGATGCGGCGGGGACCCAGTACTTAACGCGACCGCGCAGGCAGGGATCGGAACCCACCAGTCGTCATCTGAATGTCTACGCCACCAAGTCCATTGAGAATCTCCATCGTCGGCGCCGGGATCGGAGGACTCTCCGCTGCCATTGCCTTTCGTCAGAATGGGCACATCACTGAGGTGTTCGAACGCTCGGAGACGGACGCCGAGCTCGGAGCAGCGCTAGGCGTGCAGGCGAATGCCATGCGTGTTTTGAACCAATTCGGGATAAACCGGGAGAGCTTGAAGCCGGCTTATCTTCGTGGGGTGAGAATCTCGACTGCTATCTCTGCTTACGACTGAGTCTCCTCATTAGCTCGTGGGGTTCAATCCCATCACTGGGGAGAGCCGGGAGCTTCGATTTGTGCCGGAAGATGCAGCTCCATCTCCAACTGACGTGAGTTGCCAACTTTCTCTGTGACGTTCCCCGCTGACAACGCAGACAGCATCTACTAGTCCATCGCAGTGACTTGCACGAGGAGCTCAAGCGAATTGCCCTGTCCCCAGATGGGAATGGGCCTCCCGTGCTTATTAGACTGGGCTGCAAAGTCGTCTCGTGTGAGCCCGAAGCAGGCGTCGTCGTCCTCGACTCGGGCGAGACGGTATCCGCGGATCTGGTCATCGGGGCAGATGGTCTGCAGGTTCGTGATATGTTTTCTGACACTTCATTCTGTCCTCCAACCTTTCGTCTAGTCGGTCATTCGGTCTCACGTCCTGGGCTATACCCAAGATGCGGAACCAACAGGCTACGCTTGCTGCCGCAGTGTTTTCGATGCCGCTCCGATGAAGGACGACCCTGACTTTGACTGGGTCACGAAGGGTGTTGCGGGTGTCCGGTCCGTACCGTGGAAAGGAGCACCATTTCGCATGATATTCTGCTATCCCTGTCGAAACGGGGAATTGCTCAACTGTGTCCACTTCTACCAGGAATCTGACGAAGACAAACAAAAACGTAGGGCTGAATATCTGCAGAACATATTCAGTCTTCAACCACTAAACGCACCACAGTTACGAGCCGCACAATCACTCCAGCTGAGGTCCTTCCTAAGTTTGCAGGCGCTGATCCGAAATTCCTCCGTCTGTTCGACTTGCCAAATCACAACGCCGAGCACTACCGGTGGCGGCTCCGCGCAATGCCCATTCTGCCCACCTGGTTCAACGGCCGCACCGCGATAATCGGCGACGCAGCCCATGCCATTCTACCTTTCATGGCCCAGGGAGCCGCGATGGCTATCGAGGACGGAGCAGTCCTCGCCGGACTCCTTCCCCTCGGGACCACGCGCGAGCAGATCCCCGCCCGGCTCGTCGCATGGCTGGATATCCGGAAACCGAGGGCAGACTTTGTGAACAGAACTTCTGTGGCTCAGATCCAGGCTATCATGGATGGAAACCAAGGCGCTGCGCATTGTACGTTCTATTTCAAGCCCAACGGGAAGGAGACATCTTGATTCTTTTCCGCAGCCGCAGAAGCACGTGAAGATCTCATGTCGTATGATGCCTTGCAGGCCGGGAAGGACGCTTATCAGAGACTGTTTGCTTGAATGGAGAGGGACAGACGGAGATAGTCCAATTGTCTCCAGCGTTTGAGTATTACTGCCATGGTCTCACCTTCCCAGACTATCAGATTTTGCATTTTATAACCCGTTTAAGTGACCGCTCTCAAGCAAGATTTCATATCGCAACTGAGCCTCGTCCTCAACCGCGGCTTGATATTCGGAAACCTGTTCGGATCCGTGGGAGTGAGTTAGAGCTGTTAAATGGACGCTTTGCGCCAGACTTTCCTTCCGCTATCTTTCCAACATGTCCCATGTGAGCAACATCGACCGGCCAGAACGTTTGAGCTGCCCGCAGGACTGCGACAGCCGTCGCCTAGTACTTAAGCCACCACCCGTTCGCTTGCATTTCCTCATTGTGGGATGTGGATTGGGCGGCCTTGCTGCAGCTTACTGTCTCGGCCGCGCGGGACATTCGGTATCGGTGTTCGAGAGCGCCACACGGCTCCAGCAAGTCGGAGCTGGAATCCAGGTATTTGGGCTTCACCTTCGCATCCAGCCCCAGAGCTGATGTCGCTGCTTGCAGATTAGTCCCAACTCCAGTCGGCTGCTCATTCGATGGGGATTGGGCGAGGAGCTGAGGAAGGCTTCCGTCAAGCCTGAATCGATCACTTTCCGACGCTGTCCGAGTCTCATTGTTAGAATGAGGATATATTCGCTGACAAAACTCCATCAGACAACAGCGGCGAGCGTATTGGATACACGAGATGGGGAGACACGATGGACAGTAACTATGGCGCTCCGTACTATCACATCCACGTCAGTCACAATCTGTTCGCGCCCCGCGCTTACGTCAGTCGCTCACAGCCCACCGCATCAGCGCGCGGACTTGCTCGACATGCTCTTCAAGCTCGCGGCCCCGCACATGACGCTCTTCACGAACAGCCGCGTCGTTGCGGTCGATCCCGCGCAAGGCCAGATCAAGCTCCAGTCCGGCGAGACGGTCCGCGGCGACGTGGTGCTCGGCGCGGACGGCCTGAAGAGCATGGTGCGCGAGGTCATCGTCGGGCGCCCGGACAAGCCGCTCCCCACCGGCGACGCAGCCTACCGGGTGGTGATCCCGACAGCCAGAATGATGGCGGATCCCGATTTGGCATCATTGGTTGAGTATCCGGAGATGACCGGCTGGCTCGGGCCCGGCCGGCATATCATGGCCTACTGCATTGTACGCCGCCTGCGGGCTTGCCCTGAATGGCTCTCGCTCATTCATTTTTCGTTCCGTAGCGCGCCAAGCGGGAGTTCAATCTTGTTCTAATCCATCCCGCAGATGACGAACATGGCATGGAGGCGTACGACATGCCGGGGTCTGTCAGGAACATGAGGGCCGAGTACGCGGGATGGGATCCTCGGTCTGTTTGCGCGTTCTCGCATGTAAATGGCGTATTGAGCTCCATTCAGCGTCCAGAAACTGCTGGAACTTGTCTCTGACGCTTTGATCTGGCCCTTATTCGATCGCGATCCTTTAGAAACTTGGGTTCATTCCGAGGGCAACGTAGTGCTATTGGGAGATGCCTGTCATCCAATGCTTGTCCGTAATCGTTCTTTATGTGCTAATACCGTGATACTCATCCTTCTCCAGCCTTACCGCGCGCAAGGCTCTGCCATGGCGGTGCGACAAGCTTTCGAACCTTTTGCAGCCCATGTTCAAACATTCACAGATAGAAGATGCTGCAGTTCTCGGCGTACTGTTTGCTGGAGTCCGCTCGAGGGAGGACATCCCGGCCCTTTTGAAAGGTTACCAAGACCTCCGCCACTCGCGAACGACAGACACTCAGCTCGCCTCGCGGTGGAATCAGAAGCTATTCCACCTTGCGGACGGTCTAGAGCAAGAGGCGCGGGACAGATCCATGAAGCAGAGTCTGCATGGAGCAAGAATGAACGCAGCCCGAGAAGACTCGCAAATGGACGTGGGACATTCAGTGGGTAACGCAAACGTCTGGGCTGACAGGGAGAAGAGCGAGGTCCAATTCAGCTATGATGCCGAGAGCGCGGCAGAGCGTTGGCTGGAGCTCAGAGAAGCAAAGATGGCTCAGAACTAACTTTTAAACGTTGATCTGAGTTGGATGCACGGATGATAGACTTAGACAGAATGTAACAAGATGATCTGACTTGGATTTGGACTGAGGACAACGTGCGACCCAGAATCCCAGTCTGAACTGAGCCCATTCACCCAAAGCCAAGCACACCAGAAGGCCCAGACCTTAGAATGCTCTGCCATGATCAGATAGAGAACGCTACTCAGACATGAGAACAATAGGCATGGACAACCCCGATGATGAATCCGGCAAATCTGGGAGCGTTCCGGTCCAGCGGATGGAAAAAGTGAGCAAGCTGAAGAATAATCTCCTGCTTACTTATCACCTTATGGTCTTCATTCCTACAGGTTCTAAAAATACATCAGTTTTTCACTTTATGCCCCATTTGAGTCTTTCTTCCTAAACGTCCCATAAGTATATGAAAATACACACCTGATCCAATAGTGCCATTCGAAGAAGGCACGCAATGAGTAAGTGATCATCATATTGCATGTCTTCTTCGAATGACACTATTGAATCAGGTGTGTATTTTTAAATACTTATGGGATGTCGAGTCGGTAGTGATAGCTTCCTGTCTTTCTTCATACACAGGGTCATTCTTCACAGAATATGTGCCCTCCTGCAAGTGACAGAGGTCAAAACAAAGCAAACAGCGATGAGAACAGGACATGTGAAAGCCCAATTTCTCCAAATGACAAATATTTCATAATCATCTCGAGCCGCCTCGACACAAACTTGTGGCGCCTCGGTGAATTTGAAATCACATCCGCTTGACCTCGCGTGAATTCAGCTTGAAGCAACACTGAGAGTAGCCGTGATCCGCTTTGAAACGGATCGCCAAGGGTTGATACCCGATCAGGCCGTGTGCCGATTTTCCGCAAACTACTCATTTCTTCCACCTTCATTTCACTGTTTTCTTGCCTCGCTTGTGCTTCCGACTGCAATCTTAGCTGTCGTAAATTGGATTCACCTTTTCGCGCGATGGACATAAACTGGGATCATCTTAAGGACTTTCCTTTCTGACTCAAGTAGAGAAGGTGACACTCGACGGTCATTCGAAGAACTCAGGTCTTCTGGTTGTCTTCTGTGCACTGGTGACCTTGCTTCGCTTCGACATCTCGACGGGTAAACGCAGAATCTACATAAAAACACTTACTCAGCCGTGCCGATGCGCCGGGGATCTGGTACTTAACGTGCCCACGGACCCAGAGGTTAGAGCCACAAGCAGACTCTCGAATGTCCTCTACACCCAGTCCACTGAAGGTTACGATCGTCGGCGGCGGCGTTGGCGGACTCTCCGCCGCTGTCGCTCTGCGTCAGAATGGGCACATCGTCCAGGTGTTTGAGCGTTTGGAGTCGGACATCGAACTCGGGGCAGCGCTGAGCTTGCAGGAGAACGCCATGCGTGTTTTGCGCAAAATCGGAGTCAACCGGGAGAGCCTGAGACCGGTTTATGCTCGCGGGGTAGGAATTTGTGGCTTTCATCTTGCACTCGCTCATCTACTATACAGCTTGTGGGCTTCAATGCCATCACTGGAGAAAGCAGAGAGCTACTGCTCGTACCGAAGGATGCAGCACCAGGACCGACTGACGTCTGTAGCAAAGTTATCCTGTAACGTGCTCCATTGACAGCACTCCCAGATCGCACTCGTCCACCGCAGTGACCTGCACGAAGAACTCAAGCGAATTGCCCTTGCTCCAGACGGAAACGGGCCTCCCGTGCTCATCAAACTGGGCTGCAAAGTCGTCTCGTGTGAGCCCGAAGCAGGCGTCGTCCTCCTCGACTCGGGCGAAACGATATCCGCAGATCTGGTCATCGGGGCAGATGGTCTGCAAGTTCGTGAAATATTTTCTGACACTTCATTCTGTCCTTCAACCTTTGTTCTAGTCTGTCATTCGGTCTCACGTCCTTGGTTATGTCCAAGACGCGGAGCCCACCGGATACGCTTGCTGCCGGAGTGTTTTCGATGCCGCTCCAATGAAGGACAACCCTGATTTTGACTGGATCACCAAGGGTGTTCCCGGGGCACGAGCCGTGCCGTGGAAGGGAGCACCGTTCCGCATGATATTCTGTTATCTCTGCCGGAACGGGGAGCTGCTCAATTGTGCCCACTTTTTCCAGGAATCTGACGAAGACAAGCAAAATCGTAAGCAAGAGCCGTGCCAATGGAGAACATGTTCAGTATTCAATCACTGACCACACCGCAGTTACGAGCCGCACCATCACTCCCGCTGAGGTCCTCCCCAAGTTCGCCGGCGCTGATCCGAAATTCCTCCGTCTGTTCGACCTGCCCAATCACAACGGTGAACACTACCGGTGGCGGCTCCGCGCCATGCCCGTTCTCCCCACCTGGTTCAACGGCCGCACAGCCATTCTCGGCGATGCGGCCCACGCCATGGTCCCTTTTATGGCCCAGGGCGCCGCGATGGCCATCGAGGACGGAGCGGTGCTTGCCGGCCTCCTTCCTCTCGGGACCACACCCGAGCAAATTCCAGCCCGGCTGGCTGCGTGGCTGGATATCCGGAAGCCCAGGGCGGAATTGATGAGCAAGACTTCGTTTGCGCAGATCCAAGCCACCATAGATGGCAATCACGCCAGTGTGCATTGTGCGTTCTGTTTCAAACCCAACTTGAAGGAGATCTTGACTGGTTTTTCGCAGTTGAAGAGGCACGTGTGAATCTCATGTCGTATGATGCGCTCCAGACCGGGAAGGACGCTTATCAGAAATTGTTTGCCTGAATGGAGGAATAGATTTGGGAAGTTCAATTGCCTTCGCTTTCAGTCTCAAACTTTGCGATCGTCTTCTCAGTTGATGATTGCTTAACTACAAAATGAATATCCGTTGTTTCCTAAGCAGTCTGCAAGCTTTCACGGAAATGAATCTATCTGTCTTTTTCGTGCCGCAGCAACTTGGAAAACATACGAGCCTACGGCCATAGCACATAGACTCCGAATTTGAACTTTGTCCGATCTGGCGGACTGTCTCGTGCGACCCTGTTCCCCGGGTGCGTTTCCTGTCATTATCTTGTCAGGCGACGGCATGTTTCTTGAAATAGGTCCGCTCAATTCTCGCCTCCAACTTTCGCTTCAAGTTAGCCTCCAACTTTGCGATCACTATCGTGACATCATCTGATGATCCGCTCGGCAGGAAATTCAAGCCGATTGGACAGTTGTTCCCATTCTATCTTTTTTCTTCGGTTCTACAGCAGCTTTGAGATTGCTCGTCCTAGTTCAAGATTGACTTGAGGTATGTGGTGTTGAAAATCTGGGACGTCGATTTTCAAGCTGAGTGAGAGGTGAGCAGACCTGTTAGCATCCGATTGGGATGATTGACTGCTTACGTCCCACCATCATCCTGCCTCGGGCTCTTTCATTGCTCTCGCTTCTCAAGTGTGGCCCGCGCCCATCTCCCCATTGAATCATTCCACACGTCCCCGACTGCGTTTCCAGGGGTCACATGCTGGCATCGAATTACCACGCCGCGGGCGGGCCGGGAGTTCGAACCTTTCCGCGGTCGCTTCGGACCGCCGAGTGCATTGTGCTATAAAAGACTGCTATCGGTTACATTGAGCGCTCTCCCCATAGAAAAATGCAGCTCTCCGGTTCCCTCCTCAAGTGTCTGGGTCTGCTCTCTCTGGCAGCCGGTGCGCTCGCCACCGGCGAAAGGTCGGAGGAACTGAAGGGGAAGTGCACGCTCAAGGCGTCTGGAGGGGACGACGCCCCGCAGTTCCTGAAGGCCGTCCAGTCGTGCTCGGAGGTCATCATCCCGAAGGCGACGACGCTCAATATCGCGACGCGCCTTAACATGACGGGGTTGTCGGACAAACACATCGTGCGTGGATAATCGCGTGTCTGCGCGGTCAGTTGTCCGACGCTTACGTCGCTTGTGCAGAGAGTGAAAGGGACGATACGATTTAGTCCGGACATCCCGTACTGGAGCACCGTACGTCGTTTCTTCATTGGCCAGCAGCCCATTTCTCTGCCGATGTCAACCATCATCACATGACAGAACGGCTTCCCATTCGCCTTCCAAACTCAGATCACTTTCTGGATTCTCGGCGGAGAAAACATCATTCTCGACGGGGGAGGAACGATCGACGGTGCCGGTCAGGTGCGGACCTATCATGTCGAATCACCCGAAGCCGAAGCCGTGGGCTGATCTCGAGGCAGCCGTGGTACGACGCATTCGCGCTGAACAAGACTTTGGCGCGGCCGATCATGCTCACGATCTTCGAAGCCAAGAATGTGCTCGTCGAAGACATCAAGATGATCGACTCGCCCGAGTGGTTCCACTTCCTCAGCAACGGGCAGAACGTCACCTACAACAAGCTGAATATCAGTGCCGTGAACGCTGCCGGCACGGAGGCCAAGAACACCGATGGGTGGGATATCTACCGCTCTTCTGACGGCGAGTTGCTCCGCGTTATGCCTATCGTGTCCTCACGGAGCCTTCCAGTTGTCATTAAAAACTCCGTCATCAACAACGGAGACGATTGTGTTTCGTTGAAGGTGAGTTTCAGGATATGTTTTTTTTTGATATCACACTGAATCACAACAGCCAAGTCAGATTATTCGTGTCCTCGGACGCATCTTTCTCAACTTTCACAGATGTCACGAATGTCCTCGTCTCGAATTTGAAGTGCAACGGAAGCCAGTACGTGTGCCATCCTCTCCCACGTTCTGTCTGTTGACCTTTGTGACAAGTGGCATATCTATGGGGTAATGCATTGATCCTGATAAGACGAACCTTGGCTGATCAAGTCAGGTCGCTGGGACAGTACCCGGGCATCTTCGACTATATCGAGAACGTGGTAGCCACGTGAGAACGTCCGATAGCGAAGGCACCCGGTGTTCGTCTGATGATTCTGCAGCGACGTTGTGATGTCTAACGCTCAGAACGGCGCCCGTATCAAGGCCTTTGCCGGGCCGAACGTGGGCAGCGGCATCGTCCGCAATATCACGTTCGCGCATTTCACGGAATCGCTGGTGGACAACCCGGTTGTCGTTGACCAGGTGAGTCGAGTGCTGTTGGTGCAGAAAGAAAAATCGAATTTAATGCTTTTCAAGTGCTATATGACAAACGCGACGGCTGTGGGTGTCCCCTGTTCAGGTCTTGTACGCATCTTGACGGATAATCTTCTAGTGTGCTGCATTCCCTTCGAACGTGATAATTGAGGATGTGTGGTTCAACAAGTGCGCACACACCACCATTTTTTTCACCAGATTCCTGATCTTCTCCAGTATCTCGGGCACTGGGAGCGGTTCCTTGGTTGCCAGCATCGGCTGTTCTCCGGGCAACCGCTGCTCCGACATCAACGTCAACAACTTCACACTCAGGTATGAGGATGAGTAAATCCCGTGCTCGGGTGCTTGATGCTCACTTTTATTTCTCAAGCGCCGCGCCAGGGCACGGATCCGCAGTGTACCAGTGCCAGAACACGAATCTGACGGGCAATGCCGTGGAGCTGTTCCCGACATGTACCGTGACGTAGACTCTAATAATTTTATTTATGACAAAATAACGGAATAGAGTATGTGATGTTCGATCGATATTCGGGCTACAGGCTCTGTCGAACAGACTTCTACTGCGGTGCAGGTCTTGCCGTCCTTGCCTTGTTTCGGCCGTCATTCGGCAGGTCTGTGTTGGCCCAAAATCCTGGTTGTGATGCTTGACATCAATGAAGGACAAACAGTGTCCCGCTTGAGGAAGATTGCCGGAACTCGAACCTTTGACCTCGCTGTCGTCCACAATAACAACTTTGCAGCCGATGCAGAAAGTCGTAAGTATTAGAGTGAGGGTCACGTGCCCAGAGCATAGCAATACATGCATACATAGACGTCATAGATTAATCTACCCTACGACGACGAGCCGGACCACTCCAGTATGTATGACTACTACATTTGTCTAATCACTGACACTGAAAGCAACATACCGTCGTCGTCGAGAGCGTGACTTGAATTCTGCTGGAGTTCAGCTGGATCAGCTCTGCGGAGTAACGCGGCAAATTCTGGATGCCCATCAGGCCTTAGATTGATTGTAGCGGTCAGACCGATTCCCAAGACTGCTCATTGCTTATACCGCCATCTTACCTCAGGCTGTTTCTCTCCCCACTTGTGTTGCTGCCTGCGTTTGAAGCCTCATCACCCAGATTGACATGTTCGCCAGGGATGTTGATTTGTATCGTCGGCCCTAGCCTTCTCAACTCAATCAAACGGACGGTGACACTCTTCTGTGCTCTGCTGACCTTGCTTCCCTTCGACAGCTCACCGGGTAAACGCACAAGCTACATCATTAAGACTTACTCAGCGGGATATATGTGGCCGGGTCCCCGATACTTAACTGCGCACATGGCAGGAGTTCAAGCTCACAAGGTGACATCCAAATGTCCTCCACACAAAATCCACTGAAGATTACGATTGTCGGGGCCGGAATCGGTGGGCTCTCCGCTGCTATCGCCCTGCGTCACAGCGGGCATGTCACACAGGTTTTCGAACGTTTGGAGGCGGACATCGAGCTCGGGGCAGCGCTAAGCGTGCAAGAGAATGCGATGCGTGTTCTGAACCGATTTGGGATCAACCCCGAGAACATGAAGCCCGTCTATGCTCGCGGGGTGGGAACTTCTGCCCCCGTCCTGCTCCCACTCATCTTCTAATCAGCTTGTGGGTTTCAATCCTATCACTGGAGAGAGCAGGGAGGTTTTGCTTGTGCCGCAGGATGCAGCACCAGCTCCAACTGATGTCTGATGCATATTCGTTCTTTCACGTGCTCCGCTGACAGCACTGGCAGACTCTACTCGTCCACCGCAGCGACTTGCACGAGGAACTCAAACGGGTTGCACTGTCTCCAGACGGCAATGGTCCTCCCGTGCATATCAGACTGGGCTGCAAGGTCGTCTCGTGTGAGCCGGAAGCCGGCATCGTCGTCCTCGACTCGGGAGAGACGATTGCCGCGGACCTGGTCATCGGGGCAGATGGTCTGCAGGCTCGTGATATGTTCACTGATACTTCATTCTTCGTCCAACCTTCGTCTAGTCGGTCATTCGATCACACGTCCTGGGGCACCCTCAGGATGCGGAGCCAACAGGTCTATCTTGCTGTCGCAGCGTATTCAAGGCTGCTTCAATGAAAAACAGACTTTACATACCGGCTTGGGAGAGTGGCTTGTGATGGCTTGTAGCGGCTGTCGGAGTTTGAATTTGGCTGACGGGGCTTGGCTTGCGTGATGCGGGCTTGGGCGTGGCTTGTGAGTAATTTCTCCTCCTGATTGACATCGTCCCCGACGTTCCCGACGCTTTGGGTCTCCCACCGAAGTTAGGTTTATTTTACTAGGTACCATTTATGTAATCAAGTACTTCCCGACACTATTTGAGCTACGGAACGTTTGGCACTGATTCAGCTCTCGTTCAAGCCGGGGGTAATGACAAGCATCAGAAATTGGTTCTACTGAATGAGTTGCGCCGTCGTCTCATGACTGTAATAGATGTATTCATCTAACAATATCCTATTTCTGTGAGGTCCCCCTGATCTGGCGCGTTGTCGGCGCCACAGCTGGCCTGTTCCTCCTGAAGTTCTTGTTCTTCGGCCTCGACTGTGGCCGCGGACCCTGCTGGAGCTCATCGTCATGCTCCCTCGCTCGTTTGGGCGTGATTGCGATCCCCGCGTTCGTGGGTACCGCTCCTCCAACCCGGCGATAAGGACGAAACTAGATGCTACGATCATAAACACAGTGTTGACGACGAAACTCGATTCGGTCCCCGAGAGGATCCCCACGCTTGCCGTCAACAGCGTCGTTGTTCAACACACGCATGACGTGGTGAATCTTCTCGATATGCGTGGCTATAAAAGTCCGCGCCTAGCAGTAGCCCACAGACATGTCACATTGTAGTTGCCTATTAGAAAAAAATTACAATGGACTCTCCGGACAATAAGGAACTTCGTATGTAGAGTTTAGAGTTCGAGATCAGTCGGAAGTCATCAAACAAGAGTTCTGGTGAGAACAGCGGGCCAGGAATTATACAGATGATCCTAACATGCACATAGGTTGCTCCCCGCCACTAGATAACTGTGAGATATGCCCCGTTTCCCATTGATATGAAGATCGATTCGACTATTTGTGAGCGGACGCAAGCCAAAATGTTGGCTTGGCAAGCCAACATTTTGGCTTGCAAGCCCTGATGGCATCATTTTACAGCCAAATCCACGCCCAAGCCAAAAAAAGCCATTCTGCGCCGGTACAAGCCACTTGGCCAAGCCGAAAACGTCACTCTCCAATGAAAAATAACCCTGACTTCGACTGGATCACGAAGGGCATATCAGGTGTTCGGGCCGTGCCGTGGAAGGGGGAACCGTTTCGCATGATATTCTGCTATCTCTGCCGAAACGGGGAATTGCTCAACTGCGTCCACTTCTACCAGGAATCCGAGGAAGAGAAACAAAATCGTGAGCAGCAGATCTACAGAACATATCCAGTGCTGAACCACTGACCGCACCACAGTTACGAGCCGCACGATCACTCCCGCTGAAGTCCTCCCCAAATTCACAGGCGCCGATCCGAAATTCCTTCGTCTGTTCGACCTGCCGAACTACAACGCCGAACACTACCGGTGGCGGCTCCGCACAATGCCCGTCCTCTCCACCTGGATCAACGGTCGCACGGCGATTCTCGGTGACGCAGCCCACGCCATGCCGCCTTTCATGGCCCAAGGAGCCGCGATGGCCATCGAAGACGTTGGGGTCCTTGCCGGCCTCATTCCTCTCGGGACCACGCGCGAGCAGATCCCCGCCCGACTGGCTGCGTGGCTCGATATCCGGAAACCCAGGGCAGACTGGATGAACAGGACTTCGGTTGCGCAGATTCAGGCGATCATAGATGGAAATCAGGGCGGTGCGCATTGTACGTTTTTCGGTTCAGTCAGACCTGAAAAAGATCTTGACTACCTCTCAAAGCGGTAGAGGCACGTGAAAAGATTGTTTCTTATGATGCGCTCCAGGCTGGGAAGGACGCTTATCAGAAATTGTTTGTCTGACTCAAGGGATAGACCGGGACAGTTCAACTGCCTTCGCTCGAAGCTCTCACATTCTGCGATCACTCCATCAGTGGATGATTGTTTAAATTCGAAATGAATATCGGTTGTCCCCTGAACAATCTGCGAGCTTGCATTAGAATGAATCTATCTGTTTTTTCTATGCCGCAGCAAGTCGACAAATTATTGTGCTCGGCCGAAGTGAGTGTTGCCGCGGTTCCGTTCGGTCCGGCTTTTGAACAAAATTTCCGAACCTTGAACTGGACCTTAACTTGGGTTCGACGCTTTGGCCGCACCTAAACTTGACCAGCAGTTCGGTCCATAGCGGTTCGGTTCTGGCTCCACAGGTTCGGCTCTGGTTCAAACCGGTTCGAACCTGGATTTTTTAGATCTCATGAGCTATTCTAATCTTGTCGTATTTTTGTTCCTACTTGAGACTGTGTTTATTATCTGCCAAAATATGAAATTCTTGAGGCTGTATGGATTTTAGAAATTGTTATGAGCCTGCTCCGACCCAGACTCAAAGTGAACCGGAGCTCGCCCAGTAAGAAATATGACTAAAAGAAGTTGTGCGGAATATGTTTTCTTTGATATCACACTGAATCACAATAGCCCAGTCAGATTATTCATGTTCTCAGATGATTGTTTCCCAACTTTCACGGATGTCACGAACGTCCTCGTCTCAGATTTGAAGTTCAATTGTGGAAGCCAGTAGTAAGTACATGTGCTACCATCTCCCACGTCAGAGTCTTGACCTTTGTGAAATGTGGCATACATGTATTTACGAAAAAATAACAGAAGACGTGATGTTCTATCGATCTTCAAGCTTAGGCTATAGGCTCTAAACTCGAACAGGACATCTAATGCGGTGCCGCTGGTGAGTGTGACGTGAGAGGGAATACGTGATGACCCAAGTCAGCTGACACTCACGTGCAAAGTGTCGGCTCGTATCCGTCAATTGCTACCAGTGACTGCTTGTCACCGCTGACGGAGCATTCTACAATGGCACACGCCTGTACTCACTGCGGCCATTCTATACTCGACGCGACACCCGTCCCGCCCTCCCCATGCCCTGAATTTATCCAATCTGGCATCCCCTCCTCCGATTTCCAGACTGAAGCGATTCGGGACGCCATCTCCTCCGCAGCCGCGAGTGCACTCGCCATCGAAGCCGAGATCGAGCGCACAAAGCTGTACCTCTCCGATCTCTCCGCGCGGCACGCTGCGCTCAAGTCGTTCGCGCACCAACACCGGTCGATCATCTCCCCGTTCCGCCAACTGCCCATCGAGATCCTCGGCGAAATATTCGTTGCGCTCGCGCCGACGACGTTTTCCGGCCCGCTGCGCTCCGACCCGAAGTGGCTGCTCACGCGCGTGTCCCGGCGGTGGCGAGACGCGGCCGTCGGCACGCCGAAGCTGTGGGCGCGCATACACCTGTCGTATGGCAGTCCCGCGTTCACGAGCGCCGCGTGCTTCGAGCTGCTGCTGACGCAGCAGCTGCGGTGGTCGGGGCAGCACCCCCTCGACCTCCGTTGGACGGAGACGAGCCAGTTCCCGCCGGATCTGCGGCAGTTTGTGCTGAAGCTGCTGTTCTCGGCTGCGGACAGATGGGAGCGCGCGGATTTGACGGTCTTGTCCGAGGATCTGCGGATGTGGAGCGGCGTCGAGGACATGTCATTTCCGCGGCTCCGGACTCTGAAGCTGGAGACGGAGACGTACGAGGAGTTCGCGGAAAGCCTGTTCGTCAGGTGTCCGGCCCTGGAGCAGCTCGAGTTCCCGGCCGCACTGTTCCCGGCCCTCGCGCGCATACCGTGGCACCGCCTCAGAAAGTGCACTTTGCACCACTTCAACGCGAACGGCCTGTCCGAGGTCATCCGACGGGCGACGAATCTGCTAGAATTGCAGGTCGATGGCACCGCTCGGGATCCCGACACTTTGGGCCCGACTTCCATGGTCGTCTCCCAGACACTCACGTCATTCTCCATGACATCGGTCTTCTGGCGTGCGCAGCCGCAGAACATGCTGGATTCCTTTTCCGCTCCATCACTTGAGAGACTTACGCTATGGGACAGCACGCCAGGCGATGCGCTGTGCGGATTCTTACTCAGGTCCCAGTGTCCTCTCAAATACCTCACCCTCTATGGTCTGGAGATCCCTATGGACTTCATCCTGGACATTCTCGCGTGCGTTCCGACGCTGGAGCACTTGTGCATCAGTGACGAGATCCTCGACATCACCGAATCCGACATGGAGTCTCTCGCTTACGATCCGGATTCGACCACGTGCGGACTCTTACCCAATCTGGAGTCGCTGTCGCTCTCGGGAGTGTTCCTGTGTCCCGAGTTCTATCTGAACGACATGCTCCGAAGCAGGTGTGGGAAGCTGCGCTCCGTGAAGCTCTATCCCAGCTTCGGGTCCACCCTCAATCTCCTCTCGCAGGAGACGTTGGTCGATGGTATAAAGCTGTCGTGGATTCAAGAATTGACGCCCTGGTGATCGTACTGGCTGTAATCGCAAACAAACAGAGTGAACTTGAATAAGCTATCGTCCGGCCATGCCTGCCGTTCTCAGAATCGTGATGATCAGCTACGTCACGGTGCATGTCGGGAAGAGCCCCGCCGCATTCCCGTTCAGATGCGTGTTTTGGCACTGGTATACAGCGGATCCTTGCCCTGGTGCGGCACTAGTGTTCAGGCACGTGAGCATCAAAGCCAGAAGCAAGAGGCTATCAGAATGGCGACGGACCTGAGTGTGAAGTTGTTGACGTTGATGTCAGAGCAGCGGCTGCCGGGAGAGCAGGCTATTTTGGCGACCAAGGAGCCACTGCCGGTCCCAGAGATACTGGAAAGCAATCAGAGGTCTGTTTGCAAGACAGGAGCTTTGGCTCACTTGTTGAACCAGACATCCTGGATGAGAACATTGGATGGAAACGCAGCGCACTGTAACACGGTGAGGAGGAAGTTTTCTTGAGATTCCGAATGCACTCACAGCGGTCGCGTTTGTCATATAACACTGCAGAGCGGTCATCATGTTGAAATGGGATGTCAATGTGGAATTTGACTGACCTGATCGACAACGACGGGGTTATTCACGAGCGACTCGGAGAAATGGTTGAACGTGATGTTGCGGACGATGCCGCTGCCCACGTTCGGCCCCGCAAATGCTTTGATGCGCGCGCCGTTTTGACCGTTCGACATCACAACGTCGCTGCAAACGGCCGTGGCGTGAGTGATACAATAAGAAATCCGGGACTCGAGGTGATGCTTACGTCGCTACGAAGTTCTCAATAAAGTCGAAGACGCCTGGATACTGCCCCAGCGACCTGCGTTCATCAGCACGAGACATGAATGTGGCAGGCGCTTGCAGGCATTACCCGATGGATATTCCACTACCAAAGTGTTGAGAGACAGAAAAGTAGGAAGGAATGGCACACGCACTGGCTTCCGTTGCACTTCAGATTCGAAACAAGGACGTTCGTGACATCTGAGAGATTCAAGAAACGAGCGCGAGACGAAAAGCATTTGACCGCTTACTTGGCTGTTGAGATTCGAATCAATACTCAGTCTCGCACAAAAACAATTAGAAAACAGACCTTCAACGAGACACAGTCATCTCCGTTATTGATGATGGAGTTCTTGATAGTCACTGGAATGCTCGGTGAGCGGAAGATAGCCACGATGCTGAGCGGCTCACCATCAGACGAGCGGTAGATATCCCATCCGTCAGTGTTCTTGGCCTCCGTGCCAAGCGCATTCACGGCGCTGATATTGAGCTTGTTGTACGTGACGTCCTGCGCGTTGTTGACGAAGTGGAACCACTCGGGGGAGTTGATCATCTTGAGGTCCTCGATTACGACGTGCTTGGCGCCGAAGATCGTCAGCATGATAGGTCGAGCCAAGGTCTTGTTGGTCGCAAATGCGTTGTACCAAGGCTGGCTGGGATTAGTCAACGCCTTCGGATGAATTCGCAAGTCCGCACCTGACCGGCCCCGTCGATCGTCCCGCCACCGTCGATGCGAATGTTCTCTCCGCCAAGGATCCAAAAGGTGATCTGGGTCTGGTACGCGAATGGAAAGGCGTTCTGATGGCATGCCAATGTCAGCAGATGGGTAGCTTGGCCTTGGGAGAACGACATACGTTGCTCCAGTACGGGATGTCTGGATTGAATCGTATCGTGCCTTTCACTCGCTATGCCAGAATGTGAGGACGCTCACTCAACTCGTTAGAGAATAGAACGCACGATGTGTTTATTCGACACCCCCGTCATGTTGAGGCGCGTCGCGATGTTCAGCGTCGCCGACTTGGGAATGATGACCTCCGAGCACGAGTGCACCGCCTTCAGGAACTGCGGGGCATCGTCTCCCCCCGACGCCTTCAGCGTGCACTTGCCTTTCAGCTCCTCCACCTCCTCCCCCTTCTCCCCGCGCGCACGCGCACCGGCGCCCAGGGCAAGCACAAACAAGCACAGATTCAGGAGGAGTTGCATCGTGGCTGACCCGGCCAAGCGTCGCCCTCCCGCCTCTTGTACCAAAATATTCCCTGGCGGTCCGGCTGCATTTTGCGTTATAGGTCCCAGAAGGTCACACGGTGCTCGCCACATCAGCGCCGGGCCGCGCGTAGCGGTGGACCAATTGCAATATGTCGACGTTGAGCGAGCATGTGATGCTGACAACACGCTGCGCGATGGTTTGAGCTTTGAAGCGAGACTCAGGAGTCGGGTTTCGGCAGATCAAAATGGGCGCGGATCATATGGCACGTCAACTAAAGATAGTTTCGGAGTTTGTTGACGTTTTGGGGAATGTTTCCCCGCAGAGGAGGGTGTCCGTCGTTCGAATCAGGCTGAGGCCATCCTTTGTTCGCTCCGGGGCCTGGGCTTTGTGCAGGCGAGCAGTGCAGGCAGCTCTCCCTTGTGCCGATTCGCAGACATAAGCTACCCTTACCTGAGTGAGTGAGAGCGGTTAAACCATTCGGGTTTTCTACAAAGGCTCAAATCTTCGCCGTATTTAGCTCCAAATGAGGCGAGTTCCCTAATTTTGACAGCGGAAGCTCATGTCTATGACTTGGCCTACAACTACTTAAGAGTAAGTCAAACGTAGTTCAAATCCACATGGTGATCATCGCCCCGACTCAAGTTTGGAACGATAGTGGTTTCGTGCAGAGAATCCATGCTCTCGGCTCCGAGTTGGCTTACGTGCATGAGATCTACGGCAACAAATCTGAACATGAGAGAATATCTCCGGATGTCCATCCAACAATCCCATTTTGGTATGAAACTTGTTTCGGTTGTCAGGATGCCTAGGCTCTGAAACAGGTCAACGAGGCTAATTCGAGTACTATACTGAAGAATAGCATTCGCTTTTCTAGATGGTCGAGCTATTTACTGCAATCTTGATTTCAATGAATTAAACTTCCAATCGGGACCGAACTTGATTGGGACCTGAGTTTCATCAAATGTTTTGGAACGTTCATTTGCAACTCGGGCTGATGTAATTTCCAAAGAAAATCAAGGATACTCTGGTAAGCTGTCGTCTAAAAGCGCATGACTGCCTCTGATGTTCATAAATGACCACTGCAGAGGGCGATGAGGAAGTGAATAAGACACAACGCCAATGTACTCACGTATCCCACCGCCGGCTCCGCACGCATCGTATTCACATCCGTCATGCTGATCTCAAAATAAAAGGGCCGCAGTCCTGCTTGCTCCAGCCTCTCGAACCAGGCTCCGAAATCGCCCACCGTCGTCATATCTGGATATCTCAATACCATCCCAAAATATATATGCAAGTGAGTGGTGCACCTTTCGTCCAACCGACGTGGACCTCGACCAGCAACTGGCCAAACGGCAGCGGCTGATCGCCCCACTCTGCCAGGATCGAGGGAAGTGCGGCGAACTCGCCACCCTCAAGATCAACCTGGAACTTCTTCAGCTTTGTCAGATAGATGGTTGGCCTCGTGAACCTTGAGAATGTCAATGAATTTGTGTCCGAGCTGTTTCATGACGCTGCGTAGTGAGCGACCCTTGTCGCCGATCCCGAAATTGTGCACATGCAGTCGCGAGTCGATTCGGTGCTTTTCTTGGCCCCATGGCCAATCAGGCGCCGTGCCCTGCGAGCTCACATCGAATCCTAGCCAAGGTCAATCGTCTCGGATTCTGCAGAGCCACGACGGACTTACCGAACACCTGGCACTTGGAAGACCTCTCGAGAATGTCCTGTTCGAATGAGGAGTAGGATTGCGTGTTGTTGTTGAGCGAGTAGACGATGCAGCGGGGGTTGTTACTGATGATACGCTCGAGGCCGCAGACCCACTTCCCGCCATCGGCGAGTGTGCCTGCAGGGTCGGTCTTTGGTCTCACACTCTGGGAATGCAGTCATGGAACATAACGCACCGACACGGTACATCGGAAAGGGACACGAAAAAGCGGGGATGTAAAAGTCCCACAGGACGTAGAACTAGGAGCGCCATTCCGTCAATATGCATAACGCGGTCTGGAGATATTGCGTTTACCTGGGTCTGTTTGGAAGGGAATCTGAACGCATTGACGTATGAGCGAGGCTCTCCAAATGCTGTGACTGAGCGGGGAGAACTCACGAGGCGATCTGTCTTCCTCCAACCCATTTAATGAGGTTCTCTCTGTTCACGATCATCCTCTGATATTCCCGCTCGTTGCTGCCGAGCGTGCGCGCCAAACGCGACCCGCCAAAAGCCTCGTGAAGATGCGAGCTATTCACGCTGGGAGAGATTGAATAGTCATAATACTGCGGCGTGCGCGAGCTCAAGTGGGGACTGAGGTCGTGTGCGAGGAGGACGAAGGCGAAGAGGATGAGGAAGGCAGCGGCGACCTTGGGGAGCGGAAACTGGCTGAAGACACCCACACTTGGGCGCTGCAGAGGAGTGAAGTGAACCATGGCTCAAGGGTGTGTGCAGGAGAGTTGTGAAGATGTCATCTCATAGAGAGGGCTGTCTCGATAAGTAAAGCCCGTTACTGAATGTGGAAAGAGGTGACGGAGTGTCAATCAATGATCACGTGTATGCTTTTCGCGTCAGAAGCGACTCGTAAGCAACAACAATTGGGTGTAATTTCATACCCTGACCACGACGACCGAACGTGTGCGGACGATGGACGGCGAAGGAAATGGGTCACTCCCTGGGCAACAGATGCCGCCCGCCTACAACCAAGAGCGGAACAGACTGTGAGCCAAGCCGCACCTCACCCTACTTCTTCGTCGTTGCGATCATCCCATCTTCCTGACCCGAGTCCATGGACTTGGGTTGATTTTGCGAGTCTCATCTGCTGACTCGCCTCACCCTTTCTGCATGGCCCCTTCGTCATCCTCTCGCCTAGCCTTGACTGACGATGGATTGCGATACAGGAAATACGAGCTGACGATGCGGCAGGAACCGAAGCAGGCCAGAATGTGTGGAATCGGAGGTAAAGGTACGCAGCGCGCATATATGTCTCTCCCGGCCAATCTCTGAGCTACGCTTCAGCGGACCGCAGACCTATCGACCCCCCGGTCATCGTCCAGCTGCGGGTCATTGATACGGCCGCCCCACCGCCGCCGCCTACCCCGTCGCCATCCTCGCCCTCCACGCCGGATGCCGAGCCGCCGTACCACAACCTCGCTTCATACGCGTCGAACTTCCTGAACAATCCGTATTACTTTATGTTCGCCTCGCTTGCCAAGCCGGATGAGGACGAGGAGCTGCACTGGCTCAAAGACGGGAAGACACGATACACGACGGGCAGTATCGTCAGCTCTCTGTACTCACTCAAGGATCCAAGCCTCGTGCCGGACGGCGACGACAGCGATGGGCAGGGTGGGGATGTCGGGTTTTTCGTGTTCCCTGATCTGTCGGTGAGGACGGAAGGATCCTACCGATTGAAGTTGAGCTTGTACGAGGTCGTCGGGTGCGTGTTCTGCTCGGCATTCATGCAGCCAGCTTCTCATGTGACTCCCTAGCAACGACGTGCAGCACTGCAAATCGATATTCAGCGCCCCTTTTTTCGTGTACACCGCGAAAAAGTTTCCAGGGGTGGAGGGTGGGTGGCTGACATAATCCCCAGGGCACCGCTGACCCAAAACGCAGAGTCGTCCCCACTGACATGTTCGTTGGCAGATCAAGGGATCAAAATCCGTATTCGCAAGGATATTCGGATGCGCAAGACGCGTGCGGGTCTGGCCCAGGGCATCTCGGAACTGGAAACTTTCGGGTCCCCGGGCCCCAATGCAGCTCGGGGTGGAGGATTGATTGGCCCGCCACCGGACGAGGCCGGTGACATGCCCACTGTCGATCCAGATCCCCCGCTGGACGATGAAGGCGAGGTGCGTCTCTGTTCCCCTTGATATTGGTCGAGACTGAAAGTTGTCAGTCGCATCGGCCGACCAAGCGAAGTAGAACCGAAGAGCTTAGTGCCAACTCCACTGGCGTTCCACCCGTAGGCGCGCCTTGGCCGTCTGTCATTCCGCCGCCTCCGGGCGCTCAGATCCAAGGGCCGCTGGTCAGTAGATCGTTTGGCAATTTCGATTCCGATGACTGATGGATTCGCTAGCCTATCCAGCAACCGCAGGTACCAGCGGTCATTCCTCCGCCACCAATAGGCTCGGCGGAGCCTGCACCGCCGTCGTTGTACGAACCTCGGCCCCCTGCAGTGTCGTATGAGCAGTACAATCAACCTATACGCCATATCCCACCCCCTGCGCCGTACAACCAGCCCCCAGGGCCCCCAGTCTATCGACCCGAACAATCGACGCCGGGACCGCCTCCCGGAGGGCATCCTTATCCACCGCAGTATGGCCAACAGCCGCAGCCACCACCGCCGCCGCAGCCTCAGCCGCCGCAGCCGTACTACTATCCGCCCCCATGGGCCGATCCGTATGGTGGTCAGTACGCCGCTCCTCCTGTGCATGGATACTACGGACCGCCGGCACCAGCACCCGCTCCGGCGGCGCCTCCACCTCCTCAGTATGGTGCACCAGCCCCGTACTATAACGAGTATGCGCCCGGCTATCAGAATCAGCAGCAACAAGTGTCACCACCGCCGCAAGCCTCGAATTCACTACGACCGCCGCCAATTCCTGTGGCGCCGCCTCCCCAGTATGGATATCGGCCCTATCCTCCAGGATTCTACGGATATCCCCAACAACAGCAGCAGCAGCAGCAGCAGCCACAGCACGAAGCACATGCTTGGGGAACGCCTCCGTCATTCGTTCCGCCGCCCGCGCAGCCACAGCCCTGGGGCACTCCGGGCGAATACCCAGCGCCATCGCAGATCCCCCCGCCTCCCGGAGCGCACATCGTTTCCCCGACGACCGGATTGCCCGGCCCCAACCCGCCGGTGCCGATCACTCCGCAGCGCGTCGGGGTGCGCAGAGAGCAGCACCCAGGGAAGAAGAATCCCCTGAGTATCGGGAGTATCATTTCGGACGAGTAAGCTGTTCATTCTCCATCCCGTTTGGCGGACATCCGTCTGTTCCTTGTGCTGTATTCATACCGTGTTAGCTGCTCTGATGGCTGTATTGCGTAGTCGCTTACTTAGATCCTTTTGTATATAACTTCATTGTATTGTCTGCCAATGCATTCCGAAATACCAAGCGGGTACCAAGAAACTCTGTACTAGTCCCGGCTTCCTCGTCTATGCTGAATCAGGCCTAGGTAAGCCGCCTCGTTGGACATCCGCTTCTGATGACGATGGCGCGCTGCTCGAGATCGGAAGAAGATTATTCTCCACGTCGTCATCAATCCGAAGTTTCTCCAACGCGGAAGAAAGCACAAGTTGCCGAGGTGTCTGTCCACTCTCGGGCCTGCCAACTGAATGGCAGAAGGGCTGCCAAAGTGCCCACTCTCCAACGCAGAAGAAGATCCGGGGAAGTTGAGACTGACGGAACGAAGCCCCCGAAGTGGGCGCGGATGGAATGTCTCGTGGCTGCTCAGTGTTCTCGGATGCAGGTTCGCAGAGAAGATAACCCGCGTCCTGCAAGTGAATGAATGACGGGGTGCGGAGACAGTCGGGTAAACTGCGCCAGCTTGTTACTCCGAGGTATGCGGCAGTCTCACGCAGCCCATGAGTGGCCAACAGGACGCAGGAGATAGCATGGACCAGTTTCCTGGATTACGGGCGGAGGAATGGCGGATGTGAGCCTGGGGCATATGCTCTTCAGTGCACGCAGTATGCGAGTTTCACTGTATACGTCAACGACTTGACGACGACCGCATTCGAGACTCGACGCCAGTGCCACGGACGCGCGAGCAAAGGTGGACCTGGAGGATAACTTTCCGTGCCTATCGAAGGATTTATCCAAGTCCCACCCGACGAAAGGACAAGAGATATTCGTTTCAAATCAGGCAGATGGGCCGCGGGTCAGAGTCATAATCTGTTGCACAGTTCCGAAATCCACCGTCATACATACATCCAGGAGCGTTTGATGGATGCGTAGAGCTCGTGACGCTGTTTCGAGCATCACTAGCCGTTTGAGCTCGTCGCTGCTTGCCGGACGAGACTTGTTGAGAGAATGAAAATCGGTGGGGAAAAGAGTCTATTTGGTGAGCGAGCTGTTTCCGTGCAGTAATTGGGAGGGTACTAGCTGTCCATGGCCATGAAAATTGTGAGGGATGGCAATGTGTCCCCGTGACAGGGTGATTGACAGCCAGCACGTTTCGGTTTCCCCCTCCACTGCTCAAGGATATTTGCCCGTGAGATGCAAGGTATATGCACTTGGATTATCTGAAATTCGCATTGAATAGATAGATCAACCAGATTATCCTCCGAGTCGTACACATCTCTCAAAATGCGATAATTATCACACTTAGACTATTGTCACACAGGCAGCACGTAAACAACTTTAGTCAATCCTGTCCATTTTGATGGCTGTGCCAGATTCCCTCGGCCTCTGTCCGAGTCAGTTCCCACCACTCCTCATCACCAACGCTGCAGGACGCTCCTTCATCCTCAGAAAACGGTGGCCAATTGGTTGGGACTCCACATACTGATTGCTACTACACACTCCGCTCATCGTCATTAGCTCACAGACATGCAGCGGCTCCACGTTTCGGTCCGCGGGACCCGCCTTCGAGTTGAAGTTGAAAATGAGACAAGTCCTCTCTGAAGCTGCCTCCTGGACTCTTTTTAGAACGTTTCTCTTACCAAAGTGTGTAGGACTATGCGGTCGATGAACCATTGCTGACAAGTAGGATTGGGCCAAAATCAACACGCCTTGGACCAAGGTTAATGGCCCATGATGCTCTGAATTGATGACTGTTCCTCTTCGTGAGTAGCATACAGGTTTCGTGTTTCATTTTGTGTTTCATTCAGACATTATCAACAGCATTTCATCTCTATAACTGGGGTGGAAGTTTTCCAAGGTCCTCACACCTGGACCTGCATCGTTCTCTGCTCTTGCAAGTTGCACTCTGGCAGATTAACCATCAGAAGGCCACTGACCTATTCCTTCTCACTAAGAAATGACCTCGGGACTCGTCATCACAATCGTTGGCGGCGGCATCGGCGGGTTTGCAGCCGCTGTGGCGTTACGCAGGAACAGACACACCGTGCACATATTTGAGAAGTCGGCCGACAACACGGAGATCAGCGCAGGCCTCAGCATCCAGTCCAACGCTATCGTTGCACTGGAATATCTGGGAGTCAAGAGATCCAACCTCAGGAGTGTGCTGTTCCGCGGGGTGAGGCTATTTTTCTCTCGCCTGTGCATCAGTATTTTATTCGACTTGGACTTTCAGACTGCCAGTTTTGATGCTGTAACGGGGAAATCGCATGAGAAAGAACATATCCCCAAGGAAGCCACAGTACCGACTGATACGGTACGCCGGTAATTTTTTCGACATTTGCTCTCACAAGTTTCAACGAAACCGTCAGGGATTCTTTGTACACCGGGAGGATTTACACTCAGAGCTGAAAAGACTGGCTCTCGATTCAGACGGCGACGGAACGGCCGTTGTCGTCCATCTCGCATCGAAGATTGTTTCGTGCGACGCGGAGGGCGAGATTGTGCTCGAGTCCGGTGAGAAGTTTGCCTCGGATCTAATTGTTGGAGCGGATGGTGTCCGGGTATGTTGAGTCCCTTCGACTTTCCGCCACCTCTCGTAAATTCCCGATCTCTGACGATCGATTACCCTAGTCTGTCGTGCGCACGCATGTTCTAGGCTACGAACAGGAAGCGTGCGCGACTGGCTACGTGTGCAGTCGCGCGGTTCTCAGCGCCGAGGGAATTGCCGACATAGCCGAGCTCGACTGGTACACCAAGTCTGTTCCAGGACTTCGCGTGGTTACATGGATCGGAGAGCCGTTCAAGATGGTAATTTCTTACGGCTGCCGCAACGGTGACCTGGCGAACGCGATCTATTTCTGGCAAGAGTCGGAAGATGAGAAAAGCGGTGTGTGCCGTTTGTGCCACATGCCGAACTTTGAAACAAAACCTCACGCATGACATCCTATTTCCCTTGTCGCAGATCCATCCTCAAGATTCATCACGCCTGGCGCAATCAGAGCCAAGTTCCCCGACTCGCTGCCCCAATTCCTTCGTCTGCTCGAGCTTCCGGTGCAGAGTTCTACGGGCGCCATCCGTCGCTGGCGGCTGCGCAATCTTCCCATTCTGCCGACCTGGACGAACGGCCGCGCCCTCATCCTCGGCGACGCCGCTCACGCTACTTTTCCGTTCATGGGTCAGGGAGCCTCCATGGCACTCGAGGATGCTGTCGCACTCGGCTGCATCCTCCGGCCGGGAGCCACCAGGGACGAGGTGCCGTCCCGACTGGAGCTGTGGCAGAAGGTGCGCAAACCGTGCGGGGACTTTGTCAACCGGACGTCCGTATCTCAGCTAGCGAGCATCATCAAGGGTGATAGAGACAAGGCACATTGTGAGTGAGCCGTCCCGGTCTCCTGCATGCGATTCGATTGATTCTCGGCATCTCAGCTGGAAGTACACGCGAGCTTCTGCTGAGGTACAATGTTGTCGAGGTGGCTCGTGATGCGATGGCAAGTGAAGGTTATTAGATCCTTACTTCTACAGGGATTATTCAATCCAATTGGATTGGATGTATATGAATTCGAAAGCCTGAGCGGTGAAAGTTGACCCGAGCCTGCACAACACTGAACCATCCTAATGGAAGGTTTCGGCAAACTCAAGTCTTGTGGGAGGGTTTTCTGTAAAACTGCATTGAAATAGGAAAATCTTGGAACCTATCTACTTGTGAATCTACTAGGCATTATACCTGCCACCGAACTTGTTCTGATAAGCCTTTCGACCGGCTGCAATCGCATCATAGTCAGCCAACTCGGACCGCGTGTCGCCTTTGACTGCAAAAACTTGAATCAACCGCAATTTGAGAATGGCGAGGAGTACTAACCGGTCCCGCTACCTTGTTTCCCAGCCATGATAAGATCCATCTGTTCAAAGGACTTCTTGTTCACAAATTCCGCTCTGGGCTTGCGAAGATCCTGCCAGACTGCCAGTCGCGCGGAGACGTCCTCGCGTGTGGTCCCAAGGGGAAGAAGGCAGGCGAGGACACCCGCATCTTCGATCGCCATCGCCGCGCCCTGGGCCAGGAACGGAAGTGTGGCGTGCGCCGCATCCCCGAGGAGCGCAGTTCGGCCGTTGTACCACGTCGGAATCTCGGGGAGCGCGCGCAGCCGCCAGCGGAAGATCTTGCCGGAGTGATTCGGCAGGTCGAGCAGGCGGTGGAACTTGGGGTCGCAGTCGGCGAACTTGGCGCGTACCTGCGCTGGGGACATCGTCGGAGTGAAGGCATGGTGCGAGACTGGAAGCAGGATTGGCAATGAGTATCCCAGCGAGTGGTGACAATTGCCGCGACGCGACTCACCGTCGTTCTTCTCCTCCTCTGTTTCCGTATAGAAGTGGGCCGTATTGATGAGCTCACCATTCCTGCACGGATAGCAAAGAATCATCCGGAAGGGAAGACCTTTCCAGGCGATAGAACGAACGCCTGGGGCTTTTCCGCTGAGCCACTCGAGACCTGAGTCGCTGCCGTCGGTCGAGGGCGCTTTGAACACCGAACGACAACAGGCGATCCCAGTGGGCATAGCGTTCTGCACATATCCGATGACATGCGTACGGATGAGCGACTGGAATCGGCTCGTTCAGCATCGTTCCGCTTTGACAGAAAAAGAAGAAAAAAGCGATCAGGGCATCGCACCTGGATGCCATCCGCTCCAATGACCAGGTCCGCGTGGACTATCTCGCCGGACTCGAGAACTACGTCTCCTTCCTGGGGCGAGCATGAGAGCACTTTGCAACCGAAACGCATCGAGACCGGGGGAAACCCGCTCGTTGCATCGAGCGCGATGCGCTTCAGTTCTTCGTAGATGTCGGTCCGGTGGCACACGAGCAACCACTGCGCTATCGTCAAGTACGAAAGCTAGGATTGTAGCGGGGATTGGACTTGCGTCTTTTTCTCCACGGGCCTCGCTGCGCGGGAACGTGTGCTCCGTCCCCTCCCCCGTGGCAGGATCGAAAGTGCTCATCTGAGTATGCGCATCAGTGCCCAATTATCGTACACGTGGATTAGTGGCTCACTCCCGCGACAAACACGCCTTTCAAATTCGCCTCTTGGACGCCGAGGTGCTTCAACACGCACATCGCGTTGGGCTGAACCCCCAGCGCAGCGCCGACCTCGGTCTTGTTCTCTGTCCGCTCAAACACTTGAACGGTGTGCCCAATCTGTCGCAAGGCCACAGCAGCCGCAAGGCCACCAAGTCCAGCGCCAACGATCGTAATTTGGAGAGGAGTCGCAGTAGTAGTCGAATCTGAGGGCATTGTGAGGGTTGTAAATGATAATTGACGCTTGATCAGGCGGTGTATTTATATTGCAATTCCTGTACTGAGCCTGCCAGACGCGGTTTACCAATCCAAGCAAACCGTGCTTATGCACGATGCCTGTGGAGGTTTCTAATCATAATCATTGGCAGGGCCTGTCAGAAAATGGTCTCTGTCAAGATCCCAACTTGCGTGAGACTCGATCAGTTTCCGACTCGTCGGACATGCGCTGGATCGGGAATGTTAGCGCTTCGAGGCGGTCTTGCGCGTCGCTTCTGGCTTCAGGAACGCATGCGCTACACTGTATAGATCAGCGATGATAACACTTCGGGCGGCACTGCGCATCGCTTATGGCGGAGAAATGCGTCCTCATTGAATAGAATGCTGAGTGCTCAGCGGATTCTGGACGCACGTTAGAGTGCGAGAATGATGAAGTTTGGGTGAAGATCATCTGAGTGGCAGTGCCAGATGGAGCCACGATTGTAGACAGCTCTAGACAACAGTTGTACACAAGTCTACCGAGTATAGTAAGTTAAACTGATGAATTACACACGGATATCAACATTTAGACTGGGGAGCAGGGACACGCACTGAAGCTGTGATTGTCCCAGATGTTCTGTTCTATGTTCAACCCCGTACCCAATCAGAGGACAGGGCGACCTGGCCAGCCGCTGGATGTATCCGAGCGAGACGAATGCGCAGGGATCAGTGATGCGAGTGATCTGAACTCCTCTCACGTCCTCCCTCCGGGAGAAAGACAATCATCACCTTTCATTTTCATTCCTTCATCGGTCTTTAATCGCCGTTCTAAATCCCACCATTCACAGACTCAGATCACATCTTGGACCGCGGTTATCATTTGGTGACCGGATACCTTGCGGCTCTGTGAGATAGCCAGCTCAGACACGATGACATCGGGCTCTATCCGTCAAAGGGTCGTCTGCGACGCAGTGTTCAGCGCTGCACTCACCGCTAATGGGATCACGATCTTAGTCTTGCAATCGATCTCTGCATCAGTGCGCACACCTCAGTTACCACCGCCATCACCCGGTTGCACCCCCGCGGGGGTCCTCCTGGGTACCCTCAGACGTAGCTCTGAGGGTACCTAACAGGTACCCCCCTGCGGGGCCCGCGGGGGGGATTTGGTCCATTTGGGGGCGGGGGCATATGCGGGGGTCAGCAGGGGGGGGTCTGTACATGTCATGTGATTTATCATTGGGAGCGGGCAGGTGGGCGCGAAAAAAAAAAATGAATCACATGACACATCCAATGGGCGGGATGGCGGCTGATGGCGGGGTAAAAAAATCACGTGATGCACCGCATGAAAATTATCAAAAATGGCTAGCAGGGGTTGGCGGGGGTTGGCGGGGGCGCTACTGGCCCCCCGCACACCATGGCGGGCAGTGGGCGCATTATCACGTGACTTTTGGGGCACCTTTTGTGCACCATTCGGCATGATTTCGGAGGTGTTGCTTGATCCATTGCATGCTGTGGCAGACAATGGGCGCATAATCACGTGATTTTCCGCCCAAAAAAATGGAAGCCTTCCCCAAATCATCCTGGTATCATTTCTATCGGTAAATACACTAGTTAAGCATGAATTTGAGCTTAGAAAGCCCAAAATGCACCCTGCACAATGGGACTGGTGATGCACTTGATCCCATCATTTGGCGGGGTCTGCTGCGGGGGGTGCCACGGGGGGTGCTGCGGGGGGTGCTGCGGGGGGTGCCGCAGGGGGTGCCACAAGGGGTGCCGCAGGGGGTGCCGCAGGGCCCGCTGTGGGGTCAACCACAGGAGCAGGGGTAGGGGTGCATTGCATCATATTTTGATCTATCTATTCTCGCTGTGGTCATAGCATGCAGCATAATTATCCTTCATTTTGCCAGGAGTTTGGAGGCTGTGTCTGGGGTTGGTCTGCAGCTACAGCCATGTGACTCCCTGATGCTTCGGCAGGGGCTGGGATATCAAAACTGTGCAAATTTACCTAAATCTTTTGGCTTGGCTTGGGGCACTGATATATATGACTTGGTTCATTTTAGCATGGTCTGCTCAAGCTGTCAGGTCAAACTAAAAATTTGAAAAATGTGCAACTTGATTTGTTAGGCAAATCTCCCAAGTACATGCTCCAGGGACAGCCAACATCATCAACAAGAAATGGCTAATGTTTCTTTTCTCTGTCTGTTTGCTTCAGGTAGTCTGTCTGCACTCAAATTTTTCTCTCCATTTGCAGCATATTCCGTGGAGGTGTCATAATTGTTGATTTCCGGATTTCATACTTCTTGTCTACACACCATTTGGGCCCTTTACTGAATCCAATAATACTGTAGACTCTTACAATGGATTGAGCAGGACATTTGTCAATTAAATCCTTGCAGGGGTTGGGGGGGGGGGTCAACCACAGGGGGTGCCGCGGGGGGTGCCACGGGGGGTGCCATGGGGGTGCACAAGCATCTGCCAGCCTACCAAATGTGGATCAACTACAAAATCACTTTCCAAAGCTTCTGTACTGCAACCCAAGTGACTTCTAGGTAACCTTTACCCAATCCCAGTGAAACAACTTCACTGCTCTTGTTTCTGGGTGACAATTGATTTTATGAGCTTGAGTGTGTATGCACCCTTTTTAGTAGGAAATGAGGCCATGTGATGAGAGGTAGGGCACCGAAACATTGTAAAATACTATATTCAACATGACCGGTGGCCCATGTCTCTTCAAACCAGCCCATATCTCATGTTTATCAAGACCCTATTTTTCGGACTCATTTCAAGTTTTTGAATAGTTCCCGGGTCCAGGGCTCTCAGAATTTGTTTCAGACACTGCCAAAGAGTATATCATTCAGCTGTATTGAATTGCTTGTGTGTAGAAAAAATATTTTTTGCCATACCCAAAGTGAACCATGTTGAACCATTGTCTACATAGGAACCTTGAGCAATGGTGAACTCTTTTCATGTTTCGAATTTTAGGTGGACAAATGATATGAAGTATCTACATATTCAACAAGAATAGCAGAAGGAGACCTTATTCCGATGGTTTTCAGCTGCATAACTGTAGGAACAGTGTTAGAAGAGCAGTAAACACTTAGGTACGACGTTTATACAGGTTCTGATTGGCTAGTGACTTGACGTGTTCCGAGCTGTCAGTTTACATAATCTTACATATAAGAAAATCACGGGGACAAGGCACCGGTGCAGCGGGGGGTGCTAGACTGGCGGGGGTGCCAGCGGGGGTGCTGGCGGGGGTGCCAACAGGGGTGCCGGCGGGGGTGCCAATGGGGGTACCAGCAGGGGTGCAGGCAGTGGGTCATGGCAAGGATGTGTGCAGCCCCAGAGGTAGTAAAAGTAACCATCTATGTCTCTACAGTCTATCTTGCAAATATACGAGTTCTGAGTGCACAGAGTGTTGTATATGAAATTTGAAATTCAAATATTACCAATCTCTGACTATTGTGAGGCAACTTGCTGGTGAATCCATTGTCTCATATTCCACCTAGGAATCAATTCAGGGCATGTCAAATCCACTCTATTACATCTGTTCATGTTGCAACTAAAGCAAACTGCTTGTAAAGTAACACAGAACAGATGAACTTCAATGAGTCCCAGACAGGAAGTGTGACATTAGGTGCATAATTAACGTATGGTATTATCCACTGGGTAAGATTAGACTGTGCCTACAGCATGATCAGCTTACCAATGGGCATGTGTATAGAATGAGCAGACGAAACAATCAATGAGTTGACAGTGGACCCGATGCAGCCCATGATGTCAGCCCACCTACCCTGCCAGCCAAAAAATGAACAAATCACACTTTCTTTTTAACCCTACATGCCTGGATTATGCAGACAATATTGCACAGTTTTGATATCCCAGCCCCTGCCGAAGCATCAGGGAGTCACATGGCTGTAGCTGCAGACCAACCCCAGACACAGCCTCCAAACTCCTGGCAAAATGAAGGATAATTATGCTGCATGCTATGACCACAGCGAGAATAGATAGATCAAAATATGATGCAATGCACCCCTACCCCTGCTCCTGTGGTTGACCCCACAGCGGGCCCTGCGGCACCCCCTGCGGCACCCCTTGTGGCACCCCCTGCGGCACCCCCCGCAGCACCCCCCGCAGCACCCCCCGTGGCACCCCCCGCAGCAGACCCCGCCAAATGATGGGATCAAGTGCATCACCAGTCCCATTGTGCAGGGTGCATTTTGGGCTTTCTAAGCTCAAATTCATGCTTAACTAGTGTATTTACCGATAGAAATGATACCAGGATGATTTGGGGAAGGCTTCCATTTTTTTGGGCGGAAAATCACGTGATTATGCGCCCATTGTCTGCCACAGCATGCAATGGATCAAGCAACACCTCCGAAATCATGCCGAATGGTGCACAAAAGGTGCCCCAAAAGTCACGTGATAATGCGCCCACTGCCCGCCATGGTGTGCGGGGGGCCAGTAGCGCCCCCGCCAACCCCCGCCAACCCCTGCTAGCCATTTTTGATAATTTTCATGCGGTGCATCACGTGATTTTTTTACCCCGCCATCAGCCGCCATCCCGCCCATTGGATGTGTCATGTGATTCATTTTTTTTTTTCGCGCCCACCTGCCCGCTCCCAATGATAAATCACATGACATGTACAGACCCCCCCCTGCTGACCCCCGCATATGCCCCCGCCCCCAAATGGACCAAATCCCCCCCGCGGGCCCCGCAGGGGGGTACCTGTTAGGTACCCTCAGAGCTACGTCTGAGGGTACCCAGGAGGACCCCCGCGGGGGTGCAACCGGGTGATGGCGGTGGTAACTGAGGTGAGTGCGCACGATGTTAATCGGCGTGGGGTGGAGTGATTACTTGGTTTCCGGAACGCCGCCCGTTTAAACGCAAAGGCGGTCTCCATTAGTCACTAGGAGTTTCACTTTCCATCTCGGACTCACGTTTATCGATGCGCTCTCCTCATTGGCGATCCTGTCGGTTCACCGGTCCCGGCACCTGTATTTTTGGTGCGTTGACCATGAATCGAATATACTTTGTTCGTCCAGCTGCCTATTTGCCTCTAATCCCTGTGCTGACTATCCACAGAGCTCAACATGGATGCGCAGTGCAACATGCGCACTGATTTGGCGTCATTCTCGTGCTGAGCAATCCCGCCCGTTCATAAACAATTTCTTCGTTTTTCAAATGAGGAAATCTTGACCGTTTAGCCGCGCATCATTTCACGCAACCTGCCTTCTTTCCTCAAATACCGCGGGTGCTGACCACAAGCTTGTTCCTGTGTTTCCTTCTTCCTCCCCATGTCTTCCGCACTCTCTGTAGACCACACAATCACAGACGAGCATCCGCCCGTAAACGACCCGGATGCAGCGGTCTTGACGGGTAAAAAGCTTGTGATTGTATTCATTGCCATGTACGTTCAGTGCTCTCTCCTGTCGTTCGAGGTTGTCTATTTCAATCGGCGTCCAGGTTGTTGTCGCTCCTGCTCGTTGCTCTCGACCAGACGATTCTCGCCACCGCGCTCCCACATATCGCCTCCGACTTCAACTCTTTCACCCTCCAGGGCTGGGTTTCTTCGTCCTTCGTCCTCGCGCAGACGGTCTTCCTGCTTTTCTACGGGCAGCTTCTCCGCATCTGGCCTGCAAAATGGGTTCTGTTCTGGGCCGTGGTTATTTTTGAGCTTGGTTCGCTTGTGTGCGGACTATCTCAGAACGTCGGGATGCTCATTGCTGGCCGGACCGTCTCTGGCGTTGGTGCCGCGGGAATCTGTGCGTTCGAAATTGTTCACACCACGTCCTACGCAAATATTAACGAGCGATATGCCCAACAGTCGTGGCGCTTAACCAAGTCATTATCCAATCGACGCGTCTCGAAGACCGGCCACGTCTCCTGGGTCTTTTTGGCGCCGTCTTCGGACTGTCCAGTGTTATTGGCCCGCTCATTGGAGGCGCCTTCACTGACCATGTCACCTGGCGCTGGTGTTTCTTCATCAACCTTCCACTGTGGGTGTCATTCGATGCCTTCCTATCCTCTGCTCATCTGTTATCTAGTGGTGGCGTGTCTCTTTTGGGTGTCACAACCCTCCTCAAGTCGTCCCCGCCCCTGGGCTTGGACCCCTCTACGCGGTCATGGTCCGAGCTCCTGCACCAGACTATGCACATGGACTTTATTGGTGCAACACTGGTAGCAGGAGCTGTCACATCTTTGGTACTGGCTCTCCAGTGGGGTGGAAACACCAAGAGTTGGGGCGATAAGGATGTCATCATTGTGAGGGGTGTTCTGCCCGGAGTTGCCTGTGGATGCTGATTTTTCCCCCAGTGTTTTGTCTTTGCTGCCATACTCACAGTTGTCTTCATTCTCTGTGAGATCCGTGCTGGTGACCGTGCCATGACACCCACCACTATCTTCAAATCTCGTTCAGTGTGAGTCACACTGCCTGCATTACTCCTGCTATTGCACACTAAGTCTTTCTCAGCTATGCAATTGTTCTGTATTGTCTCCTGTCCCGGTTCACACTGCTCCTGTTCTCGTATTACATCCCCATTTTCTACCAAGCTGTCCACAATCGCTCCGCCACCCAGTCCGGGATTAGCCTGCTGCCTTTCATGATGGGTGTTGTCCTCACATCAATCCTTGGTGGTCAACTTGTGTCACGGTTTGGCTATTAGTATGTGCATACCAATCCTCTCTCCCTCCCTGATTGACTGTCCATCCAGTTGGCCATTCCTGGTCATATCACCTGTCCTCCTTGCACTTGGTTCTGGGCTTCTCTACACCCTCAAGACAAGCACATCATCTGCCACAATCATTGGTTTCCAGATTCTGACTGGTGTTGGCACAGGGATGGTCATGCAGAACACACTGTTGTCTATGCAGGTTGAGTTCAAAGACACACCCCAGATAATGAGCCAAGCTGTGTCAATGGGGTCCTTTGGACAGTTTCTTGGTGGCACACTTGGTCTTGGTATTGCAGAGCCAGTCTTTGCCTCAGAGCTGAACAAGGCCCTAACCAAGTATGCACCAGGTGCACCAGCATCCATTGTTGAGCAAAGCCCAACTGCTATCTATACCTCACTTGATCCATCTCTGGTCCCAGGTGTTGTGCAAGCATACCTGCAGTCCCTTCGGATTGTGTTTGTGCTTGGTGTGCCAGTGGCAGGGCTGGCACTTATAGCAGCATTTTTCATCAAGAATATCCGGATTGTTGCCTCACCACCATCCAGTACTGTGCACAAGGGGGATGTGACTCATGCACCTATGAGTCAGTTGGGTCATGGAGCATGACATGCATAGACAGATCATTAGAGTTATGTATTCCATAATGACAAGGCACTGGATACATACTACCCTCACATGTGAAATGTCATAACTCGTTCACTCTTTCATCATTCTATCAACAATCTTATTGAATCTCAACATCAGGTTATCTTATCATGGATCACGGTGATAGGCTGGCTACCAGACGCGCTCTGCACCAGCTCTGTAAGGGCGTATTTTTGCGCTTTTACAGAGTTTACTCTTGAACCACTCGGTGTATCGTGTCGCGGTTGACAGTGTTGCGCTCAGTAGGACTTATGGGTCTACTGCCCAGTCAACGACTGTGGGTAGTGTCGACAATAGCAAGGCAGTCAGACCACTACTGTGGAACTGGTCTTATGAGTCTACACCAGGCTCAGGGCCATTAGTGACGAACGCTTGGACCGCGACCATTCCCCACAAAGGGATCTGTCGTTGCGTCAACTTCTCAAAAAGGGTCATTCTCTGCAGATGGGAACTTGGGCTGAAGGGCTGAGCAATGCGCGACGTTCTCAATAATAGAACTACTACTGGACAGGACTTGGCGTTACGAGACTTAAACCATCTTGTCGCGGCAACTCCCGGTTTTGAGTTGGACGTTTCCTCAGATCATGCCACGACGACGACTTGTCACATGTCAGGATCCATTCGATCACGGGACATTGTGGACGCGTCGCGGTGACACTTCCAAGTGTCACGGCGAGTCGCGCCCATACCCAAACACACTAGAAACCGACACGGTAAAGATCCGTGAACCGAACCATGTGGGGGACGACTGGCGTGCCTAGGGCCATACGGCTTCTTGGGGCGCCCACGTTGGTCTCACTTGCCAAGACATACCCGTTGGCCAATCCAGCACGTCGTATCCCAAAAGTATGACGCGGTGGGTTGATCCACATCAAAAGTATCATATGGACTATGGGGCGGGGTCCTGATCACTCAGGACCTGTCCGATCGTTCAACTTTTCAATTACCCTAAAAGGCAACCGATCTTAGATAGCGTAGCTACTATGCAGTTGTACAGGACTTTACTAAGCAGCGTCGTAGACAGTATAAGTAGCACGTCGTCTCTTTGTATTAGGAAGCTTTCCCCCGGACTGTGAATCACACTCATTTCAGGTTGTTTTGTACAATTTGCGTGCCGCGTGATTCCACCCTAAGAAGTTCTGCTACCCCTGCCCGGTCGCAACGAGTTGCTCCCTGAGCACTTGTAGCTACTGTGATTTGAGTTTGAGTTGAGACAACAGAAAGTCGGGTTCGCCGCATCTGGTATTGTCGCGGCATTTAGTGTCGTCGCCTTAGGGCTTTGTTGAGATCGTTCCACACCTCTAGCTTGGCAGTGCGTCGACTAGTTGTGCTCGGGTTGTTTTGGTCAGTTGGCAGTGCGTCGACTTGAGAACTTTGGTTCCACACTTCTTGCTTGGCAGTGCGTCGACAAGTTGTGCTCGGGTTTTGGACATTGGATATTGGCTGTTAGTTGGCAGTGCGTCGACGCGGCATTTTGGTTTACTAGTTGGCAGTGCGTCGACTCAGTACTTTTGGTTGTGTCAGTTGGCAGTGCGTCGACTTGACATTCTGGTTCTACTAGTTGGCAGTGCGTCGACTCAGTATATTGGTTGTATCAGTTGGCAGTGTGTCGACTTGATATTTGGGCTTTGCGTCACCTTCTGGACGCTGTCGCTACAAGGGATCTTAATACTTCGTATTAAGTTCTGACTTGTTATATTGTTGGTTGTGGATTGGATTAGTGTTGGTTGTGTTTGTATAGAAGATATTGGTTGAGACACCACTGTTTGCTATATATATATATCCTTGTCGTCGACTTCGTCTTCCGCGACTATTGGATCTGCGTCTATTGAGAGCTGTGATACTGGTGTTCTGTCCACCCCGAAGCCCTCGCATCTTTCACACACTGAGAAGCTGATTACGAGGAGTGTGAACGTGTTTATATTTGGGTTTACTTTCATAGTAGATTCACTTGTGAGCACGCCCTCAGCATTTCATCTGGAGCCCACCGCGAGGGGCTTCTAAAGTTTCATAAACTTTAAAAATCAATAAACCGGATTCTTTACCGCGACGTCGGATAGAGACCAAGGGTTTATCCCGCGAAGCAGTTTATTTCGATCCCAAGCTCCTGCGCGACCTCTTGAGGACCAAGCGGAGATTGAGACTGAAGGAAACGCTTCAACTTCAGGACCTTTCGAAAAACCACGAAGGTCTGCAAGACATAAAACACCTTTGTATCTACCACCCTTGCCTTCTAAGGCAAAAGGGAAACAAAGAGTGAATTCGACGTCGAAGCTTCCAGCTTTAGACGCGGCTACTTCGAGTTCGACGACAATCAATCGATCTCAGACTAGCTCACAAACTCTCTCAGAATTGTCTAGTAGCGTCACCGCTACAAACACGAATTCTAACAACATCCCTACTTCCCCTGTGACTTCAGTCGCGACAACTATGGCTCCAAAGACTGGGTTCAAAATCCCTCAACCTTGGGACACAAGTAGACCTATACTTGATGAAAAGGATCCCCTGTCGATTGAGGCATATTTGCGTCACTGCGCGCAGATCGTGGAGGATGGTGGCATCACAGATGTCAAACAAGCAAAAAGCATGTACATCCGTTATTTGCCGTCGCGGCAAGTGATGGACGTATGGGAAGGTCTCGATACCTATTCCGACAACACGAAAACTGTCGCGGAGTTCGAGGCCGAAATATTAAAAGGATACCCTGAGGTATCCAAGCGAAAAACGGGGACCATGGCAGATCTAGATAGACTCTGTCGCGAGAACCGTGGAATCAAAATCACGGATGAGGGAGATTTGAAGCGCTTCGGCCTTCAGATGTACAGTCACTACAAGCGACTGTCAGTCCCTCCTGCCATTATTACCAACAAAGTCGCGTGTGAACGCTACATGCGTACTTTGGACTCTGAGTTCAGTACCGTCTTGAGGAACGCTTTGGCTACGAGTCAAGTATTCAATAAGCGCTACCAAACTCGCGCTGGGATAGCAAATGCTAATGTCCCCGCGACTGGAGTCAACCGGCAGGACGACCCCATCCAGCTGAAAGAGCTAATGACAATGGCGGAAGAAATGGCGTCGACGTTGAGTAACGAAGACGAAATTCCCATAATCGCGCTGAAATGCTGAGGGCGCGCTCACAAGTGAATCTACTATGAAAGTAAACCCAAATATAAACACGTTCACACTCCTCGTAATCAGCTTCTCAGTGTGTGAAAGATGCGAGGGCTTCGGGGTGGACAGAGCACCAGTATCACAACTCTCAATAGACGCAGATCCAATAGTCGCGGAGACGAAGTCGATGACAAGGATATATATATAGCAAAACAATGGTATCTCAACCAATATCTTCTATACGAACACAATCAACACTAATCCAATCCACAACAATAATATAACAAGTCAGAGCTTAATACGAAGTATTAAGATCCCTTGTAGCGACAGCGTCCAGATGGTGACGCAAAGCCCAAATATCAAGTCGACGCACTGCCAACCGATGCAACCAATATACTGAGTCGACGCACTGCCAACTAGTAAACCAAAATGTCAAGTCGACGCACTGCCAACTGACACAACCAAAAGTACTGAGTCGACGCACTGCCAACTAGTAAACCAAAATGCCGCGTCGACGCACTGCCAACTAACAGCCAATATCCAATGTCCAAAACCCGAGCACAACTTGTCGACGCACTGCCAAGCAAGAAGTGTGGAACCAAAGTTCTCAAGTCGACGCACTGCCAACTGACCAAAACAACCCGAGCACAACTAGTCGACGCACTGCCAAGCTAGAGGTGTGGAACGATCTCAACAAAGCCCTAAGGCGACGACACTAAATGCCGCGACAATACCAGATGCGGCGAACCCGACTTTCTGTTGTCTCAACTCAAACTCAAATCACAGTAGCTACAAGTGCTCAGGGAGCAACTCGTTGCGACCGGGCAGGGGTAGCAGAACTTCTTAGGGTGGAATCACGCGGCACGCAAATTGTACAAAACAACCTGAAATGAGTGTGATTCACAGTCCGGGGGAAAGCTTCCTAATACAAAGAGACGACGTGCTACTTATACTGTCTACGACGCTGCTTAGTAAAGTCCTGTACAACTGCATAGTAGCTACGCTATCTAAGATCGGTTGCCTTTTAGGGTAATTGAAAAGTTGAACGATCGGACAGGTCCTGAGTGATCAGGACCCCGCCCCATAGTCCATATGATACTTTTGATGTGGATCAACCCACCGCATCATACTTTTGGGATACGACGTGCTGGATTGGCCAACGGGTATGTCTTGGCAAGTGAGACCAACGTGGGCGCCCCAAGAAGCCGTATGGCCCTAGGCACGCCAGTCGTCCCCCACATGGTTCGGTTCACGGATCTTTACCGTGTCGGTTTCTAGTGTGTTTGGGTATGGGCGCGACTCGCCGTGACACTTGGAAGTGTCACCGCGACGCGTCCACAATGTCCCGTGATCGAATGGATCCTGACATGTGACAAGTCGTCGTCGTGGCATGATCTGAGGAAACGTCCAACTCAAAACCGGGAGTTGCCGCGACAAGATGGTTTAAGTCTCGTAACGCCAAGTCCTGTCCAGTAGTAGTTCTATTATTGAGAACGTCGCGCATTGCTCAGCCCTTCAGCCCAAGTTCCCATCTGCAGAGAATGACCCTTTTTGAGAAGTTGACGCAACGACAGATCCCTTTGTGGGGAATGGTCGCGGTCCAAGCGTTCGTCACTAATGGCCCTGAGCCTGGTGTAGACTCATAAGACCAGTTCCACAGTAGTGGTCTGACTGCCTTGCTATTGTCGACACTACCCACAGTCGTTGACTGGGCAGTAGACCCATAAGTCCTACTGAGCGCAACACTGTCAACCGCGACACGATACACCGAGTGGTTCAAGAGTAAACTCTGTAAAAGCGCAAAAATACGCCCTTACAGAGCTGGTGCAGAGCGCGTCTGGTAGCCAGCCTATCAGCGCGACCTCCAAAGGTTCGCTTCGACTATGAGACTAGTCCACCCAACCATGCTAAGGTTGAGGAGTTGGAAAACTCGATTTCTAACTTGAAGGACTCATTTCTTCTACACCAAAAAGAGCTACAGACTCAGTTGCAGGAAGCGCTGAAGACGTTCGTACAGACTGCTCGCGAAGCGCCTATACAGCGGTCGCGGCCAGTAGGCAACAACTCTTCTGTGCCCCACTTTGAAGGTCGCGTACAAGGAGGAGCTGCCGCACGGAACAACGACTGTCGCTACTGTGGACAAACTGGTCACTGGTCGAACGAGTGCCCGCTCAAGAGGTCTCACATTGAGAAAAACCTTCTCAAAGTCGACACCAAAGGGATGTGGAGGCTCTTCGACGACAGTTTCCTACCAAATGGAGAAGGGACTCAGGGACAACGAGTAGAGGCTTATTGGAAGAAGAAGGGCAAATCCGTCAACTTCCAGGACTCCTACTACTTGGATCAGTTCAATAGCCGCGACAATGATGATATGTCCGACTACCCTGAAGAAATGGCAGATGAAATACGCTCCCTTCGAAGTCAACTCATCCAATACGAGAGGAAGTTGTCGCGACCAACCCAAGAGAGTCGCGCTGAGCCAAAGACTCAAAGAACTGCATCTGGTTCAACCAGCAATGCAATGGAAAGTGCCATGGGCCAATTCATGCAGAAAGCCATGACCGACGCCATGGCCGGCTACTTCAACAACATGAACAGTGGTTATCCTCAGACTCAGGAGCAGTTCATTCAAACCCGTCGTGGTGCGAATAGCCAACCTGAGCGCGACGATAACAACTCGGGTTTCTAAATGGTTCAAGGAAGGGGGCTAAACCCACAAACTCAGCCAAGCCCTCTGAGGACCATGATAAACGAGCTGAGCAACGAGAGAAACCGAGAAAACCTGTGATTATTGAAGAAGTTAGCGATAGCGACGATGATGAGGAATCAGTGCGCGACAACGTCGAAAAGAGAAAGGAACTACCGTTTGAGAAAGTCAAGCCCGTTCTACAAGAACCAGTACGTTCTTCAAAAGCGCGCGTTCCAGATAAATACCAGTTGCGTGCACCGATTCAAAAGAAGGCTGTGGCAGAAGCAGTCTACGACAAAATGAAAAACGCGTCAGTCGACGTCACTGTGGGTGAACTCCTAGCAGTTTCGGGGACTGTCCGCGACTCCATTCTAAAGGACTCTTCGAAGAAACGAGTACCGGTTCAGAAGTCCATGCTTCAAGAAACTGGCCGCGTCGTTGAAGACGTCTGGGATGGAGAACTGAGCTACAACCTAGTCAGTGCTAAGGAATTGCCCGATCCTGTGTTCTATCATAACACAGTTGAAGGAGAAATTCCCATTGGCGCAGTTGTCGCGACGGACCCATATGAGATGTACTTGGAGTCGATACCCTCTAATGAGAACCCAAGACATGTCTATGTTGGTGATTCGTCGGCTGCTCTCAGAACGATAAACGGACGGATTAACGCGCGTCTCGACGCGGACTGCATCCTAGACAGTGGATCTCAGATTGTATCGATGGCTTTCTCAGAGGCCGTCGACGCACAATTGAGCTGGGACCCAAAAGTCGTCATCTATATGGAAAGTGCAAATGGATCTATCTCTAAGTCACTGGGATTAGCGAGAAATGTACCCTTCAGGTTTGGGACCATCCTGGTCTACCTGCAAGTGCACATTTTGGAAAGTCCAGCTTATAAGGTGTTGCTCGGCAGACCGTTCGATATCGCGACTGAAAGCAATATCAAGAACGCGGCTGACGGCAGCCAGATAATCACCATGCGCAATCCCAATTTAAAGACACGTTGTGCAATGGCTACGCAGCCACGTCGTGCAGACGACTTGCCACGTAGCACCAAAAACAACGACGGATCTACCGAACCCTACAGTTCATCGAAACCGACGACCAGTCCAGACAAACCGAACCCTGAACGGGATTTTCAAAGAGCTTCGAGGAATTGACCAGGTTGAGTCAAGGAGAAGAAGTCGCGGTCACTGTGTCGTTGGGAAAAGATGGGAATGTAGTGTTCGAGGATCTAAGAAAGCCGCGTTCTAGTGGCCAGTTTACCCAAACTGAGCTAGTAGAGGCATATATCTTGTCGTCGAAAGAGGACAAGGAAATGAAGAAAGACGTCGCTGCGTCGACTTTGTTTCATTCATATATGAATGAAAGACTCTCAGACGCGGCAACGGAAAAACTGACTGTTGGTACTTGGAGTGTACTAGACGACGACTCTTCTAGTCGCGACAAATACTCTGTATTCGCAGGAAAGAAATACAAACCTGTGGATCAGAAGGTCAGACCAGTGTACACTATGGGTTCTGAGAACGACCGAATAATTCGAGAAATGGTGGGAGATCCTTTGGATACGCTACCTACTCTAAACCCGCGACCACCTGATTTTACCCCAACTGGTAGACTCACGGCGGAACGCAGGGATATTGTGGACAAGTTACACAAAGGAGACTTCTTATTACCAGAAGAACGGAAGTTGCTCATGCACTTCTACATGCTTCATAATCAGAGTTTCGCGTTCAATGATGAAGAGCGTGGCGCATTGAGACAGGACATATTTCCTCCTGTCAAGATCGCGACAGTTCCCCATACAGCATATCGCAAAGGGAATATTCCTATACCTCGCGGCATGTTCGACCAAGTGTGCAAGGTCATAAAAGACAAAATCGCGGCCCAGGTCTACAAACCTTCCAATTCCTCTTATCGGAGCAAGTTCTTTGCTGTACTTAAGAAGGATGGGAAGAGTATCAGACTGGTACACTCACTAGAACCACTCAATGCAATTACTATCGCGCATTCAGGATTGCCACCCGCGACAGAGGAGCTAGCAAACCACTTCGCCGGTCCACCTGTGGTGCTGCGCTAGACTTGTACTCAGGCTACGACCAGCGTGACATCGATCCAGCTAGTCGCGACTTGACTACGTTCCAGTCACCATTCGGTGCGCTGAGGTTGGTCAAACTCCCACAAGGGTGGACCAACTCAGTACCAATATTCCATGAGGACGTTACTTTCATTCTGAAAGACGAAATCCCTCATGTTACTATTCCATACATCGACGACGTACCCGTTCGAGGACCTGGAACCAGGTATCTGTTGCCCGATGGGACCT